AAATTATATAAAATATGACAAGAACAAGTTAAAAACAGATTAAAAATTATTTAAAAACATTAAAGCATTACATCGTGAAGCCACTTGATGATTGCACAAAATGGTGGTCATGGAATAATGAGTGAGATGAACCCCTTGAAGGCCGAAGGTTGTTAATGTCTGTGTTGAAAGATGGAACGAATTGTGGGCGTGTGCCAACGTTGCCAAATCACTTCAGATGATGTGATTTTCAGAATGTTATGTAAGAAATTGTTAAACCGACCAGAGGCAGTTGAATAAACTATATTTTAATTAATGGGAAAATAAATTAACAATTATTATTAAATCGTGAGAAGAGAATTATTAGATTTTGAGTGGAATGAAATTTACTGGTGGAATCGGCCAAGATACAGATTCTATTTATGGTTGTGAAGAGTCAAAATTTGGGGAGATATGTAAGTTCTCCAATTTTTCGCAGTTTAGCAAATATGAGTAAATGAGACTCAGTTGTTTAACATCTGTCTTATATATATATAGGTGAAAAATAAAGCTTCCGCCTTTAGTTGGGTACTTCGACAAGATTCAAGCAATAAGGAATCTTTATACTTTATTAGTGTCTAGCTTTCGATGGTCTATGCCATCATCATCAGGAGCTGCAATGACATAAGGAAGAAATAGCAACTATTGTGCAAAATACTTTTAAATTACTTACAATAGTATGTGAGATTGTTGCTGAATGTTGTTGAAGGTTAAGATGAGGGAAACATTGCTGAAAGCTGGATTCATGGTACATTCGTTAAAATTGTATATCCTTTGGGCCTAAAGTACCACAGCAAGTGGCTATAACCGGCCGCGTGGTTGTGGTTAGATGTTTCCTTGAAAATTCGAGGTCTTCTAGCCATCTTATACTACAATGTGTAGGTTGGCTCTTGTTGTAGACTTCGTGTGTCGATTTTTTTCCTCTCCATCTTTGTTTCCACAGGTTACACCCGTATCTGAATGTGTGGGCATGTGTATGTACTTTTTTAGTTGCATATGTGCATTCATTTCGGGCCTGATGAAGCCAACCAGCAGAAATACGTATCGCTCGGGTTACATATCCTATTTTCTGCTCGAATCTACTTTACTCTCTACTTTTTGTTATATTTATATATATATATATATATATATAAATATCACAGAAACTAAATTTACATTTAGATGTTATTTCAAGGTCAATTGTTGCTTTGCCATGGAACGTTGTGAAGCAGCGGATAGCTGGAAAACTGAAATTGAAGCTTTTCTGATGACAGTTAAAGATGTTAACCATTAATCGGATCGAAAAGTGGTAACCACGAAAGTTGTCTCAAAAATATGGCTCACACATTTTATTCAGGCTCAAGGAATTTTTTATTTGAAAAACTAATTCACCATTGGAAACGTTGATCTTTAAGCTATTTTTCTCAATAGTCGCCGATAATTCTGCCCAAGTCTTTGAAGAATACTTACACATCATGATCTGTGCCACAATGAGCAGCGGTTATAACATAGTAGGGGTTGATAAGCGTGCCACCACAGTCGAAGTATATATAGTGTATTCTTTGTCTCCCCAATCGTGCTATCCATGGAAATTGTCCCAAAGAGGCTTTTTCACCATTGACGATACGTTGCTTACTTATATACCTAGTATATCCACACTGGTCCGTATCTAGGTGTATCCAGTTTGGATGGCTCTCTATGTCGTTTATACCTAAGAGGATGAGGATGACAGCAAACATGCAATGTATGGCTTATACCGAACAAACATTTCAAGTTATAATTACCACAAAATAGGTCAAAAAGGCATGACCAATCTTTTTTCAAACGCATATAAATTTTTATCTACCTAGAACCAGGGCAACCCGGTATATTTAACGCGCGCTAGCTAACGTATTGCAGTGCTCGTTTGTTCTATTAGTAAACGCACTGTTTTCGTTCAGTCAACATGTGAAACTATGAATGTCTACTAAAATCATCGCGAAGTACTTACAGGCTGCAAAAGGAACTAGACTTAGGAACAAATAGATAAAGCGGTTCATATTGTCACCGAACACTGGCATTAAATGGAAAAATTTTTATTAGGTATCAATTAAATGTAATTGCATTTTATGATAAAGCCAAATGCTTCCGCCAACTCGCAATCAGTCATGCTTTGAACAAATGATAAATTTCTACGTGGTGCGATACAACCAAGTAAAGATATGTATTAGGTCTGGGAATTAAGTGATGAGACTGTTTTTTTATTTTTATTCAAATATATACAGTGAGATATAAATCCGAACAACCAGTTTAAATGGTTTTATTTTAATAAAATTTTGTATAAGTACTTAATGAAGCATAATAAGTAAATGATAAAAATTTCAAAATGATTGCACTGCTTTAAACCCCTTTGACCTTTATTAATGTGTGGATGCACCCTGATGTGCTACGCATTCTCCAACGCGCCTAGGCATGCTTCTGATCAGGTGGTCAATGTCCTCCTGTGGTATCTCATTCCAGGCAACCACCAACTCCTCTCGAAGTGCTTCTAGAGTCTAAGGAGGACGTTGCAAATTGAGCAATCTCCTACCCATCATATCCCACACGTGCTCAATTGGGGATAAGTCGGGAGATCTTGGTGGCCATGATAACAATGTGACATCATTATGTTGAAAGAAGTCTATTGTGACTCTTGCAACATGTGGTCGGGCATTATCTTGTTGGAAAGTTGCCAGGGTGTCAAGATAGGGTAAAAGATGGGGTTCTAGAACTTCGTGGATATAACGCTGCGCGTTCATGTTACCTCTGATGAAGATTAAAGGTGACCTGGAACCATAAGCTATAGCACCCCAAACCATAACTCCAACAGTGTGATTAACATGTCTTTCAACAAAAAACTGTGGATTCCTCCTTTCACCACGTCGCCTTCTAACCCTGGCACGACCATCGTGCATGCCTAAACAAAATCGAGACTCGTCACTAAAGACAATACTGTTCCATTCCTGATCCCAGAGTGACCGTTGTCTGCACCACTCAAGGCGATTACGTCGGTGTTTTCGAGTTAAAGGGAGGACCCAGTGTGGCCAGTATGAAAGCAAGCCAAAACTTCTCACTCGTCGGTAAACTCTTCGCATGCCAATAGGTCTTCCGTGTTCTGCAAACCATTCATTTGCAATGGACCTGGTAGTGGAGAAACGGTCCCTTAAGGCCAATAATCTTAGGCAGCGATCTTCACGGTATGTTGTTCTACGGCGGCGTCCAGTGCCCCTTGTTCTTTGCGTACGGCATTCTCGAAGCCATGCCTGACAACACCTAACCACAGTGTCTACACTTCTTTGCACTCTAACTGCAATTGCCCGAAAAGAAAGTCCAGCTTCCCGAAGTCCCACTATACGGCTCCTATCAAACTCACTAAGTTGACGAAATCGTACAGGTCTCCGTACTCTAGGCATCGTAACCGATCGTAAAGGATGTCAAGAACCAAAATCCGCCAACGTTGATTCTTTACTGCGTCTGAAATATTCATTTTTAGAGCGTTAGTGAATTAAAAAAGCAGTATAAAAACCGGAATGTCCAACTGATATGTCACTTAGTATAAGTTCAATTTTATGTTGTCATCCTAAAAATAACTTCCCTCTCAAGCCGTACAGAGCTGGAGGTGGTTTTTCCTCTTCTTATATCAGTGCTGGAACTCCGATACTGAAGAATAGCCTTCAGCTGGTCGGTTACAGACGTTTGAACTTTTTCGACTATCTCAGAATGAGCTGAGGAACCACAAGAATATTTTCTGTCGATACTTTCATCCGTTCTTGACCATGAAGGCCTTTCGCTTAGTGGTTCATCTTCAGTCGAATCTCTCTCTTCTGAAAATTCCTTGTACCACCGAAAAACCTGGGATCTTGACACAACACTATCTCTCTAGGCCTGCCGAAGTTTTCGTTGCACTGTACCGAAGTCTGAAGAAAAACCTGACATCGCACCGTTTCTAGAAGTTGATATCATTTGTTTTTAGAACACAAGAGGAAAATATGTTTCACATCCAAATGACTGGAACGAGTTCAAACTTGTGCTGAAAGCGGATCACATGTTCCCCTGTCTCCCCTCCTAGTGCGGCGCCTCTAGTCTTGCCAGATCGAACACTACGTTGCCAGTCTCATCACTGAATTTACAGACCTCGTATATGTTCGTAAGGCATATATGCAACATATAGCTATAATATAGACATGATGTTCGGAGAGAAAATGTACAAGGTGAGACCGGTTTTAATCATTATAATAATAAATGAAATTACTGATTATAAAAAACCTACCTTTGACGCCATCCACATAAAAAAGAGGTTAGGTAACTTCGATTTCCGGTACACGTTTTCCTCGGGAATTTTTGGTAAATTTCATAGTTTATTGATTGTATAATTTCACACGTATATCTTCCTTTCTCTGTAATTCAGAATTGTGTTGGAAAAAACTATGTGATTTTTCTCCGTTACTTGGTTTTCTATCGAACATACCTTCTTCAAGGCCACTGATTGAACCTTCCTTGATAAAGTTAGGTGTTTCGTGTCAGCCACTTTCCTTCTGAGATTGTGGTGTGAGCGCCATGTGCTTAACCTCCAGATTCTGCGACATTAGATGCCGAACACCAGTGTGTGGAGTAGTACCCTTTCATATAGTACCTTACGTTTAGTAGTTTTGGTTTGGGTGCTACCCCGTCCATTTTCTAATGGGATTTTCAGCTGGTATTGTCGGAAGCCTCTCCTTCCCATTGACAAGATGTCAGCACTAGCTGTTGTATACTTGTTGTATACTCGTTCCATAGCTGTACGTCATGATGCTTCAGCTATCATGGTTTGGCTATGATGTGATGTAACAACTGCTACTCAACCACAAATCTTCTCAGAGTATATTCTACAGACTATCTCGGCATTCTGCAACCAACAGAACATGATGGGAAACTGACTTGCAGCATCGTCATTGAGCGTGTCGTATCATTGAGTCATTCGTCAATAGATGGACGCTTTTGATGACGCTGACACAACGGCAGGTGACTGGAGGTAAACGAACAAACTAGTTTTGTTCTATCTGCACATAGTCTCCAACAGGGACCGTATTATCTAATAAAATACTTTATATCTTATAAAAAATTTTATTCTATATAATTTTATCGTTAAAGAAAACTCTTAAAGCATATCGCTAAAATATATATCTGGTAGAATATATCAGAACTATCCATGGAGGTTAGGGAATTTTTAAAATTATGTAACCACAGACGATATTTTAAGAATTCACGTTGCTTGCAACCCTCTATACAGCTCACAATAATAACTACAAAATCCAGGCCAGGTCATTTGAAGTTACAACTAAAGAATATTCATATCCAAGTACTACCTGTGAGTATCAAATTCGGGTGCCACCGCCAGAAGCGTGCAATTCGTATGGTAAGCCGCAGCTGCATCTGTGACCTCGTCACTCGGGTCCCTAGGCAAAGAGGTGCTTCTATCTCCTTCTAGCACACGTATTGCACGCCTTTCACTCTTTTTTCTCGTATACATTACGACGTCAGTGGTATATGGATTTAACTAAATATTAGCTAAGTAACTTACATCAAGTTCATAATCATTCACACCGAATCTATAAAATATCATGGTTATGTAGGATCTCAACTAGCAAAGTAGTGTTATAAACTTTTTGTAAAAGAACCGTTCAGCCATAAAAGCTCTCTATTGTTGTTGCCTGAACACCAAAATGCTGGCTGAATGTTGTGTGGAATGCAAGTTTCCTTTCTGCAACATATTTGCTCTAAAATGAGGTGTTTAAAATATTCTTATAGCATAGTTATACAACATCTTATAGAGGAAATTTTTAACTGTTGCATAAACGTTTATTCAACTATTTTATACGGCATATTTGCACGTTAGTCAAAATGGTTGTGTTGTGGCATCCATGGTAACGTTTATAAAACAAACCCGAGCCTTGTTGTTTTGCTGTGCAATTTACTACTTTAGCCAACAAATTGCTCCCAACGGAAGCACTTATACAACTGTTGTTCAGTAACTGTTAAAGGCTGTACATATGCTAAATATGTTGGTAAACAACTTCACCATAACCTAACTATCTGCTGTCATATTTTTGTAAAATGCCATAACCAATGTTTTAAGACAAACAACGCATGCATATTGGTTCAAAAGGTTTTATCAACTGTTCAAACAGAAGATATAGATCTGGTACAAATTCTGGGTAAATCATTCGACTCTGTCGGTATTTCATTTCAGACATTTGACAAATTGTTGTATAACACCTGCAGGCAACACCAAAATATTCTAATAACCTAAAGACAACATGGACGATGCCATGATTGTACACAACCACCCGCCATATTGGGCAAACATTTATTCCTCTATTTAATATTAAATAATTATGTTTCAGTTCGAAATTGCAGATATAAAGAGATAAACATTAGTGTAATTGTGTCTAAATATAGGATTTGTGGAAGATTTAACGCAGATAAGTTCAGTTTTCCATCTTCAAAATCTAGAAATACTTTTGATCATTGTCAAAATATGAATCAAATACGAAGCCCGTAGAAATTGGGTAACTAATTTGTACGATAATCACAATAAAATTTGCTGCGCAAGTAATTAAATAGCCTTATATCACAGTGTAGAAGTTTATCATATACCTGTGTATGAAATTCACAATGGCCGATATGAAAGTAAACAAGATGACTGTAATGTGTTAGTTATATATTCTTCACATCGTCTATACAATAGATAAGGAATAGTTTGGTTGCAATAAAGTAGAATCATGTAACAGAATAGTTGAATAGTTGACAAAAACTGAATCTTGCATCGACATAAATGTTCTATAGCGGCTGCAAGAGGCTTACACTTTTGTTTTATAACTGTTACCTGCAGCCCTTATACAACCTCTTAACACTTTGGCTGCCCCCATAAGGGGTCATTTTCATTTATTAGAGGCCAAAGCCAAATTATCACAAAAGCATGGTTACGAAAGCTTTATTGGCATAAAAAACGTATAAACAACTCAAAAAAGATGTTTTTTTCTGCAAAAAATTAAAATCACCGGTGATACACCTGGCATACAGGTTAATCGGTATTTCTCCAGTGCCATCAGTATCACCGGTGATCACAGAAGAAATAGAAAATAAAACTAATGTTTTTCAGTGAAACAAGTAAAACATAAATGAATATTGCATTGCCCGCACTTGGTAGAGACCAGTTTAGCTTGTTTCATTCCCACAACTCGTCCTCCTTCTCTGGCTTTTTTCTCATAACATGAAATGCATCTCTTCCTTTTCTTTCTCCCGTCTGCTGTTCTTTCTTCTGTACTGATCAGACTATGTTTATCTTCATGTACTGGGACACTTGGGACTTGAGTAAGGCTCTCAATGAACATCTCTCTAAAAGCACCAATTTGTATGTTTTGTTTTTTGAAGTGCTTGCAAATATTAAGAGAATTGATGACAGCCGTATTCAGGAGAATTTCGAACATTAGTTTATGATACCATCTAATTGTTTTCCGGAGTGGCGAAAAGTAGCTAGCCATTTGATCAGAAACATCTATACCATCTTTACCAGCATTATATTCTAATATGGCAGAAAGTTTCTTTACCTCCTCGCTCTTTCTGTGTTTCTTCCCAGTGGCCTTTATATCCAGCGTGTGCTTAGTACTCAAGAACGGAACATCCCTTTTGTCTTTCCATTTACCTATAACGAGTCCTGTAGTGTTTTCCTTCCCCACAATTTCCCCTCTTTTTAGCTGTGCACTCATAACCCATAAACCGCAAAATCTGTATAAGAACCAACCCGAATATAGTAAAAGTGCAGTCGTAAATTTACCCTACAAAGGTAGGCAACCAGTGATTTGATATATCTCAATGAGTTGTCTATATTATCAGTATGCCACAGTATAAGTAGTTAAACCTAATTCACAAGCCAAGCGGATATATCTCTAATTTAGAAGTATGCTGCATGTGAAACACATGTGAGTCACGTGGCCTCTGAGTTAAACATGCCTGTGTATCACCGGTGTTTCACATGGCAGCCAATGTGTTAAATGACTGAAGTGTCCTATTAGGTGTGCCCATTCCGCTTGTATAGTTGTTCAAAGAGGGTTTTGCCAATGTTCTTACAGTATACAATGCTGTTTAAGGAATACTGTATAATCATTCTTGCAACTCTAATAGGAGTGATAATTGTTAGTTGGGATATAACAATAGAGCATCGGTGATTTTTTAAGAACATTTGCCACCAAATTATGAACAAAATTTTGTATCGTGACAGAAATAAAAATAAATATAAACTGTATATTTGGAACTAAGCATGGTTGTAGAACCATATCCAGTCGCTATAACGTCTTCTGGTATTTAATCGGTTGATATGTTAGCATACCACTATGCTGTTTGTCAACGGAAACTTTAAGCATATTCCTGACTTCGTTCTTTGGCGATCTGCTCTTCATTTTTTCTACACGTTTGCGGTGAGCCAGAATATTATCCAGAATCCAGAGCATAAAATGGTTGGTGTTAGTGTAGACTGATGGGTTCTCTCCGCAATATGATTGGCCAAACGAGACAATACCTGGAATCCAACAATTATACATCAGCTCATAAACAGGATAAGTCAGACATTAACAATTTTTAACACTGGTATTTTGATTTCTCGTATTCGTATCGTCTTTGTAGATGCATTTTGTCCATTTTTTGTAATTTTGGTAAATCAAGAAAAACTACTAGGTGTTTGGAAAGAAATTAACCAGTAAATTGATATACTCAAGAAATGGATGAAAAATCGTGCAAATATTATACCTACATACATTATATCCTAAAAAACTTCACAGAACCGCATTAAAATTTTTTCGCGAAGTTGTGCTTCAGTTGTTTTAGACCAGCCCCATAAACCATCCCTTTAAGTTCTCCCCAATACCAGAAATCCATCGGATCGAGGTCAGGAGATCTTGCTGGCTATTTTCGAGAATCAGGAGCATTTCGACCGATCCAGCGATTTGGATAATGTTCATTCAAATACCGAATGACGCCTCTGAAAATGTAAGGTGGTGCCCCGTCATGAAGAAACCACATATTCTGTATCCGTTGTAATAGCATATTGTCTAACGTCTGTTCCAAAAGTTCTGGTAGGTTATTGGCTAGAAATCTAAGGTATCCTTCTCCTGACTGGTAACTCGAAAGGGCCAATTACCTGATCGTCAAGAATACCCGCCAAAAATATTTATTTTAAAACGTTGCTGGAAATGACCTTCACAAATGGTATGAGGATTTTCTTGGGCTCACGTGTGAGTATTATGGAAATTTAGTATTCCGTCTCGCGTAAAAGTACATTCGTCCGTCGCTAGAATGTTTTTAAAAAAATCCGGATTTTTTATGTTTTTGTGCAAAAACCACTGACAGAATGTTAGTCTGCGAGGATAGTCTTCTGGTAATAAGGCCTGCACTCCTTGTACATGGTATGGTAAGCACGACGACGTACGCGAACAATAACTAATCACTGTTACCGTTTGCGATCGATTGCCGGTTCGATAAGAGTGATGAATAACCGACGCGCTGTACTTACTACAAATTTTGGCTTAACCTAAAAAAACTTAATGCTATTTATTTGTTAATTACCCAATTTAAATACGTTTTAGATTAGATAATAAAAATTATTAAGATTGTGGTCGATATAAAGCACTTAAAATTGTAAACTATAAAGCCATTTAGACAAAAATCTCTTGACTTTTGTTACCATGTATCATACGAACTTTTTGACTTGTTTTGACCACCCCTATTACCCATTTCAAATATGAGTACCATAACTTCTACACCCTGTATAATAAAAGCATTAATCAACCTAGGACTCACCCAGCAGGAAATACTGCTTGCTCCCTCCTTTAGCTTTCCAGTTCATCAAAGGCCCTCCCGAATCTCCGCTGCAAGAATCTTCTCCCGTATTCTTCCCCACACACCACTGAGTATCATCCAGCTCTATCGATTTGTATATCTTCCGACACACATCCAGTTCTACCACCGGGATATTCACGAATAGAAGTTCAGGGGAGGTTTCTTCGGTTGAGGAGTCTATCACTCCCCATCCTGCTACTGTCACTTCTTCGCCTAGATGGTTCTCATTCGTGAGATCGCCGCGAGGTAGGCAAACGGGCTTAACGAAGTCTGAAAGAAATAACTTGAAGGGAATTCTCAATACACCTTAACGAACAGTTTGTTCTCTTGGAATAAAATTTTGTTACATTCTACTTGCTACGGTACTGGACTAATTGCATGGGCTATTTGACTGACTTGATCCGTTCAGTTTCTCTATTGTACATGTTTTTTTTTTTAATTTCTTCGACACTGAGGGTGTTCCATTTGAAATTTATGAAAGCATTTTGCGTTTTGAGATACCCTATACAGGGTGACTTTGAAGTTGAATCATTAATTTTCAGATAATGATTGTAGGAGGAAGATAAACCAAAATATGTGCGTAAAATTAAAAAAAATAAAAAAAAATGTTTACCTTGTTTTATAAAGTATCCTCCCGACAAGTATTTCAGTGAGGACCTGTATTTGATCGTGAGGTCTTGGAGCACCGGCATTTCCTCCCCTGTGAGGTCTTAAGTCAACTGATTCACGAGCCCGTTGTACTACATTAACAAAGGCACGAGGAGTTGGTTGCACTCGATTGGAAAACCGATCCGCATAAACATGTGCCATTTTTTATTTCGTTTGAGCCAAGTAGCAAACACCACTATTCACTCACGCGTTACCGACTGACACATTGACTGAATAAAAACATCGTGATCAGCGTTTCAAATTCTTTCGCTTTTTTGTTTCCGATGCGATGAACCGATAAAGAGGATTATATCCGTTGTTGCCGAACACGAGCACATAATATTATTATTGAGGCAGGGCGGTACTCAAACTTCTAAAGGGCTATAACTTTATTACTTTAATTTTACCAGAAAAATGTTAAAGGAAAAAAAACATTTCTTTTGATCAGATCTACTCACTGTTAAAATAAATGACTCAACTTCGAAGCCACCCTGTATAAATAGAGATAATTTAGCATATCTTTCAAATCACCTTAAAATCGAATATAATGTAATTTTTCTGTACTAAAATTTATCTACATATCTTCAAAAATGGCGGAGCTGCTAGTCGTCAAAGTTGGGCATTTTTTCAGTAATTTCACTAAATATACAGGGTGTCCGCAAGGTTGGGGTTTTCCTTTTCAGAAACAACTACCCTTGAAATAACAAAGGTAATGTGTAGTGAAACGAGGGCGACCAAGTAAAAAAAAATAAAGGAAAAAGTACTCACTCTCCAGTTGACGAGAAGGGCTAAGTACGTCTCTGCCCGAAATCATACCGCTCCAACAGAAAATGAAATCAGCTGATGCGCTACCGAGCAGACGCAGAAACCACATTGATTGTCTTACACTTAATGGCACATCTTCTAACAAGGAAGGCAAAATGTTGCGTAAAAGGTCTAGGTATTGCATCCCGTCCAATCGATTTTGGAGAATAAATGTTTGTTGAAAATGTGCCCGACGGACAGCGTGCGGATTTTCTACTGACCAAACATGAGTGTTGCGAAAGTTATTCACCCCATTACGCGTGAACGTAGATTCGTCTGTCACTACTATGCACTTCAAAAAGTCCGGATTATTGTCATGTTGATGCAACAACCACTCACAAAACCGCACTCTTGCTGGAAAATCGTCGGGTTGAAGGGCTTGTACACGTTGGACGTGAAACGGATACAACCCCTCTTCACGCAGCGTTTGCCACACTTTAGTTTTTGATACTTGCACTTCTCTAGCCACGTCTCTAGTGCTTGTTGAGGGATTCTCGTCTACGCGATTACCTCTACACGCGTGACCGTAACTGTCGGTTGAAGGTTGCATACTGACCTGACACACTGACCCCGACCCAGTTCTGTCGTCGGGTTGAGCCAGTGACCTTGTACCACTCGGTGATATCGTGGCTACAGGACGGTAGTCAGATATTTTTGATGTTGCAGAGCCCTTTATCTCGGTTCCCTTAAGACATTGGTGTATATGGTACTAAGAAAAATTGCTTATGTTTTCAAGATCTACACTTCGTGTAAAGGAAAACCCCAACTTTGCGGACACCCTGTATATCTGAACTTTATCCAAATACGCAATAAAATATAGCGTATTCTAATTGAAAAAATATATGTTTGCTGTGGCACGAAGTTATGTTATCTGACAATGGGATACACAGGTGTAATCACACAAGAAGTCAAGAACTTGTTAACAGTCTAGGACGTAATGATGTACTGTCAAATATGTTTTTTTTAAGTTCAGTAATCGGTCGCAGTGCGCCGCGCAGTTCGAATCCCGTCCCAAGAGAATTGTTATCTTGGCTATGGATGTTGTGATTGTCCGTAGGTGGTAGACGGTCTCTGACTATCGAACGCGGAGGTACCACCCGGCGGATCACGTAGGCGGGGCCTTCGTGGTAGTTGGAGCATGAAAAAATTACCAGTATAATTGGCTGATTTCCTCAGTGCAATTAGTCCTATATCATTTTTCGACGTAATTGTGTTATACTCGGCATGTATCATGATGGAAGCAACAGGTATGTCTTGTACTGGCAGAGAGCAAGCTGCTTTGTCGCATAATTCTTCGTTTTCTACGTTTTCTCCAAGACGGATGACTTTCCTGAAATGAGACAATGAAATTCTCAGACTATTTGACAAAAAAAGAACACCACGTAAAAATGAATTTATTTGTATGAAATTTTCGTACTTAGTAATAAGCGGCAGGAAGTAGGCATTAAATTTGAGGGAGATTCCTGCATGTAGAGTGCTGTCATCGCTTGCGTGACGTAGCCTAAGAGATCCCCGTGGATCGGGTAAAAACTGTATACATATATTGGCCACCCTGTAGAAAGTCACTCTAGTTGACTCCATCTTTTGATACGTACACAATCAATCGCGACCAAAATCATCAACTCACAATTTTTCTTCGTTTTCCTTCAAGCAATGGGCAGCTGTGATGACGTACCATTTGTTCAGTAGCGTACCGCCGCATTTAAACTTAATTGCTTGCCCGTCCTCGTATCCGAGCCTAGCGATCCACGGAAACTGCCCTAAATCAGCTTCTTTGCCATTTGTTATTCGAACCGGTTTCCTCCCTATGCCACAGTCGCCCGACGGAAGCATCTCCCAAGCTTTGTGATCGGACATCGACGTACATCTTACTTGAAAAAAATATAAGCCATCATTTACAGTCCCTGAATGATCAATGCTAGGCGAAATAAAGTCGAAAAATGCAGTAGACTGGCTCAACCTACACGGAGAAGAAAGTTTGATAGAACCAAGTAAAATTAAAATCCGCGTTCTGAAAAAGTTTACTTGAGTCTATGACACTAGTGTAAATAAGCCAAAACGCAATCGTTTAATTAAATTTATTAAATCGTTTACTTAGATTAAGCACACCAATTTATTTAAAATTAATGAACTATTAAAATGAGTGTATCTGCTCCAAGAAAAGCAATTTAATTATATTTATTAAATTTGTTTAATTAGTTCAGGTAGAAGTGTTTGCCTACTTTTAATGAACTATTTTATTTGGATTTAGGAGGATATTTGGATAGTACTTAGAATTCAAAATAAAAAATTGCATTTTACTGAATAATTGGCCTACACTGATAAAAAAAGTTCAACTGAACCAACTAAATTTAAACTCCGATTTCTGAAAAAGTTTGCTTGAATCTATGACACGAGTTTAATTAAATTTATTGAACCGTTTACTTAGATTGAGCACACCAATTTATTTAAAATTAATGAATTATTAAAATGAGTTTATCTGCTCCAAGTAAAGCAATTTAATTATATTTATTAAATTTGTTTAATTAGTTCAGGTAGAAGTGTCTGCCTACTTTTAATGAACTATTTTATTTGGATATTGGGGGATATTTGGATAATACTTAGAATTCAAAATAACAAATTGCATTTTACTGAATAATCAGCCTACACTGAGAAAAAAGTTCAATTGAAGCAACTAAAATTAAATTCCGATTTCTGAAAAAGTTTGCTTGAATCTATGACACTAATTTAATTAAATTTATTGAACCGTTTACTTAGATTGAGCACACCAATTTATTTAAAATTAATGGACTATTAAAATTAGTTTATCTGCTCCAAGTAAAGCAATTCAATTGTATTTATTAAATTTGTTCAATTAGATCAGGTAGAAGTGTTTGCCTACTTTTAATGAACTATTTTGTTTGGATTTAGGAGGATATTTGGATAATACTTAGAATTCAAAATAACAAATTGCATTTTACTGAATAACACTGAGAAAAAAGTTTAATTGAACCAACTAAAATTACGCACCGATTTCTGAAAAAGTTTGCTTGAATCTATGACACTTGTTTAATTAAATTTATTAAACCGTTTACTTAGATTTAGCACACCAATTTATTTAAAATTAATGAACTATTAAAATGAGTTTATCTGCTCCAAGTAAAGCAATTTAATTATATTTATTAAATTTGTTTGATTAGGTCAGGTAGAAGTGTTTGCCTACTTTTAATGAACTATTTTATTTGGATTTAGGAGGATATTTGGATAATACTTGGAATTCAAAATAACGAATTGTATTTTACTGAATAATCAGGCTACACTGAGAAAAAAGTTTAATTGAACCAACTAAAATTAATCTCCGATTTCTGAAAATGTTTGCTTGAATCTATGACACTAGTTTAACTAAGCCAAAACGCAATCGTTTAATTAAACTTATTAAACCGTTTACTTAGATTGAGCACACCAATTTATTTAAAATTAATGAACTATTGAAATGAGTTTATCTGCTCCAAGTAAAGCAATTCAATTATATTTATTAAATTTGTTTAATTAGTTCAGGTAAAGATGTTTACCTAGTTTTAATGAACTATTTTATTTAGATTCAGGAGGATATTTGGATAATGTCTGAAATTCAAATGAACAAATTGCATTTTACTGAATAATCACCATACACTGAGAAAAAAGTTTAATCAAACCAACTAAAATTAAACTTCGATTTCTAAAAAAGTTTGCTTGAATCTATGACACTAGTTTAATTAAGCCAAAATACAATCGATTAATTAAATTTATTAAACCGTTTACTTAAATTGAGCACACCGATTTATTTGAAATTAATGGCCTAATAAAATGAGTTTATCTTTTCGAAATAAAACAATTTAATTACATTTAAAAAATTTGTTTAATTAATCCAGGTAAAAGTGTTTGCCTAGTTTTATTCTACTATTTTTTTTTTAGATTTAGGAGGATATTTGGATATTTGGAATTAAAAAGAAACAAATTGCATTTTACTGAATAATTTATGATCCCTAACACAAAAATGTTCGAACAATACCTAATTTTATATAAAAGTTTGTTTATTTTTGTAATGTTAAAAATTAATTGTTTTTCTTTTATAAAACATTGATATATACTGAGTGATAAAAAAAGGTAAACACCTACGTATGTTTATCCGATTTTAATAATTTTTGGTATATATGTACAATGTCCCTTACTAGTCAAATGATGATGATATGAGATCAAGTTTTACCAATTTTTGCCTAATTATCCAGAAACAGGTAACATAACGATTCACTAGAGTAATTCTTTGTTTTAAATTCAGAAAGAAGGTAAAGGGGAACCTGAAACTGAATAAGGCCACTTGATCAAATTCTTCAATAGCGATGTAGTAATGAAACAATGGGGCTTATCGTTTTCGGGAAAATATTGTAGTACTTCGGTAAGGCGGTTATGAAGAGTGTTCATAAATAACTGTTTTTGCGCTATAAAGACGTTCGATCTGTATAAGCTGCTGATTGCAATACCTCTACGTACAAAAATAAGCCGTCCAAGTTGCACATACATCCTTCATCTTCTGCCCTCCAAATATACCGGATTGCAACGTCGCATTAGCGCCTAATTTCAATAAGCATTTAGGTAGTGGCGAAATGATATGGACTATAGAAGAGTAGCGTCACTGTATTGTTTTACGTGTCGCGAAACTAGAAACATATAACATATAACATATTTGGAATTTGAGACATCGTCGCTTAAGTTGTAACACCACGAAACGCAAAAAAATAACTTATGATTGAAGAAGCCACCGTGATTGCAGAAATGTCATCAGTAGGCACAATTAGCTTATGAGGTTTCATTTGCGACTAGACAAACATGGAGGATTATAAGATCATTCGATAGCGACTCCAAAGGCTCTCCTAAAAAGTTGTTAGTCTTAAGTTACACCGTGCTGGAACTCTTTATATTGAACACTACATTTTTGTGATTCATGGGTGGGTAGTACCAAAAAGAAGAAAATACGATACAAATTTGTTATTTAGTTTTACATTCTACGTCAATGAGTAATGGCAAACATTTCCAAAGTAGATTGTTGAAGTATATTGCAAGAAAATAGATGTACCTGTTGATGTAGTTAGATCAAAAATTTTTACTGGTAAATTTGCAGTAATGCCTTGGAAATATAGTCAAGACCATAATTTGCAATGGAACTTAGCGATTCCAAACAACAGATGTTGTCAAGCTTAATGTGAAATGAAGATGCTTACCAGTGCAATAGAGTAGCATGTAGTATAAGTTGACCAGAATAAGGGCATTGTTAAAACTATTCATACTTGAAATTTGATCATTGTTACCCTAACATGACCACGGAAACGTATTTATTACTCCATAGTAATTGCTTTATGTTTATTGGTCAACGTAATGTCGACCACTGTTGCAAATCAAGTAGCTTATGATTATATTGTTAACGGAACAATGGATTGGCGATATACAAAAATTTACTATCGACTTATCGCAGATTTATTGCTATTCCAGATTTTAGTGCAAATATATAAATAGCGGCAGCTATTTATTGCTATGAGTTTCTACAAATCAACAAAAAATGTGCAATGGACAAGAAATTTCAATATACCTCGACATGAAAGGGAAGATCGAACTAAGACAGCACAAAGTGCCATCTATCGTCAGAATCGACCATGTTGACCAGTTGGCAAACGGCACGAGACAGCTGACCATGGTAGGCGGTCTGTTGTCGAGGAACGAAGGCTACGAGGTCTGTAAATTAAGTAATGAGACTGATTATGTTCCGGCCTCGTCTCGTAAATAGAACAGATGTAGTACCCCGTTTCCCGGCCAAAGTGGAGTATGCAATTTGGACAATTCTTTATCTTTCTCAAAATCTACTGCACTCACTCCAAGGTGTAGTTATAGAGTGTTTGCCTTTTCAAAGGTAGGTCAGTGGGTCCTGTTTTGCAATTATTCCTCTGAAAAATTTCATGTTCCTAAGAACGGAATTTCTAATATGAATTAGGTTTAAGAAAGGAAAACATGTATTTATTAGAATATATTTACAAATAACACTGCTACATCTGAGAGATATTATCCAACAACCATTTCATATAGTGCACTAAATTAGTATATACAGCAGAATTATGTCCACATATCTCCTCTCCAAACGACACAACTCCGAATAAGAAGTACCTTGTTGTGTCTTTTCTATTCACAAACTGCATCATAGGTCCTCCAGAATCTCCTCTGCACGTATCCTTGCCCTTCCCCACTCCAACGCAAAATTGGCTTTCATCTATCTACAATCATAAACCATAAATTTCTCTCAGCGTATTATTAGCACATTTGATGTAGTTTTTTCTATACACCGAAAACCAAATTTGTCTGACGGCTTAAGTTTAACGTGTACGAGGGAGGAGTGTGTATAGGACACATACGTTAGAAAGAGATAGCGAAGCGCATCACCGCGTTGCCTAGTAACCTTGACGCGGCAAACTGCCGCAGTGACAATTTATGCAAAATGTAACAATAACTTCGGTGGAAATCAAAGATAATTCTAAAAGAAAATAAATCACTAAGTTGCACAAAGCATCGTAAGCCAATCACAGACTTCGTCGAATCTGTGTAATTTAACTGGATATCTTTAATTCACATAAAAGCCGTAGCTACCAAATGTGTACTAAAATTGTGTTAATATTCGTCATCGTGCGTCAGAGGTTGCCCAGAACCATCCGTCAAGAGAGAGAAGAGAAAAAAATGAAGGAAAAAGGAAAACGAAGAATAGGAAGTGCGTCGATTTGATTTGGTTCAAGAAAAATGAATTGATCTGAGAAACAAAGAAGTTGCGGTAAGGTTTACGCCAATGTTAAGGACAAAACTCAAGGTTGAAAATGTGGCATTTTTAAATAAATCAAACCTGTTTGTTTGTGATAACTCTTGTGTACCTGGTATCCAGTGTAAATTTTTCGGCACACGTCTAGGTCTCTCGTTTCCAAAGTGACGTGATAAAGTTTGCTTGGTAACTCAATACGGGTTGGATTAATGGTACCCCAACCTGCTAGCTGTACTTTACCCTCCAATTTGAAAGATGACCCCAAGATATCAGCACGTGGCAAACATATAGGCTTAACAAAATCTGAAAGAAACAAGTAGCAAATGCACAAATAACAGAATTCAATGGTGCATTCAGAGATATCAAAACTACTTGAATTTTAAAGTACTTGACGTAAAAACTACTTGACTTGATATCACATTGCTAATGTCTAATGTTTGAGCTTGGGTTGATTTCAAGTCATGTCACTCAGCTTGAAGGTCAGGTCAAGTAGTGAATCGCTGGTATAAACATACTGGACACGCTTTTTGCAGCCATCATCCCCAATTCCTATTCCTCAAAAAAATTCAAAAAATGATCACGGGGTGATCCGAGGGACAAAAGCAAGTAGAAGAGGCACGGCGACGCCCCGTATGTACATCGCGGGTGCGATAATATCTATGCAGAGTAAGCTGTGCTAAATTATGAAAGTTCTTTGTTTCAAACGCTTACCCTCTGAGGAATAATGAACAAGTACTAGCAGTTTTGTTTTATAATATCTAGGAAATGAAATTAAGTGTCAATGAGATCGCCAACCTTACTAATCGTAGTGCATTATTTATTGGAAAAAGGCACATATACCGACTAAATCGCTACCTAACTGTTAAAAGAAACTAGTTACCTTATACCAAGTTTGGAAATATTTGCAAAAAAAGTAAGCAAAACAGAAGTACTGTTTGAGCAGCGTCGACAAGGGCTTATTACGAAATTGGACACCACACTGACGAGTTCTCTATAAGCCTCCATTCGAAGAGGCGCCGGACACTGTAACTGTCCACTGTTGCCACCTTTAAATACACGCAAGTATAAAGAAGAACGTCTACCGATTGTTATAACGTATGAAAGTAATGAGCAACTTGCAATGTATTAATGTTTTCTTGCCGATAAGCGTGAGAAGTAAAACAAGTCAACAACTTATCATTGGCTAATTCATTTTGCGGCATAAAGCTTAATATTTTGCACGTACAAAATTTTCAATAATACTTTATCCCTATTTTTTAGTTAATTTACAATTATTTTATATTTCGACATTTGTGTAAAAGCGTGGGCAAGTTTATTACCATGAAATTGAGCATTCCTTTTCAGCCTGATGAGACCGATGTCGTTCCGATAAGTCCTGCTGCCAAAGTTAGCATGAGCTATAATCTTCATAGGTCTGTAATCTTGAGGCGTTGGTGCACATACATTTCCTTCGCAGTCTATCGGCTTGAGGGCATTGTTTTCTCCCAATCTAACAATTTTCCTATAAAAGCGTTAACCAAACATCAACGTCAAAACAATAAAAATGATTCTCAGATATATGCCATGTAATACTATAAAATGCTTCTAAATTACATTCACGAAAAAATAAGCCTATTCCAGTATGAGTGCAGAAAATAGGACAGGTAACCCGAGCGATACGTATTTCTGCTTGTTGGCTTCATCAGGCCCCACTTTCCTTCTTTTTGCCGATTTAGTCTATTATTTTTTTCCATTTGTTATATACCTTTTTCCACATGATCATTTTCTCTTATATACCTATATAATTATCAGTCTATGCTATTGACTTGTGTATTTTCAAATTCAACTTACAGTTCCTTCTTATTCTTGCCTGTAATACAGTGTGCAGCCGTAACTACGGTGTTTCTATTGACCAAAGCTCCCCCACAGTTGAACTTCAGTTCGCGATTACGTTTTTGGTTGTAACCTAATCTAGCCATCCATGGGAATTGGCCAAGAGCGGCTATTTCGCCGCCAATAATGCGCCTCTTCATTGAAAGTCAATATAAATGTACCGATAAGAGTGAATCCTAGACACTGTACATACTTCAATAACCTGTTTTGCAGAACTAATATTGATTTAAACTATCTCTAAATTTTAACAACTACGGTAAATTTGTTGATAATTTTGCTTGTGAAATGTTGAAGTTTTAATAAAAAAAAACTGCTATTATGGCTATGTGTATTTTACAAATTTAACCACTGCTTCCATAGTCCAATTTTCATCAGGCTGCTAAGTGTTCTGATTAACTCAGTTAATAACATTTAGCAACAATCTCACCTACTTTTCTCCTGATGATGATGACAAAGTTCATCGACAGCTAGAGAATAAAGTAAGAAGAGTAGACTTTGCTCTAATTTATCTAGTACCCAACTACGGCTGAAGCTTTTATTCTCACCTAACTGGATATTTAGTCGACGATGAAAAGTGGATTTGAGCAGAAAATATAATAGATAACCCGAGCGATACGTATTTCTGCTTGTTGGATTCATCAGGCGCGAAATGAATGCGCATATACAATTACAAAAGGAGATACACATGCCCATACATCCGGATCCGGGTGTAACCTGAGGAAAGGAAGATAGAGAGGGAAAAGAATGACACACGAAGTCACCAACAAGAGCCAACCTACACATTGTAGTATGAAATGGGTAGAAGACCTTGAATTTTCAAGGCGACATCTAACCACAACCACGCGGCCGGTTATAGCCACTTGCTCTGGTACTTCTACAAAGAGAAAAATGTCATGCGAAAAAGGATACCAAAAACCTGCAAAGGAAAGTGGATTCGAGTAGAAAATAGGACAGATAACCCGAGCGATACGTATTTCTGCTTGTTGGCTTCATCAGGCCCCACTTTCCTTCTTTTTGCGGATTTTGTCTATTATTTTTTTTTTCTATTTGTTATATACCTTTTTCTACATGATCCTTTTCTCTTATATACCTATATAATTATCTGTCTATGCTATTGCGTCCTGTATTTTCAAATTCAACTTACAGTTCCTTCTTGTTCTTGCCTGTAATACAGTGTGCAGCCGTAACTACGGTGTTTCTATTGACCAAAGCTCCTCCACAGTTGAACTTCAGTTCGCGATTACGTTTTTGCTTGTAACCTAATCTAGCCATCCATGGGAATTGGCCAAGGGCGGCTATTTCGCCGCCAATAATGCGCCTCTTGAATCTGGTCTCCCCGCAGCCGTCTATCGAAGGAAGAAGACTCCAGCTTTTGTGGCTGTTTAAAGACGCGTCCAAGCAACTGCAGTCTATCAGAACAACTACTATCAGGGAATTTGAAACATGTACGTTGACTTTGTATATAAATGTGAATATATCAAAAACGTCCCTCCGACCAGGATCCAACATTCCTTATTTTTCACAGCTTTTGTTGGTCCACCCTGTATTGGCTTTTCGTATTCGAAATAGAAACGCTGCGTGCCAAAAACAAATATATCACATCGTGCTACAAATTGAAGAAAATGACTACTTACACTGGATACTAAAATAAGAATATGCCGAAACAGTCAAACAAAATGTTTGAAAATGTCTATAACTCCACATTCTGATTAGAACTGGAATACAACAATAAATTGGTCGATAATATGTTTATCATTATTATTATTTAATTAAATTATGCAGTGAGCTATTGAACTTTTTGTTGTGCAATGGGGAGATAAAATTATGCGTTGTACAAGGTGTACTAAGCAGAATCATGTTGTAATATATACTAAGTGACATATAAATCCGAACACCCAGTTTAAATGGTTTTATTTTAATAAAAGTTGGTGAATGTATTTATCTTACTGTAAATAACAAGTGAACAAATTTTCAATCAGTTGGACATTCCGGTTTTTATACTGCTTTTTTTTAATTCACTAACGCTCTAAAAATGAATATTTCAGCCGCAGTAAAGAATCAACGTTGGCGGATTTTGCTTCTTGACATCCTTTACGATCGGTTGCCTAGAGTACGGAGACCTGTACGATTTCGTCAACTTAGTGAGTTTGATAGGGGCCGTATAGAATGACTTCGGGAAGCTGGACTTTCTTTTCGGGCAATTGCAGTTAGAGTGCAAAGAAGTGTAGACACTGTGGTTAGGTGTTGTCAGGCATGGCTTCGAGAAGGCCGTACGCAAAGAGCAAGGGGCACTGGACGCCGCCGTAGAACAACAGACCGTGAAGATCGCCGCCTATTGGCATGCGAAGTGTTTACCGACGAATGAGAAGTTTTGGCTTGTTTTCATACCGGCCACACTGGGGGGTCCTCCCTTTAACTCGAGAACACCGACGTAATCGCCTTGAGTGGTGCAGACAACGGTCACTCTCGGATCAGGAATGGAACAGTATTGCCTTTAGTGACGAGTCTTGATTTTGTTTAGGCATGCACGATGGTCGTGCCAGGGTTAGAAGGCGACGTGGTGAAAGGAGGAATCCACAGTTTTTTGTTGAAAGACATGTTCATCACACTGTTGGAGTTATGGTTTGGGATGCTATAGCTTATGGTTCCAGGTCACCTTTAATCTTCATCAGAGGTAACATGAACGCGCAGCGTTATATCCACGAATTTCTAGAACCCCATCTTTTACCCTATCTTGACACCCTGGCAGATCCAACTTTCCAACAAGATAATGCCCGACCACATGTTGCAAGAGTCACAATAGACTTCTTTCAACATAATGATGTCACATTGTTACCATGGCCACCAAGATCTCCCGACTTATCACCAATTGAGCACGTGTGGGATATGATGGGTAGGAGATTGCTCAATTTGCAACGTCCTCCTCAGACTCTAGAAGCACTTCGAGAGGAGTTGGTGGTTGCCTGGAATGAGATACCACAGGAGGACATTGACCACCTGATCAGAAGCATGCCTAGGCGCGTTGGAGAATGCGTAGCACATCACCACACATTATTAAATGTCAAAGGGCTTTAAAGCAGTGCAATCATTTTGAATTTTTTATCATTTACTTATTATGCTGCATTAAGTACTTATACAAAATTTTATTAAAATAAAACCATTTAAACTGGGTGTTCGGATTTATATGTCACTTAGTATACTAGCTTATATGCCACGAAATGTCTGCCATTTACTAGCAGATTATATTAGATTATAACTTCAAGTTTCAGTATTTGAATAAGGTGATGAGTACGTTTAGACGTCGCTTGAAAATACATACAAAAATGTATGTGTTGGACAAAGCCGTACTTGAAGGCTCCGTACCTAGAAATTGTATTATTTGATCTAGACCCGTCGATCGCGAGCTATCGGTTGCTCGCAAAGCCAATTCTGATGGCTCATAACATATTTTAAAAAGATGTAAGACTCGTAGAACCTCCCGTAAATTTTGTAAATTCTCATAATAAACACAAGCAGCGGCAACACTGCGGTGAGCGATCTGTTCGAGAACGATCTCGATTACTTTAAACGGATTAAATACGCAAGGTGCGGCGGCAGCGCGCTCAGTTTCAAACTGAACGGTACAAAGTCCGGCAGTTCGGTCAGAGTTGAGAATTCAAAACCTTATGAGCACTAGTAAGTTTTAATGATATCATATCTGCCATAGTTCAGTTTTTCAAACAATGTGATGAATCGATTCTTGATGTATGCTGCTGCGTCTTTCAATTTTGGGTAAACATCAACCTTAACTGATCGCTGGCGAGTTGTCAGCCCAAGTTTGACACATTTCAGTATGACGTTGAACATGCATTCGAAATTCTCACTTTGGAAAAAATAATCTGCAGACTTCTAGAAGATGGCAGACGAGACGGAAGAAGAGCATGACCTAGAAGGGGAGCTGGAGGAAGAAGAACAAGCTACTGAAGCGGATGAAATAGATACAAAAGGAGCAATCGACGCCGAAAGTGAAGAGACAGAACCTTCAAGTGAATCAGAGAAGAGCACCAAATCTATCGGCAATACGCTCAGTGATATATTTTATCACAGATACTTTAGAGATATTGTGAAAAGTACCATTGTATTCGTCATCGCATTGAAAATGGCACAAGAGTGCAAGCACATGCGGATTCCTATCAAAGAGTATCAACCATTTCATAGACTTTAAAACCATGACAGTTCCATTTGTACACGTGCTATGTATGTTCAATCCATGGTCTTTCTCTGATATTTTTACATGCAGGTTAAGGAATTTCAAAATGTAAATTCTTGTCTTGATAATATAGCACCTACACATTCAAAATCGACCCTCACCATTGGGATCTCGGAAACTGTAAGGGATACGAAGTGGCTGGGATGGGGGCAAAGTTGCGTATTTAGGTAACTAACAAAATGCCGCTTAGATAGTTTAAAAATTCAGATTACCTCCGAAGAAACTGACAAAGCTTTTTCAAAATCGTTCTATTTTCTCCGTGACGTTATTCGTAGCGGGATTTCGAAATAAATTGCACATTAACCTTGCTACTTTTTTTCATCTACAAGATGGCATAATCAGAATTTCAATATGACGGTTTATCTATTGTCATCCAGCATCAACTTTAATTTTTCTTATTGGATTTTTGCACTGATGAATAGAGTTTTTAATTCTGAATTCAGAAATATAAAACGTGTCATACGTTGACAATGCCAAACCTTAGTTTCTTCAGAATAGAATTTTGTAGGAAGGCCTTGAAATTATCAGATAGTCATTTGTTTCGTATTGCCACGCATTTTTTTTGTTTAATTAATAAAACACAATAATAAATACTATCTAACGGTTGATCCAAGCAAAATAGTTGTCGAGTGGCGTGCAAATGTAGGCCTAGCTCAACAAAGCGGAGAGTAGGGGAGGCAAAGCTGCAACAAGATTCAACCAACTGGAGCAGAAAGGATGATGATTTTCTTCTGTTTCTATTGACTAAAAGAAAGCAAAAATTGAACGAACGTCATTAAGGAACGTGGTCCGAAGGTATATAAAAAAGAACTTACCGCTGCGGGTCAAAATCCCAAAAACAAAATGGAAGACGTAGCACCCAAACCAAAATGACTAAACTTAAGTTACACAAAAAAAAGGGTGCTAGTCCATGAATTGGCGCTTGAGGCCTAATATCCCAGAGTTCGAACAATGACGAAACGACCCCTGCACCACGAGCTCAACGAAAACAGACAAGCGAATCACGCAGAACACGTAACGTTCTAGAAGAAGGTATCTTGAGTGGCCTTGAAGAAGATATGTTTTATAGGAAACCAACTAACGGAGAAAAACTACAGAGTTTTTTGCTGATCGTCAACACCATACATATTTATTGTAAAGCTAGTTTTAAGTATAGCTTATCTGAAGTCACTTGAAACACTGCGAAATACCGGGTGCGTTTTATATATCTATATTTATCACGCTCTGTTGCTGCAAAAATCCCCAAATTTCGCAGCAAATATCCCCCGTATAAGATCAAAGGCAGTTTCACCGGTCCACGTGGAGTAGAGCACGCCTATGCGTGGACATAGCCAATGAGAAAGCGTGTATTTCAGAGCTCCGAAAAAGTGCAGGTGGCTACTGAAAATTGAAACAGTTTAGCCAGTGCCGTGTAGCGGTGAATAAACGTGTTTTCTTTAGTCTGTCCGTGTTTTTTCATAGATTTTATTAGTTTGTGTGTTTTTGACTTTTGAATACTCAGTTCACTTGTTAATTTAATTGTTGTGTTGATTGTTCTTGTGTGTCCTAAATATGGCTCTTTGGAGACCTTGAGAAAATGCTCCAAGCCACGAGGAGATGGTTGATGAACCTGTGGAGGCAGAATTCTTTCATAAAGATTTAGAGGAACAGACCCAAAGAGTAATCCTAAATATGTATGATTGCTTGAAAAACGAAAATCCAGATTCCTCGCAAAATCAAATTTTAAACAGAATTTGTATCCTGACAAAAATCAGTCGGTCTACCATTTATCGGGTTATAAAAAGGGGAGATGTAGTCAACCATTCCTTCCACAGAAAGCGCATAGGGCAAAAATTAAAAAGAATAGACGTGGGTTTTCAGGAAGATATTCGTCGTATAATATACGGATTTTATAAAGAAAATTTGGTGCCCACGTTGGAAATGATACGGGATAAATTAAAAGATTATCCTGAAGATTTTTATAATTACAAATGCTTAGACTCACTGCATTGTATTGTAAAACTGTGTGGTTTTCAATACAAAAAATTAGATAAAAGAATGGTGATTATGGAGTCGTCTCGAATCGTTGAATTGCGCCAAGAATTTTTGCACAAAGTTAAAATCTATAGAGAGCAGAAAAGAAATCTGATTTACCTGGATGAAACGTGGTATGATACCCATGATGTTGTGCAGTACGGCTGGGTTGACGACAGCAACAAGTGCATTTTAAATGCACCATGCAACCGTGGAAAACGAATCATTATTCTCCATGCTGGCAGTGAAAATGGATTTATACCTAATGCCTTGCTGTTATCTGCCAAAAATATCAAAGAATCATGTGCCGACTATCATGAGGACATGACCGCCGACTATCATGAGGACATGACCTCCGACTTATTTGAAAAGTGGATAGAGCAGCAGTTAATACCAAACATTTCCCCAAATTCAGTGATTATTATGGACAATGCGCCATACCATTCCCGACAGAAAAACAAAATTCCGAATACAGGCACAAAAAAACAAGACATTATTAATTTTATGAAGGATAAGGGAATGGAAATACCACAAAAATCAACCAAAGCCATATTATTGGATCTTATTAAAAGACAAAAATTTGAAAAAGAGTATGTTGTTGACAATCTGCTTCAGCAAAATGGCCATGAAGTATTACGTCTACCTCCCTATTACTGCATTTTTAACCCGATTGAGTTGGTCTAAGCTGCTTTAAAAAAAAATCAGACCCCTCAATTAAGTGAATCGCTATTGGCCACAATAAGTGATGCAGTATCTCATATTGCTGCCACAGACCTATGGAAGCAGTATTCTAGGCATATTATTGAAAAAGAAAATGAATATTGTGTTTTGCCTCCTGTAAATCCCGTTGTAATTCCTCTACAAGATGACTCTAGCGACAGCTCCGAAGGCGAGGATGATATATAAATACCTATAATGTAAGTCTTTATATACCTTTTTATATACCTACCTGCTATGTCAAACGTTGGAATTCTGTAATTTTTCCATTTCTTAACTTTCAGTCAACATAAATTAAACTCCCAATATAAGTATTTTTTATCCCAAATCAAAAAAAATAAGAAGATAGTAAAATCCATTTATTGTGATATAAAAACATGATTATTATCGTTCTAAATAAATCACCGCACGCCTATGATACGTCATGAAATTACAAAGGACGCGCCGACCAAAGGTTTTTATGCTATTTCAAGTGACTTCAGATATACCATATATCCAACTTTATGTCTTCTTTTTTAAACAAATTTCAATTTCGTTCGTAGAAAAAAATTATTTCTTTTGTTTTTGCCTAAATGTTAGCTATGTTGCAATAGAAATATGTATTTATGTAATATTTACCAATTATTAAATTAGTTTTTTCGTTGCCATGGCTAATTATTCAACAATTCATTTAAATTTGCAGTACATTTCCTATCATGTGACAAATTTTTTAGTTTGATTTTATTCAAAAATGGCGCAATTTATCGATATTCAATAAGAATACCTTTTTTATAAATAACACCCTAAATTTTCAGATTCTAAAATTGGATTTCAAAAATAGAATCACACAAAAATTTTGGGGCTAAAATAACCTGAGTCCGTTCCTGTTACATACGCTTCCAAACAAAACTGGCTAAAATTTTTAATATTTTTGAATCCAGCATAAACAACTAGGCTAGAATACCAAATTTTATGTGTTTATCTCAACACGTTTCGAAAATGTTAAGGAAAAACCATCTTCAGAGGAGCCCATTTAGAAGACCGTAGCGCCCTTGAGGGACATTTGTCGACCTATGTTTATATAAACTTTTCTGCTTATTTTAAGCTCTAGAAACTGCTGGTAGAATATTGCACACTTTTTTCGGGACACCTTGTATTTTCAGATTACTCTCTGTACTTATTTGCACATAAATTACCGTCAAGAGAATCAAAGTTATTTTAAGGCCCTTGCTTGGGCTCAAAACAGTCATTCACATACAGATGTTCTTTGATTCATAATGTAATCAAACACTTCGCTCCAATACTTTGGATCCTCAGACGGGCGGAGCTTCAGATTTCTGGGATGTAGCGATCATAAGGGCCCGTATAGATATTTTTCTCAGGCCAAGAACAGGCCCTGTATATGATAACCAATTGACACCGGATAAATAATTTTTGTCCTGTCAAAGTAAGTGCCATTCCCCAAATTTTTGTATTCAAAGTCCACGTTTCACGTCGATGTTTAATGAGGTTACGGGCAAATTCAAGTAGTAGCATTAATGTGTAAGCACGGCTCACCTGAATGGATATTTCTCGCAAATCGAGGGTGAAGTTAAAGGTTTAGATCAACACCACTTATGGCGACTTGTTTGAGTCCGCGAAATTCCGAAGTAAATGCGCTAGAACAAAGGGGCTATCTGATAGGCAAGAAGATAGGTCAAGGGTCGTATGCGACCGTCCATCTGGCCGACTATGTGGACAGCACCGGCCCGAAAAAGATGCGCCTCGCCTGCAAGATCTTCGACAAAGAGAAGGCGCCCAAGGATTTTTTAGAGAAATTCTTCCCTAGAGAACTGGAAATACTCACAAAAATCGAGAATCCGCATATCATACAGGTCCACAGCATTTTGCAGAGGGGACCCAGGGTATTCATATTTATGAGGTAAACTAGTAGCTTAGAGATTAGTCTACATTTTCAGACATTCCACGTGGAATGAAATCAACCATAATTTCACTCTGTTCTACATGGTGTTCTTCCTATCTTGCTATAAACTTCTGTAGCGGTTTTCTGTGTTCTTTGCACTAATTTATTCAACTTGACTAGATGGAACATTTGTGTACACCACTATTTATGTCTGACTAATTCTTATGTCGCGCCATTGACTGTCTCCACTCTGCTCTACTCTGTACTGTGCTTCCATCTCCCGGCCATCCCTATATAGTTCGCGTCACAGGTACTCGTTGACTCGAGAAGATTCCGGTGACCCACAAAGCGGCGGTCTAGAATCTTCGAGGTTACTTCGCGACAATCTAGAAGGCGAGTCACTGGCACGGTCCTCAATAGATGTCGCCAGCACCGAAGGAGAGTCTGGCGCCGTCTCCAGCAGATGGCGTCAATAGTACGGTTCATTCTTGTTACATTACGTTCAGATGCATCTATTTGTTGGACTACTTCGGCGCAGGATCCAAAAAGTGGTCTACTCGAATCAGTCTGCATACCTACAGACAGCATACCTACAGACAGCATACCCACAGACAGCAGACCCACAGACAGTAGACTCATAGACAGCATACCCACAGACAGCAAACCCACAGACCCACAGGCAGTATACCCACAGACAGCAGACCCACAGACAGCAGACCCACAGACAGCAGACCCACAGACAGCAGACCCACAGACAACAGACTCACATACAGCAGACGCACAGACAACAAACTCACAGACAGCAGACTCATAGACAGGATACCCACAGACAGCAGACTCACAGACAGCAGACTCATAGTCAGCAGACCCACAGACAACAAACCCACAGACAGCAGACCTACAGACAGCATACCTACAGACAGCATACCCACAGACAGCAGACCCACAGACAGCAGACTCATAGACAGCATACCCACAGACAGCAAACCCACAGACCCACAGGCAGTATACCCACAGACAGCATACCCACAGACAACAGACTCACATACAGTAGACCCACAGGCAGCAGACTCACAGACAGCAGACTCATAGGCAGGATACCCACAGACAGCAGACCCACAGGCAGTATACCCACAGACAGCATACGCACAGACAGCAGACCCACAGACAACAGACTCACATACAGCAGACGCACAGACAACAAACTCACAGACAGCAGACTCATAGGCAGGATACCCACAGACAGCAGACCCACAGGCAGTATACCCACAGACAGCATACGCACAGACAGCAGACCCACAGACAACAGACCCACATTCAGCAGACCCACAGGCAGCAGACTCATAGACAGCAGACCCTATTACAGCGGACCCACAGACAGCGGATCCACAGACAGCAGACCCACAGACCCACAGGCAGTATACCCACAGACAGCATACCCACAGACAGCATGCCCACAGACAGCAGACCCACAGACAACAGACTCACATACAGCAGACCCACAGGCAGCAGACTCATAGACAGCATACCCACAGACAGCAAACCCACAGACCCACAGGCAGTATACCCACAGACAGCATACCCACAGACAGCATGCCCACAGACAGCAGACCAACAGACAACAGACTCACATACAGCAGACCCACAGGCAGCAGACTCACAGACAGCAGACTCATAGGCAGGATACCCACAGACAGCAGACCCACAGACAGCAGACCCACAGGCAGTATAGCCACAGACAGCATACGCACAGACAGCAGACCCACAGACAACAGACTCACATACAGTAGACCCACAGGCAGCAGACTCACATACAGCAGACTCATAGGCAGGATACCCACAGACAGCAGACCCACAGGCAGTATACCCACAGACAGCATACGCACAGACAGCAGACCCACAGACAACAGACTCACATACAGCAGACGCACAGACAACAAACTCACAGACAGCAGACTCATAGGCAGGATACCCACAGACAGCAGACCCACAGGCAGTATACCCACAGACAGCATACGCACAGACAGCAGACCCACAGACAACAGACTCACATACAGCAGACGCACAGACAACAAACTCACAGACAGCAGACTTACAGACAGTAGACCCACAGACAGCAGACTCACAGACAGCAGACTCATAGTCAGCAGACCCACAGACAACAAACCCACAGACAGCAGACCCACAGGCAGCATACCTACAGACAGCATACCCACAGACAGCAGACCCACAGACAGCAGACTCATAGACAGCATACCCACAGACAGCAAACCCACAGACCCACAGGCAGTATACCCACAGACAGCATACCCACAGACAGCATGCCCACAGACAGCAGACCCACAGACAACAGACTCACATACAGCAGACCCACAGGCAGCAGACTCACAGACAGCAGACTCATAGGCAGGATACCCACAGACAGCAGACCCACAGGCAGTATACCCACAGACAGCATACGCACAGACAGCAGACCCACAGACAACAGACTCACATACAGCAGACGCACAGACAACAAACTCACAGACAGCAGACTCATAGGCAGGATACCCACAGACAGCAGACCCACAGGCAGCAGACTCATAGACAGCAGACCCTATTACAGCGGACCCACAGACAGCGGATCCACAGACAGCAGGCCCACAGACCCACAGGCAGTATACCGACAGACAGCATACCCACAGACAGCATGCCCACAGACAGCAGACCCACAGACAACAGACTCACATACAGCAGACCCACAGGCAGCAGACTCATAGACAGCATACCCACAGACAGCAAACCCACAGACCCACAGGTAGTATACCCACAGACAGCATACCCACAGACAGCATGCCCACAGACAGCAGACCCACAGACAACAGACTCACATACAGCAGACCCACAGGCAGCAGACTCACAGACAGCAGACTCATAGGCAGGATACCCACAGACAGCAGACCCACAGGCAGTATACCCACAGACAGCATACGCACAGACAGCAGACCCACAGACAACAGACTCACATACAGCAGACGCACAGACAACAAACTCACAGACAGCAGACTCATAGACAGCATACCCACAGACAGCAGACCCACAGGCAGTATACCCACAGACAGCATACGCACAGACAGCAGACCCACAGACAACAGACCCACATTCAGCAGACCCACAGGCAGCAGACTCATAGACAGCAGACCCTATTACAGCGGACCCACAGACAGCGGATCCACAGACAGCAGACCCACAGACCCACAGGCAGTATACCCACAGACAGCATACCCACAGACAGCATGCCCACAGACAGCAGACCCACAGACAACAGACTCACATACAGCAGACCCACAGGCAGCAGACTCATAGACAGCATACCCACAGACAGCATACCCACAGACAGCAGACCAACAGACAACAGACTCACATACAGCAGACCCACAGGCAGCAGACTCACAGACAGCAGACTCATAGGCAGGATACCCACAGACAGCAGACCCACAGACAGCAGACCCACAGGCAGTATAGCCACAGACAGCATACGCACAGACAGCAGACCCACAGACAACAGACTCACATACAGTAGACCCACAGGCAGCAGACTCACATACAGCAGACTCATAGGCAGGATACCCACAGACAGCAGACCCACAGGCAGTATACCCACAGACAGCATACGCACAGACAGCAGACCCACAGACAACAGACTCACATACAGCAGACGCACAGACAACAAACTCACAGACAGCAGACTCATAGGCAGGATACCCACAGACAGCAGACCCACAGGCAGTATACCCACAGACAGCATACGCACAGACAGCAGACCCACAGACAACAGACTCACATACAGCAGACGCACAGACAACAAACTCACAGACAGCAGACTTACAGACAGTAGACCCACAGACAGCAGACTCACAGACAGCAGACTCATAGTCAGCAGACCCACAGACAACAAACCCACAGACAGCAGACCCACAGGCAGCATACCTACAGACAGCATACCCACAGACAGCAGACCCACAGACAGCAGACTCATAGACAGCATACCCACAGACAGCAAACCCACAGACCCACAGGCAGTATACCCACAGACAGCATACCCACAGACAGCATGCCCACAGACAGCAGACCCACAGACAACAGACTCACATACAGCAGACCCACAGGCAGCAGACTCACAGACAGCAGACTCATAGGCAGGATACCCACAGACAGCAGACCCACAGGCAGTATACCCACAGACAGCATACGCACAGACAGCAGACCCACAGACAACAGACTCACATACAGCAGATGCACAGACAACAAACTCACAGACAGCAGACTCATAGGCAGGATACCCACAGACAGCAGACCCACAGGCAGCAGACTCATAGACAGCAGACCCTATTACAGCGGACCCACAGACAGCGGATCCACAGACAGCAGGCCCACAGACCCACAGGCAGTATACCGACAGACAGCATACCCACAGACAGCATGCCCACAGACAGCAGACCCACAGACAACAGACTCACATACAGCAGACCCACAGGCAGCAGACTCATAGACAGCATACCCACAGACAGCAAACCCACAGACCCACAGGCAGTATACCCACAGACAGCATACCCACAGACAGCATGCCCACAGACAGCAGACCCACAGACAACAGACTCACATACAGCAGACCCACAGGCAGCAGACTCACAGACAGCAGACTCATAGGCAGGATACCCACAGACAGCAGACCCACAGGCAGTATACCCACAGACAGCATACGCACAGACAGCAGACCCACAGACAACAGACTCACATACAGCAGACGCACAGACAACAAACTCACAGACAGCAGACTCATAGGCAGGATACCCACAGACAGCAGACCCACAGGCAGTATACCCACAGACAGCATACGCACAGACAGCAGACCCACAGACAACAGACCCACATTCAGCAGACCCACAGGCAGCAGACTCATAGACAGCAGACCCTATTACAGCGGACCCACAGACAGCGGATCCACAGACAGCAGACCCACATATAGCAGACCCACATATAGCAGACCCACAGACGGCAGACCCACATACAGCAGACCCGCAGGCAGCAGACTCATAGACAGCAGACCTTACTTCAGCAGACCCACAGACAGCAGACCCACAGACAGCAGACCCACAGACAGCAGACCCACACATAGCAGACCCACAAACGGCAGACCCACAGACAGAAGACCCACAGACAGCAGACCCGCGACGCTATTCGTCATTCTGTCAAGGCGATCCGTAAGACCTTTGCCTTTGTGTCAGAGTACGTCGGTCAGTTTATTATGTCGCCCGGAAACCAGACATGATTAATAGAATGAAAAATTTCAAGCGCAGCTATTTCTGAAAAGGAAAGTCCCCACTTTCTGGACACTATGTATTTACAAGTTTAATGGGCGTGACGCGGCGTGTTAATTTAGCTAACTTCATGACGCATTTACCATTTCTGAAACAATATGTGCATACAAGTTACATAGCACATTCACCATTTCAGAACCAGTATTTTGTAGCACATTCATCATTTTTACCAATATTTGTATGCCGCTTGTTTGGCGCATTCACCATTTTTACAATATTTGTGTGTCGCTTATTTGGCACACTCACGATTTTTGAAACAATATTTGCATACAACTTACGGAAATTTATTCTAGTATATTTATTTTTATTTCAGACGATTCCCATAGCTTTATTTTGTAATATTAGTAGTTTTGAAAATAGCTCCGTTGGTAGCGAACAAAATATAACAAATGAAGAAGAAAGATAGTGTTGTTCACAATTTTTGTAGTATAGTATTTTTATCTAAGGATTTTCTTATAAGCATACATTTTGTTTTGTTTGTAGAAGTAGTAGCAGTAGATATTTATTTACTCAATGTACAGGCAATGCCGTTACTTCATATTTATTTACTCATTCTTTGTGTTGTATTTCAGGAGTAAATAATTATTTATTATTATATAAGAATAATAACAACCTAGAATGGACAATGCATGTACATGGGTCAGTTGTATGTTGGAATATGTTCCACAATTAAAAAAATTGAAAGAAACTTAAAGAAAAATGTATATCAAAGAGGTGTATATATAGAGGATGATAATTTTTATGGAATATTTGACAGGAATTCCATAATATGTTGTCTTGCTATTGCGCGTATCCATTTCGATAATTTCGTCTTAAAATTATGTATATTTCGAAATTGTTTCAAGTCTTTGGGTACATGTTTATATAATTTTCGTGCCAAATAGAGAAAAGATCGCTTCATTATGAAGGCTGCATGAATGGACCACCCCAAATGATTGCCTAAAAAAATTCTTAAATATTTGATATTGTCCATTCTGTCGATTTTTAAATTTGTATTGTTTATTCTGAGGGAGAGATTTGAAAAATCGGGTAGATATCTTGCGTATGAACTGTAGAAAATGCGTTTCTTCAAAGTTCACGGCTAATTTTCTAATAATGAAAAAATTAATGATTTTATAAAAGTCATTCTCAATTATTCTCTTTACATCATACCAGTGCTGCCCTTTATACAGTATTGCCTTATCATCAGCAAAACTAACTATTTTACCTACATAGATAATTTTGAATATATCATTCATATTATAAAAAACGAGGGTAAACACTGTACCCTGAGGTACTCCACATTTGACAAACATTTCCTAACTGTATGATTTTGACAGTTTCTAATTTGTCTAAAATATTTTTTCCAGATACGCCGACAATGGCGATTTACTAGACTTCATAAAGAAAAACGGCGTGGTGCCTGAACAACAGGCGAAGATCTGGTTCAGGCAAATGGCCAGCGGACTACACTACCTTCACGGCAAGAATATCGCGCACAGGGACCTGAAGTGCGAGAACATTCTACTGTCCAGGAGGTTTAACGTGAAGCTAGCCGATTTTGGTTTCGCTAGGTTTTGCTTGGGCTCTGACAACAAGCGCGTCCTGAGCCACACGTACTGTGGATCAGCAGCGTACGCAGCACCGGAAGTGGTCAATGGGACGCCTTACAATCCGAAGTTGTCGGACGTCTGGTCATTGGGTAAGTTTTAGTGGTGTTGGTTCTCGTTACTTTCGAGTATTCGTTACTAATCATTACTCTTCTACAAAGTAATCATTTATTGTATTCGTTACCTTGGTTACTACGAGTAGTACGAGTATAACGATTTGGCAACGTGTAGTTAATGTCGAATTTGATGGTCATATTGAATTATAAATTTTTAGCAAGTAAACACGAATCAAATTGACATAATTTTTATTATTGTGGCTTTCGTGAACGGTACTGTTACCCTGTTGTCGCTTTTCTGGCTCAGAATACTGCCGAACGTTGCTCCAACCCAATCGACTCCTTATTCCTTTTCAGGTTGCCAAGATCACAACAATAAGAGCGAATAACTTTTTTTATTCGCGGATATAGAATTTGATAATTCTTTTTAAATCTGGAGTGTCCAGGTTTCCACGACAATGTGGGATGTCTGACAAAACTGATGCATGAGCGGCAGTGCTACAGTGATTCTTAAGATGGCAGAAACCAGCATTGCCACTCAGCACAGTAAACAAAGTAATCATTTCGTGCTCGGATTGATACTCGTTACTTCGGGTATCTATGAGTAACGAGTACTCGAGTAACGAATAGTAACGTTTCAACACCTCTAGAAATTCTCGACTTACTAGTGGCGCTCATAGCGACAACTATGACTTTGCTCTAGACGTTCGTCGGAGACTTGAGTTAAGGGGATAGGTACAATATTTCGCTGAAGCGAATATCCCCTAGATGTCAGCACAAGTTCGAAATCCTAATAAAAGCATTGTACACGACCAGTTCTGGTTGGCTTGTTCAGACCAGTGTTGCCTGGTCCACAATTAATGTGTCGCCCACTGTGTCTTTTCCTCATAGAAGTCAGACTAATACTGAATGGTATTTTAGTCGAAATCGCGTACCCAAATAATAAGAACGGTACGGGTATTATGTAAAAAAACCTATAAAACGTCAAAAAAAACTTTAAAATGTCATCTTGCAGACTAAGTAGTTTTTTAGGGTGCAAGCAGTCATTCCACGCTTGCTCACTAATGAGTCAACTATACGCATTGTTGGGTGCATATGTTTTATGAAGCCGAGTAGTCTGTAGTTCTCATCTCTGACAAGAAAGTTGGTTGCAGAACAAGATCGCATCTGGATGATTACGTGTATTGGTCTGCATGTGTATAAAATCAGTGATATTTGCTATATGAGAAAATCATAACTGAATTTGCTGCCAATGAATATATTAGGTTATGTTCAAAGTTATAAATTACGATTTTTTGTTTTTTGTGTTTTAAAAAACTTTGAGGAGAATTACAGGAAACCACCACCGCGCCCGCGTTATTTGTAATTACTGTTAGCATGTATATGACTTGTAATTCGACAGTGCGTATGTAATTTCTAGGATAAATAAGATACGCAGCCAATTTCTAGCTTTGAATCTCAAGTAAGTGTATTTGAGACAAGAATTCAATGGAATTATCATCAACACATATTATTAGCACACAAATCCTCACTATGCATCTATGCATTGCCGCTCCCTTCTAGCTATAGAATATAAATGTACACCTTAGATTCAGTAATGCCATCTCTGGAGTAGATTTTACACCACATCAGAGTCAAACAGTGATAGCTAAAGCAACATGACGTTTAGGCAACACGTACAACAAAACGAGTGCCCATCAGCTAGTGCTAAGTAAACATCTCGTAGAAAATTATGCATAGTGCCACAAAAAACCAATACAATATCAAAAAAAATCGACGGGGAATTTCAATATAATACGTTCTGTTCTTGTTTCAGGTATCATTCTCTTTATCATGTTGAATGCATCAATGCCTTTTGATGACTCGAATTTACGAAAACTACTAAAGGACCAGATCACGAAAAACTGGGTATTTCGATCTAGAGCTAGAGACACACTTTCATCTTGTGCCAAGTCGCTTGTGCGGCATTTATTGGAGCCAGATCTTACTGTAAGACTAACTTTGGATAGGTACGTATCGCCGCCAGGGTTATAGCATAAAAAACTTATGTAATGTCAAATATAAAAAAATTAAATGTCAGCTTGTGCACTATCCTCTATATCATGTGCCACTAGTTAATTCCGCGCGTACCACAAGTGAATACAACCTACATAATTTCGAGCCTTAGGACTTTTTTCATACCGTCCACGGTTGGTGCTTCCTCTGACTGCGGACCACTGTCGTCAACTGGAACAGAGAACGGCAACATTGGTCGGCAGAATGGCATAATGTCATCTTCAGCGATGAATCGCGGTTCTGTCTAGGTACGCATCGTGGCCTTTGAAGGCCCCTTGGTGAACGGCCTACAATTGTAGGACGCTTTTGTGGCCTCTGTGATTTTCCTAGTTTTCCAGTAGTTCAGAAAGGCGATCTACTTTAAGGTTATGTTACAAATATCTGTTTGCGTCAAATTTCACGCCACATGCGATGAACGCTTGCTTTACGCCCTATATGCATGAATGACTATTTTACAGGGTAATTCAACACGACTGGCTGCGCATGAGGAGAGATCGCCCTTCATCTCTGACTGGTAGGCTGGTCCACTCAGCGCCACACGGTCAGACAACCAGCCAATCAGCGCATGTGAGCGGAGAATACGAAAATGAAGCTGTCCCTGGGGATTTTCAAAGCCCTGAGACCAAGAAAAGCGAAATGATGATTTCAGTGACGGATAATTGACATACACGCATTTTATGTAATTTATCGCTAGGAAATTGACAGTATAAAGACATACATGGTGTAAATAGTACTTATACAAAGGATGAAAATTATTTATAATGATAATAATTATCTGATGTCTGATTTCACTAGGAATAAATACCTGCTATTCTGTTCGCTATTGACGGAATTATATATGGGATATAAGGAATGTTAGGTGTTGTTACTTATCTCCGTAAAACGGCACACTGGTAAAACTCCTCACATCTTACTATAACAATCCTTACATGGAAGAACAAGTTGTGCAGAAATCAGAAAAGACAGCTAAAATTATGAAAGATCGCTATGCAACTATGCAAAGCTTCGCAACCGTACACACGATCCTGTTACCAGTAATCTTTACAAGGGCCTCTGACGTGTTTTACAGAATCGCACCATCGCAGGACGTCGAGTAAGAGGGTCAGAAAACGGTGTTTATGGCTAGCCTTACATCCACGCTCCTGCCCTCTATAAAGCAATAGCGAAACTATGATTAATACGACTGAAAATTGACAGATGGTTGGCAGATGTCACGAAGTTGACATTAATCTATTGACCTAACCTCACTTTTAACGTTTTCAAAACAATGTTTTTAAGCTGTTTAAACGTATAATTAAAAGAAGGGGCACATTTTAAACTGTTCAAAATGGCTGGTCAAACGTCTGGACCAGGGAATATTGCCGTACCGACGATAGAACAAATCAGCGCAGACAGAATTACAGAGGTAAACATTTACCGGCTACCGGTCCATACCTCCTAAAACTCAACTTTTTGCTTTTATTTCAGCTTGCTGAAAAGTACTGGGCCCCACATTCGAAAGAAAAACACCTAGACTTCGACCCCAATGTGATCGAAGACATTTACATGCAAGACATTCGTGGCAGCAAGTAAGTTTTTAGATTGCTTTTATATCTATGTCTACATAAATATTCCTATTATTTTAGCTTCTCCATTCGAAGAATCATGGTTCTGGAGTTCAGCCAGTATCTAGAAAACTACTTATGGCCAAACTATAAGCCTGGAGCCTCATACTCTCATATGTTATCTATAGTTATTATGGTCAATGAAAAATTCAGGGAGCGGGTGCAGGTGTGGCAGGTATGGACCATGTTTTCTTTGAGCGGGACAACCGTTTTTTTTTTTCTCCATTCCAGTATGCTGGGGTTTGGCCTACTCATTGACATAGTAGTATTAGCAGTATATTTCCAAACACAAAGTTCACATCAAAAGAAAGGGGATAATCAAATTAAATATGTACAATTACATGTGTAATTACGCATACAGATACGATTTTTCTTAAAAATAACTTATTTTTGTTTGTTGATTTTTTAACACATATTCTCAACTTTTAACTGGTCAGTCAATTTCACTAGACCAGCATTTTGAAAGCAGTTTTCAATAGTGTTTTTTGAAACTTCATTCCATGATTATGCAATTAATTTTATCAAGTCTAAAATTGTTATGTTGAAAGTTTCCTGATTATCCAATGCTCGGATTAGGCGATACATAAAATATCTATGATAATATGTTTTAAGGCATTTTATTATGCCTTGATCCATCAGTTGTATGACCGAGTTCCAATTGGGAGGCAAAAATTAATTTGCTCACCCTGTATAGGTGGATAAGTAAAAGAAACATACCAGTCAAAATATCGAGATTTGAATTGGTTAAACTTTTCATGTCCTCCAGTTCATATACAGGGCCTTATACTAAAATTCTTTTTTACAGGCTTTCAGAAAGCTTGACGAACATTTCCCAGACTTCTTCCAGCAAGTCTTGCGTGCTTGCTTCGAAGATGAGCTGTTGATAAACCTTCGAGAACAGACGTCGCTATTATTTTTTCTCAACCATTGCTTCAACAGTATGGAAGAAGCGTTGTGCAGGGATCAAGTCAAACGCCTGGTGTCACTTTCAATGTGGATATCTCTGCAACCAGCTAGGAGAGAGTATGAATTTAGAAAGTATCCCAAGTGGAAGAAATACTGGAAGGCGATCCAGCGCAAGGACAAGCCGGAACAAATGGAGATGTTGACTTGGGAGAGGACATTTCTACATCGCCTAATGTTGAAGTTCCTTAGTATTCTTGATACAATCACAGTGGATGGGATATGCCCTAATGATAAGGTATGTCACTCTATTGGCTTTTTGTAACGTTTGAATCATGATCTAACATACTGTTTTTCCAGATACATTACTGTGAAAGGTTTTTGGAGCTGCTGATAGATCTCGAAGCTTTGCTGCCGACAAGGAGGTTTTTCAACACAGTTCTGGATGATTGTCACCTTGTCGTCAGGTGTCAACTGTCAGCACTAATCAAAAGGCCAGAAGGACATCTCTTCAGTCAGGTGAGTGACTTTTTAGTTTGCTCCAGTGGTGCTGTTTAGAACAAGGCGAAAACGTCGTATTCGTACAATGAAGTATCCAATTAGTCACATTTTTTTGTCTCCCCTTAGCGTCAATCAAGAAGTACCCGGGGGGTAATTTCGAAAATGAGATTATGTTTTTTGGATGTTATCTAATATGATACGATGAAATTATCACACAAACGTGTATGCCACCGACGAAAAAGCTTTGTTTTTGGTCCAGTATCAAAATGAAAAATGAAGAAAATGAAAATCACTAACACTTCGTTTTTTGCCGTTTCACAGGAAGCTGATTGTTTTTGTAGGGAAGGAGGGGGCGTGTATCAGGAATTATCCGGAAAAATGAGTGTTATTTGTTTTATAAAGGTATTAATAATTGCTTTTATATCTCTGCAAACTAATTTTTTGTCTTATAATTGTTATATTTAGCTTTTATTATGATGGTGTTAATGATAACTATACAGGGTGTCCTAGAAACCACACGCCAGAGTGACACGAGAGGTAGACTGGCTTCAGATCAATCAGATAAAATCAACATGACCTTAGTAAAAGTTTTCTAGATTTCGAGAAGTCGACGTCAAGCCGAAACCGGGTGATAGGCAAAGTCATAACAGCTATCAGAAATATATTTAAAAAAATTGTATGTATGTGTTTTGAAAATTACAGGTCTTTGAAAAAGATATAGAAATTTCACAACCTACGGCAGTCTGTCAACTCCTGTTACTACAAATATTAACTTTTTTTGGATTTTATTTTTACAATGTAATGATGAATAATGCATCTTCAAACTGGTGTCTCAACCTTACTGCCAACTTTTCTCGTTTAGGAAAAATTGCCACTTATTTCCCAACCAAGTATTCCAAAGTAATACTTTGCTCAACTTTAACTGGCTGTACTGGAAAAAAATGTACTACGAGAGTTTGGCAAGTAACCTTAAAAGTTGGCGCATTTAATAACGATTCCAAAATGGTATAACACTTAGAAGATTACTCGCTAACTTATGCACAATTTTTATTTGAAGAAAAACTGATGAAAATTTTTCAAAATTTCCTAATTAAACAGCGATTATGAAAACACACAAGGACCCTTAAGGATAACACAACAGTGGGCGTCAAAATGCTGCTGATGATGATTTACCTTTACAGCAAGTGCTCAAACTGTTTTCCTTCAGCCGCAATACACGCTCGGCATCTTCTTAAAAAAGATCGGGTTATTAAACGAGCGAATCCACGGTTATTAACAAACTCAGCTGCTTCCAATAGTTTTTGCCGTAGCTCAGCTACATTTTGAATCGGCTTGAAATGCACTTTTTCTTTTACAGTTCCCCAGTAAAAAAATCTAAAGGATTCAAATCAGGTGATCGGGCTGGCCACGATATTGTACCAGACCGCCTTATTCATCTGCCTGGAAAGTTTTGATCGAGATACTCTCTCACTGAGAGTGCATAGTGCGCTGGGCAGCCATCATGCTGAAACCACATGTCCGTGTAAATACTCAGTGGCACGTCCACCAATAAATTTTGTACATGATTTTTCAAAAAATCCAAATAAACTTCAGCAGTCAAAGTCTCTGGGAACTCAAACGGACCGATTATTTTACCATTTAAAATTCCTGTCCAATGGTTTATCTTGAAGCGATATTGAGATTTATCTTCTCTCATCAAATGTGGGTTTGCTACGTGCCACTCGTGTAAGTTATACAGGTTCATGTACCCATCTTTCTTAAATGTGGTCTCATCCGACCATAAAATTTTTTTAAAGAACTGTGGATCTTTCCTGTGTCTTTCTAACATTGTGCGACATAAAGCAACTCGGGGCTCATAATCCCGGGGCAGGAGAGGTTTAACACGCTGTATGTGGTATGGATGAAGCACATCACTTACTTGCTATTACACACTTGGATACCGATCAGTACTCCTTCGTTTACTGCGCATCTTTACATGTTCGTGCTTGTTGATTTCGTACTGTTACTAATTTTGGATTCGTGAACTGGACTGTTGATCGCTTGTGATTTGGATTTGGACTGTTTAATTGCTCTTCAAAACAACATTTGCTTTCCTTAGACTATCTTTGATAGTGTGATTGTGCAGTGCCGCTATGTCCGTGTACACCGTACAAGAATATGCTAACATGCACCTCATTTATGGGGAATGCAGATGCAACGTTAGTGCTGCAGCGAGACTTTACTGTGAGAGGTACCCGAATGCAGCTCGTCATCCAGGTCATCGAGTGTTCACAAATGTGCACCGCTTATTGTTCTCAGAGGGCCAACTACCAAACCAATCACACGGTGAGGGAAGATCTTTCCTTCCTTACGAAGACCCGAGTACTTCAGTGCGTGCAATAGAACTAAAAACACGTGTGTCCAAAAGTACAGCCCATAGAATCTTGCAAAAAAACGTGCTCCATCCATACCACGTACAGCGTGTTCAAGCTCTTCTGCCCCGGGATTATGAGCCCCGAGTTGCTTTTTGTCGCACAATGTTAGAAAGACACAGGGAAGATCCACGGTTCTTTGAAAAAAATTTATGGTCAGATGAGACCACATTTAAGAAAGATGGGTACATGAACCTGCATAACTTACACGAGTGGCACGTACTAAACCCACACTTGATAAGAGAAGATAAATCTCAATATCGCTTCAAGATAAACCATTGGACAGGAATTTTAAATGGTAAAATAATCGGTCCGTTTGAGTTCCCAGAGACTTTGACTGCTGAGGTTTATTTAGGTTTTTTGCAAAATCATTTAGAAAATTTATTGGAGGACGTGCCACTGAGTATTTACAGGGACATGTGGTTTCAGCATGATGGCTGCCCAGCGCACTATGCACTCTCAGTGAGAGAGTATCTCGATCAAAACTTTCCAGGCAGATGGATAAGGCGGTCTGGTACAATACCGTGGCCAGCCCGGTCACCAGATTTGAATCCGTTACATTTTTTTTACTGCGGAACTGTAAAAGAAAAAGTGTATTTCAAGCCGATTCAAAATGTAGCTGAGCTACGGCAAAGACTATTGGAAGCAGCTTAGTTTGTTAATAACCGTGGATTCGCTCGTTTAATAACCCGATCTTTTTTACGAAGATGTCGAGCATGTATTGCGGCTGAAGGAAAACAGTTTGAGCATTTGCTGTAAAGGTAAATGATCATCAGCAGCATTTTGACGCCCACTGTTGTGCAAACAGTTATCCTTAAGGGTCCTTGTGCGTTTTCATAATCGCTGTTTAATTTGGAAATTTTGAAAAATTTTCATCAGTTTTTCTTCAAATAAAAATTGTGCATAAGTTAACGAGTAATCTTCTAAGTGTTATACCATTTTGGAATCCTTATTAAATGCGCCAACTTTTAAGGTTTCTTGCCAAACTCTCGTAGTACATTTTTTTCCAGTACAGCCAGTTAAAGTTGAGCAAAGTTTTACTTTGGAATACTTGGTTGGGAAATAAGTGGCAATTTTTCCTGAACGAGAAAAGTTGGCAGTAAGGTTGAGACACCAGTTTGAAGATGCATTATTCATCATTACATTGTAAAAATAAAATCCAAAAAAAGTTAATATTTGTAGTAACAGGAGTTGATAGACTGCCGTAGGGTGTGAAATTTCTATATTTTTTTCAAAGACCTATAATTTTCAAAACACATACATAAAAACTTTTAAATATTTTTCTGATAGCTGTTAAGACTTTGCCTATCACCCGGTTTCGGCTTGACGTCGACTTCTGGGACACCCTGTATACAGACGCGTTATGCCGCGTGAAGCTACGTTGCCAAATGAACTACCGGTAGAGCAGGGAAAGAATGTCTTTAGACTAATTATCTCGACCTGTTTGACTCATTTCATCGGTTTATTTTCTCTGTAAATTTTTTCTCGGGGGGTCTTAACTTGTGCTGGGAAGTGCACAGTCAACCTACCTGACGCCATTTTTTGATATCAGGATAGAGATTAAAACTAAGCAATCAACATCATAACATTTTATTTTCTGAAAATTGCGCTCGTCGTCAAAACTCCTAGTAAATATAAAATAATTATTTGTTGTATTCTATATATATGAAAATATAAAATATATTAAAAATGTTAAGTACACTTATAGTCACTTTTGTTCCGTTAAATCTAAACGAGATTAGTTGTCACTTAGACAGTGGAATGAGATTTCTAATAAATAGCTGCCAACCGCAAAATAAAAATATTAAGATATTCAGACATGTGCTCAAAAACCAAAAGCAACACTATCACTAGTATATCTAAATATTGATACACAGTTATTGTCACTAAACTATTACTTGAGATTGCGGTATAAAGCTGCCAGCAATATAAATATGTTCTGAGAACATACACATAATTTACAAACATAAAATTTATACCTTAGGTGTTACATCACAATATGGTTTGTTGCTGTTCTTAAAATTAAGTACCACACTTAGTTATTATACTACATTAATGTGCAAATCTACATGTTCGTATTACGTGCGATTTGAAGGCACAAAAGATTTACAGTGTATATTCAGAAGTTCAATGTCTTTTAAATTCAATCACAGCTGTTCTTCAAGACACTTATTGAGCTATTTTTAATAGTTATGATCGAGGGCTTAGAGTCAAAAGACGTTCAAGCGCGCAGATTTTTTACAACTATTAACACCCTTTTCACTATTGTTAGCAAATCTCTAGCAAACAGATAAAAAAATTTGCATCTCAAAGAATTTTCACTATCAATGAAATATTGCTTTAATTTTTTTCAAATATCTCTAAATTAAAAGTAGACTTTAGATCACTATTTTTTTTCTAAAATATTGATTAGTTATATTACTAATGCAATTTTGTAAATGAACATCTATAATTCCGCTTATATAATAATTGTGGTAATGATTCTTCAATTCTATGTAGTGTTCTAAATGTTTCAAAAATGATTTTGTATTTTAAATATAAAAGTAAGAAGCTAATAAATGAAATTTTTTATATTCAACCACTGCAATTCTGGTAACAGATTTTATTTTAATGTAATTATTTTTATTCAATATTATTCTCAAAGCGTTTTTTGCAAGGTAGAATAATTGTATTATAAACTATTTTTTTGGAATATGTACTAAGAATAAGAAAAGCCCTATAAAAGTAATTTGTTTTTGGCAATTTTTTAAATTCATATTCATAGTCATCCTCAAACATGAGTTTCCTATCAATATATAATATTTTCAATTACTTCACCATTTATCCTAACTGCGGTAGTACTTTCATTCAGGTATTTCCCTATTAGCATACATTTTGTTTTGGAAGCATTCAGTTTTAGTTTATTTACATTTAACCAATTTATGATTTTTGCCAAGTGAGAATTTATCATTTTTAAAGCAGTGTCTATATTTTCATCTGATTTGTATATCAACGTATCATATGCATACGTAAAAATTCTAGTAAAATTTACAATTTGAAACAAGTTTTGGTTTTCACGTTCAGGAAGATCTGGTTTGCTTGACCCAACAAACTTAGCAGCAAAATGATAACAATCAATATGTGTCCAAATCAAAACCGACTGAATTTTGCAGAAATTCTGAAAAAGTAAAATAATAGGTATCAACGTAATTACCACCTAGACCCCCCCTCTGTGTCATCAAAAATAAGCAAAGCAAAGACCCGTCCCCTTTACTGCTTAAATGGTCCTTAATCTACACTTTTCGTGAAATCATTACTGTGAGATTCACCCTACTCCATTTGTTATCTTATTCCCTAGATCCAGGTTAGGGTTAAAATCGAATCTAAAGATGATTTTATGAAAATTCTAAATAACGTCTTTTAACACTAAGCATCGACAAAGTGTAATTTTAATGAAATGTGTCCCGGACGAAACTTACGATAATTTGCGATGTATTTCTAATAATTATTGACAGTATTCATGGCTGTCATTTCGTCTCCCCATTCGCTTTCCGTTTCCGGTCTGCAACAAGGACAAATGCAGTTCTTGTAGCAGCACGTTTTCCTTATCAGATAAGCAACGTGTTTTTGGTTAAAGACGCATATGTACAACACGAGAGGACCGAGAAACGCGTTAGCGATAATGTGACTGTTGATCAGGCCGTCGTACTTCGAGAACGACGCTAAGAGAAACAGCCAACAGAGGGTCATCAGGAATAATAGCAGTAAGAACATACGGAAACTGAAACAAAAAAAATGGTCTTACCTATTTAATTTTCACGGCAAATTTAAAGTCGTTAATCAGCGGCAGGGTAAATATTCTGCAAAATTGATGATTGGATAAAAATGCAAACAAATAATGAGAATGACAAGTGACCTCTCTGTTATTTCCAAAATTTTGAGAACGAATAGTCCAGGAAGTTCTTTGAAAACAAGTTTTGATTATGTCTTATTCAAAACGGACTTCTTTTTAACGAATCTACATGTCGCCAGGCACAAAATGGCGTCAACAATGTCCAAAAATCGTATATTTTTTTCGCTCCAGACAAAGTTTTACTAGGTGATTTTCAAGGTCATTTTTAACAAAACAGAAGTTTTCTCTAATGCACCAGTAGCTTATTACGCTGAAAACTAAAATGTACTAAATTTGATTGATAACCGGTACCACAGTGTTTCGTCAAGCATCATCCGGGTAGGAAATTTTTTGGATACCCGGATATCACGCTAGAACTTATATGCAACAGCTTTGACATATTCGTTCTAGAAATAATCTTTATATTCCATTGACATCAGAATTTCTGAAAATCCCTTATTGACATGATGAAAACATAAATGTAAATGGGACCAATTTATTCTTATTAGACCTAAAATGGAATCCACTGAGAGAGCAAGTAATAAATTACTGAACAGTTAGGAAGAAGTGGTTTTGGCTACATACAGTAGCGAACAAAAGTTTAGAAACGAAGATTAACATTATTATGAACTATTTCATATACCTAAAATAAAATTGTGAAGAAACATATAATATAAATATTAAAGTCTACCTTTGGCTCCCGTAGTAATACAAGGTTTATCTTATCAATATTCAAATTCTCTGAAAATAAAAACACCGTTTTTGTAAGACAAAAATATGTAAACATTTCAGTTTTGCCGTATTTATTCGTTCTACGATACTCTGATATTGCGTGCGGTAAATATCAGTGAAAATGGCAAAAGTAAAAGAATTTTCAAAAGATTTAAGAAACAAAGTAATTGAATTATTTAGAAATGGTGTCTGAAATGTTGACATTTCTCAAAGATTAAAAATTAACAAACGGACGATTTCGAAAATTATTAGTAAGCATCAAGAATATGGTTAACAGCAACGTGGCCCAGGGAAAAAACCGATTATACAGGGTGTCCGCAAAGTTGGGGTTTTCCTTTTCAGAAACAACTAGACTTGAAATAACAAAGTAATGTGTAGTGAAACGAGGGCGACCAAGTAAAAAAAAAATAAAGGAAAAAGTACTCACTCTCCAGTTGACGAGAAGGGCTAAGTACGTCTCTGCCCGAAATCATACCGCTCCAACAGAAAATGAAATCAGCTGATGCGCTACCGAGCAGACGCAGGCAAACAAGGAAGGCAAAATGTTGCGCAAAAAGTCTACGTATTGCATCCCGTCCAATCGATTTGGGAGAATAAATGGTCCAATGAGCATACCGTTCACCATGCCAACCCAAATGTTTGTTGAAAATGTGCCCGACGGACAGCGTGCGGATTTTCTACTGACCAAACATGAGTGTTGCGAAAGTTATTCACCCCATTACGCGTGAACGTAGATTCGTCTGTCACCAATATGCACTTCAAAAAGTCCGGATTATTGTCATGTTGATGCAACAACCACTCACAAAACCGCACTCTTGCTGGAAAATCGTCATGTTGAAGGGCTTGTACACGTTGGACGTGAAACGGATACAGCCCCTCTTCACGCAGCGTTTGCCACACTTTAGTGTTTGATACTTGCACTTCTCTAGCCACGTCTCTAGTGCTTGTTGAGGGATTCTCGTCTACGCGATTACCTCTACACGCGTGACCGTAACCGTCGCTTGAAGGTTGCATACTGACCTGACACACTGACCCCGACCCAGTACTGTCGTCGGGTTGAGCCAGTGACCTTGTACCACTTGGTGATGTCGCGGGTCGCGGCTACAGGACGGTATTCAGATATTTTTGATGTTGCAGAGCCCTTTATCTCGGTTCCCTTAAGACATTGGTGTATATGGTACAAAGAAAAATTGCTTATGTTTTCAAGATCTACACGTCGTGTAAAGGAAAACCCCAACTTTGCGATTTTGGATCAAAAACTTTACAAAGATATTCTTAATAAACACATATTCCCTTTTGCTGAAGAAGAAATGCTACCAAATATTAGCTATACAATATTTTTTAAATCTTTTTTGTAGAGTTATTGTATTTAGTTTTGTAATAAAAAATGTTTCCATACTTTTGTCGTCTCATTTTTGGTCATAAAATACTAGAAAGGTATTTTAATGCTGTAGTACCACAGCAAACACAAATTGTCATTTGTATCCTCAAGACTGTAAACAAACTATATGAGAAAAAAATAGTCCTTAATATTAAAGAATAAAAAATTAGCGCGCTTTTAAAAAATTACTAAGAATGTTTCCAAACTTTTGTCCGCTACTGTATAACCATATGACAACAAAACGTGTTCGTGTTTCTTTCTAATAATAAATCAATATCAAAATCTGACTATTGAATACACGTGATTCATCCACACTAAATTTCTTACCTATGCCTCAGTTTGTGATGTATCCTGCCATAAGTGTGCATTTTGTTGATTGTTTTAAGAGTCGTGGCGAAGAAAAATACATCTACTAGAACAGTAAATGCGACAGGTACAAAAAATATGACCATGCCCAGGGAACCTGAAAATAAAAATAATAGCATCATTTGCAGTTACAAAATATATGTGGAGTTGTCCAAAACAGACGCAGGAAAGTAAACGCATATTAAGACAAGAAAGATTGATATTCAAATCAAGTTGGGTACTTTATTTTGAAGGTTCATTTATACCATTTATGTATGAAAAATAATATCGCTCAAATGTTCACCACGACTGGATTTACAGATGGTCGAAATTTTCAATGACATTTTGCAACATGGTCGGTTCTATGGCACTTATCTCGGCAATGATGTTGTTTTTGAGTTCTTGGAGGGTGGCTGGTTTGTTGACGTAGACTTTGCTTTTCAAATATCCCCATAAAAAGAAGTCCAAGGGAGTCAAATCGCACGATCTTGATGGCCATGACACATTTCCTCTGCGCGAAATCACGCGATCACCGAAGAAGGACTGCAATCGATGGATATTGACGTTGGTTGTGTGGCATGTTGCACCGTCTTGTTGGAAATAAACATCGTCCATATCCATTCCTTTAAGTTGCGGCAAAAAACAGTCCTCTATCATCACGTGATATCGCTCAGAATTGACGGTAACGGCGTCCCCGGCCGCATTTTCGAAAAAGTAAGGTCCGATGATGCCTTTTGACCACAATGCACACCACACAGTCACTTTTTGAGGATGCATCGGCTGCTCTTGATACTCACGGGGATTTTCGTTCGCCCAGATGCGGCAGTTTTGCTTGTTTACCGTCCCATTCAAAGTGAAATGCGCTTCGTCGCTGAACATGATTTTTGATGAAAAATTGGCATCAATTTGGCGGTGTTCAAGGAGCCAATCTGAGAACGTTCGGCGCGAAGAATGGTCGGCCCGACGCAGCTCTTGCGTCAATTGGATCTTGTAGGCGTGTACATTCAAATCCTTGTGGTGAATGCGGAGCAAACTGGTTCTCGAAATGCCCAATTCTTGGGATCGACGCGTTGTTGACTGTTTCGGATAGTCTCTCACACTCTCCTTCACAACAGCAATATTTTCCGGTGTGCGAACGCTCCTTGGCCGGCCAGAGCCTGGCAGATTTGCCACAGAACCTGTTGCCCCGAATTTACGCACCAGACGACCGATGGTTGTTTCGTTTGGCCGGTTGTTGCGACCGAAATGTTCACGAAGCGCGAGAAAAGTGTTTTTTATTTTTGCACCATTTTTGTAGTGCTCTTGAATAACTTTAATGCGGTCTTCAATCGAATACGACTCCATAGCGATCAATGGTAAACATTCAACTAACAAAATGACATGTCGGTGACAGAAAACAAAGATGGCGTCTATGTCAAATTAACGTTTACTTTCCTGCGTCCCTATTGGACAACTTTATATTGAACAAAAACAATATCGATTTGCTGCAAAATGGACCGGTAAAGTCCGAGTCTGATCAAAGCACTGGTCCAGGAACAAAACAAAAAACTTCCGAGCAGAAAAATTGTAATCTATTTAAATAATTGTTTAAACAATTATTATATAAGTCAAAATTGTCGACTCTTGGTTTTCGCAGACTGTGCATAAAATAAGTAGGCTTGAATTAGTCTAAGAATGGGCGACACTTAAATTTCTTTTAAAGCAAATACCTGTCTTTTCTTTCACGATTGGTTTACAGTCAAAAGATTGTTAGTAAAATGAGGGATGTCTTTTAAGTTTTGCATATGGAAATAAAACAACAGTTTTAAATGACTTTATTGTTTTTCGAAGTATTCTCCACGAAGATTAATACACAACTGCATGCGCTCGAACCAATTTTCGAAGCACTTATTCCACTCGTTTGCTGGCAGATCCAAAACGGCATTTTTGAATGCGTCAACTGCTTATTCTGGTGACTGGAACCTTTGCCCACGCAGTCTGTTTTTAATTTTCGGGAAAGTACAGAATGCGTTAGGGACTATATGGAGGATGGTCCAATAATTCCACCTTTTCTTCCGTTAAATACTGCCTTGTTTTTTGGGCTGTGTGCGAGCTTGCATTGTTTTGGTGGAGGATGATTCTTCTTTCGGGGTTGATTTTTCGAAGCTCGGTGATGACTTTTGGCAAACAAATGGTGGAATACCAATCCGCAGTAGCAGTTCTTTGCTCATTAAGAGGAATTGTTGCAATATGACCCGCTTTTGACACAAATGTCGCGACCATCTTTTTCGAATGTCCATTTTTCTAATGACTTGGTGACACTTCAAAACTCACTGTAGCGCGAACACTGCACATATTGTTGTGAAACTTTGAATTTAGGTTTACTAAAGAGTGAGGTTAAGATTCAGTAATGCCGTTCGATCCACGCGGCCTACTATGTTTATATATTATGCAAAACATCCCTCGTAGCTTTGAATTTAGCCTAGTCGGATTCCTGGGGTGGCGAGTAAAATTCGCATTGTGACATTGTAGCATAATTGCACGCACTTCGTCATGGTATATAGAGATATGTCTACAAACTAAGATACCCTCGTACCTATTTCTTCTTGTTGATCATACTTTGAACTGGCCGTTGACTGGACATCAGGATAATCCATAGTAAAATGTGCGAAAATCGCCAGTATCCCCAATATCAATGTACAGCTCCACGCATATCCGCCATAGTAGCAGTACTTTTTTCCATCCGTGATTCTTAAAAATACGTTTCTCGATCTGAAAAATATATTACTAAGAATTTGCTGATTTGCTACCTTGGTGCTGCTCCAAAACCGACTTACTTAAACGTCCTCCAGATGTAATATCCGAGTGTATTCAACCAGAAAAACGCACCGAGAATGCTTATATAACAGATCGTTTCTGAAAAAAAAATTACATGTACGTGTATAACTCCCAAAACTTTAACAAATTTTGTCCAAAGTTTACAAGATTTGTAACATTTGTATTAAAATTTGTCATAATATTTTTATTACTACAAAAAAGTTAGCGACTCGATCACAACCACATTGCGACAGACCTTGTATATTTGAAGATATTGCCATTCCTTTACCTGTGATGAGAATACTGACATGACTCTTGAACACGGTGAGCAACCTGACGATATCAGCAGCTTGGCTTATGATAAGGCAAATGCATATCGTCGTGACTATGTTTCCTGTCAGGTCTCTCAAAGTGGGCATCACAAAATATACGATGGCCACAGTCAGGAAGCAAACTATGCACACAAAATGGGTCGCCGGACTGACTATGTTTCGCATTATGAATTCTGTGCTGGTATGCCAGCTGTTGTGAACATCTGGGGCGCACACCCAGGCGAATTCGCTTCTCACTTCGTCTATGTTCTGAAAATATAACAAGATTTTTACAGGGACCCAGAATATGTTAACAATATAATAATAGTAATAAATGGTGTACAAAAGTACAAAATATGCGAATTGTTGCTAAGAGTAGCGTTTTTTAATTTAACCTTTTAAACAAAAGGAATATAAACAATTACAAGAATAGTCCATGTTCCCAGTATTTTTAGACATCAAAAGGGCATTTGAGACTATAGATAAGGAAAAAAGGTTAATGAAATTATGTTGCTGTGGTTTTAAAGGATCAGGGTTGAAGATTTTACAAAACTATTTAGCAAATAGAAGTCCAAAAACTAAATTTGGAAATAGCGTTCAAAAATATACGGGTGACTCAGGGAAGTAAATTAGTACCGTTACTATTATATATATATATATATATATATACGTAGTCATGCCATAAGTTCTGTCCATCGTTTTCAAACAAGTGTAGACCTGTTAATACTTGTCCGATTGTTTACATTGTGGTGTCAGTTGATTAAGCGCTTTTCGGGTAATTACATATACCTCAGTTTGTATTGATCTCTCGAAGCATAACGATGGAGTGGGGCAAGGCAGAGAACCGTATTGCAGTGATAGCTTTACATAAGTGTAATCACAGTGCTAGTCAGATTTTTGAACTCTTACGCGGCCTTTAAATATCGCGTAAATTTGTGTCTAGGACCATTCAGCGGTACAATGAGACGTCCTCTGTTGATGACAGGCCAAGAAGCGGAAGACCTCGTCAAGTAAGGACTCCAGCAGCCATCAAAGCCGTAAAAGCCAGGATTCAAAGGAATCCACTCCGGAAGCAGAAGATCCTATCCAGGGAAATGAAGATTCCTGTCCGGACGATGTCGCGCATCATTAAACAAGACCTAGGGCTAGGGGCTTACCGGAGACGTACGGGCCAGCGACTTACGGCCACCTTGCGACACATCAGGGCGACAAGATCCAAGAAGCTCTTGGAGAGGTACGCAGCTGGGGGATTCCGAAAGATTTTGTTCACGGATGAGAAAATCTTCACCATAGAAGAAAAATTCAACCGACAAAATGACAAAGTGTATGCAAGGAGTTCACAGGAAGCTTCGGAGATCATTCCGAGAGTTGAGAGAGGCCACCACCCTGCGTCAATCATGGTTTGGTGGGGGGTGTCCTACGAAGGGGTCACTCAGCTCCATTTCTGTAAACAGGGCGTAAAAACAAAAGCGGCAAACTATCAGAGCGACATACTGGATCCTATCGTCAAGCCTTTAAGTGGTACATTGTTTGCCAACCAACACTGGGTCTACCAGCAGGATTCCGCCCCCGCTCACAAGGCTAAGAGTACGCAGCGCTGGCTGGAAAGCAATGTGCCAGAGTTCATTGCTGCGGAAGATTGGCCCTCAGGGAGTCCGGACCTCAATCCTTTAGACTACAAGTTGTGGGACCTGCTAGAGCAGTTGGCCTGCTCCAAAGCCCACCGTAATATCGAGTCCCTGAAAGCGGATTTGATCCGATCAGCGGCAGCTATTCCTTTGGAAGCTGTGCGTGCAGTGATAGATGAGTGGCCCGCGAGATTGAAGCAGTGTGTGAAGGCCAAGGGGGGACATTTTGAATAAAACTGTTTGATTATGAATTCTAAAAATGTTGTCGAATAAATAATATCTTTCATATAAATATATCTTATCTTGTTTCATTTTTATCATGAGATTATCATGGGACAGAACTTATGGCACGACTACGTATAAATGATATCTCTGACATTTTAGCTGACTGCAAAATTCAAATATTTGCTGACGGATTGGTTAAATGTTAATAAACCTGAATTAAACACTAATAAAACAAAATTTATGTCAACAGGAAAACATGATATTGAATTCGTAGAAAATTTTAAATACCTGGGGGTTTTTGTTGACTTTCGATTAATTTTTGATATTCATTATGAAAAAGTTATAAATAAGATTAGTAGTAAAGTCGGATATTTATCGAGAGTTTCTGGATGTCTGATATAGCAGAAAAATTATCTATAATACCTTCATTCTTCCAAATTTCTTGTACTGTTCGACTATTCTATATTTAGCAAATAATTCCATTTTTGAAATACTGCAAATTTTACAAAATAAGTGCATGAGAATAATACTAAATAAAGATAAATATATTCCAATTAGGCAAATGCTTAGCAAATTAAAATAACTCAATGTATAAAATTTTATCAAATATCTTGTAATGATATTCATTTATAAAGTAAAAAATAATATATTTCCATCAAGTCTAACTAATTTAACATCATCAAATGTCGACCATCATTTACATAATACCAGAAATAAAGATGACTTCCATTTAATGACCAAAAAGTATAACATATTCTACAAATCTGTTTTCCATCAAGGGTTGATTGAATATAATAAATTATACTCAGAGATAAAAGACCAGAAAACTTTGACAAAATTTAAAGTAAAATTGAGAAACTTGTTAAATCTCAATTATAGGTTGCCCAGCATTTACATCATACACCATATGGCTTGAATTTACTAGTTCTAAGTTGTTTACAATTATTCTGTTTATGTAGCCAAATGTGCTAAATAAATCTTTCTACTAGTACTATTACTACTATTTAGGCTCGCAATTAATGAAAAAATTGTAGTAGTTGAATCATTCAAATATCTGGCTAGGTATATATGCTGATAGTAAACTATTGTTTCAAGAGCATTATAAATACATTATTTTACAAATATCAAAAAAGATAAATCACTTCTATAGAGTTTCCCATAATCTCAGTATGTATTCTAAATAAAATTGCCTATAGCACTATAACTATTTCGCATTTTTTATATTGATAAAAATTACAAATTCTAGTAATAAAGCTAGTTTAAATAAAAACACATAAGCTAGGATTAAGTCTATGCTAGAAGAACTACAGTGGTTGAATGTAAAAAATTCCATATGTTATTTAGTTGTCATTTTCATACTCAAATTAAAAATTCATTTGTTTCCACCACATTTAAAAAACTTCACAAAATTAAATAGTCATTAACATAACATTAAAAAAATTGTAATAGTAGCATAACTAGCATTCTGTATTTCAAAAGAGAGTATTTAAATTTAATACATTTCGAATTTAAAAATTTTCAAGATGAAAAATCATTAATACCCAAAATGCATAGTGACATGAATTGTATAGACAAAAATGTAAAATAACAGAAAATTGATTCAAAAAATGTGTAAACGCATCATGACATTGTAGCATAAATTCTAAATAAATCTTCAACAAACAAACAGAATACTGCCTACTCACCTTATCTAAGCAGTACTTTCCAAATTCATAGTCATGGTACAGAGTTTTTTCTTCCTGATTATTCCCCAATATGTCTTCATCACCTGGTACGTCTACATGGTCAAAATAATGTCGCAATATGCCGTTTGGCAGCAAACGCAATCTATCCGTCGAATTGTAGTAGTGGTATATTGGCCATAGTTGCATATGTCCGCAATCGGGCGCACCACTTACTAGTCTGCAATATATATCTCAAATTCAGACTTGACTGATGGACTTCAGAAGATATCGAACATTTCATTTTCAATTTATCAATGGATAAAAGTACATTTTTGTAAGTCAAAATATCAGACTTTCCAATCATTGAGCCACTCATAAAAATTAGCAATATTGCTGATGATCTAAAATGGGTTGAGATGAGGCCCTAATCAGTTACTTCAGAAGTTTTTGAATTATAATACAGTGTTGTTCAAAAAATAACGGGCCTTTATTGTTGTAACTTGTTATATTCTTATTGTTTATATAGATATGAAAAACTGACTACATATTCTGAAACACCCTGTATACATACAATATGCAAAACATATACATTATAATGCATAGTTCATTATGCTAAAAAGTAGGCATTGTGATATTTATAGACCAGTGGAGTTTACACCTTTTCCTTGGACCATGTACACAACTGCAATTTCAGTTTTAATGTTATATTGTTCTGATAAAGCTCTATAGCTAATGAAAATGCATATCACACTTCTTAATAATGGTCTAGTAATTGTATTGTACTGTGACATTGATACTACATGAAGCCACAGGGAATATTTTTTAAAATTAATTTTCATTTTATTATTAAATTTGATTATTTTGTTATACTAGCAAACACAACTGTGTATTAAGTAAAAGTCAGGTTCTAGTTGGACTCTTCCATATGCACCTCAGATTTCATATACACTGAAAACCAAATTTGTCTGACTGTTGAAACTATTGTCCGCTTTCCGAATAGGTATAAATCATCTTCATGAAGCTGTTGAAGAATAAAAAATAACCAAATGTTTTTTTTGTAAATATTGCAAAGGCTATAATTTTGCACAAATCTCTATGATTATGAACTTGTAAGTAGCATATAGATGAAACACTTTCTAGTTCTTGCCATAGTGGAGGTGAAAACGCTCTGCGTTGTTGTAGTGTATTTTCTATATGCTAAAGAAATTGCTTCAGTATTATGCATGTAGCCCTTTAATCCGAAGACATGAATTCAGAGGTTAGAAAAGTGATATAAATATGTACCTCAATTGACACTATGCAAAACCATGCTGTGTCTCTAGGGCTACATCTAAAAAACATGTGGCATGGACTTTAGAAAATTTGTTATATAAAAGCAGTGGCAGTTGGTGGTGTCATCCTATCGAATGTCAACAGCAATAAATTTTATATGATTTATAAATGTTATGGATCATTTAATATTTATATTTGAAATATTGAACAAATAACAAAACGCGATAAAAACTTAGGGCAGAAAAAATATGTATATATTACAATTCAAATCTCTTCTCTCTAGCTTTGACAGCCGTAAACTCAGAAATAACTTCATCAAAATTTATATTTTGTGTTTCCAAGTGTTCGATGGCTTATATTCTGTTTCTGAGACCTGATCATAAAAATCAGTAAATTTGGATGTAACTAATTTCAGTACTCCAGTATTCACCAAAAGCAAAGTATAAATTCAGCTGTGGTATAGATGAAGTTCCAACAATAATAGTAAAACTTTCCATTCCAGTTTTAAAACATATTTTGTGCTTACTTATTAATAATGCTTTTAGACAAGGATCATTCCCAGAGAATTTGAAAATAGCTGTTATCAAACCAATTTTTAAAAAAGGTAATCGAGAGCATTTAGAAAATTATATTCCAATCAATATTTTGACGGGTTTTTCAAAATTATTTGAGTTATGTATCAGTAAGAAATTATTAGAATTTATGAATGACTGAAATTTATTTAATACACATCAGCATTAATACCTACATGGGAGATCAACAGATACTGCAATCTTTCAATTTGTTGAAACAGTCTTAAGCAATTAGCCAAGGGAAACTTTGTGTTTGGTTTCTACCGGGGCTTGTCCAAAGCTTATGATTGCATTGACAGAGACATATTGTTATTAAATCTACAATGATATGGTGTAAGAGGAACGGTGCTAGAATTGTTCAAGTCATACCTCTATAATAGACAACAGAGGGTTGAAAGGGTTAAAGGAGGTCAAACATTGAGCTGACTTCAACCAACATAGCATAGGGTAGTATGAGCCCCTTCCCACTTCAGTTGGCCCACTTCAAGATTAACATGATAAACATGACAAAAATATTTAATTCTAAAACAATTTATTTTCTCAAAAACATTTTAGATACACTCTAGTCGTAAAAAATACATATTTGAAATCACTTAGACCTATAACTAATAGAACATCTGAACAAATAAACAATATGCGAATAAATGCGCGAAGTTAACAAAGCAACAATTGAAAGATTACCATTGGGTAACATCACCTTTATTTTTTATTACGGCTGAAATTCTTTGGGTCATAGTGTTAACCAAGTTTTGACAAAAATTTGGTGTAAAACAATCCCATATTTCTTGAAGCTTTTGTCTCAGTTCGGTGATTTGTTCAACCAGGATGTTGTCGTAGAACCTTTTTCATCTCGTGCCACAAAGTTTCAATAGGTGACAGATCTGGACTGCTAGAAACCCATTCCAAAAGTGATACATTATTTTCTTCCATCCATTTTATAGCCTTTTTTGAGGTATGACACGCTGCACCATCTTGCTGAAACACAAAATCTTGGCCGGATGTCAAACATTCTTCCATCACTGGTAAAAGCGATTCTTCTAAAATTACCAAATATTTGTTTGTATCCACATTTCCATCAATAAAATGAAGTTTTCTTACTCCTTTTGATGACATACTGCCCCATACCATAATGGATGCTGGAAATTTCACTTTTCTCTTCAAACAGTCAACATGGAATGCTTCATTTTTTTTGCGAATAACTCTACTGCGACTGTGACCAACACAAATTTCGAATCGGGCCTCATCACTCCATTGTTGAGGTGTCCATTGTCTATGTTCTTTAGCCCATCTAAGCCGATTTTTCTTTTGCAGTGGAGTTAATAATGGCTTTTCTTTGGCCTATAAACAAGTTGTGCAACTTTAGGGTTTTTGCTTCACTCCTTTTGTATAAGAAAACTTACCTTGCAAGTGCTTAATCCCAGTTTGTAGGCCTCTCTATGAGTTGTGGACCTCGAGATTAACCTTCCAACAGTGTCACTTCACAGAGCACTTAATTGTAAATAATTGGCACGCCTGTTTTTCACGATTATTCTTCTTAATGCTCTTCGGTCCGCATTTGTGATATTACTTTTTTTCACATATCATGGCTTAATATTAACTGAATCAGTCACGTTATATCTTCTAACAATATTTCTCACACTGTACCGCAACAAAAGTTGCAATTTCTGGGTTTGATTTCCCACAATTAAAAAATTTAATTATCAGTAACCGAATTTTCTCACTAACAACCTTTCCTCTACCCATTTTGAAAACCTTAACTACCCATAACTATTTTAAACGCATTCTGACAGCTGTGATTAATAAAAACAATTGTCATGGCTTTTATTTTTCACAGCCACCTATGCGTTATAGACTTATTTTGCATTGAAATGAAAATAGGTTGATATGCTGTAATTGCAACATGTGTTTTTATGCTGCAATTTGATTAGGGAGTGATAAAGTTGGTGTTTTCTACTATATATTATCAAAATATTCATTGTTAATATTTTAAACCTATAACACCCTGGTACATTTTTATTATTTGTGTTTCATAAGAAAAAAACTAAGATTTCGATAGTTGGGCCAACTGAAGTGGGAAGGGGCTCATACATTTATTTTAAATAGTTATTGAAATTGACCTAAACTGATGTGTTTGGCTATTCATGTTGTATACCTTTTTGGAAAGTTGACTATACATGCCAGTTTTTCTAGCTAAACTTGTAATCCTGCATACAATTTTGATTTCTAAAAAGGAAGGCTTTTATCAAGTATGTTGATTATTTCTTGACTTTAAGGCCCGTATCGTCAGTCGTCCCTACAATTGTAGGGCGTGTTTATGGCCTCCTTGATTGTCATACTGCTTTCTCTCCTTCAAAACTTTCCAGATTACACTTATCCTGTGTCAGCGTCAGCGCTCTCCTATTGTGAAGATATGTTTTCTTTTTAAATTCTACGAAATTTCAGGCTGATCAAACATGATATAACTCAAAAGCAAGCACAATTTGATGCAAATAGATGTTTGTGACATAACCTCAAAATAGAGTGCTGACACAGAGAAGTAGAAAACTATGACAATCAAGGAGGCCATAAAGGCGCCCTACAATTGTAGGAACGACCGACGATACGGGCCTAAAATGTCCCTAAGACACTATATCTTCACCGTGTATCTCGTCGAGCAGTTGTTCACTGTCGATGATGTATACTTACGTGTAATTTATCTGCAAATTGGTGTCCCCTTTTTCTGAAACAAACAGTGGTCTCCACTCTTCGCTACTCGAGTTCACGATAGTACAATGTCTTCCAACGTAAATTTCATTCGGTTCACAGCACTTGTTAATTTTAACTGGACTAGACCCACTCACACCTCTGGTCAACGCAGTCTTTGCTTTCGGTACGAGTGCTACCGAAAAATACAAAAATAACACTTTGCCGAACATCTTGGTAGAAGTAGGGTTAGGTGGAATCCTCGTACGCTTTATTCTTGAATTTTAGCTTTCCAGAAGGGCGTGCCTTTGATTTTGTGCCATAAATTAACATTAGATCAGTTTTTTCCAAAAGTTTTCCTTTGTTTTTCCTATGGCTGCTTGATTTCATATGCAGATGTTTTGCACCGGCCTGTTGTCACTTTTGATAAGGCACTGTTAACTGTTACCTTCTCATCTACAATTTTAAGGCCCAAGGCTAATGGTGGAAGGTTTACCTGTAGGGTATCTCACTCAACGATTTGTCATCATCGCATAAATTACAAGACAGGTATCAGATTTACGTTTCGGAAGCTTGTAGGTTATTCGTTACTCATTAGCGTAGTAACAGTGTTGCCAGATTGCCACCGCATCGCAGAATTCTCCATAGACATCAATGTTGCCAACAAAAGTAACAACAGTTAATGTTTCAACATGAAATGCTAAAATTAGGATATTTCTTATTTTTCAAAACTTCTGAAAGCATAGTCTGGTTAAATTGAGGTACTGTTGCGTCTTGTAGAACTTCTAATTTCGCTGTATTTTCACTTGCAACTTAAAGAGGATAGTCCGATAGATCATTTTAAATGAAAAAAAGTGTGGATGAAGCACGCTCGTCTAGAACATTGCATTTTAAGCACTTATTTTCACCATTATTTCCACCGCCTTCGGCCATATGACGTTGACGTCTGGCATATGTCATGTATGAGAGGCACTTGCCTGCGCTGTTGCCGGATTGGGCTGCGCATTTAGGGAAAAATATGAAAAGTGGAAAATTCATAATACATATATTAATTAATGAAACACAAAAACGAAAAACTGAAACAAACGACAGTAGCAAAATAAAAGCGATTTTTAATAAGTATAAAACAAAAAATAACGATAGTAAGCTAAAAGACAATAAATTGTCAAAACGTATAAAAAATAAAAAGTAGTAAAACAAAAAAAAACTATTCCATGTAATTATGAAAAACAAATAACAAACATTTTTAATTTCTTATGGGAAAATATTTTTTTTTACATTTTCGATTTGGGCATTACAAGTAATTAAGATGATCGTGTAGATTGTGTTTTTAAACACAGCAATAATTCCTAACTCCAAATAAACACAAAAAACAGAATATTAATTTGTTTAATTTTCCAATATTATTTTTAACAAATTAAATTAATTATTTACAACTAAAATGCTATTGGATAGTTAGGACAAACATACAAAATCTAAAGTAGTTGCTCGAAATGTAAACCCAATTGTTCAATACACAATTCACATCTACGAATGTTCGAACGTGGTATAGCATTATTCAAATAAGGCCTTATTTCATCACATGCATTCCTGATTCTGTCTATTAGCATATCTCTTGTGGTTACGGGAGTCTGGTACACTTTTTCTTTTAGAAATCCCTACACAAAGAAATCTAATGGATTTAGGTCAGGGAATCGTGGAGGCCAGGCGACTGGTCCTCCACGGCCGATCCTTTCGTCCAGCCAGTTTCTAACTATTAAAATGTCACATTTGGATAGCTGTCAAATTCCTATATCACGCAACTTCATGTCATTTTTGTCGGTTAAATTAAAATCATATTCGGTATGTTAAAAATGTTGTATTTACACTGTTGATGAATAAAAAAAATCGTGAATCGACACTCCAGATGGACGACGTAATTTGTAACGTCAAGGTCACTCCCAATGGAGTAGAGAAACAGCCACAAAATGGATTTTACAAATTACACTTATACATAAAATTCGTAGTAATGCTAAATTTTTTCGCCGTCTGAGGTCATCGAAACTTCGTATTCGATTGGTTCGCATTCGGTGTCTTCGAGATTTTTCCATGCAGATGGAAGTTTCAGGCATCTGCAAACGCTCTTATTCGCTAGATGCCTCATAACTTTTTTCCGGAACACCACCAATATCAAAAAGATCGTCAGGCCTTCCAAGGAGTTTATAATATCGGTGACCACCCTGAAAAAGAAAGCGACAGTATTGTAGTAAAATTTTTCACAGGATATTGCAACTTTAAAGAAATTTACGTCATATTTTTTAAAACAAACATTGATTTAACACATACCATAACCACTTTAAACTAGAGTGGTTTTCGGTGGCGCTAGATATAACTTCGAACAGCCAGGAGATGCCCATTATGAAGAATAATTTGATGTACAACTTCACCCTAAAATAATGATAAAATAAGTACCCAAATAAATACAGATACAGAGTGTAAAGTTAGTAGTGGATCAACGGAAGTCAAGTGATAGAGGGCCTATCGAATGAACCCCTAATGAACTTTCAATCGCAATTACAACTAAACCATTAGGTTTAGGGCTTTGATTTTTTTTTGAGATGTGCTAAATAGTTAGTTTCAGCAATGCTTGTCATTTTTTAAAGGAGCTTATTAGAAATCAACGCAAAAAAATGTTTGTAAAAAATCCCTTCCATCCCTCAACTTTAGAGGACGGTAAAAATAATTATTTTTTATTCATTTTAGTACAGAATCTATTGTGTTTAGCCGCTCTTTATGGCGATTTAAGATAATTTAATTTAACTAGGTTTTGCAGAACATGTTCAAATTGGCCTCCATTATTGTCTATACAGAAGCGACTCCTTCTAATAAAATTATCCTCTAGTCTTCGAAATGAATTTGCATTTTCCATAATTTGTATTTTTGCTTCATCAGTTTTCTGGCGCAGTTGGTTGACATTTCTACAGGGTGACTTCGAAGTTGAGTCATTTATTTTAACAGTGAGTAGATCTGATCAAAAGAAATGTTTTTTCCTTTAACATTTTTGTGTTAAAATTAAAGTAACAATGTTATAGCCCTTTAGAAGTTTGAGTACCGCCCTGTCTCAATAATAATATTATGTGCTCGTGTTTGGCGACAACGTATATAATCCGCCTTATCGGTTCATCGCATCGGAAACAAAAAAGCGAAAGAATTTGGAACGATGTTTTTACAATTATTTTATTCAGTTGTATACAGTCAGTGTCAGTCGGTAACGCGTGAGTGAATAGTGGTGTCTGTTGCGTGGCTCAAACGAAATAAAAAATGGCACTTGTTTATGCGGATCGGTTTCCCAATCGAGTGCATCCAACCCCTCGTGCCTTTGTTAATGTAGTACAACGGGCTCGTGAATCAGGTGACTTAAGACCTGACAGTGGAGGGCATGCCGGTGCTCCAAGACCTCACGATCAAATACAGGTCCGCACTGAAATACTTGTCGTGAGGATACTTTATAAAACAAGGTAAACAAATTTTTTATTTTTTTTTATTTTTACACCCATATTTAGGTTTATCTTCCTTCTACAATCATTATTTGAAAATTAATGACTCAACTTCAAAGTCACCCTGTATATTCAGATGTATACATTATCCCCTTATAAAACCACGATATAAAAAAAACTAGAGGATTTAAATCGGGTAACCTTGGAGGCCATCGTATGTGTCCCCCTCTACCTTTCCGACGCTCAGGAAAGGCACTGTCCAAGTAATGCCGTACATCCCGTGCAAAGTAGCATGGGGCACCATCGCATTGAAAAGACTTTGAACGTCCAAAGTTCATACAAACTGCTTTGTACAAAAGCTAGATATGACTGACCATTCAACCTGGCGGGCAATTCATATGGATCAATTAATTTTTTTTTGAGTGCTCCAGCGCGTAAATTAACGCCGAACTGACGTTGAAAGCTGTGTCGGCGAATAGCGTGCGGATTTTCCACGCTCCATGAATGGAAATTGCGCTTGTTGAATATTCCATTTCGGATAAAGATGGATGCATCTGTCCATAAGATGCTGTCGAAAAAGGTTTCATCCTCTTCGCACCTTCTCAACGTATTATCACAAAGTTCAACTCTTTGTGCATAGTCGCTTGGAAGCAATTCTTGTACTGTTTGTACACGGTAAGGATGCACGTTCTCCGAGTGTACTATTGCGTGCAGTCTCTCAAATGTGTATAGAACCTAATTCTTCGAAGACTGTAATGGTCGTGATGTTACCGTAAACTTAGAGCGCTACGTCGACATGATCACCAACTTCTTTCTCCCTGAATTACGACGGCGACTTGTTCCAATCCGACGTGTGTGGTTCCAGCAGGATGGGGCGACCGCCCACACAGCCCGAGCATCCATCGACGTTATTCGCCCTTTCTTCCCTGGTCGCCTTATTTCCAGGTTTGGCGATTTTCATGGGCCTCCTCGGTCCCCAGATCTATCCATATGCGATTTTTTCGTATGAGGACACCTCAAGGCTAGAGTATACGCGAACAAGCCCCGAACTCCGGACGAATTGAAGGGCGAAATTCGCGTGGAGGTCGCCCAAGTTGAGAGAGCGATGTTGGAGAGAGTCTACGCGAACTTCCAAGAACGCCTCCAGCACTGCATCAACGATTTCGGCCACCACATTTTCCACACTTGACTGTCTCAAATGCTATTTCCTTGTGAAGCTGATTCCATCAATAAATTTGTTTTCGAGTAAAAATTAACTATTTTATGATATTTTTAAAACCGTCCATCCTCTCTGCCGCACCCTGTTTAATCTAAGATACAAACATCCTCATCGAGATCCTTACCTGTACTTGAAAACTTGATTTGTTCTGCTGTTAGTGTATTGTTTAGACAGTACCACGATAGTCCATACAAAATATATTATATTTGTGGTGATCAGGATCGAAATAGGTGTGTAGAAATAGATCATTTGTTCTCTCATAGCTGGAAAAAGTAAAAATCAGCATTAAGTTCTTCCTCAAAGGCAGCATGTAGAATGGTACTTCCTGTAGGCGGTTCTAATGTAGTTGGAGGTCAAACATAGATTGGAAAAAGACACTACTAGTCTAATCATACGAGCCCCTTCCCACTTCAGCTGGCCCAACTATTGAAAGCTTAGTTTTTTTCTTATCAAACACAAATACAGCAGACGCTCGATAACGTCAACACGGGATAATGAAAACTTGCGCTAATGTAAACACAAACTTCGTTCTGTAGGATCAAACGGAACGCGCGATAACGTAAACAATGTGTACGCTCGATAACGTAAACAACTCTCGGCGCACGGAAACAGCGCGACGGTAAAATGCTGAAGCCTCGATGATTTATGTCGGGCGTCGGGGAGTCCCCGATTTATGATGTAGAGTGTAGGGGATTCACCTCTGCGATAAAATACGACAAACTCGGTCAGTCGTATGATCGTTTAGGATACGTTTATACGTACGTATGTATTTCATTTTTGAACTTAAGTGAATACCTTGCACGCGTTAATATATTTTACGACTATGGCATCCACATCCTATAAAAGAAAGTGTTTAAAGTTGAGTGAGAAAGTGAAAATCATAGACGAAGTTGCACTTGGTGCGGGAGTGACACAGTTAGCAAAAAATATGGAGTATCGAAAGCAACAATCTGTAAAATTAAGCGTATGAAAACTCAAATTTTACAAAGAACGTGCAATACATTTGGAGGTCCGGGAAAAAGAAAAACTTTAAAAAATGCGAAGGCACCTAAAATGGAAAATTCCCTGTATATGTGGTTTTTAAAACAACGGGAAAATCATGTCCCAGTTAGTGGCGAAGTACTTAAACAGAGAGCGAGAGTGTTAAATGAAAAACTGAAAATTTCGTAGCTAGTGATGGCTGGCTACAACGATTCAAAACAAGATATGGAATTCGTCTGCTGTCTATATCTGGTGAAAAATTATCAGCACAACCACAATTAGTGCAACCATTCAAAGAAAAATTGTTGAAAACAATTACCGAGCTAGATTTAAGAATGGAACAATTTTACAAAGCAGATGAAAGTGGCCTTTATTGGAAAATGTTACCAGAGAAAACCTATGCTGCATCATTTGAAAAATCTGCCCCGGGAAGAAAGCCCGAGAAACAACGAATAACGTTTCTAGCCTGCACTAATGCTAATGGTTCACACAAAATAAAGCCACTGGTAATTGGGAAAGCAAAAAATCCGCGCTTATTTAAAAATGTTAATATCCCTGTTGATTATGACTTTTCAAAAACCGCTTGGATGACTAGCAGTATATTCCTGAAATGGTTCCACAGGTGCTTTGTCCCTCAGGTATGACAATCAATTATCACAAATGCTCTATTCATAATTTGAAGATGTGTTTTCAATTTGTAGGTAAAAGATTTCCTAAAACAACAGAAGCTTCCAATAAAAGCGTTGTTACTATTGGATAATGCACCAAGTCATCCTCCCGAGCAACAACTGAGGAGCAGGGATGGGTCAATTTTCGTCATGTACATGCCGCCCAACGTAACACCGTTAATTCAACCGATGGACCAGAATATAATAAGACTCACCAAACTATACTATAGGAAGTTTCTACTTTCGCCTGTCTTATCAAAGAATCCTGAAAACTTATCTGAGGCTTTAAAAAAGTAACATTACGAGAAGCTGTTTTAGATTTACATATGGCCTGGAATGAACTTAACCAGCAAACTATTCAAAAATGTTGGAACAATCTCTTTTGTACCAATAATGAAGATGATGAAGAAGACGATGTCCCCTTAAGCGTAATTAGAGAACGTTTGCGATCCAATAATGATAATGTTATTAGTGTGTCATTGGATGTTGTTGATTTATTGAAAACAGTGAATCCCAACATTGTTTGTACTCCTGCTGATATTAATTTATGGAACGAAGATAAGCAGACGAACGATGCTGATAAGGAGGAGGATATGGACAGTGAGGATGATGAGAACGATCCCATTGAAGTCAGAAGTGTAGTGACTGACGCGCAAGCTATACAAGTTTTTAACCAAGCTTTAGATTGGGCTGAAAGAAAAGAAGTTTCATACACGGATATTTTAGTTCTTCGTAAGTTACGGGCGCAGGCATTGGAAGACAATGCTAAGCGCAAATTTACGCAGACAAAAATTGTAAATTATTTTTCTTCTAATTAAAAAAATACTTATCGCTGTTAGAATATTCGTTTCTTTTGTTAAACGTTTCTTTTAATAAATCAAATATTATATAAATCACGTTCGCTAATGTAAACATTTCGATAACGTGAACCACACTTGGATTAAATTAGTTTAGTTTATAAAGGCATATTTTGGTACAAATCTTGAATTGGGCCAACTGAAGAGAGAAGCGGCTGGTACATGTTTCTCAAAATAAAGTCAGAAAAAACGATTTGGCCAAATTTTAGTTTTTCCCAAATATATCAGTAAGCCATGGAATTTTTAAAAATTTCCCAACGGCTCAAAGAACACAGCTTTTTTCATAATTTAACTTAAGCTGTATCTCCCACAGATATCGATATTACCATGCATAGGATCCTTATTTCGGTCACCCTGAATATAGTACTTACTCTTGAACCAACACCTAATTTCTCCTATACCAGGATGGACGTGTTTTAAGGGCTCGAAGTCTGAATGCTGAATTAGAGTCAAAACAGCCCAACAAAATATGGGCCCTCCAATACCATAAATGTAATAAACCATTTTCCAGTTTTTTATATGGTTCAACAGCGGTGGATTCCTGAAAGATAAAAATTAGCCAAAAGTGTATTTTAGGTGGGTAGAATAATTTTATATCGACCGGTCTAACTTCATGGCATTCTCTACTTTGGGAGTACTGAAAAAACGTCTATTGTTGAACAATAATCGTATAAGGATAGCTTATTATACAGGGTGTGCCATAAAGGTGTTGGCAATTTGAATATTCAATCAAAAAATAACTACGCAATATAAAAGAAAAATAAAGGTATTTTTAAAAAGTAGAAAGATAGAAATTTTTAAGACAATTTTGTTTGTTAACGTGGCCATTGAGGTGAAAATTGGCCTCATCACTGAACATCACGTTAAAACTGTTGAACGGTCGAGCATCAAATTGACAAAGTTAAGTCGGTTATTGGCATCATCTGGTTCTAATTCTTGGACTAGTCGAATCTTATAAGCCTTCAAATGCAAATCACGCTTCAAAATGTGCCGCAAGCTCGTTCTTTTGATGTTCAAAGCCTGACTATTGCGGATTTCGCTGAACTGAAACACGAACACGCTCTACGTTGTCGGCTGATCTTGCAGAACCTGGACGACCCCGAGCTGTTATTGCTACCCGGTTGTTGCGAACATTCTGATCCATTTCCGTATCACACCGTGTTCATTTCGATACAAACGTCGTGCAGTAATAACCGATTTATTCTTTTCATGACACGCTCGGACACAAAATGCACGCTGCGCTCCATGGCGACTAAATTTCCAGACAACGGCGCGGCTAACAGCTTATCTACCGTTGCGCAATTTGTTTATAGGCAGTCTGGAGACTGTCTCAAAACACGATCTATAGATGGTCTATAGCCATCCTTCTTTGTCTCGTCTAGCGTCCATACGATAATGTGAATGTTTCGTTTTCGCCATCAAATACATTATTTTATAAGGAATGGAGTGGGATCCCTCAGAATGCTTTTTTTCGGTTAACAGAGCAATGAAGTTTTTATGTTTTAATCTTTAATATTATTACACCAGTTAATTATAAATGCCAGGTACTTATTTTGTTCTCATATAATAAAATATTGCCTTTCTGAGGATTTCTAAGCACTTCCCATGGTTTTTGTTTCAAGCTAGCATTGACCAGATAGAACACAATGGATTTAAGGAGCAATAATATACTAAGTGACATATAAATCCGAACACCCAGTTTAAATGGTTTTATTTTAATAAAAGTTGGTGAATGTATTTATCTTACTGTAAATAACAAGTAAAACAATTTTCAGCCTTATCAGTTCTCTACAGTGGGGTTTTGTAAGTAGGTTCTGTGGGCCTTGACCTTCTGCTGGCGAGCAGTGTCACACGATTTGTTGAACCAGCCGTTGGACCCTGGTTTAGGAACTTTCACTGTGTGAGGGATGTATTCCTCCATTCCGACGTGGATAATTTCGGTTATTCAAGAACAGACAGTCGACGCATCCGCGTCAGTGAAACAGACATCTCTCCAAGGAAAGCTAGAGAAGAAGTCTCTGAGCCCCTCCCAGTCGGCATGTCCGTAATGCCAAGTTTTGAGGCCTGTGCGAGTTTCTGCTGCCCGTGCAGTAATAACCGATTTATTCTTTTCATAATACGCTCGTATTCAAAATGCACGCTGCGCTCCATGGCGACTAATTTTCCAGACAACGGCGCGGCTAACAGCTTATCTACCGTTGCGCAATTTGTTTATAGGCAGTCTGGAGACTGTCTCAAAACACGATCTATATATGGTCTATAGCTTCTTTGTCTCTTCTAGCGTCCAGACGATAATGTGAATGTTTCGTTTTCGCCATCAAATACATTATTTGATAAGGAATGGAGTGGGATATGTCTCGGGATCCCTCAGTACGTTTTTTTTTCGGTTTACAGAGCAATTAAGTTTTTATGTTTTAATCTTTAATATTATTACACCAGTTAATTATAAATGCCAGGTACTTATTTTGTTCTCATATAATAAAATATTGCCTTTCTGAGGATTTCTAAGCACTTCCCATGGTTTTTGTTTCAAGCTAGCATTGACCAGATAGAACACAATGGATTTAAGAAGCAATAATATACTAAGTGACATATAAATCCGAACACCCAGTTTAAATGGTTTTATTTTAATAAAAGTTGGTGAATGTATTTATCTTACTGTAAATAACAAGTGAAAAAATTTTCAGCCTTATCAGTTGGACATTCCGGTTTTTATACTGCTTTTTTTTAATTCACTAACGCTCTAAAAATGAATATTTCAGCCGCAGTAAAGAATCAACGTTGGCGGATTTTGGTTCTTGACATCCTTTACGATCGGTTACGATGCCTAGAGTACGGAGACCTGTACGATTTCGTCAACTTAGTGAGTTTGATAGGGGCCGTATAGTGGGACTTCGGGAAGCTGGACTTTCTTTTCGGGCAATTGCAGTTAGAGTGCAAAGAGGTGTAGACACTGTGGTTAGATGTTGTCAGGCATGGCTTCGAGAAGGCCGTACGCAAAGAGCAAGGGGCACTGGACGCCGCCGTAGAACAACAGTCCGTGAAGATCGCCGCCTAAGATTATTGGCCTTCAGGGACCGTTTCTCCACTACCAGGTCCATTGCAAATGAATGGTTTGCAGAACACGGAAGACCTATTGGCATGCGAAGTGTTTACCGACGAATGAGAAGTTTTGGCTTGTTTTCATACCGGCCACACTGGGTCCTCCCTTTAACTCGAGAACACCGACGTAATCGCCTTGAGTGGTTCAGACAACGGTCACTCTGGGATCAGGAATGGAACAGTATTGTCTTTAATGACGAGTCTCGATTTTGTTTAGGCATGCACGATGGTCGTGCCAGGGTTAGAAGGCGACGTGGTGAAAGGAGGAATCCACAGTTTTTTGTTGAAAGACATGTTCATCACACTGTTGGAGTTATGGTTTGTGGTGCTATAGCTTATGGTTCCAGGTCACCTTTAATCTTCATCAGAGGTAACATGAACGCGCAGCGTTATATCCACGAAGTTCTAGAACCCCATCTTTTACCCTATCTTGACACCCTGGCAGATCCAACTTTCCAACAAGATAATGCCCGACCATATGTTGCAAGAGTCACAATAGACTTCTTTCAACATAATGATGTCACATTGTTACCATGGCCACCAAGATCTCCCGACTTATCCCCAATTGAGCACGTGTGGGATATGATGGGTAGGAGATTGCTCAATTTGCAACGTCCTCCTCAGACTCTAGAAGCACTTCGAGAGGAGTTGGTGGTTGCCTGGAATGAGATACCACAGGAGGACATTGACCACCTGATCAGAAGCATGCCTAGACGCGTTGGAGAATGCGTAGCACATCAGTATGCATCCACACATTATTAAAGGTCAAAGGGCTTTAAACCAGTGCAATCATTTTGAAATTTTTATCATTTACTTATTATGCTTCATTAAGTACTTATACAAAATTTTATTAAAATAAAACCATTTAAACTGGGTGTTCGGATTTATATGTCACTTAGTATAGATTAAATTCTAAAAGTTCCACTAAGGTTGAAAAATGATCTGCCCCAAATATCGTTTGCGTCCCCCCCCCTAGACGAAACCCTAAATCCGCCTTTGCGTTGTACCAACTTGATGTTATTGAATTTTTCTTGAGCCGCGTACAGACTGAGATTCCAAGGTAAGGCAAGGCACATGTGGTTACAGACTGGGAGCTGTTCGCGTTAGCTCCTTGATCCATACATCACAGAGAGATTTGATTTGGTCTGAACAGGATTTGTAGCGTTTCTAATATTTAGTCGTATGTCTGCATTCGATGAGAGGTATCTCGTCGCCCAACATTAGCACCGAACTTGACCCAACTCGAAACCAAATTTGTGTAGACAACAACAAACGCCAACGTCGCATGTGCTTGCAGTCATTTGTTCGGCGTTGGATTTTCGGTCTGTACGCGGCTTTAAGCGTTCGATCGGCTTAACCGTTCGATACTATCGTCCAAACTTTACAGCTATGGTGTCATCTCTTGAATTGGATAAGTAGTTACTTATCTGAGAGATCTCAGATGGTAAGATATGGTAGGTGTACCTCTCGTAGCGCTCGTGTAACTTCGGGAGTCCCGCAGGGTTCTCATTTGGGTCCGTTGTTATTTAATGTATTTATTAATGATCTTGCGAGTTCAGTACGCAGTGAAATTCTTTTATTTGCGGATGGTATTAAGATTTTTAGAATTGTTGGGTACAACCATGCTGCTGAATTGCTGCAAAGTCACCTAGACCATACGAAATCTTTCAAAATTACATTTAGTCGGTTTTGTTCTCATATTACTTATTCTTATAGCATCAACGGTAGATCTTTACAAACTACAGACCAGATCAAGGACTTTTTGATGCAAAATTATCATTTAACGTACATATTGAAAAAACAATAAATTGTGCGTACTAGATGTTAGGTTTTATAAATCGTCACTTTTCTCTTTTAAAATGTTGTATTAATCTTTGTTTCTTTCGTTACTTGACTATTGCTGCTCCATCTGGTCCCCAAGTTATAACTTGTAGATAAACCAATTAGACCGTCTGCAGATTTTTTTTTTAAATATGTGGATGTAAAATGGGTTTCATTGCGGATGAGTATAATTATACTGATATTCTTCTCTACATGAATATGACTCAGTTTGGAATGTGACTTACTTTTCCTGCACAAAATTATCAATGGTCATATTGATTATCCCCAACTATTTCTTCAAACAAGTTATGGTTTAAATGAAACCATAACTCGTCTTCTTAGGTTAGATAATATACAGGGTGTCCGCAAAGTTGGGGTTTTCCTTTTCAGAAACAACTACCCTTGAAATAACAAAGGTAATGTGTAGTGAAACGAGGGCGACCAAGTAAAAAAAAATACAGGAAAAAGTACTCACTCTCCAGTTGACGAGAAGGGCTAAGTACGTCTCTGCCCGAAATCATACCGCTCCAACAGAAAATGAAATCAGCTGATGCGCTACCGAGCAGACGCAGGCAAACAAGGAAGGCAAAATGTTGCGTAAAAAGTCTAGGTATTGCATCTCGTCCAATCGATTTTGGAGAATAAATGGTCCAATGAGCATACCGTTCACCATGCCAGCCCAAACATTCACCGAAAATGTTTGTTGAAAATGTGCCCGACGGACAGCGTGCGGATTTTCTACTGACCAAACATGAGTGTTGCGAAAGTTATTCACCCCATTACGCGTGAACGTAGATTCGTCTGTCACCAATATGCACTTCAAAAAGTCCGGATTATTGTCATGTTGATGCAACAACCACTCACAAAACCGCACTCTTGCTGGAAAATCGTCAGGTTGAAGGGCTTGTACACGTTGGACGTGAAACGGATACGGCCCCTCTTCACACAGCGTTTGCCACACTTTAGTTTTTGATAGTTGCACTTCTCTAGCCACGTCTCTAGTGCTTGTTGAGGGATTCTCGTCTACGCGATTACCTCTACACGCGTGACCGTAACCGTCGGTTGAAGGTTGCATACTGACCTGACACACTGACCCCGACCCAGTTCTGTCGTCGTGTTGAGCTAGTGTCCTAGTACCACTCGGGGATGTCGCGGCTACAGGACGGTATTCAGATATTTTTGATGTTGCAGAGCCCTTTATCTCGGTTCCCTTAAGACATTGGTGTATATGGTACTAAGAAAAATTGCTTATGTTTTCAAGATCTACACGTCGTGTAAAGGAAAACCCCAACTTTGCGGACACCCTGTATATGTATCCACTTTAGAAGTATTCGGAACTTCAATCTGTGTGTTTAAAAGAAGTGTTAAGAACATTACAATGCAATTCTTTGTATCTGTAATAAGGGTTTTACCAGTTGAGTAAACAAATCAATAAAACTAAAACTATGTAACAAATTTCACTTACACGACTTGTCTCCATATTTGAAAACAGAGGATGTTCAGCCAGAAAAATGCGTACAAGAACGATATATACAGGAAATAAGCAGCAATATAACAGGATACATCTTCCAAATATGGTATAATATAGATAGCTACCAGTGTAAGATATGCCAATGCCTTTCCCGATATTGAATTCACTATAGCCTCACCCTAAAAAATAAAAAGTGTAAAATTAATTTTACTTCCCATCACATGTCGATCTATAGGAAAACGGGAAATTCGACTTTCTCAGATGTTCCCTTTCCCGGCAGTGTTATTACGTAAAAAACCTGTATTATGTCAAAAAAAAACAGACAAAATGTTAACTTGTTTAAATAATTCGTTCCGCGTTTGCTACCTATGGGCGCTCAATGACCTTGCTGCCAGCATGCTTTGTTGGTTGCAGAATGCCGAGATAGTCTATAGAGTATACAGGGTGTAAACGTTATGATAGTCATTATTTAAATGGGCGATAGATTGGGTTAAAAGGAGCAAAAAGTTTCATATAACATGGGACGGAACGCAGTGTAAATAAAGATGGAGTTTACGTACGCGAACAAAAACAAAACAACACGCCCGATGCTCTGCTCGGCAAAACGATAAAATAATTTATCTATGCAAAACGATAACTAACCACTGTTACCGTTTGCGATCGATTGCCGGTTCGATAAGAGTGATGAAAGACCGACGCGCTGTTGTCATGTGTGTTTTAAATATTTAGTCAAACTTACTTACCGACTACAAATTTTGGCTTAACTTAGAAAAACTTAATGCCATCTATTTGTTAATTAACCAATTTAAAAACTTTTTAGATTAGATTATAAAAATTAGTAAGATTGTGGTCCATATAAAGCACTTAAAGTTATAAACTATAAAGTCATTTAGACAAAAATGTATTGACTTTTGGACCATGGGTCATATGAACTTTTTGACTATTACCCATTTCAATAATGAACGATAACGTTTACACCCTGTATCTGTGAGAAGATGTGACAGAAAGAAAATTGATTGAGTAGCAAGATCGCATCTGGATGATTATGGAACATACATAATGTCACGAAAAAAACAAATAATGTAGAAAACCGACATAATGGCGCATTTCAAGTTACGAAACACGCCTACCGATTTCCATTATGTACCCAAAAATATTAAAACATGCAAAATTAAAACATGCGGCATGTTAATAAATCAACATCCAAGTCTAATTTTCAATAATAAGCAATGAAAAATATGATGAGTATGATTATTTTGTTTGTTATATGCTACTAGATCTATTGAAACATCTGAAACTTATCCTGGGGTTTAAATGTCGATCATCCCCCATAACAGTTAATCGGGATTTTTCCATATTATTATTTATGAACTGTGAAGGTTATTTTAAATTCCAGTCTTTTGGAACATTAAGCCCAAAAATGTACTTTAAAACTGTTTCACATAGTTTTATTGTCTCCCGTAAAATTCATATTATAATCCGAAGTTGAGTCATTTATTTTAACAGTGAGTAGATCTGATCAAAAGAAATGTTTTTTCCTTTACCATTTTTCTGGTAAAATTAAAGTAACAAAGTTATAGCTCTTTGGAAGTTTGAGTACCGCCCTGTCTCAATAATAATATTATGTGCTCGTGTTTGGCGACAACGGATATAATTCGCCTTACCGGTTCATCGCATCGGAAACAAAAAAGCGAAAGAATTTGGAACGATGTTTTTACAATTATTTCATTCAGTTGTATACAGTCAGTGTCAGTTGGTAGTGAATAGTGGTGTAACTGTTGCGTGGCTCAAACTAAATAAAAAATGGCACATGTTTATGCGGATAGGTTTCTCGGTTTCCCAATCGAGTGCAACCAACCCCTCGTGCCTTTGTTAATGTAGTACAACGGGTTCGTGAATCAGGTGACTTAAGACCTCACATATGGACGGCATGCCGGTGCTACAAGACCTCACGATCAAATACAGGTCCGCACTGAAATACTTGTCGGGAGGATACTTTATAAAACAAGGTAAACATTTTTTTTTATTTTTTTTTATTTTTACACACATATTTTGGTTTATCTTCCTTCTACAATCATTATCTGAAAATTAATGACTCAACTTCAAAGTCACCCTGTATAACTCGTGAGACGTACCTGCAGATCCATCATAGGCGGTAAAGATATGTAGATGACGACAGTGAGAATCATAAAAAACACAGAGATCATTTCGCAGACATTTTTCAGTATATCGATCGACGTTTCGTCACTATCATCGTCCCCGCATAATACATATAAATGTTTAGTTGTGTTTTGATCCGAGGCATAACAGTACCTGAAATGACATATTTTGTAGTGTAAAAAAAATAGCATCAAGTAGATTGACTCTAAAAGTCCTACGCCGTCGTTGCGGGTTAGAGAGAAAAGGAATTAGTCAAGTCGTATTACTTGTCAATGAAATTTCGTGAAAACGTTATCGTTTCATTCTTGATGTAAAAATCACTTCTAATGTCACTGCGTATAAATAAACATATTGTTGTTTCCATGGCAGATGTAGGTATGTGTGACGCATTATGTCTAACAGGTGCATAATATTACCGGGATTAGAAGCGTCTCAATAATGATAATAACCCAATTAAAAAAAATAAGCCGTTCTTCATAAATAAAATGTCCATGACTACCAGAAAAAGATACAATTGCTCAAAAAAACAAACCGGAGGCGTAGGAAGTATGGAGTCATTTTTTATCTGATTGACAATTTTATATTATGTATATATAACTTGAGACGTGGACATTGTCGTCTAGACCAGTTAGGTGAAAAATTAAAGCTTCCGCCTTCTGTTGGGTACTTCGACAGAATTTAAGCAAGGAGGACTCTTTATACTTTTTTTATTCTCTCTAGCTTTCAATGGTCTTTGCCATCATCATCCGGAGCTGCAATTACATTGATAACAGTAGCAACAATGGTGTAAAATGAATTTAAATTAACTTACAGTAGCATGTGAGGATGTTGCTAATTGTTGTTTACGTTAAGGATGAGGGAAAATCCCAGTAACATGGTGAAAGCTGGATGGTCAAAATTATACAAACTACAGACAAGAACAAGTTAAAAACAATTTAAAAAATATTTAAAACGAAAGTTAAGCATTACATCGTGAAGCTTCAACTTGATGATTGCACAAAATGGTGGGCATGGAATAATGAGGAAGATGAACCTTTTGACAGATGGCCGAAGGTTAGCAGTGTCTGTGTAGAATGATGGAACGAAAATTGTTTTGTGGGCGTGTGCTACGTTGCCAAATCACTTCAGATGGTGTGATTTTCAAGATACGTTGGGTAAGAACTTGTCAACCCGACCAGAGGCAGTTGAATTAACTATATTTTATTAGATGGGCAATTGAATTAACAGTTATTATTTAATTATGAGGAAACAGTTATTAAAATTTGAATGGAATGGAGTTTTTTGGTGGAATAGACCAAGAAACGACGTTCCGGTTTTGTCCCCAAAATTGCTTCTCGTTAAAAAAAATTGATATGTTCGGGTGTATTGATTTATAGTGTTAACACCTAACGATGTATCCGTCGTTATCAATAAGCCCAATGTGTCCGTCCGTTTGGTTTTATATTTGTAACAAGTGCTCTCATCCACGCGTTCGTTTTGAAACGCCATTTGGCTGCAACCTCAACGACAATTTTAAATCTTTCCCATATTGGTTGCTAGCATCATAATTGTGTTTTCAGCTCCTGATGAAGGCTCCATAGAGAATTGCCGAAAGCTAGAGATTATCGTCAAAAGAGTTAACTATATCCTAAAAAGTTTGCCAATTTCCCACTTAACTATATATATATATATATATATATATATATATATATATATATATATATATATATATATATATATATTGAGACGTGGTCATTGTCGTCTAGACCAGTTAGGTGAAAAATTAAAGCTTCCGCCTTTAGTTGGGTACTTCGACAAAATTTAAGCAAAGAGGACTCTTTATACCTTATTAGTCTCTAGCTTTCAATGGACTTTGGCATCTTCATCAGGAGCTGCAATTACAATGATAACTTGTTCTTGTCATATTTTATATAATTTTGACCATTGTACCATCTATCCAGCTCTCACCATGTTACTGGACGTTTCCCTCATCCTATACGTAAACAACAATTAGCAACATCCTCACATACTACTGTATACGTAAGTTGAGTCAATTTAAATTCATTTTACACTTTTGTTGCTACTGTTATTGTAATTGCAGCTCCTGATGATGATGGCAAAGTCCATTGAAAGCTAGAGAGAATTAAAAAAGTATAAAGAGTCCTCTTTGCTTAAATGTTGTCGAAGTACCCAACTAAAGGCGGAAGCTTTAATCTTTCACATATATATATATATATATATATATATATATATTTTTTTCTGAAGAAACGCGCTTCGAATTTGAAAAACAGCACTTACTGATGACGTGGCACTGGCTCGCCATCAAGGTATAAAACGCCCTCGGAATCCACTCGAGTGCTAGTCAGATCTTCTTCTACAGCGAAGAGAGTACAGGCAGGAGCGATGTCTATCTTCGAACCGTCCAAGCATTGCTTCAAATCTGTCGTTAAGAAGTTATTTTCGTCATCACAACATCGCTTCACGGCATATACCAAGCACACGTTCACTATGAGGATTACAAATGTCTTGGTGGCCATTTTTCATTTCCGGTAGCTGAAATAAAAAAAAAATATATTGAGGTTCTATCCATTCTGAACATCTGAAGATGATGGCCGAGCATATTTCAGAACCATTTGCTTATACATATTTCCTTCAGCTTGCAAATCAGCTGTTGTTATTCCTGTCTACAAAACAGGGGATAATATTGACGTTATCAGTTATCGACCAATATCACTCATATCGACTTTGGCTAAGGTGTTCGAAAATTTAATATCTAGTAAGATGATAAATTTAAAATTCCAAATCAATACCGAAAATCTATCACAAATGGTATACGACTAGTGAATCAAATTATGTACCCAAAACCTTGATCAGAAAATTCCATCTATTTGTGTATTTGTCGATTTGAAAAAGGCATTCGATAGAGTTGATCACAGATTACTGTTAAATGTTTTAGACAAATTAGGTTTTCGTGGAAAAATATATTCTCCAATGCAAAGTTATTTATCAAGAAGGCCTCAAGTAGTGAAACTATCAAAATCGTAATGAAATGTTTGTCAAATATGGTGTACCTCAGGGCACAGTGTTAGGCCCTCTTTTATTTAGTAGATTTTTTCTATGAGATGTCAATTTTTAGCTATAAATCAAACTTAGATTTTTTTAATGGGACAACCTGTACATTTTTTCTCGTTTCATTGAAAAATTTATAAGCTTCACAAATATATACAGGGTGGCGCATCGAAAACGAAACAGACGCATTTACTGGCAGATCAGTTTTTTTTTGGAAAAACGCTCAGACCCGTCGATTTTGTTTTCGAGGGGGACACAAGTTTGGCAAAAAATCACGTGCAGCACCCTAAGCGGGGGTGACACCACCCCCAAAATCTTAAATGGAAAGGAGGATCGAGTGATACCTTATTTTAAAGGTATTTCAATTCCCTTTATAATGATATAAAATTTATGTACTTCAGTTCAGTAGTTTTGAAGATTTATTGATAGCCATATTTCAATAGGTTTGTTTAAATATTTATTCACCTTTTGACGTATGTGTAATTTTTTTCCTTACGTATAATAAGGAAAATCGCGATACGGAGGAAGTCAACGTCTTGGCATGTGTATTCACAATCACAAATAGCAATATTTTTAATTTCGCCCTGTATCACAGAAACGAAGGAAGCTGTGAAAATTTTATTCATACTATCTGTCTTTTCTCAAAAAAAGTAGCAGGATTGTGTATTCCGAAAACTGCAACTCTCTGTCATTACTCGTAAGCGAGATACCCCGTCATATCAATATCTTAATTTCGATATTTTCTCGATTACGATACTTTCTCGCCAGTTTTGGCATAGGAAATAAAATTAATTTAAAAATCTGGAAATTTCCAACCCGTTTTTTGATATATTTTGCGGTTCTATGGTGTTTGATTTTAAAAAATCCGAAACCTCATTTTTCGACGCTTTTTCATCAGGCCACTTTAGCAGCACATCGTTAAATCGAAACAGTATAAACTGAATAACATTCTACCAAACATATAAACGAACTACTTTTTAGCATATCCATAAAGCTGAGTATATACGTTCTTGCTGTAAACACTCTAATATTAGACTACGAACTTACGACTGGAAAAACACATGCACAACTTGAAAATCAGATTTGTAATTCAATATTGCATATACAATTTTAAATCCTTACTTCAATTTTTGTAACGCTCCAAATCCCATGTTTCCATTTTTTTGACATCAGTCTTCATTTCGTCAATATGATTGATAAACTATTGGAAATTTTGTGTAGCATTGAAAGTAATACAGTTTCCATTAAATTTTGTTTATCTCGTGATACTTGCTGATATCGTCATACTTATACAATTAACACCTAATACTATCAAGTAACATGTGCCGAGTTTTGATCAATATGTTGTTATCTCTAGATAGCCTTTTATGGTGTAAAATCGACGATATAAATAATAACAAATCAATAAGCGGCTCGCAGAAACTACTATTTATTTGACAAAAACAATTTTTGAACTTTATTCATTCCTGACATTGCAATGTCGTTTACACATTTTCAATAGGAGCTTCTTAACCTATACAAACTCATCTACTATCAAATTTCTCGTTCAAGTAACAGTGAGAAGGAGCACCATCAGACATAAAAAACTCTCTTCTTCTCTTATTACATTCAGAGGCAGTCACTCAGGTAAAACGTATTATATAAAATGAAGATAGCTATCTCCGTGCTAATTTATCAGGCACCTACATGAACCAACCCAGAAGTTACCAATGACTGAACATTAACTTAAAATTTCCATTGAAAATGTCTTTCTGAAACTGCATGCGCATTTTCTTCAGCGTAAATATACTAAGTGAGATATAAATCCGAACACCCAGTTTAAATGGTTTTATTTTAATAAAATTTTAATGAAGCATAATAAGTGAATGATAAAAATTTTAAAATGATTGCACTGCTTTAAGCCCTTTGACCTTTAATAATGTGTGGATGCACCCTGATGTGCTACGCATTCTCCAACGCGCTTAGGCATGCTTCTGATCAGGTGGTCAATGTCCTCCTGTGGTATCCCATTCCAGGCAACCACCAACTCCTCTCGCAGTGCTTCTAGAGTCTGAGGAGGACGTTGCAAATTGAGCAATCTCCTACCCATCATATCCCACACGTGCTCAATTGGGGATAAGTCGGGAGATCTTGGTGGCCATGGTAACAATGTGACATCATTATGTTGTGACACTTGCAACATATGGTCGGGTATTATCTTGTTGGAAAGTTGGATCTGCCAGGGTGTCAAGATAGGGTAAAAGATGGGGTTCTAGAACTTCGTGGATATAACGCTGCGCGTTCATGTTACCTCTGATGAAGATTAAAGGTGACCTGGAACCATAAGCTATAGCACCCCAAACCATAACTCCAACAGTGTGATGAACATGTCTTTCAACAAAAAACTGTGGATTCCTCCTTTCACCACGTCGCCTTCTAACCCTGGCACGACCATCGTGCATGCCTAAACAAAATCGAGACTCGTCACTAAAGACAATACTGTTCCATTCCTGATCCCACAGTGTCCGTTGTCTGCACCACTCAAGGCGATTACGTCGGTGTTCTCGAGTTAAAGGGAGGACCCAGTGTGGCCGGTATGAAAACAAGCCAAAACTTCTCATTCGTCGGTAAACACTTCGCATTCCAATAGGTCTTCCGTGTTCTGCAAACCATTCATTTGCAATGGACCTGGTAGTGGAGAAACGGTCCCTTAAGGCCAATTATCTTAGGCGGCGATCTTCACGGTCTGTTTGCGTACGGCCTTCTCGAAGCCATGCCTGACAACACTTAACCACAGTGTCTACGCTTATTTGCACTCTAACTGCAATTGCCCGAAAAGAAAGTCCAGCTTCCCGAAGTCCCACTATACGGCCCCTATCAAACTCACTAAGTTGACGAAATCGTACAGGTCTCCGTACTCTAGGCATCGTAACCGATCGTAAAGGATGTCAAGAACCAAAATCCGCCAACGTTGATTCTTTACTGCGGCTGAAATATTCATTTTTTGAGCGTTAGTGAATTAAAAAAAAGCAGTATAAAAACCGGAATGTCCAACTGATAAGGCTGAAAATTTTTTAACTTGTTATTTACAGTAAGACAAATACATTCACCAACTTTTATTAAAGGAAAACCATTTAAACTGGGTGTTCGGATTTATATGTCACTTAGTATATGTGCATGATTCAAATTTATCATACCACACTTCTACGTAACAAACCTATAAAACGACAAAATGTCGCTATGATCGTTGTGAGCGTCCATCTATGGAGGAATGGCTCAACGACACGACACATTCAATGACCGTGCTTCAAGTCTGTTCCACTTTATGCTTTGCTGGTTGCAGAATGCTGATATAGAGAGTAGAGTATAATCTGTGGTTAGTACACTACGACGCCTCTTGGTTTACTGGATTTTTATACCAACAGACTAATCCGGTTGGTCTAATCATATTAGACGAAATTTTTGTAAAATTTGTAATTGTAAAATTTGGTCTTGTTGATGCAAGTTGTTCACAAATGCCGACCGAAGAGCATTAAGAAGAATAATCGTGAAAAACAGGCGTGCCAATTATTTACAATTAAGTGCTCTGTGGAGTGACGCTGTTGGAAGGAGAATTTCGAGGTCCACAACTCATAGAGAGGCCCACAAACTGGGATTTAGCACTTGCAAGGTAAGTTTTCTTATAAAAAAAAGTGAAGGAAAACCCTAAAGTTGCACAACTTGTTTATAGGCCAAGGAAAAGTCAATATTAACTCCACTGCAAAAGAAAAATCGGCTTAGATGGGCTAAAGAACATAGACAATTGACACCTCAACAATGGTGTGCAATACAATGGAGTGATGAGGCCCGATTCGAAGTTTGTGTTGGTGACAGTCGCAGTAGAGTTATTCGCAAAAAAAAAATGAAGCATTCCATGTCAACTGTCTGAAGAGAAAAGTGAAATTTCCAGCATCCATCATGGTCTGGGGCAGTATGTCATCAAAAGGAGTAGGAAAACTTCATTTTATTGATGGAAATGTGGATATAAACAAATATTTGGCAATTTTAGAAGAATCGCTTTTACCAGTGATGGAAGAATGTTTGACATCCGGCCAAGATTTTGTGTTTCAGCAAGATGGTGCAGCGTGCCATACCTCAAAAAAGGCTATAAAATGGATGGAAGAAAATAATGTACCACTTTTGAAATGGGTTTCTAGCAGTCCAGATCTGTCACCTATTGAAACTTTGTGGCACGAGATGAAAAAGGTTCTACGACAACATCCTGTCATACAATCACCGAACTAAGACAAAAGCTTCAAGAAATATGGGATTTTTTTACACCAAATTTTTGAAAAAGCTTGGTTAACACTATGCCCCAAAGAATTTCAGCCGTAATAAAAAATAAAGGTGATGTTACCCAATGGTAATCTTTCAATTGTTGCTTTGTTAACTTCGCGCATTTATTCGCAAATTGTTTATTTGTTCAGATGTTCTATTAGTTATAGGTCTAAGTGATTTCAAATATGTATTTTTTACTCTAGAGCGTATCTAAAATGTTTTTGAGAAAATAAATTGTTTTAGAAGTAAATAGTTTCGTCATGTTTAGTTTATAAAGGCATATTTTGGTACAAATCTTGAATTGGGCCAACTGAAGAGAGAATCGGCTCGTAGATGTTTCTTAAAATAAAGTCAGAAACAACGATTTGGCCAAATTTTAGTTTTTCCCAAATATATCAGTAAGCCATGGAATTTTTAAAAATTTCTCAACGGCTCAAAGAACACAGCTTTTTCATAATTTAACTTAAGCTGTATCTCCCACAGATATTGATATTCCCATGCATAGGATCCTTATTTTGGTCACCCTGTATATAGTACTTACTCTTGAACCAACACCTAATTTCTCCTATACCAGGATGGACGTGTTTTAAGGGCTCGAAGTCTGAATGCTGAATTAAACTAAATAAAATAGTTTATAATAAAGGCATATTTTGGTACAAATCTTGAAGTGGGCCAACTGAAGTGGGAAGGGGCTCGTATATAAATACTTTTAGAGAAAATGTCCAGGGAATTATATTTCTTCGTAAAGAGACTGGATGACGTGACCTATTTATTTGACAAAGTCATGCAGTCATCAATAGTGTAGCCATTTAGCACATGCTACATACTAACTAGGCTAATACAGTTTAAAACATAATTGTGACTTGAGTTTGCGTGCCAACTTTATAAACCGTTCAATGCATTTCAGTACTAGATATTTCAAATTTGGAACCGGTAAGGAATACAATAAAAATCGATTATGTAGGCAAAGTTGCGCATTTAGGTAACTAATGAAATGTTATTTAGATTAATTGGCATTTCAGAGTATTTTTAGAGACAGAAAATACGGATTTATTCTGAACTGTTTTCATTATCTCCTAGTTTGATTAAATTTGTTATATTTTTTATGTTTCTTTTATCGCTATTGAAATGTGCATACATATGATTAATTGTTTTTGCTTACGCCAATATACAATAACAAGGACCTCATATAGAGTTATTCTCGTTTTTTTTCACATATTCTTATTTATATCATCCGTTATGATATTCAATTTCTCAGAAAATTTACTCACTTTTTATGTAACTCAAATATCTTTCTTCAACGAAAACGTTTTTAAAAAGATTTATTTTTGAGAATAACCAAATACAATGATGTTATACAAACCAAAGTAAAGAACAAATGAAATACAATACTGAAACTGATAAGAAAGGAACGTGGAGGCAAAAGTCCTTGTTCAGCATATTCTTCTCTATAGACTGGTACATAACTTGTATAAATTCACTATTCCTCGCTTTTTTTTCACTACTTTTTTTGAAAATCTCACTTTTCTCACTCAAATTTATAGTTTGCATCGCCAGCACCCCTGGATATGAGAAGGAATGTTTTCTGTCAGATGTGTCTGGCAAGTCGATTGTATTAGGTCTATCAAGTTTTTAAACGACAAAACATGACACTCGGCATTTATTTTATATTAAACACACGGTACTTTAGGCTATTGCTTACCGATCTATCGTTTGTAATCCAGCTTCTGCAGTTGATCAAACGCCGAAAGCACTCTGTGAGAGCCACAGCTCGAATATACTATGTATTTACGTTTGCATATGTACAGTTTATTTTTCCAGCTGAGAATGTTAACTTGCATATATTCGAGAATACGTTAAGCAATGCTTATGCTAAGAATACATGATGGCAAGTGAAGGAAAACAATGCTCGGAGTAAGAGAAAAGGAGCAGCATAAGCGGGACATCGTTCCCCAAAACACGTTTAGTAACTAACATTTTCTGCGAAGGTAGATGCTCACAGTGCGTTTGCGACTGATAATTAGTTCTCCAGTTGATTAGTTTCGAGAGTTTAAGAGGGGCGTTTAAATGTACAGGGTGTTCCGTACTTAAAAGTGGATCGGGAACTTTTCTGGCAATAAAAAAGTTCTATATACTAATGTGTTGTCCAAAACGGACGCAGGAAAGTAAACGCATATTAAAACAAGAAAGATTGATATTCAAATCAAGTTGGCTACTTTATTTTGAAGGTTCATTTATACCATTTATGTATGAAAAATAATATCGCTCAAATGTTCACCACGACTGGATTTACAGACGTCCACGCGATGGTCGAAATTTTCAATGACATTTTGCAACATGGTCGGTTCTATGGCATTTATCTCGGCAATGATGTTGTTTTTGAGTTCTTGGAGGGTGGCTGGTTTGTTGACGTAGACTTTGCTTTTCAAATATCCCCATAAAAAGAAGTCCAAGGGAGTCAAATCGCACGATCTTGGTGGCCATGGCACATTTCCTCTGCGCGAAATCACGCGATCACCGAAGAAGGACTGCAATCGATGGATATTGACGTTGGTTGTGTGGCATGTTGCACCGTCTTGTTGGAAATAAACATCGTCCATATCCATTCCTTCAAGTTGCGGCAAAAAATAATCCTCTATCAACAAGTGATATCGCTCAGAATTGACGGTAATGGCATCCCCGGCCGCATTTTCGAAAAAGTAAGGTCCGATGATGCCTTTTGACCACAATGTACACACCACACAGTCACTTTTTGAGGATGCATCGGCTGCTCTTGATACTCACGGGGATTTTCGTTCTCCCAGATGCAGCAGTTTTGCTTGTTTACCGTCCCATTCAAAGTGAAATGCGCTTCGTCGCTGAACATGATTTTTGATGAAAAATTGGCGTCAATTTGGCGGTGTTCAAGGAGCCAATCTGAGAACGTTCGGCGCGAAAAATGGTCGGCCCGACGCAGCTCTTGCGTCAATTGGATCTTGTTGGCGTGTACATTCAAGTCCTTGTCTAGAATGCGGAGCAAACTGGTTCTCGAAATGCCCAATTCTTGGGATCGACGCGTTGTTGATTGTTTCGGATCGTCTCTCACACTCTCCTTCACAACAGCAATATTATCCGGTGTGCGAACGCTCCTTGGCCGGCCAGAGCCTGGCAGATTTGCCACAGAACCTGTTGCCTCGAATTTACGCACCAGACGACGGTTGTTGCGACCGAAATGTTCACGAAGCGCGCGAAACGTGTTTTTTATTTTTGCACCATTTTTGTAGTGCTCTTGAATAACTTTAATGCGGCCGTCAATCGAATACGACTCCATAGCGATCAATGGTAAACATTCAACTAACAAAATGACATGTCGGTGACAGAAAACAAAGATGGCGTCTATGTCAAATTGACGTTTACTTTCCTGCGTCCCTATTGGACAACCCTATATATACAGGGTGGAGCATTAAGTTGAGCGGATTTTAAAAAATCATAGAAAAAGCTACAAATCGAAGGAAAGATAATTTATATTTTTAATGATATAGACACATGGGAGTTTTATTTTTTTAAAATAACATCATTGAGATTTTGCACCATCTTGTCATGATAAGCTTCAAAATTATGCAGTTGTGGAAATGAAAAGATACGTAGCGTGGATGTGAAGCGATTAGAACTTACTGTTACAGTTCACCCTGTATTTTATCAAATGCATTTGTAATGTATCTCCAGAGATACACGGAAAAAGGAACGAGTTTTCCCAAAATCGTTTAAGATCTCAAAATAAACAACAACTCCTGACGAAGGCTCCATAGAGAATTGCCGAAAGCTAGAGATTATCTTCAAAAGAGTTAACTACAGCCTAAAAAAAAATTGACAATTTCCCAATTTACTATATATATATACAGGGTGACTTTGAAGTTGAGTTATTAATTTTCAGATAATGATTGTAGAAGAAAGATAAACCAAAATATGTGTGTAAAAATTAAAAAAAAATGTTACCTTGTTTTATAAAGTATCCTCCCGACAAGTATTTCAGTGCGGACCTGTATTTGATCGTGCGGTCTTGGAGCACCGGCATGCGCTCCCCTGTGAGGTCTTAAGTCACCTGATTCACGAGCCCTTTGTACTACATTAACAAAGGCACGAGGGGTTGGTTGCACTCGATTGGGAAACCGATCCGCATAAATCCGTGATGCCGCGTAAATAAGAATCATATCCACAAGTTCAGCATTTTCGTAAACATGTGCCATTTTTGATTTCGTTTGAGCCACGCAACAGACACCACTATTCACTCACGCGTTACCGACTGACACTGACTGTATACAACTGAATAAAATAATTGTAAAAACATCGTTCCAAATTCTTTCGCTTTTTTGTTTCCGATGCGATGAACCAATAAGGCGGATTATATCCGTTGTTGCCAAACACGAGCACATAATATTATTATTGAGACAGGGCGGTACTCAAACTTCCAAAGGGCTGTAACTTTGTTACTTTAATTTTACCAGAAAAATGGTAAAGGAAAAAACATTTCTTTTGATCAGATCTACTCACTGTTAAAATAAATGACTCAACTTCGAAGTCACCCTGTATATATATATATATATATATATCCTTTAATTTCTTTGGGTAGAAGGCAAAGCATTGCAAAAGTACACTCTTATAACTTAAAATCTCAAGCTTTCGAAGAATTTTATCTTCATCGTCTGGAGCTGGAAAGAATTATTAAAATAGCAACTGATGGCAATTAGGAGAAGAATATTTACTTACTAAGTCGGCGAGATTGTTGCTGAAATTGTTTTTTTAAACAACAGTGAAGGGAACACATAGTCAAAGAATACAAAACTGGACCGATGAAGTTCGATTAGGACGGAATTATTTTATTATTAATCGGACCTCATCGGTCCAGTTTTTTATTCGTCGACTATGTGTTCCCTTCACTGTTGTTTAAAAAACCACTTCAGCAACAATCTCGCCGACTTAGTAAGTAAATATTTTTCTCCTAATTGCTATCAGTAGCTATTTTAATAATTGTTTCCAGCTCCAGACGATGGAGATAAAATTCTTCGAAAGCTTGAGATTTTAAGTTATAAGAGTGTACTTTTGCAAATATCTTGCCTTCTACCCAAAGAAATTAAAGGATATCTTCTCCTAACAGTTAAGGCAATTAACTATGAATACTATATATATATATATATATAGGTGAAAAATTAAAGGTTCCGCCTTTTGTTGGGTACTTCGACAAAATTTAAGCAAAGAGGACTCTTTATACTTTTTTTAATTCTCTCTAGCTTTCAATGGACTTTGCCATCATCATCAGGAGCTGTAATTACAATGATAACAGTAGCAACAAAAGTGTAAAATGAATTTAAATTGAATCAACTTACAGTAGTATGTGAGGATGTTGCTAATTGTTGTTTTCGTATAGGATGAGGGAAACGTCCAGTAACATGGTGAGAGCTGGATACATGGTACAATGGTTAAACTTATATAAAATATGACAAGACAAGTTAAAGACAGATTAAAAATTATTTAGAAAACATTAGAGCATTACGTCGTGAAGCCACTTGATGATTGCAAAAATGGTGGTCATGGAATAATGAGTGAGATGAACCTTTGACAGAAGGCCGAAGGTTGTCAATGTCTGTGTTGAAAGATGGAACGAATTGTGGGCGTGTGCCAAAACGTTGCCAAATCACTTCAGATGATGTGATTTTCAGAATGTGTAAGAAATTGTTAAATGATTTTTCGTCTCAACTTTAATTTTTCTTATGTATGCCATTTATGCAAGGACGAATAGCTTTTAATATTATAGCATGTCATACATACAAGCCAGGAAAAAATAAAAACGACTTAGAGTAAGTTCTGAAATTCTTTGAATTGCAAAATTGTCCAAGTTCCATTTTTTTATTTACCTACGTAACTTGCCCCCACAAAGTACGTCTCGTCATATATTTATCAGGAGGTGTGGTATTTATTGACCTTGTAACCTGGACGTCAGCAATTATTGATGCTTAATGTTACGCAGAAATCCACTGATGGTACGAATCACAGTAAATACGAGCGTTGTCTCAAAAATGAGGTTCCTAACGCTGTATATTTGCCGCGAAATCTGGCAACACCGTGTTGTGTGTCGGCTCTCCGACCACCGATCCCAACAAGAAGCGCCTATTTGCGATGCTCGGTACCGACCCGACAGCCTAAAAAAATATGGGCGTCTTATTTTTGAAACAATCCTCGTACTGATCGTGTGCTTTACCTTTACAAGATACCAAAGGCATCTATCTATATTTAGCTTGTTAAGAACCCTGTACATGAATATTTAATTTTTATGTTTTCTTCGTTAAATTTTTACCGAGCTGCCCCCCTTGCCCCTCTCTGGGTACACCCTTGACTGTTTTAACAATTTTTGGATGTATGTACTTGAAAAAAAATTATTTCACAAACCCTCCCGCTAGGCCCATTAATCAATGCCAGGACGCGATGATTCTCGGAGATATCAAACGTTTATAGCGCCGTGATCTCACTGACCACTTTTAGCTAAAATTAACCTAATAAACGCAGTTTTCAACAATAACATTATTATTTAATTACATTCTTAACCCAAGCGTAATGTCCGAACGGGGTCATCTGATACGACATACGAATAATAAGTATGTTTATATTCGACACATGTGGAATGGATTGCATGTGCGGTTCTTTGAATATCGTTTCGCTTGTATACCAGGTGAATGATCGTTTATGAATGGTCCATTTGGACTCAAGAAATTACATAGAACAAACATGCATCGGCCTCTTGTAAACAAAAAAAGCTCCCTTTGTTTGCTGTCACAATGACGCAAGATCTGAAAGGCGAGGTACCAAGTATGTGATTTAATTTTTAATGGTTTCTGGGAAAATGTGGATATTCATCCGATTTCCAGCGAAAAACTGTGTGACATGTTTCCCCATGACGGAGTTTAGTCAGTTCATGATATCCGGTAAATTAGTGCGTATAAAGTACAATACAAATCTTTATTTCAATAATTATACCGGGTGCTTCCAATAAGATCATCACTAGGCTATACGAGGGCAGATAATTGAGATAAGCCTACCCTCTATTTTTTTTTCATTGGACTCTAACAACTCAAAAAATAAATATTATTGCGATCGGGAAACGATAGCTTCCGGTCAAAATTTGAATTTGAAAGTTAATACGGCAACCATGCAAAACATAATTTTTAATCGACAAATAAGACACTGCTTTATTTGTATCTGATATTTCTTAGACATTTATCATTAATAGAAAATTATTTACTATTTAACTATTTTCAAAGTTTTCTTTCACAGTCAGGATACACCTGCCTGTGTTCTTGTAGGCAACGTGATAAAAATTGTTTTTGCTCCTCATCAGCAGTGATTAAGCCATGGAAGTCTTTATTTGACTGCTCTTTCTGCCGTATCGTTAACTGCTCTCAGTGTTTGCACCTTATTGTTAGCGTGTTGAAAAGAATCATTATGCGGCCATGAAGTTGAACACTCATCGAGACAACTGTGCTCTGAGTTGGAATAGGCAAAGTTTCTTCTTCTCAGAATCTGAAGATGGATTATTTTGCAATTGTTCATAAGATGATGATAATAATAATTAACGTCTTTTATTTGTAATATTCTTACAGGAGGCGTGATTTAGATTATATATTTGTATACTTTATCTGAAGTCACTTGAAACACTGTGAAATATCGGGTACGTTTTATATATCTATATTTAACACGCTCTGTTGCTGTAAAAATCGCCAAATTTCGCAGCAAATATCCCCCGTATAAGATCAAAGGCAGTTTCACCGGTCCACGTGGAGTAAAGCACGCCTATGCGTGGACATAGCCAATGAGAAAGCGTGTATTTCAGAGCTCCGAACAAGTGCAGGTGGCTACTGAAAATTGAAACAGTTTAGCCAGTACCGTGTAGCGGTGAATAAACGTGTTTTCTTTAGTCTGTCCGTGTTTTTTCATAGATTTTATTAGTTTGTGTGTTTTTGACTTTTGAATACTCAGTTTACTTGTTGATTTAATTGTTGTGTTGATTGTTCTTGTGTGTCCTAAATATGGCTCTTTGGAGACCTTGGGAAAATGCTCCAAGCCACGAGGAGATGGTTGATGAACCTGTGCAGGCAGAATTCTTTCATAAAGATTTAGAGGAACAGACCCAAAGAGTAATCCTAAATATGTATGGTTGTCTGAAAAACGAAAATCCAGATTCCTCGCAAAATCAAATTTTAAACAGAATTTGTATCCTGACAAAAATCAGTCGGTCTACCATTTATCGGGTTATAAAAAGGGGAGATGTAGTCAACCATTCCTTCCACAGAAAGCGCATAGGGCAAAAATTAAAAAGAATAGACGTGGGTTTTCAGGAAGATATTCGTCGTATAATATACGGATTTTATAAAGAAAATTTGGTGCCCACGTTGGAAATGATACGGGATAAATTAAAAGATTATCCTGAAGATTTTTATAATTACAAATGCTTAGACTCACTGCACTGTATTGTAAAACTGTGTGGTTTTCAATACAAAAAATTAGATAAAAGAATGGTGATTATGGGGTCGTCTCGAATCGTTGAATTGCGCCAAGAATTTTTGCACAAAGTTAAAATCTATAGAGAGCAGAAAAGAAATCTGATTTACCTGGATGAAACGTGGTATGATACCCATGATGTTGTGCAGTACGGCTGGGTTGACGACAGCAACAAGTGCATTTTAAATGCACCATGCAACCGTGGAAAACGAATCATTATTCTCCATGCTGGCAGTGAAAATGGATTTATACCTAATGCCTTGCTGTTATCTGCCAAAAATATCAAAGAATCATGTGCTGACTATCATGAGGACATGACCTCCGACTTATTTGAAAAGTGGATAGAGCAGCAGTTAATACCAAACATTTCCCCAAATTCAGTGATTATTATGGACAATGCGCCATACCATTCCCGACAGAAAAACAAAATTCCGAATACAGGCACAAAAAAACAAGACATTATTGATTTTATGAAGGATAAGGGAATGGAAATACCACAAAAATCAACCAAAGCCATATTATTGGATCTTATTAAAAGACAAAAATTTGAAAAAGAGTATGTTGTTGACAATCTGCTTCAGCAAAATGGCCATGAAGTATTACGTCTACCTCCCTATTACTGCATTTTTAACCTGATTGAGTTGGTCTGGGTTGCTTTAAAAAAAAAGTAAGAAAACATAATCAGACCCCTCAATTAAGTGAATCGCTATTGGCCGCAATAAGAGATGCAGTATCTCATATTGCTGCCACAGACCTACGGAAGCAGTGTTCTAGGCATATTATTGAAAAAGAAAATGAATATTGTGTTTTGCCTCCTGTAAATCCCGTTGTAATTCCTCTACAAGATGACTCTAGCGACAGCTCCGAAGGCGAGGATGATATATAAATACCTATAATGTAAGTCTTTATATACCTTTTTATATACCTACCTGCTATGTAAATATTTGCCTATGTCAAACGTTGGAATTCTGTAATTTTTCCATTTCTTAACTTTCAGTCAACATAAATTAAACTCCCAATATAAGTATTTTTTATCCCAAATCAAAAAAATAAGAAGATAGTAAAATCCACTTATTGTGATATAAAAACATTATTATTATCGTTCTAAATAAATGACCGCACGCCTATGATACGTCATGAAATTACAAAGGACGCGCCGACCAAAGGTTTTTATGCTATTTCAAGTGACTTCAGATAAAGTATACCATCTAACCCCCTTAACAATACGAGATGTAAAAAAAAAGAATTTGTTGAAAATTAATAGGTACCTGTATACAATCACGACAGAATAAAGTATAATCCAAGTAAAGACTTCTTTCACTTTTTTCTTGAATTTGGACAATGGATTGGTTTTAAACTGCGGTCTGAAGAATTATATGATTTGATCGCATTGTAAATGTATGTATTCTGAAATAGAGATGTGATGTAGCGTGGAATTGAAAAGGTCTCTCTATATCTAATATTAATACCATGCATATTCCCTCTACGTATGAATTTGTTTACTAAATATGACGGTGTTTTTTGAATGAGTCAGATTTAGGAGCTGGTACTTATGCATTTTATCAATTTTCATCCATTTGAGTTCATTAATGGCATTCGATATATGATCATATTTTCTGAGACCATTTACATGTATTCATAATACTTTGAATACGATTTCTTGTTATAATATCTAAATAGGGATAGTAAACCACTAAGCAATAGAATATCTTTGAAAACAAGAAAGATTCACACAATTGTTTTCTCGCAGATTTATATAATATAGCCTTATTTGCAAATAAAACTCTGAGAATCCACAGGAATTAATTTATTACCTTTTAAATGTATGTCTATGTCCTTTTTTAGGGTATTCTTTTTTGTTCTATTTGCGTACACCAGCATATTTGTCTTCAAATGGTTCAAACGAAGATTATGACTACTACTGAACTTTTCAATTTGGGCAAAATCTTGATTAATTTTATTATTTGCTGTTTCCAAGGTCATTACTCCTAAATGAATAGAAAATTTGAGAATCATATGCAAAAAATTGATTTTACCTCTGTTTCTAAATCTGAGGTATATAATGAAAATAATAGGGGTCCTAAGACTGATCCCTGTGGTACACCAGAATAAATTTTTTGTTCGGTAGAGTACTGTTGATGAACTTTTTGATACCGATTTTCAAGGTAGGTTTGAATAATGAATTGAAAATTCATAATAACTTAATTTAGATACAAGAAGTGAGTGATTAATGGTGTCAAATGCTTTAGTAAAGTCAAGAAGTATGAGAGCTACTGCTTTTTGGTTATCAAGTGCCATTGATGATGTCGAAGTTGCATATTTAAGTAAGTAACAAGATGTCGCTTAGAAAGTTTGTAAATTCCAAGTACTTCGAGAGAGAGAGACAGAGGGAAAAACCGAATTTCCCCAAAATCATTTTAATTATTTGTTTGTGGTAATATTTCAAAGTAAATTGCACATTGACATTATCACTTTTTCTGCTGGTATAATGAGAATTTCAATATGACGTTTCGTCTTTTGTCCTCCAGCATCAACTTTGTTTTTTCTTATGGACGCCGTATTCGATTTTTGCATTGATTTTTTTTATTCTTCATAGCTATTGGATATGCTGAAATTCTACACGAGGTTTGAAATCAGCGATGAATCCGGCGACCCGCTCACAGACCACGACATGACACAAATTCACTACTCTCGGATTACATCTTTACAGGTTTGTATTATTTTTTTCTTAGAAAAAGCGATAAAACATAAATGTTTCGTACGTTTTCAGAAAGCAGCATTTGCGAAATTTCCAGACCTGAGAAACTTCGCTTTGGCAAACGTGGCCAGCGTTGACACAAGGAAGACACTGGAGAAACATTTTGGACAGTTGAGGTAAAATTGTGGTGCCAGGTTTTTTTATTTATTTTACAATATAGGGCTTTTTTCTGGTCGAATCCAAACCACATATACAGGGTGATTCACAAGTCGTGACCAAAAATGAAATATACACAGGACCGCATTTTAAGGCGGGTCTTGTATGTAACCTTTTTTCCCTTGAGGGCTTCTTTAAAAAAATCCGGGGTGTTGAAGTTTAAAAATAAAAAACTATTTTTTTTCAATATCATCAATACCGTCAACTGAAATGAATTAAAATTTGTTACGTGGATTTACCTAAGTATTGTCCACATTTAAAAGCCTTTACTTAAAATTATCGTGCACCAGTGGCGGAGTTACAGGAGATTAGTGGCATTATTTACCAAATAAAAAGAGTACGCAACTGTTTTATTCAAAACGCACAGTTTTTCAAATTGTACCTCCAATTTTTTACAAATAATTATTCTTGAGTTTTTTTCTTAGAGTGCATTGGTCACAACTTATGAATCGCCCTGTATATTTAGATTTCTATCACGTTGCTATATGGAATAAATGTATTTCTTACAATATTTCTCTTCGAAAAACGAAATCTGTATATCGATTTCAGTCTTTGAAATCGTAAGACCAATTGAAAAAAATATATATTTTATTTTTAGTATCGAGCATGATGTGACGTCATACATATTGTAAACAAAGAAACGTCACCCGTATGTAACGTTGTTCTTTAAGAACTTCTAAAAAACTCCTAATCAATTTAAAATGTTATCGTCCTCTCGGTTATGCTGCTGTTTTCAAATGGTATGACGTCAGACCACATTTATACAGGGTGACTTCGAAGTTGAGTCATTTATTTTAACAGTGAGTAGATCTGATCAAAAGAAATGTTTTTTTCCTTTACCATTTTTCTGGTAAAATTAAAGTAACAAAGTTATAGCCCTTTGGAAGTTTGAGTACCGCCCTGTCTCAATAATAATATGTGCTCGTGTTTGGCAACAACGGATATAATCCTCCTTATCGGTTCATCGCATCGGAAACAAAAAAAGCGAAAGAATTTGGAACGATGTTTTTACAATTATTTTATTCAGTTGTATACAGTCAGTGTCAGTCGGTAACGCGTGAGTGAATAGTGGTGTCTGTTGCGTGGCTCAAACGAAATCAAAAATGGCACATGTTTACGAAAATGCGGAACTTGTGGACATGATTCTTATTTACGCGGTATCACGGATTTATGCGGATCGGTTTCCCAATCGAGTGCAACCAACCCCTCGTGCCTTTGTTAATGTAGTACAAAGGGCTCGTGAATCAGGTGACTTAAGACCTCACAGGGGAGGGCATGCCGGTGCTCCAAGACCTCACGATCAAATACAGGTCCGCACTGAAATACTTGTCGGTAGGATACTTTATAAAACAAGGTAACATTTTTTTTAATTTTTTTTTATTTTTACACACATATTTTGGTTTATCTTCCTTCTACAATCATTATCTGAAAATGAATGACTCAACTTCAAAGTATATGGGCCAAACATGACGGACAGCGTTTTCGCATGTCTAACAAAAAATGTATTTTTAAATGAAAGTTTTGCGGTCTTTTAAGTCTGAAAAAATGTAGTATTAATTTTTTTGTCTAATAAAACAAATACTAACTATTTAAGAACTAGCCAAAAAAGTGTCAACTAAAGTATTATAGACGAAATCACGAAATATGATGATTACGTCTTCATTTTAGTCTGTAGTAAAGACAAACGACAGCGATTTGTGAATATATTTAATGAAGTTTCTGATATGTTAGACAGAGACAAACAGAATGTTATTGTCTAAACAAACTGTATTCCTAACTTGCATGTACCCGACAAAGATAGACGATGTTTTCATGGTGCATGATCATATTTGAAAGATGAATAGTTAGGTTATGTTAAAGCAGGTTAGGTTGTTTTCGAATAATACTTTGATCTTTGGTGTTCCTGTCTTAAGGTATTCTACTCATAACTGTTCTTTTCATAACAAAAACTCCCCACTAAAATTAATATTAAGGTATCACTCAAAACCATGAAATAAAGTGAAAATAAAAATAATCAGTGAAATAACCTAACTTCGCAAAATCATAAAATAAATTTGTTGTTCCTGACATTGTGATTTTATCATCGACGTACGTCCATTGATTACTTCAGTACAATTTATACGTAATAGTTATCTTTCGTGATTTTGACTATATGTTTTCCGTGTTCTTCATTTTTTTTCTGTTTTCCATGTGACATTTCGGTTGACTTTTACTGTTACTTCAATAGTCTGAACGGTCTTTTAACAGCCCAAGACCCAAAAGGACGTCCAGTCTTCCAAAGCGAGAAACGAACATGATGTTATGCGTATTTTTTTTAGATAGCCTCATGCATTATCTGTCTTATATATTTTTAATACTCGCTTGTTGTTTCGGAGGATTGGACGTCCTTTTGAGAGCAGGAATGCGTATTTCTCGCGATTGTCATGTCTATAAAAATTTTATAAATGGCATGTATGGCAGTTCTGAAAACAAAAAACAAAACGACTAACATTTCGTGCATCTACTGGTTGTTAGACTAAATACACACATACTCGTACGTTTGCGAAAAATAATTATAAAGAGGCGTATTAATAATTTGTTTTTTAGCCAGGAAAAATTACGCTTAATTGCAACTTACCTAAATCTGGTCCCACCTCCTGGAAAAGAAGACGAGTTCAAGTGGTGCAGGTTGGACGAGATATTTCTAAAAGAACTTTTGGTGAGCATTTTTTCCACTGATACTTCCGAGCGTTGGTAATGGGTTAATTAATTACATAATTATTATTCAACTGTTTGAAATATATATAAATTACTTGTACTCACTATAAATGATTTAAAGTACCTTGAGTACAAATGGAAGAATTATCCTGTATTGAGGGTCATGGTCGCCGACTACTAAATAATTTTTGTAGACATCGCCTCGACAATTTGCGATGTTGCAAGTTCCTCAACGGAGGTTATTAAATCTCCGAAAAATGTTTCTAACTATAATTGGTATTCAGTACGTATGAATAGGTTTTCGACTGAAGATGACATATTAAGCAGCATTTATTGTCAGAAAAAAGTCGTAGTAGTAATAAGCAGTTTATAATTTAGGTTAATAACCGCTAGCAAAATTGATTTGAGGCATTTTTCGGCCTGTTTTTTGACAGCTTCAAAAATGTGTCTTCCTATACTTTTTCTTTTGAACCACCCTATACATGAACCAACAACATTTTTTGGGCGATTGGGGACTCTTATTTGATGATTTTTTATGGAAACGGCAATGCTCTACTAAGGTTACGGAGACATGATCGTTTTCCGTTTTTTTTTTTTTTTTGCTGAAGCACCTACATTTGCGCATAAATATCATTATAGCTTTTTTGTTTATAGAGATACTGACACAAAGTAAAAATGAGTTTCTTCTGTAATGTATACTCAATCAGATCAGATAAACAGTTCTTAAAAATCTTCTTAAACAACTGACTTATCACCTTCCAAAGTCGTACAATCACGTGGAGTGTATGAATAATTTCAAATTCGAAATTCGATTATAAAAAAATTATACCTTTTTTTGAAACCGAGTTTTACTTACAAAACTTCGTTTTTTTTTTTGTTTTATTACGTTCATTTTGTCTCCTTATCTCTAGAAACAAAAAAGGTATAACGATATACATATATATATATATATATATATTTTTTTTTTTTTTTTTTTTTATGAGACGTGGTCATTGTCGTCTAGACCAGTTAGGTGAAAAATTAAAGCTTCCGCCTTTTGTTGGGTACTTCGACAAAATTTAAGCAAAGAGGACTCTTTATACTTTTTTTAATTCTCTCTAGCTTTCAATGGACTTTGCCATCATCATCAGGAGCTGCAATTACAATGATAACAGTAGCAACAAAAGTGTAAAATGAATTTAAATTGACTCAACTTACAGTAGTATGTGAGGATGTTGCTAATTGTTGTTTACGTATAGGATGAGGGAAACGTCCAGTAACATGGTGAGAGCTGGATAGATTGTACAATGGTCAAAATTATATAAAATATGACAAGAACAAGTTAAAAACAGATTAAAAATTATTTAAAAAACATTAGAGCATTACGTCGTGAAGCCACTTGATGATTGCACAAATTAGTGGTCATGGAATAATGAGTGAGATGAACCTTTTGACAGAAGGCCGAAGGTTGTCAATGTCTGTGTTGAAAGATGGAACGAATTGTGGGCGTGTGCCAAAACGTTGCCAAATCACTTCAGATGATGTGATTTTCAGAATGTTATGTAAGAAATTGTTAAACCGACCAGAGGCAGTTGAATAAACTATATTTTAATTAATGGGAATTTAAATTAACAATTATTAATAAATCGTGAGAAGAGAATTATTAGATTTTGAGTGGAATGGAATTTACTGGTGGAATCGGCCAAAACACAGATTCTATTTATGGTTGTGAAGAGTCGAAATTTGGGAAGACATATATATATATATATAACAAAAGGTGGAAGCTTTAATTTTTCACCTATATATATATATATATATATATATATATATGCGCAAATTGTAGGTATTTCAGCAAAAAACGAAAACCGATCATATCTCGGTAACCCTAGCCCTTAGAACACTGCGGTTTCCATTAAACATCATCAAATAGCGTCCTCAATCACCCAAAAAATGTTGTTGGCTCATGTACCAAACACCCTGTATACAGGGTGGGCCATTAAGTTTGGATTTTAAGAAATCATCGCACTAAAACGCGGCTCTTGAGGTATGCCCAGAGAAAAAAATCCATTGGCGTGAGATCTGGGCTCCGAGGAGGCCACGGAATGTCCCTTCATTGCGATATCAATTTTTCACTAAACAATTCGGTTACAACTCGTTCGTGGTATGGATGTCGCGCTATCTTGCTGAAACCAGGTCCTTTTATGGTAGGCTTCAAAATTATGCAGTTGCGGAAAGAAAAAGTTACGTAGCTGATCGTACTTTCACTAGGACACTACCCGAGTCCCGTTCCCGCGTGCCTGTCACGAGCTATGCGGTTTAGAAATTTGTACGTCTCTCTGGTCCACCCTGTATATGTCAAATGCATTTACATTGTTTCATCGCCGTGAAAATAATAGGGTGAAGTGGTAGAGTAGCTATTTAGCTAAACTTTGCCCGCAACACTGCACGTTTGTACGTCTTATCATTATTATATCCAACATTGACTTCAATTATTGGAATATACAGGGTGGCACATCGAATACGAAACAGACGCATTTACTGGTAGCTCAGTTTTTTTTTTGGAAAAACGCTCAGACCCGTCGATTTTGTTTTCGAGGGGGACACAAGTTTGGTAAAAAATCACGTTAACACGTGCAGCCCCCTGGGCGGGGGTGACACCAACCCTAAAATCTTAATTGAAAAGGGGGGTCGAGTGATACCTTATTTTAGAGGTCTTTCAGTTCCCTTTTTAATGATGTAAAATACATGAGCTTCAGTTCAGTAGTTTTGAAGTTTTATTGATTTAAAGCTTAAAGTAGACTTTAATAGGTACATGAGATTAGTTTGTACTACTTTCAGAAGAAATTTGGCTAAAAGAATTTACTTAATAAGTAAATGCTTTTCTTCACCACGCCCATGGTTTGTTTATCATTTTGTTGTTGAAAATAGCTATTGAACCTTTTTTTTGCGGCAAAAAAGTTATTTCTTGAAGATAGATAAGGAAATATCTCGTACTTATTTTAAGTAGGAATTTACTACATAGTTTGTGATTGATTTGACCAAACTTTGTTGCTAAAATAACTTGTAACGCATTATTACATAAATTAACCATGGTATATTCCACAGCAGAAAGAGTTGAAATTATCGAAATATTTTTCGGAAATAATCAGTGCGCTAATAGAACAGCAGAAATATTTAATGGTACGAAGAAGTTAAAAGTGACTTAAGTGATTAGGATGATGATATACATGATCCCGATTATTACAATGACCACGATTCAACTTCAGAAATAGAAAATAATGACGGTAACAACGATTCTGCTTCGGGAGAGGAACTTGAACCTGAGATGGATAAAATAAATGTTGGGGCGTCTTATGGAAAAGATGTGTGAGATGTAAAAAATCAGTTTGCTTACCATGTGTGGAAAAATATGTGTTGAATGTGCCAAGGAGTAACATTTTACTTTTTTATTTACCTCAAGTTCAGGTGGTGTAGTTTTCTAGTATATATTTTTCCAAAACGTTTATTTTTTTTTATTTCATAATCTATCAATGTTATTTCATCAATTCCATATATTATAGTGTCTTAAAAAAAATTGTTTAAAAAATTTAATAAACTATGCTGTTCGACAAATATGTGGACTTTTATTTAGTTTTCCTAATTTATGTTTGATAAATACAGATAACCTTCAAAATTATTTATAAAACATTGTTATTTGCCTCAAAATATATTAGAGAATTAGACAATATAAAAAATTAAACAATATCTAAAATACATACAAGAATACAAAAAAAATAATATGTGGATCTGAGAGACCCAGCGTCACCTCTAACGTTACCCGAATAGCACGTCACCAGTTAAGGGTTAAATGGCATAGTAAATCGTCATAACTGCCGATATTGGTCCGATTCTAATCCCAGAATTTATCATGAGGTTCATACACAGCAGCCACAAGAATTAAATGTTGGGCCTGGTCTTTTTGGCGATCATTTAGTTGGTCCTTTTTTCTTACCTGGAAATTTGACCGGTGAAATGTATTTGGAATTACTGGAAGACGTCATAGATCCTGCATTAACAGCCATAATTGAAAATCAAAATGATCGGTGATACATTGCGAATAGGTTGATGTTCCAACAGGATGGTGCCCCACCACATTACGCATTACGTGTTCGACAATATTCAGATCAGACGTTTCCAGACCGATGGATTGGTAGAAGAGGCGCCATTGAATGGCCCCCAAGATCGCCAGATTTAGCACCTTTGGATTTCTTTATGTGGGGTCATTTAAAAAGCAAAATCTATGCTACTCGGCCAACATCATTAGAGACCTAGAGTCAGGTGGCCATTTTCAACATTTACTTGCCTAACGGGTCAGTTCATTATTCATTTTTAAATTACTTTGCTGCCAAATGTATTGATCTCCACTAATGATGATGTATTAATCAATTAATCTTCAAAAGTACTGAACTGAAGTACATTAATTTCATATAATTATAAAGGGAATTGAAAGACCTTTAAAATAAGGTATCACTCGACCCCCCCTTTCCATTTAAGATTTTGGGGGTTGTGTCTCCCCCACTTAGGGGGCTGCACGTGCTAACGTGATTTTCTGCCAAACTTGTGTCCCCCTCGAAAACAAAATCGACGGGTCTGAGCGTTTTTCAAAAAAAACTGAGCTGCCAGTAAATGCGTCTGTTTCGTTTTCGATGCGCCACCCTGTATAACAAACTTCCAGCTAACCTCAGGAATGTCAGTAGCATTGCTACCTTTAAATGTCAACTACGGAAATTATTAGTTGAAAAATGTTTCTACTCTTTGTCTGAATACCTCGCACTGTGATACATTTTTAAAACCTTTCTATATGTGAATGTATGTACGCCTTAAATTTTTCCTGTTTGTACTTATGTTTGTTTTGTTTTACTTTCAATAATTATGTGTGCTATGTACCTCCTCTTATTTCACTTTATGATCTATAAGACAATAAATGTATCTATCTGTCAATACTTTGCGGATTCCAGATATCACGACATGAGAGAAGGGTCTCGCAACTAGAAGCACTGAACGAAATGCCCCTTTATCCTACCGAAGACATCATCTGGGATGAGAACATCGTACCTACTGCCTACTTCTCTGGAGAAGGTTGTCTCGCTCTACCGAAGCTAAATTTGCAATTCCTAACACTCCACGATTATCTGTTGAGGAATTTCAATCTTTTCAGATTGGAGTCAACATGTAAGTGAGCAACATTGGGTCGTGTAACTCATGTGCAAGCGTTTCTTTTTTATTACGAATTATAGAAAAATCTTCAAATTATATTAATACAGTCAAACGTTATGATAGTCATTATTTAAATGGGTGATAGAGGGAGTTAAAAGAAGCAACAAGTTATACGTATAAATAGGGAACACAATTTTGATACATACATTGTTTTCCTTTTTAAAACCCACACTTCACTTTTTTTGTATTTAAAGAAGGTGTTCAAAATGTCGTCCTCCACTTTCCACACAAGCTTCATTACGGCGAACCCAGTTTTTTCTTACTCTAATTCCTCGAAGTTGTCCATTGATTATTTCAACCGCATTAAATTTTTTTTCGCGAAGTTGTGCTTCAGTTGTTATGGGACCAGCCCCATAAACCATCCCTCTAAGTTCTCCCCAATACCAGAAATCCATCGGATTGAGGTCAGGAGATCTTGCTGGCCATTTTAGAGGATCAGGAGCATTTCGACCGATCCAGCGATTTGGATAATGTTCATTCAAATACTGAATGACGCCTCTAAAAATGTGTGGTGGTGCTCCGTCATGAAGAAACCACAAATTCTGTCTCCGTTGTAATGGCGTGTTGTCTAAGGTCTGTTCCACAGGTTCTGGTAGGTTATTGGCTAGAAAGCTAAGGTATCCTTCTCCTTACAACTTTGGGGGTAACTTAAAAGGACCAATTACCTGATCGTCAAGAATACCCAAACAACATGTCGCCGAACTTTTGATTCGAGAACATTGTAAATAACAGGACGACGTACGCGAACAAAAACAAAACACGCCTGATGCCCGATAACTAACCACTGTTACCGTTTGCGATCGATTGCCGGTTCGATAAGAGTGATAAACGACCGACGCGCTGTTGTCATGTGTGTTTTAAATATTTAATTTAATGAAACTTACGGACTACAAATTTTGGCTTAACTTAGAAAAACTTAATGCCATTTATTTGTTAATTACCCAATTTAAAAACGTTTTAGATTGGATTATAAAAATTAGTAAGATTGTGGTCGATACAAAGCACTTAAAGTTTTAAACTATAAAGCCATTCAGACAAAAATCTATGGACTTTTGGACCATGGCTCATACGAGTTTTTGATCTGTTTTGACCCATTTCAATAAATAATGACTACCATAACGCTTACACCCTGTATAACTTTTAATGCGTTTTGCAGATGAGATAAGGCAGGATATCGAGGATGCTGTTAGCAGGTTGTGTCCTTGGTAAGTATATCAAAATGAAAATTTAACCGAATAGGTACTCTGTAAATGCGGGTCGTCGTTCTGTGATGAACTCTTTTGCCTGCCTTTGGCTGTTCCACCATTCTAAGGGCTTTTGTGTAGTAAGGCGCTAATTTCAACATGCAGCATATCAGATCTTTATTTATACAGGGTCTTCGGAAATATTTTCGAGGGTGAATCTTTGTTAAAAAATATGAAAAAAAGTCTCTATAAACATGGGTCCAAAAATGCAGATTCCAAGATACATGGTGATGAATTTAAAAAAAAAAGTTTTATTAATATTTTGAAAAATATTGACTCGATTGTGTTGAAATTTGGCAATATTATTTGTTGTATGAAGAGGCTAATTTAACCTTAAAAGAACGTACACCACAACCCTTTTTGATAAATTATATAAAAATATTATAATAAAATATAAGTTGATAGCTACTACATAAACCTATTGGATAATGTTAAAGTTTTCATAAAAGAAGACAACAATTTATAAAAGGAAAAATCCAACTCCTTGGTTCTCGCAGGATTCTAAATTAAAAAGATACAATTATAAAAAGTTTATGATTACTGGAAGTGAAAATGATTGGCTGATACACAAGTTCAAGAAACCAATCTGTAGCAGTTCTACGAAATGAAAAGAAAAAATATTACAATGCCCAAATTGAGCAGAGTAAAAATAATAGCAAACATATATGGAAAACGTTGAAAAACATTGTTTTTCCTATTAGAAAAAGTACATTATCTAAAATGAAATTCGACGATGCGGTAATAACAAATGAAGAAATAATAGCAGATCGAATGAATACCTATTTCATAGAAAGTGTCAACGATATTGCAAAATCAATTATTGACGGGGATCCAAACCAATGTCCCATCATTCAGTGAGTTTAGAACAATAAACATTAATCGTCTCAAGAAGATTATAGCAAAAATTAAATCAAATCAAAATAAGAGCGAGATTTTGTCTAAAAGTGTGCTTAATGAATGTTTTGATATTATTGGAGCAAGAATATTAATCCTGATAAATTACTGTTTAAAATATGGCGAATTTCCAACAAAACTGAAGTGTTCTACCATAACTCCTGTTTCTAAAGTTAAGAATTCTGAGTTGTACACCAATATGCGGCCAATAAATGTTCTGCCAGATGTTGAAAAAGTTTTTGAAGAAATTATTTACGAACAGATCATCGAATTTATTTAGGGAAATAACATTTTAACCATATGCCAAGCTGGATTCAGGAAGAAACATTCAACTGAAACGGCAACACAAATGGTTTTAGACTGAAGGAATTGTATGGACAATCGGAAACATACAGTAACAGTGTTTTTGGACTTCAAAAGGGCGTTAAGACTATTGACAGGGATAAATTACTTACAAAATTGCATCACAACGGATTTAAAGGATCCGTATTCAAAATTCTACAAAACTATTTAATTGACAGAACTCAAAAAACAAAAATTGGATCTACATTATCAAGTCAAAAAAATATTTCTGTTGGTACACCACAAGGTACCAAACTAGGCCCACTACTATTTATTTTATACATTAATGATATTTGTAATATTTTAGATTATTTTAAACTTCAGATATTTGCAGATGAACATTAATATACATATCAGGTGAAAAAATAGACACTGCTTTAAAAATGCTAAATTTTGACTTGGCAAAAATCATAAATTGGTTAAATGTAAATAAACTAAAATTGAATACTTCTAAAACAAAATGTATGCTAATAGGGAAATACCTAAGTGAAAATACTATCACAGTTAGGATAAATGGAGAAAGAATTGAAAATGTTGAATCAATGAAATATTTAGGTATATATATATATATATATATATATATATAGGTGAAAAATTAAAGCTTCCGCCTTTTGTTGGGTACTCCGACAAAATTTAAGCAAAGAGGACTCTTTATACTTTTTTAATTCTCTCTAGCTTTCAATGGACTTTGCCATCATCATCAGGAGCTGCAATTACAATGATAACAGTAGCAACAATAGTGTAAAATGAATTTAAATTGACTCAACTTACAGTTGTATGTGAGGATGTTGCTAATTGTTGTTTACGTATAGGATGAGGGAAACGTCCAGTAACATGGTGAGAGCTGGATAGATGGTACAATGGACAAAATTATATAAAATATGACAAGAACAAGTTAAAAACAGATTAAAAATTATTTAAAAAACATTAGAGCATTACATCGTGAAGCCACTTGATGATTGCACAAAATGGTGGTCATGGAATAATGAGTGAGATGAACCCTTTGACAGAAGGCCGAAGGTTGTCAATGTCTGTGTTGAAAGATGGAACGAGTTGTGGGCGTGTGCCAAACGTCGCCAAATCACTTCAGATGATGTGATTTTCAGAATCTTATGTAAGAAATTGTTGAACCGACCAGAGGCAGTTGAATAAACTATATTTTAATTAATGGGAATTTAAATTAACAATTATCGAAGTACCCAACAAAAGGCGGAAGCTTTAATTTTTCACCTAACTGGTCTAGACGACAATGACCACGTCTCAAGTTATATATATATATATATATATATATATATATATATATATATATATATATAGTAAACTAAAGTTTGAGGATCACTATGAATACATTATTTCAAAAGTTTCCAAATAAACAAATTACTTTTATAGGGCTTCTCATAGTCTTGGTATCTATTCCAAGAAAATAGTTTATAATACAATTATTCTACCGCATTTACTATATTGTTCAACTATCTTGTTCACTGCCAGCGAGGCTGTATTCTCAAAATTACAAGTCTTGTAAAATAAAGCTATGAGAATAATATTGAATAAAAAAAAGTACAACAAAATAAAATCTATGTTACAAGAATTGCAGTGGTTGAATATAAAAAATTTGATATCATATTTGGTTCTTATTTTTATATGTAAAATAAAAAATCATCTTTTGCCAGAACATTTAGAACACTACATCGAATTGAATAATCATTACCACAATTATTATACAAGAGGAAATATAGATTTTCATTTACAAAATTGCAATAGTAATATAACTAGCAAATCAATATTTCAGAAAGGATTACTTGAATTTAGTAAACTAAATAAAGATATGAAGTCTACTTGTAATTTAAATATATTTAAAAGAAAATTAAAGGAATATTTCATGGCCAATTCTTAGAGATGCAAATTTTGTTTTTTTTTTTGAATGTCTGTATGTTATGTAATTGTATAGTTTTTTAGAAGAATGTAATTGTAGTAATCATGCTAAATAAATCTTAAACAAACAAATTAACAGAATAATTCATTTCAGAGTTAGATAGTTGCCAACAGAATGATTGTAACATTTAATGTACAAGCACCTTACGCTTTTTATTCTGAATTGAATTATTCTGTTAATAACTTTAATTTTATTTCGGGGCTATTAGTTATTTTCTACTTTTTAGTTTTAGTATTTATTTTTTTGGATAACAACATTTTTTTTGTTAATTTATTACCCTGTATCGAACATTTCTCCGTCTATTTTTCGAACACCCTGTATAACAACAGTGAAACTCGAGAATAATTCAAATTCCAGGAAAGCTGAAGATGACAGTATCTACTACGGTGGTTGGGCACGGATGGCACAGCCGATAACGAATTTCGCTGTAGTGGAAGTGGCAAAGCCTAATATCGGGGAGAAACGACCAAGCAGAGTACGAGCTGACGTTACTGTTAATCTGTCTGTTAGGCATGAAATTAAGTCAGAATGGGAGAATCTGCGGAAGCACGACGTGTGTTTCTTGATCACCGTGAAGCCATTGAATCCAATAGGTACGGGAAGGGACATAATAAAATTGACTTTTGTATTGTGGATGACGAGTATTCGAGTAACGAATACTTATTTTTCGTCCCTAATAAGTGCATATTTGCAGTTTATGTGTATTAACGTATATAAAAACTTCCCACCACGGATTCATCGAAAACCACTGAGTAAAAGAAAGAACGGCAAAAGATTTGTCAAGGGGGGACAACTTTTTATCCAACAACACCCCCTTTCACCCTCTGCCCCCAGGGGCATCCCCTTAAATTTTAAATGGCCAGAAGTATCGAGTTTGAAAGGTCTTCCGAAGTTCTTTATTTTGCCGTTTGATTTTTCAAAATCGGTCGATTCATTTTCGAGAAAATTCAAAAAATCTATATTTATCTTCAGATAGAAAACAAAAACACACTTTTTATTTCAATAGGTGTTCAAAATGTTGCCCGTTAGGGTTCGCCAAATTTACATTTCTTTTATAATTTAAAACGGAAACTACCAACAGATACAGCAATTCCAAAGATAAGACGTGACAACAACCCGAATTTTTTCCGCATTCTTTTCATCAACACCTTGTTCTTTCGGTTCGGCAATGACTAGACGACGAGTTTCCAGATAAATGGATAAGGCGAAGAGGGCCTATAGAATGGCCAGCTAGATCTCCTGATTAGACGCCATTAGACTTTTTTCTATGGGGCCATTTGAAATCGATTGTGTTTGCTCCCCAACCTGAAAATTTGGATGAGCTTCGTCAACGCATCATCGAGAACTGCCAGGATATCCCACAGCTTGTTTTTGAAAATGTCCGTCAGGAATTTGAACATCGCCTAAATCATTGTTCGGCCAATAACGGCCAACATTTTGAACACTTATTGAAATAAAAAGTGATATTTTCGTGTGTTTTCTAAAATTTCTAATTTTCTTGAAAACGTATCAAACGATTTTAATAAGTCAAATGTGAGAATAAAGGACTTCGAAAGACCTTTCAAACAAGCTATTACTCGACATCGCTAGTCATTTAAAATTATTAAGGGGATGACCCTGGAGCACAGAGTGTGGAAGGGGGAGGACGAACACCCTGTATGTAAGTTTTAATTATTCAGGGTGTTTCAGTTTATTGTTGCATAACTTTAAGATTCGATAGAACTTTTAAAATTAATGCATAAAGTCTGTATAAACATGGGTCGAAAAATGCGTGGCTTCCGAAATACAGGGTGTTTAAATTTACTTTCTAAAATAGTTTATTTAAATATTTCGAACAATATTTGATGCATAACAGTGAAAATTGGAATGCAAGGGTTCTTTGGTACGACAAAACGAACCATGTGCATAGTTTTACTGTAGCCGCTAGAGGGCGCTCTCTACTGTACCTGTAGTGTATTAAAATGACCGAAAAATTTTTCTTAGTGTAATTTTTTGCTTTTTGAATAAAAAACTGATTCTTTGCACTTTTCAACATAAAAAAGCTCTTCTGTGAGTTTTCGTTATAGTTAGCCGTTTTTGAGATATTTCGATTTTTAAGGTTCGATGCATTTTTAATTATTTATGGGAAAATAATATTTTTTTACACTTTCGATTTGGGCATTACAATTAATTAAGATGATCGTTTAGATTGTGTTTTTAAACACAGCAATAATTCCTAGTTCCAAATAAACACAAAAAAAACAGAATATTATTTTTAACAAATTAAATTAATTATTTACAACTAAAATGCTATTGGATAGTTAGGACAAACATACAAAATCTAAAGTAGTTGCTCGAAATGTAAACCCAATTGTTCAATACACAATTCACATCTACGAATGATCGAACGTGGTATAGCATTATTCAAATAAGGCCTTATTTCATCACATGCATTCCTGATTCTGTCTATTAGCATATCTCTTGGGGTTACGGGAGTCTGGTACACTTTTTCTTTTAGAAATCCCCACACAAAGAAATCTAATGGATTTAGGTCAGGGGATCGTGGAGGCCAGGCGACTGCTCCTCCTCGGTCGATCCATCTTTCTGGATAATTTTCGTCCAGCCAGTTTCTAACTATTCTCGAATAATGAGCTGGACAACCATCAAGCTGGAACCAGGCCAATCTTCTTAAATCTAACATAACATCATCCCACATATTTGCATGTTCAGCCTTTAAAAATTCCAAGAAGGTCGCAGCATTTAACCTTGCAGGCAAAAGGTAGGGTCCAAATAGTCGATTACGGTAGATACCAATCCACACGTTCACACTAAATTCATGATGAACATTTCTTTCCCGAACTACATGCGGATTTTCATGCGACCACATATGTTGATTATGAAAATTTACCACTCCACGTCTAGTGAAGCATGACTCATCGGTCCATAAAACGTTACTGAAAAACTCCCTATTATTATCAGTTCTATCAAGAATCCACTGACAAAATGTGATTCTTCGTTCTCCGTCCCCTGGCTGTAGTCCTTGCACAGGTTGCAAATGGTAAGGACGTCTATGGTCATTTCTAAGAACACGATGAACATGGCTTGCTGAAATTCCCAAGGCACCAGAAACTCTCCTAAGACTTGTGGTTGGATCTCTATCAAACTCACGCAGACTCATACGGGTAAATCTGCGCTGACGAACATTTATGTTTTGATCCCTTTGGAGATTTCCAAAACCATTTTCAATTACTTGGCGATGCACTCTTACAAATACTGAGCGACTTGGATGTCGTCTGTTTGGAGATCTTCGTGCGTATTCTCTGGCTGCTTCTGCTGCGTTTCCATTTACAAAGCCATACACAAAATGAATATCCGCTAACTCTTGATTGGAGAATAAAAATGGCATTTTTATAAAACTTACAAGAAAAAAACAGGTAAAAGAAACTAAATTTCGTGCATTCACAATTGCAAAAAAACGTTTCAGGTTTCAACAGACAACAAAACTAACTGTCAACTAATTCACGTTTAACCTTATTCTGCTTTCAATTTCAAAATTATTTACAGGCACAGCCTACTTCTAAAAATTATCGAGATACTGACTTTTTAACGTTATTTTCCCATAAATAATTAAAAATGCATCGAACCTTAGAAATCGAAATATCTCAAAAACGGCTAACTATAACGAAAATTCACAAGAGAGCTTCTTTATGTTGAAAAGTGCGAAAAATCATTTTTTTTATTCAAAAAGCAAAAAATTGCACTAAGAAAATTTTTTCGGACATTTTAATACACTACAGGTACAGTAGAGAGCGCCCTCTAACGGCTACAGTAAAACTATGCCCATGGTTCGTTTTGTCGTACAAAAAAAACCCTTGTATACCAATTTTCACTGTTATACATCAAATATTGTTCGAAATATTTAAAAAAACTATTTTAGAAAGTAAATTTAAACACCCTGTATTTCGGAAGCCACGCATTTTTCGACCCATGTTTATATAGACTTTATGCATTAATTTTAAAAGTTCTATCGAATCTTAAAGTTATGCAACAATAAACTGATACACCCTGTATATATAACACCATTTTGTTATAGTCTATGAAAAATCCTGCAAGCGTGAAACCATAGATTTAGACGTGTTTCCAAACAGGGAGTTTCAATAGGCGCTGGTTATGTTCCGCTGACTTAAAAGTAGGGATGCTTAAATATTCCACCACTAGAAGTTAAGTCATTATTCAGACTTTATAGCGTAAATACATCGAAAGCCTTTTTGAAGAAGAACTATAAAACTGAAAACTTCTCACATTGTTTTATCCACTATGAGGGAAAAATAGCGAGTGCAGTAAAATTAAGTATTTTTATATACGTACGTTTTTCTCTAATGAAGTTTCATTGTGCTTCTTGGCCAAAAACACCCACAAAGAAGTTTTTCCAATCTTCAGTTACAGTTCTCTCTACGAGCTTTTCACTGTTATACATCAAATATTGTTCGAAATATTTTAAAAAAACTATTTTAGAAAGTAAATTTAAACACCCTGTATTTCGGAAGCCACGCATTTTTCGACCCATGTTTATATAGACTTTATGCATTAATTTTAAAAGTTCTATCGAATCTTAAAGTTATGCAACAATAAACTGAAACACCCTGTATAATAATAATCATAATAATATTTATTCACTCAATGTACAAAGATAACAAACAATATAAGTAAATAAATATAAAATCAAAACAGGCCCAATAGAAGGCATCGCCTGTACATGGAACAATAATTTTAAGTTGCAACTGTAGAATGCAAATGACAAAAAAGGACAAAAATTAGCTACAGAAGATTATGTATTTACTTGATGTTCGTATTTATGAGTTTAGGAATTTCAGTCCTAGATATTGAATGTAGCCACTTTTTTAAATTTCTTTTGAAACAATTTCCGAAACGTAAATCTTCTAAGTCTAGGTATAATTTCATAAAATTTTGGCGCTAAATGGAGATATGACCGCTGCATTATAGATTTATGCGGCTGAGGTACGAATTTTGTACCTTGTATCATGATTGTGTTTAATTTTTTGGTCGGTGTTTACAAATTTATGGTAGTGAGTGATACTGAGTAAGAAATAAAGCTGTCTTATATCATACATTCGAACATCTGCGTATAATTTTTCAGTGGGATAAAGTTTCGGTTTTTTAAATATCATTTTTAGAATACTTTTTTGAAAAACATCTAAATTATAGATTTGTGAGGAACATGCAGCTCCCCATGCTAATGTACCATATGTGAGATGAGGCTCAATCAGTGCATGGTATAATGTTCGAAGATATTTTTCTGTCAATATATTCCCAAGGTATTTAATTTTGTAGGATACAAATCTAACTTTCGTTAAAATATAATTGACATGGATGTCCCATCGTAAGCGAGGATCCAAGACCACTCCAAGGTAGTTTATGTTGGGCACTCTATTAATTTGCATTTTTCGATCATTAATGTTGAAGAAGAAATTTGTGTAATTTGGCAGATCCAAATGGTAAAAAATGTGTTTTAGAATAGTTAATTCTTAATTTTCTACTGTTAAACCACCGAATAATTTTGATAAAATCGTTTTCAATCACATTTTTCAGATCAGACCAGTCAGTGCCTTCATATAATATTGCAGTATCATCTGCAAAACTGGTTATTTTGCCAACATAATTAATTTGGACAATATCATTTAAATATATATTATGCTTATACAGTTCGTGAATAAACACTTTTTTTATTATATTTCAGGTACGAAGTATAACTACAAAGAACCGTTCCTCTCGCAAGTCGGTTTGGAATGCGTGCGAGGCTGCGAGGTAGAAGGGATGCTCGACAGCAACGGCAGAGTGATAGAAGACGGTCCTGAGCCGAGACCGCAGCTCCCCGGCGAACAGAGGACGTTCAGAGTGTGGCTTGACTGCAATCAATACAGGGATGACATGAACAAGATCAACCAAGGCAAAGAGGATGTCTACGAAAGCTTCAATATTCTGATGCGCCGGAAACCGAAGGAGAACAATTTCAAAGCCGTGCTAGAAACCATCAGGGAATTGATGAATACCGAGTGCGTTGTGCCTGAGTGGCTCCATGACATTATTTTAGGTAAGAATAGTTTTTGGTGGAATATATTGTAACAATATTTTTAGACTTCAAAAGGGCATTTGAGACTATAGATAGGGAAAAATTGTTAATGAAATTGCGTCACTACGGCTTTAAAGGATCAGTATTACACATTTTACCGATTAGAAAATTCGATGTTTCCAAGGGTAATTATTTATTGGCAAAACTTCTTTTTAAGGATACGGGGATCCGAGCGCGGCGCATTATACGAAAATGTCCAACCAAATTGCGACCACGGATTTCAACGATACCTTCATCGACATGGATCATTTAAGATCCTGCTTCCCCGGTTACGAAATCAAAGTGAAGACCGATGATCCGAAAAAATTAGTGAGACCGTTCAAGTTGTCGTTTGGTGATCTTGGCAAGGAAGACGAAGAAGACCAACGGAAGGTGATCACCGTCGAACCGCATATGATTCCTAGGCGGGGACCGTACACGTTCAACGAACCTAAAAAGTAAGGTCATTTCAAAGTCATGTTTTGTTTCAGCCTCCATCCACAAATAAAAGATGATATCTCTTCTCTTGTGTGGGAATCAACCCCACCATTCTGTAATAGCCAAGTACCTGCCAAGGTGTTTTTTTTTCAATTTTAGTTTTTTGCTGGAAACCGTTTAATGGGTGATTTTTTGCTAGTATCTTTTTGGCAACATGTATGTGTTTGATTGCAACTCAATCTTTCAGCCTAATTTTCACCAATCTCAAGAAGTATGCTTAACTTGACAATTTGCACAGGGGTCAAGGACCGATGACCGATGACAATAATCGTGGTAAAAAATCGAATTTGAGGATTAAAAATTTTTTTGTAAAAAAATTGGAATTTTCGAAATATGAAAAGGATTAGAAATTTTGAAAAGTTTTCGAATATCCCGAAATTTGAAAGTAGTTGGAAATTTTGGGAAAAAGTTTGGAAGTAAATTTGGATTTAAAAATTGGGAAAAGTTGAATACGATATAATGGGTGATTTTTTTGCTAGTATCTTTTTGGCAACACTGTTTTTGACAGATGACGCGTGAATCGTGTCTTGTGTCAGTGTCAAACTTGTTCAGTTTGGTCTATAATTTAACCATGAATCGACTTACGAACGAACAACGCTTGCAAATTATCGAATTTTACTATCAAAATTCATGCTCGGTTAAGAGAGTGCATCGAGCACTGCTTCCAATTTATGGGCAATTTGGTCGGCCTGCTGCGGGAGCTATTCGGAAGCTTGTGACTAAATTTCGAACCCAGTTTACATTATTGGACATTAAACCACCAACACGCGGGCGTAGAGTGAGGACTGAAGAAAATATTGCGGCTGTATCCGCCAGTGTTAGTGATGACCGTGAAATGTCGATTCGCCGCCGTTCGCAGCAATTGGGCACTACGTGGAAAATTTTGCGACAGGATTTGGGTGTAAAACCTTATAAGATACAGCTGGTGCAAGAATTGAAGCCACACGACCACCCACAAAGTTTCCAATTTGGTGAATGGGCGCTGGCAAAGTTGGAGGAAGATCCACATTTTTATCGAAAAATTGTGTTCAGCGACGAAGTTCATTTCTGGTTGAATGGGTACGTTAACAAGCAAAATTGATGCACCTGGAGTGAAGACCAACCAGAAGCATTGCTAGAGCTACCAATGCACCCCAAAAAAATCACTATTTGGTGTGGATTATGGGCCGGTGGCATCATCGGGCCGTACTTCTTCAAAGACGACAACGGCCGGAACGTAACTGTGAATGGCGAGCGCTACCGTGCGATGATAACAAACTTTTTTTTGCCCAAAATGGAAGAGCTGGACTTGGCTGACATGTGGTTTCAACAAGACGGTGCCACATGCCACACCGCACACGAAACAATGGCCCTATTGAGAGGCGAGTTCGTTGAACAATTTGTCTCACGTTTGGGGCCCGTCAATTGGCCGCCTAGATCGTGTGTTTTAACGCCGTTGGACTATTTCTTGTGGGGCCATGTTAAGGCTAATGTCTACAGGGATAACCAGCAACGATTGACGTACTGGAAGCCAATATTGAAGCATTTATTCGTGAGATACCGGCCGATATGTAGGAGAGAGTGTGCCAAAATTGGACCTTTTTTTTATATCGAAACAGCCGCGCAGGCAGAAGCCTAAATGCCGGAACACCGCGGCTGCTATGATGATCCCAAATAAATTTTGTTAATACGATTTTTGAACTGCCTAAGGTTAGTAGAACTGGCAAAGGCTTCCTCCCGTAGATTGTTCCACAATCTAGACACCCTCGGGACAAAGGAGCGGTCGTATCGGCCAGTTCTGGATGTACAAGGTTTGACACGGTTAGGATAGGACGCCGAAGTCAGGCGGGTCTGTCTGGCAGGCACATCGCGCGGCGGCATCATGGAAGAGAGCTCTGCGGAGCAAAGCCCGTTGGTGTAGCGATAGAAAAGAGCTAGATCGCCGACGGCCCGCCGGTGCGAAAGAGTTCCGAGACTGTCTGTTAGAGAAGAGTCATCGATCAGTCGGACCGCCCTCCTCTGGACAGCATCGAGCATGGACAATGTAGTCGGGGCGGCAGCACCCCAAATGTGTGAGCAATACTCGAGGCTAGGCCTTATCTGGGCCTTGTATAGAGTGAGAAGGTCATGCGGAGAAAAGTACTTCTTAGCCCTAAACAAATAGCCTAGCTTTTTCCCAGCAGCTGCAGCTATTGACGAGATGTGTTCGTGCCAGATCAGTTCCTCGGTGATCTGGACTCCGACCAGCCGAAATGAATGGCTCTTTGGTAGAACTCGACCGTCCATCGAAACTGTATGAGCGCTAGGACGCTTTTTGTTCGTCAAAGTACAGTACTGTGTTTTGGAAGCATTGAACTGTACAAGATTGTTGCGTCCCCAAGCAGTGATAGCTTCCAGGTCTCTTGTCAGAGAAGAAGTCGTCGCTAGTCTTCTTTTTTCCAGCTCAGCGGCAGACATCGGCTTGTCACTCTGAATTCCTGCATGTAGAGTGCTGTCATCAGCGAAGCTGTGGATTGGGTTGATCGTGCAGGAAAGGAGGTCGTTGATATGTAAGAGAAACAGTGTTGGAGCCAAGACCGATCCCTGGGGAACACCCGCGTTGACGTTGTGGGATGAAGAGGAGAATCCGTCAATTACGACGGATATCTTGCGGCCAGAGATAAAGTCAGCCACCCATCTGCAAAGCTTTTCTGGGAGGCCGTAGGATGGAAGTTTGCTTAAGAGGGCGGCGTACCACAGCTGATCGAACGCTTTCGTGATGTCAAGAGCAACGACATGAGCCTCACCATGAGACTGGATGAGTTTACTCCACAGTTGCGTGACGTAAGCTAGGAGGTCCCCTGTGGATCGTTGGTGCCGGAAACCGTACTGCCTGTCGCTAATCAAGCTGTGACGTTCGAGGTAGTCTAGAAGCTCGCGATTTATGCACCTCTCCATCACTTTACTTATAACAAAAAGCAGAGCTATAGGCCTGTAGTTGTAAGGGTCGGTTTTAGATCCTTTTTTTGGGATGGGCTGTACATGAGCAAATTTCCAGTTTTCAGGGAAGGTGCCGGATTCATAAGATATCTGGAAGAGACGCGAAAGAACTGGAGCATGCTCCGCTGCACATCTCTTCAGTACAATGGCAGGAATCAAGTCCGGACCAGAAGCTTTGTTGATGTCGAGCGACAAGAGCACTCGTCTTACGGTCTTATGCCTGAATGTTACTTCCCGCATAGTGTGGGGAACCCTTTGAATTGACGGCACTTGGGCGTTGGTGGGGACGTCCATGGTGGAGTTGGCAGCAAAGATCTTGGCTAGCACTTCCGCCTTGGCCTTTGAGTCGAATACAATAGTTCCATCCTGACACGTAAGTGGTGGAAGGCTACTGTGTGAGAAGTTCTTTTCAATCTGCTTGGCCAGCGTCCAGAAAGACCGACTGCCATTGCGCTGCGACATTACCTTGTGCCTAACTTTTATATCATGCTGGTTTTTGGCATTGCGAACCGCTTCGTTATATTTGTTTCTGGAGGCGACGTCGGCTTGTCTGTTCTCTACAGTGGGGTTTTGTAAGTAGGTTCTGTGGGCCTTGATCTTCTGCTGGCGAGCAGTGTCACACGATTTGTTGAACCAACCGTTGGGCCCTGGTTTAGGAACTTTCACTGTGTGAGGGATGTATTCCTCCATTCCGACGTGGATAATTTCGGTTATTGAAGAACAGACAGTCGACGCATCCGCGTCAGTGAAACAGACATCTCTCCAAGGAAAGCTAGAGAAGAAGTCTCTGAGCCCCTCCCAGTCGGCATGTCCGTAATGCCAAGTTTTGCGGCCTGTGCGAGTTTCTGCTGCCACAGCGGCTTCTGACCGAAACCTAACCTCCACGACACCGTGATCTGAGTTACCCAGGGGGGACAGGACAGCAGTGCTGTAAGGGGCAGGATGCGTGGTCAGAAAGAGATCCAGCAGGCTACTGGCGTGTGACGAGACGCGGGGGAAAAAAGTAGGGCTCGTCACCAGCTGGGCCAGCCCTTGAGTAAGAGCGAACGCTTCGACTGCACGACCTGCTGCATCGGTCTTATTTGAGCCCAACCAAAGCTCATTATGGGCATTGAAATCACCGAGAAGAACTACCTCTGAAGCGGGGTGATTGACGTTCAGGAAGTCGATCTGGACGGCGAGGTATTCGAGTAGGTCATCCCAGTTATGGTTCGAGGGAGAGCGATAAAGGCAGCAAATATATTTGGGCGATGTTTTGGAGTTGAGGCGAAGCCACAGAATGTCCTTCCGGTCTGATTCCAAGGAAAGATCCCTGGAGCAGGAAAGACTGCTGCGGACAAAAACCACAACTCCCCCGTTCTTTCTTAGATTGGTGTGCACCTCGTAGTTTGGGAAGTTGAGATGGTTAATCGGTGCAGTCTCTGAGATTTTTGTCTCCGCCAAGAAAAGCACGGCGGGACGATTGGATTGCAGGTAGTGATGAACAGCATCAATGTTGCTGTTGATCCCGCAGATGTTCGAAAAACAAATTTTATCTTCGATGTTGTTCCCTCGAGCCCACCCTCCACCCGGACATTCCGAGAGTGGAGTGAGTTTACGTCCGGAGTTTTTAGTGCTCGAGGGATCCATCATCATTAATTTCTTTGTTTTGGTAGATAACCGACTGCATAGCTTAGGTGTGGAAACATGCGGACATTTATAAGACACCCTGGGAAAAGCTAGCGGGTGGTACTGCCTCGGTCGACTGGTCCTTGTCTACCACCTTCTTTTTACGTGTTAGTGATGTTGAATAGACCTAAAGTGGCCCGTTGGCGGACTTGTACCGCCACCCGGCAATCGGTACTGAGGTATTCCTTAACGCGTGCACAATCACTTGGACGGGAAGAAGTTGTATACTGGATACAACAACTTCCGGAACAAGCATTTGCCACGGCCCTCGCTCAGTAGGGCGAATCCTATACCTCTTAAAAAATCACCCTTTAATTTCTTTTTGTTTGTCTTCGGACTTCTTTTACATTTTTTTTTTATTTCGATAAATGTTTGTATGTCTTGTAAATAGGTGTTTCCTTTAGCTCCAGAGACCCATCATTTGGCAGTTCGTTTAAGTTTTGAGGCAATACTTTTTTATTTCTTTTCCTAGCTCTTGAAACTAGGTGGCGCCCAAATCTCACCCGTTTGTATCAAAGACCAAAGTACAAAGAACCACACTCTGAGGTCTCATCTATCTTCCAACTGAGAACGGTGTTGGTTATATTTTTTTCCTAAATTATAACTATACTAAGTGACATATAAATCCGAACACCCAGTTTAAATGGTTTTATTTTAATAAAATTTTGTATAAGTACTTAATGAAGCATAATAAGTAAATGATAAAAATTTGAAAATGATTGCACTGCTTTAAAGCCCTTTGACCTTTAATAATATGTGGATGCACCCTGATGTGCTACGCATTCTCCAACGCGCCTAGGCATGCTTCTGATCAGGTGGTCAATGTCCTCCTGTGGTATCTCATTCCAGGCAACCACCAACTCCTCTCGAAGTGCTTCTAGAGTCTGAGGAGGACGTTGCAAATTGAGCAATCTCCTACCCATCATATCCCACACGTGCTCAATTGCGGATAAGTCGGGAGATCTTGGTGGCCATGGTAACAATGTGACATCATTATGTTGAAAGAAGTCTATTGTGACTCTTGCAACATGTGGTCGGGCATTATCCTGTTGGAAAGTTGGATCTGCCAGGGTGTCAAGATAGGGTAAAAGATGGGGTTCTAGAACTTCGTGGATATAATGCTGCGCGTTCATGTTACGTCTGATGAAGATTAAAGGTGACCTGGAACCATAAGCTATAGCACCCCAAACCATAACTCCAACAGTGTGATGAACATGTCTTTCAACAAAGAACTGTGGATTCCTCCTTTCACCACGTCGCCTTCTAACCCTGGCACGACCATCGTGCATGCCTAACCAAATTTGAGACTCGTCACTAAAGACAATAGTGTTCCATTCCTGATCCCAGAGTGACCGTTGTCTGCACCACTCAAGGCGATTACGTCGGTGTTCTAGAGTTAAAGGGAGGACCCAGTGTGGCCGGTATGAAAACAAGCCAAAACTTCTCATTCGTCTGTAAACACTTCGCAATAGGTCTTCCGTGTTCTGCAAACCATTCATTTGCAATGGACCTGGTAGTGGAGAAACGGTCCCTTAAGGCCAATAATCTTAGGCGGCGATCTTCACGGTCTGTTGTTCTACGGCGGCGTCCAGTGCCCCTTGCTCTTAGCGTACGGCCTTCTCGAAGCCATGCCTGACAACACCTAACCACAGTGTCTACACTTCTTTGCACTCTAACTGCAATTGCTCGAAAAGAAAGTCCAGCTTCCCGAAGTCCCACTATACGGCCCCTATCAAACTCACTAAGTTGACGAAATCGTACAGGTCTCCGTACTCTAGGCATCGTAACCGATCGTAAAGGATGTCAAGAATCAAAATCCGCCAACGTTGATTCTTTACTGCGGCTGAAATATTCATTTTTAGAGCGTTAGTGAATTAAAAAAAAGTAGTATAAAAACCGGAATGTCCAACTGATAAGGCTGAAAATTTTTTCACTTGTTATTTACAGTAAGATGAATACATTCACCAACTTTTATTAAAAAAAATATTTCAGGAATATGATACATTTCACACCGACACAAGTCGAAGCGATCAAGTCCGGCATGCAGCCAGGTCTGACGTTGGTAGTCGGTCCACCGGGAACTGGAAAAACCGATGTCGCCGTACAAATTATCTCAAATTTGTATCACAACTTTCCTAACCAGAGAACGTTGATCGTGACTCATTCCAATCAAGCGTTGAATCAGTTGTTTGAGAAGATCGTCGCCTTGGACATTGACGAGAGGCATTTGCTTCGTTTGGGTCACGGCGAGGAAGCGTTGGAAACCGAGCAGGATTTCAGCAGGTACGTTTGAGTTATACATTTATGCATTTTTTATATTCCCGCAATCTACTCGGTGATTTGAAGACGATTTCGCACGTACAGGGTGTAAACGTTATGATAGTTATTATTGAAATGGGTAATAGCGGGTGCCAAAACAAGTCAAAAAGTTCATATGACCCATGGTACAAAAGTCAATAGATTTTGTCTAAATGGCTTTATAACTACTTTATATCGACCTCAATCTTACTAATTTTTATAATCTAATCTAAAACGTTTTTAAATTTGGTAATTAACAAATAAATGGCATTAAGTTTTGCTAAGTTAAGTCAAAACTTGTAGTCAGTAAGTTTCATTAAATTAAATATTTAAAACACACATGACAACAGCGCGTCGGTCTTTCATCACTCTTATCGAACCGGCAATCGATCGCAAACAGTAACAGTGGTTAGTTATCGTTTTGCATAGATCAATTACTTTATCGTTTTGTCGAACAGAGCATCGGGCGTGTTGTTTTGTTTTTGTTCGCGTACGTCGTCGTGTTTATTTACAATGTTCTCGAATCAATAGTTCGCCGACATGTTGTTAGTTTACGGCGAAGCTCGTCAGAATTCAAATCTTGCAGCTCAAATTTATCTCGGCAGATTTCGCACTCGTGAAAGACAGGTTACTGTAGAGCAGGAGGAACAAATACCATTCGTGAAGGTCAACAACTTTTTAAAATATTTGGACGGGTATTCTTGAGAGGATCAGGTAATTGGCCCTTTCGAGTTACCGCCAAAGTTGTCAAGAGAAGGATACCTTAGCTTTCTAGCCAACACCCCACCAGAACTTTTGGAACAGACCTTAGACAACCCATTACAAGGGAGACAGAATTTGTGGTTTCTTCATGACGGGTCACCACCACTCATTTTTAGAGGCGTCATTCAGTATTTGAATGAACATTATCCAAATCGCTGGATCCGTCTAAATGCTCCTGATCCTCGAAAATGGCCAGCAAGATCTCCTGACCTAAATCCGATGGATTTCTGGTATTGGGGAGAACTTAAAGGGGTGGTTTAAGGGGCTAATAAATGGATAACTTCGAGGACTTAGAGTAAGAAGAAACTGGGTTCGTCGTAACGAAGCTTGTGTGGAAAGTGGAGGACGACATTTTGAACACCTTTTTTCAATACAAAAAAGTGCAGTGTGGGTTTTAAAAAGAAAAACAATGTATGTATCAAAATTGTGTTCCCTATTTATAAGTGGATTTTTTAATACGTTCAATAGACACCAGGTGAAGCGATGAGACAGTTAGTGGTAAGTCCGTTTTTTTTAATTGTTTGCATTTTACGAGTACATTATCAAATAATGAAATGATACCTAAGAGCCAAAAATAACAAACTCCAGCTTTATTTTCACTGCGTTTGGCATTGCGGCATTGTCAGATTTTGTTTTACTTTAAAGTCGCTTTTCTGTAGAAAAATGCCGTCATGTCATTGTTATCCAACTGTTCAGTCAGCAGCTGTGCAAAATTAACACGTTGCGCATAATCCCCTGGCAACAGTTGTTGACAAACTTGTATTTTGTACGGATGGAACACCAAATCCTTCTTCAAGATGCGACGTACAGATGACGCGTGGATCTCTAGGGAACTGGCACGCAAACGGACGGAAGGATTCGGACTTTGCAGCGTGTCAACTCTCACTCAGTCCACGTTTTCGGGGATTCTAACAGTACGGTTTCGCACTGGCCGTTTTTTCTTCATCACATTGACAACATAATAGGAAATATAAAAACTTGTTTAGATCTTGCAACTGATAAAAAACTGATTTGCTCGACAAAAAATACACCCTGGTATAACAAGAATATTAAGGTAGCTCAAAATTTGAGAGACAAACAATACAATAAATGTATATTCACAAAATCAAATGATGATTGGGAGGTATATAAAACTCTTAGGAATAAATTTGTATATGTAATTAGAGAAGAAAAAAGAAAATTCTACGATAAACAAATCGATAATAACAAGTGCGACAGTGTAAAGATGTGGAAGACTTTAAAAAGACTGATCAATTCGAAGCCGCATGATTGTGTAAATCAAGTTCAATTCGAAAACGGTACCGAAACAAATTCTTTGGTGATTGCAAACAAACTAAATGAATATTTTGTGGAAAGTATTGTTGATATTGTAGGTACTGCCAATGCTGCACCTGACTATATGAAAATCAGTTTCCAGGGGGAACTGTTGCATACACTTTCAAAATTTCACAGCGTATCATTGAATTATCTAAGAAAAAAAGTAAACAGTTTAAAATCAAATAACAACTGTGCCGAAATGACTACTAAAAACGTGCTGAAAAACTGTTTCGAAATTTTGGGATATCCTGTATTAAATTGGATCAATTGTTCACTGAGAAGCAGTTCTTTCCCCGAAAATTTGAAATGCTCTACAATAACACCAGTTCCCAAAATAAAAAATTCTAAAAGATGCAGCGATATGAGACCAGTAAATGTGTTACCAGACATTGAAAAATTATTAGAGTCCATAGTACATGACCAATTAATGCAGTTTAAAGAAGAAAACAAAATTTTAGTGGAGGCGCAAGCAGGCTTTCGAAAAAAATATTCCACAGAAACAGCTTTCCAGTTGGTAACTGAGAATTGGAGAAGAGCCATAGACTCAGAAGAAGTTGTCATAGCAGTATTTGTGGATTTGAAGAGGGCATTTGAAACGATTGATAGAGATATTTTGTTAGGTAAATTGAAGGCATATGGTATAACAGGAAGTGAAGAAAAGTTAATGACACTATTTCATCAAAAATTGAAAATACGTTGGGTGTTCCACAGGGCAGTATCCTGGGACCACTTCTTTTTATTTTATACATAAATGATTTACCTGCCATAGTCAAAAAATGCAAAATTCAAATTTTCGCCGATGACACTATGATTTATATAAGTACTAAAAATATTCAGTCTGGTATCTCTTATATAAATGAAGACTTGAAGCTTGTCTCAAAATGGTTAGCATCTAACAGACTAAAATTAAATGCAAGTAAAACGAAAGCCTTGTTAATCGGAAAAAAACAATGTACAAAAGTTCAACTGAATATTGATGGTGAAGATATTGAATTCGTAGAAAATTTTAAATACCTGGGAGTTTTTGTTGACTCTCGATTAATTTTTGATATTCATTATGAAAAAGTTATAAATAAGATTAGTAGTAAAGTGGGATATTTATCGAGAGTTTCTGGATGTCTGAGTTCATATAGCAGAAAAATTATCTATAATACCATCATTCTTCCAAATTTCTTGTACTGTTCGACTATTCTATATTTAGCAAATAATTCCATTTTTGAAAGACTGCAAATTTTACAAAATAAGTGCATGAGAATAATACTAAATAAAGATAAATATACTCCAATTAGGCAAATGCTTAGCAAATTAAAATGGCTCAATGTAAAAAATTTTATCAAATATCTTGTAATGATATTCATTTATAAAGTAAAAAATAATATATTTCCATCAAGTCTAACTAATTTAACATCATCAAATGTCGACCATCATTTACATAATACCAGAAATAAAGATGACTTCCATTTAATGACCAAAAAGTATAACAGATGCTACAAATCTGTATTCCATCAAGGGTTGATTGAATATAATAAATTATACTCGGAGATAAAAGACCAGAAAACTTTGACAAAATTTAAAGTAAAATTGAGAAATCACATGTTAAATCTACAATTATAGGTTGCCCAGCATTTACATCATACACCATATGGCTTGAATTTACTAGTTCTAAGTTGTTTACAATTGTTCTGTTTATGTAGCCAAATGTGCTAAATAAATCTTTCTACTACTACTACTACATTACGACGTGGAACACGAAAGTGAACGCGGATCTCACATTGCGTTCAAACGACAGACTCGCCAAGTACCGACGTACAGTGAACACACGATGCTCAACGTTCCAAACCATCTTGCCAACTGCAACGGTACTTCTGCCACTATCAAACACGCCCTTCCCCACCGACACGGGACCAGCCCACTCGATGTAGTACCCATTCGAAAAACATGCGTTCTTTCTGATGATTATTCTGCTGCTTGTAGTGAGTTCAATACAGTTCACTCGTTCGTTAAGAAACAGATTTTTTTTCACTATTAGTTTCCTAGTTTCATGGTTGATTAGTTAATAAAAAATAAAGTATATTTTTCAGTACTTATGTGTTTTAAAAAAATACAGGGTGTCCGCAAAGTTGGGGTTTTCCTTTTCAGAAACAGCTACCCTTGAAATAACAAAGGTAATGTGTAGTGAAACGAGGGCGACCAAGTAAAAAAAAAATAAAGGAAAAAGTACTCACTCTCCAGTTGACGAGAAGGGCTAAGTACGTCTCTGCCTGAAATCGAAAGTTATTCACCCCATTACGCGTGAACGTAGATTCGTCTGTCACCAATATGCACTTCAAAAAGTCCGGATTATTGTCATGTTGACGCAACAACCACTCACAAAACCGCACTCTTGCTGGAAAATCGTCAGGTTGAAGGGCTTGTACATGTTGGACGTTTGCCACACTTTAGTTTTTGATACTTGCACTTCTCTAGCCACGTCTCTAGTGCTTTTTGAGGGATTCTCGTCTACGCGATTCAGTAGTTCTTCCTCAACTTGCACCATTCGTGGTTGTCTAGGCCTCCCACTGTGCCCACCTCGAAATTCCTCCAAATGGCCCGTATCCCTGACTCTCTGGAGCAGGTACACAAATCTGCGGGGCCTTGGATGATGTCGTCTAGGGAAAGGATCTGCATACACTCGCGACGATTTTGTATCATTTTGAAGACATTCGCCAAAAATTAACAACATATCAACGAGTTCATTATTGGTGTATGAGTGTGCCATTATTATTATTTTTTTTGAAACGCAATCGATTATGCGGGTTCGTTACCTCTATACGCGCGACCCTTTACCGTCGGTTGAAGGTTGCATGCTGACCTAACACACTGACCCCGACCCCCGACCCAGTTCTGTCGTCGGGTTCAGCTAGTAGCCGGTACCAGTCTGGGATATCGCGGCGGGTCGCGGCTACAGGACGGTATTCAGATATTTTTGATGTTGCAGAGCCCTTTAACTCGGTTCCCTTAAGACATTGGTGTATATGGTACTAAGAAAAATTGCTTATGTTTTCAAGATCTACACGTCGCCGTCGTGTAAAGGAAAACCCCAACTTTGCGGACACCCTGTATATAAAAAAGCTTTAGTAATTCTCAAATTACAAAAAACAGTTTAAAACAAACTGGATTAAAACACCTTCATTGTTTAAAACACTTGTTTTAAACATTTGGCAACTGTACACACTTCAAGAGCATCGATGACTGTTTCGATTAAACACTTCCCAGGATGCCTCATCTGAATTAGAGGCGATTTTGAGTGGCCAGCCCGGTCTCCCGATTTGGCCCCGTGTGGTTTTTTTTCTATGTTTTTTTTTCCTTTGTTCGCAGATATGGACGAGTGAACTACGTGTTGGCGACACGGTTGGATCTCCTGCTGGAAGTTGAAAGACTACAAAAGTCGATGAAGGTAGAAGGTGACGTGGCTTATACGTGCGAGACTGCAGGCCACTTTTACCTCTATCAAGTCTTGTCTAGGTGGGAGCATTTTCTAAGTGTGGTCAAGCCTCTCGGTGCAAAGGTAATTAGACGTTCCAATATTTAGTATACAAAATTGATCCTCTTTTTATACAGGATGTTTCAGTTTATTGTTGCATAACTTTAAGATTCGATAGAACTTTTAAAATGAATGCATAAAGTCTATATAAAAATGCGTGGCTTCCGAAATACAGGGTGTTTAAATTTACTTTCTAAACTAGTTTTTTTTTAAATATTTCGAACAATATTTGATGTATAACAGTGAAAATTGGTATACAAGGGTTTTTTTGGTACGACAAAACGAACCATGGGCATAGTTTTACTGTAGCCGCTAGAGGGCGCTCTCTACTGTACCTGTAGTGTATTAAAATGACCGAAAAAATTTTCTTAGTGCAATTTTTTGCTTTTTGAATAAAAAACTGATTCTTCGCACTTTTCAACATAAAAAAAGCTCTCTTGTGAATTTTCGTTATAGTTAGCCGTTTTTGGGATATTTCGATTTTTAAGGTTCGATGCATTTTTAATTATTTATGGGAAAATAACGTTAAAAAGTCAGTATCTCGATAATTTTTAGAAGTAGGCTGTGCCTGCAAATATTTTTGAAATTGCAAGCAGAATAAGGTTAAACGGCAATTAGTTGACAGTTAGTTTTGTTGTCTGTTTAAACCTGAAAGGTTTTTTTGCAATTGTGAATGCACGAAATTTAGTTTATTTTGCCTGTTTTTTTTTTGTAAGTTTTATAAAAATGCCATTTTTATTCTCCAATCCAGAGTTAGCGGATATTCATTTTGTGTATGGCTTTGTAAATGGAACCGCAGCAGAAACAGCCAGAGAATACGAACGAAGATTTCCAAACAGACGACATCCAACTCGCTCAGTATTTGTAAGAGTGCATCGCCAAATAATTGAAAATGGTTTTGGAAATCTCCAAAGGGAAGAAAACATAAATGTTCGTCAGCGCAGATTTACCCGTATGATTCTGCGTGAGTTTGATAGAGATCCGACCACAAGTGTTAGGAGAGTTTCTGGTGCCTTGGGAATTTCATCAAACCATGTTCACCGTGTTCTTAGAAATGACCATAGATGTCCTTACCATTTGCAACCTGTGCAAGGACTACAGCCAGGGGACGGAGAACGAAGAATCACATTTTGTCAGTGGATTCTTGATAGAACTGATAATAATAGGGAGTTTTTAAGTAACGTTTTATGGACCGATGAGTCATGCTTCACTAGACTTGGAGTGGTAAATTTTCATAATCAACATATTTGGTCGCATAAAAATCCGCATGCAGTTCGGGAAAGAAATTTTCAGCATGAATTTAGTGTGAACGTGTGGATTGGTATCTACCGTAATCGACTATTTGGACCCTACCTTTTGCCTGCAAGGTTAAATGCTGCGACCTTCTTGGAATTTTTAAAGGCTGAACATGCAAATATGTGGGATGACGTTATGTTAGATTTAAGAAGATTGGCCTGGTTCCAGGTTGATGGTTGTCCAGCTCATTATTCGAGAATAGTTAGAAACTGGCTGGACGAAAATTATCCAGAAAGATGGATCGGCCGTGGAGGACCAGTCGCCTGGCCTCCACGATCCCCTGACCTAAATCCATTAGATTTCTTTCTGTGGGGATTTCTAAAAGAAAAAGTGTACCAGACTCCCGTAACCACAAGAGATATGCTAATAGACAGAATCAGGAATGCATGTGATGAAATAAGGCCTTATTTGAATAATGCTATACCACGTTCGATCATTCGTAGATGTGAATTGTGTATTGAACAATTGGGTTTACATTTCGAGCAACTACTTTAGATTTTGTATGATTGTCCTAACTATCCAATAGCATTTTAGTTGTAAATAATTAAATTAATTTGTTAAAAATAATATTGGAAAATTAAATAAATTAATATTCTGTTTTGTGTGTTTATTTGGAGTTAGGAATTATTGCTGTGTTTAAAAACACAATCTAAACGACCATCTTAATTACTTGTAATGCCCAAATCGAAAATATAAAAAAAATATTATTTTCCCATAAATATTTAAAAATGCATCGAACCTTAAAAATCGAAATATCTCAAAAACGGCTAATTATAGCGAAAACTCACACAAGAGCCTTTTTATGCAGAAAAGTGCGAAGAATCAGTTTTTTTATTCAAAAAGCAAAAAATTGCACTAAGAAAAATTTTTTCTCACGTTTTGAATAAAAGGTCCATTACTATTTATTTTATATATATATATATATATATATATATATATATATATATATATAATTATTCTCCGCTTTGATTTCAGGACGTGCACAGAATCAAAGACGAATTTCCATTCCACGAGTTCTTCGAGCTGGCTCCCCAACCGCTGTTCAAAGGCGTCAGCTTCGATGAGGACATGGCGATGGCGGAAAGCTGCTTCCGGTACATCGATCACATCTTCAAGGAGCTGGAAGAGTTCCGAGCGTTCGAATTGCTCCGATCCGGCCTGGATCGATCGAAATATCTGTTGGTCAAAGAAGCGAAGATCATAGCGATGACTTGCACGCACGCCGCTCTCAAGAGAAAGGAATTGGTCGAGATCGGATTCAAGTATGATAATATCCTGATGGAGGAATCGGGGCAGATATTGGAAATCGAGACTTTTATTCCGTTGCTGTTGCAGAATCCGCAAGATGGTTTCAATCGGTAAGCTATCATTTTTTTTTCTGCAATCTTGAATCTGAAAAAGTGATGTTCCGCTATATTAGCAAAAAAAATACCCGTTCTTTAAAGTAGAGGATAATGTTAACTTTTTTGTTTAACAATTTTTGCTGTATTACTAAAAATAAAGTGGTGGGGGGTATTCAAAGGTTTCCCTAAAATGGCTGAGCCAATTTCAACAAATTTGGGCTAGCTAGCTAACAAAACAAAATATATCCTAACAGGAAAATCTTTAGATCAAAATACGATAAATCTTACAATTGAGGGGTTTGGAAGTAAAAAGGTTCAAGTGCACTTTTTTAATTAAATGGTGCAGAATATCATACCTAAAGCATATCCTAACTTGGTGGTAAAATGATTTAAATGCAGGCAACGTTCCCTTGCGCCATCTCTCATAGTCTTCGAGAACATCAAAATATCCACTAATACAGTATGTGGTAAAATGATTCAAGTGCACTTGAACCATTTTACTTCTAAGGCTTTGGCAACTATTTTTAATGTTTTACATGTGACGTGATTTCAACGTTTAACTTACTCTTAGTTAAAAATATGCATTTTGCAGTGTTGGTAGTGTTATAATAATAAACAAAATGATTACTGATTGGGAACGCATGAGAATTAAGTATCAAGATGTACAAATCATATCAGGAGTTTTGTATTGACAAACAAGAATTACCAGTAAAAGAGTCCTATTACAGGCATATTTTCAATAGGGAATTCAATTTAAGATTCCACAAGACCTATAGTGATACCTGCAATCGTTGTGACAATTTACAAAATTTAATAAAATATTCTACAAATGAAGACGTGATTAAAAATGCCAACAAGACCTCGAGCTGCACCAAAGAAAGGCCCAGAAAGCAACAGATGCCAAAAAAGCTGATATTGCTGAAAATTAAAATGATTCTAAAAATACTATAATTTGTTTTGATTTGCAACAGGCATTGCCGACGCCATTGTTAACCACCTCTAAAGTATTTTATCTTCGTCAATTATGGACGTATAATTTCTGTCTTACTGACTGGAAAAAGTTATATGTATGTATGGAACGAAACTATTGCATCCAGGGGCTCACAGGAGATAGGATTATGCTTAATAAAATTTGTGCAAAGCCTTCCATCTACAGTTACGAAGATTATTGCATACAGTGATTCGTGTGGAGGAGAAAATAAGAATAAAAACATTGCTAAACTATTTAGTTTTATTGTTCAAGCTACACATATATCTTGGATTCATCACAAGTTCCTTGAACCCGGGCACACTTACATGGAATGTGACCGTAGTTTTGGCTTAATCGAGAAGAAAAAAAGGCAAATCCCTCAAGTTTTTGTCCCCGCAGATTGGGAGACTGTAATAAGAGGCACATCGGCCAAATTTATTGTGTACAATATGATCAAAGACGATTTTTACTCTTTTCGCCGTTCAATGAAATTATGAACGATCCAAAAAAAAATAGTGACGGTTACCCCTTAAAATGAAAAGAAATTAGCTGGTTTGCAAACATTGATGTAGAGTTTAGCGGTTGCTTAATGGCAACCTCAAAAGTTGGGCGTCCGTGATTTAACTTTTCAATACTAAAGCCTTTGAATGGCACTTCAATAAAGATTAAAGTCGCCAAGTACAAAAACTTGCTTAGCTTATTGGAATACATTCCGCTCATTCACCATACATTTTATAAAAACATGATGGGAAAACATTAACAAAAAAAGGAAAAAAGAAACAAACACAGACCCTGACATCAAGCCAAAAAGTACCTGATATAGATAAACCCCAACCAAGACCAGCTGATTCAGATGAAGAAAATGATGAAGACATCCAAATATACTAAGTGACATATGAATCCGAACACCCAGTTTAAATGGTTTTAATTTAATAAAAGTTGGTGCATGTATTTATCTTACTGTAAATAACAAGTGAAAAAATTTTCAGCCTTATCAGTTGGACATTCCGGTTTTTATACTGCTTTTTTTTAATTCACTAACGCTCTAAAAATGAATATTTCAGCCGCAGTAAAGAATCAACGTTGGCGGATTTTGGTTCTTGACATCCTTTACGATCGGTTACGATGCCTAGAGTACGGAGACCTGTACGATTTCGTCAACTTAGTGAGTTTGATAGGGGCCGTATAGTGGGACTTCGGGAAGCTGGACTTTCTTTTCGGGCAATTGCAGTTAGAGTGCAAAGAAGTGTAGACACTGTGGTTAGGTGTTGTCAGGCATGGCCTCGAGAAGGCCGTACGCAAAGAGCAAGGGGCACTGGACGCCGCCGTAGAACAACAGACCGTGAAGATCGCCGCCTAAGATTATTGGCCTTAAGGGACCGTTTCTCCACTACCAGGTCCATTGCAAATGAATGGTTTGCAGAACACGGAAGACCTATTGGCATGCGAAGTGTTTACCGACGAATGAGAAGTTTTGGCTTGTTTTCATACCGGCCACACTGGGTCCTCCCTTTAACTCGAGAACACCGACATAATCGCCTTGAGTGGTGCAGACAACGGTCACTCTGTGTTGTTTAGGCATGCGCGATGGTCGTGCCAGGGTTAGAAGGCCACGTGGTGAAAGGAGGAATCCACAGTTTTTTGTTGAAAGACATGTTCATCACACTGTTGGAGTTATGGTTTGGTGTGCTATAGCTTATGGTTCCAGGTCACCTTTAATCTTCATCAGACGTAACATGAACGCGCAGCGTTATATCCACGAAGTTCTTGAACCCCTTCTTTTACCCTATCTTGACACCCTGGCAGATCCAACTTTCCAACAAGATAATGCCCGACCACATGTTGCAAGAGTCACAATAGACTTCTTTCAACATAATGATGTCACATTGTTACCATGGCCACCAAGATCTCCCGACTTATCCCCAATTGAGCACGTGTGGGATATGATGGGTAGGAGATTGCTCAATTTGCAACGTCCTCCGCAGACTCTAGAAGCACTTCGAGAGGAGTTGGTGGTTGCCTGGAATGAGATACCACAGGAGGACATTGACCACCTGATCAGAAGCATGCCTAGGCGCGTTGGAGAATGCTTAGCACATCAGGGTGCATCCACACATTATTAAAGGTCAAAGGGCTTTAAAGCAGTGCAATCGTTTTGAAATTTTTATCATTTACTTATTATGCTTCATTAAGTACTTATACAAAATTTTATTAAAATAAAACCATTTAAACTGGGTGTTCGGATTTATATGTCACTTAGTATATTAGATTCTGATTAGGAATAAGAAATTTTCTTATAGATTATTTTTAAATAATGTTTGGTTTAGTACCGTAGTTGCACTTGAATCATGTTACCACCATAATTTTTATAATATGTATAATGATTCAAGTACATTTTTGCAAAAATGACAATAAAAAAGCAAAATTAAGAAAATGTTTTTTGTTTGTAATGTTTTATTGGTGTTTAAATAAACTTAATATAGTATCATACTTTGATAAATTTATTCCTGGAATTTTCAAATGCAAGTAAACTTTGAAGCCATTTATCTCAGAACTACTAAAAATGTACTTAAACCCTTTTACTTCCAGGCCCCTCAATTAATCATGAAAAAATTGTACCAATCGAATCATTTAAATATCTGAGCATATACGTAGTAAATTAAAATTTGAAGGGCACTATGAATATATTATTTCAAAAATATCCAAGAAAATAAATTATTTTTATAGAATTTCGCATAGCATATTCTAAAAAAATTGTGTACAACACTATAATTCTTCCTCATTTGTTATATTGTTCGACTATTTTGTTCACTGCAAATCAAACTATATTTTCAAAATTACAAATATTACAAAATAAAGCTATGAGAATCATCATAAATAAAAATAAATATACTAGAATAAATTTTATGCTGAAAGAACTACAATGGTTAAATATTAAAAATTTCATATCCCACTTGATTTTCATTTTCATATTAAAGTTAAAAAATCATCTTCTACCAAATCACTTAGAAAATTTTATTGTATTGAACAATGAGTGCCACAATTATTCTACTAGAGGAAGTACAGACTTTCATTTACAAAACTGCAGTAGCAATATAACGAGCAAGTATTTCAAAAGGGATTGTACGAATTTAATAAATTAAGTAATGATATCAAGATGTGTGTCAGTTTGAAAATGTTCAAAGGGAAATTGAAAATATATCTCATGGAAAACCAGAATTCATAGTAGTGAAATTTTGTATAAAAATATGTAGTCTTGAAGACATAATATATTTTGTGGTATACTGTATAATATGGATATTGTAGCATCAATGCTAGCTAAATCTGAAACAAACAAAATAGCTTCCTTCTTAGGCAACACACACATCTATTACAATCGAACATGAATTGAATGGTAGATAGGTCAAAAGTAAAAATTATGGTGATCGAATTGTCATTTTGCTGTTCCGAAAAAAAAGTGCGGGAATTACCCGAGGATGTTCCTTAACTATGCTCTCGTTGTGATTTAGACTAAAACGTTGGATAATGATCGGCGACCACCACCAACTGCCTCCAGTCATAAAAAATATGGCGTTCCAAAAGTACTCGAACATGGAGCAAAGCTTATTCACGAGGCTGGTACGACTGGGCGTACCGACCGTAGATTTGGACGGGCAAGGAAGAGCTAGGTCGAGCATTTGCGATCTGTACAGATGGAGATACAACCACTTAGGGAACCTGAAACACGTCGAGTCGTGGAAGGAATACCAACTGGCTAACGCTGGGTTCGAGTACGACTTTCAGCTGATCGACGTGCAAGATTTTAATGGAGTTGGAGAGTCGGAGCCCAGCCCTTATTTCTATCAGGTTCGTACACATGCTGTCTAATACATACGTGATTCATATCCACTTGATACAAATTTGTATATGTGGTGAAAAAAATGTAATACAAAACAATAAAGATACGATCCTTATGTACTGAAGTGCAAGTACAAGTGCTGTAAAATCATAATACAACAATAATTTCTTAATTTCTTGAACTGTTGCAACATACCTTTTTTCTGTTACAGAATCTAGCAGAGGCCGAATATTGTGTGGCGGTGTTCATGTTTATGCGACTGATTGGATATCCTGCAAGCAAAATCACAATCTTGACCACGTACAATGGACAGAAACACTTGATTCGGGATGTGATAAATACTAGGTGTGCCAACAATTCACTTATCGGGAAACCACACAAGGTACATGTCAATATTAACAACCAAGCTCATGTTCTTCAAAATCCTAATACTTGTAAGAAACACTATTTACAAAATCATTAAAAGAATAATGTAGACCTTGAAAATTGATTCTTTCCATCCTTGTTTAATGTGTTTTTTAGTATTGAAGCATACTTAAATCGGGGTAGACACAATTGAATTGAGTTAATGATGATTATCAATATTACAGGTGACAACTGTGGACAAATACCAAGGCCAACAAAACGACTACATACTGTTATCTCTGGTTCGAACGAGAGCTGTGGGCCATTTGCGTGATGTCAGGCGATTGGTTGTAGCCATGTCGCGTGCCAGATTGGGGCTCTATATTTTCGCCAGGGTAGCGTTGTTCAGGAATTGTTTCGAGCTAGCTCCAGCACTTGAACAGGTAAGGACCATATCGGAAAAAGAAATCTACAGGGGTCCCACATAGAGCTGCAGCGAATAGTTAACTTTGCACTATTATGAAAACTTGGAGTTATGGTATACGTATATGGCTACATTTTCAAAACGGTGGCGGCAACGTATCTTCAATGATCAAGATACTTAAATTTCCATGAGGTGGTTCAAAAATCCCCCCATTTTTTGATGAATGGAGTTTGGTTTTGATTAGTTTATCATATGTAATATTACGTATTGATTTGGTTTTGTTGAAAAGCAAAGCGTCCTCGTAGTGATCAAAACGGTGGGCTTTGTGTTGACTACCGATATGTAGCGCCATCTATTGGAGAGTAGCCGAATAAATAAATATATTCATCCATATACAGGGTGTTTCAGTTTATTGTTGCATAACTTTAAGATTCGATAGAACTTTTAAAATTAATGCATAAAGTCTATATAAGCATGGGTCAAAAAATGCGTGGCTTCCGAAATACAGGGTGTTTCAATTTACTTTCTAAAATAGTTTTTTTAAATATTTCGAAACAAGATTTGATGTATAACAGTGAAAATTGGTATACAAGGGTTTTTTGGTACGACAAAACGAACCATGGGCATAGTTTTACTGTAGCCGCTAGAGGGCGCTCTCTACTGCACCTGTAGTGTATTAAAATGACCGAAAAATTTTTCTTAGTGCAATTTTTTGCTTTTTGAATAAAAAAACTGATTCTTCACACTTTTCAACATAAAAAAGCTCTCCTATTTTTTACATTTTCGATTTGGGCATTACAAGTAATTAAGATGATCGTTTAGATTGTGTTTTCAAACACAGCAATAATTCGTAACTCCAAATAAACACAAAAAAAACAGAATATTAATTTGTTTAACTTTCCAATATTATTTTTAACAAATTAAATTAATTATTTACAACTAAAATGCTATTGGATAGTTAGGACAAACATACAAAATCTAAAGTAGTTGCTCGAAATGTAAACACATTTGTTCAATACACAATTCACATCTACGAATGATCGAACGTGGTATAGCATTATTCAAATAAGGCCTTATTTCATCACATTTTTCGACCCATGTTTATATAGACTTTATGCATTAATTTTAAAAGTTCTATCGAATCTTAAAGTTTCCAACAATAAACTGAAACACCCTGTATACCTTTCTTAAATGATTTTAAAGTAATTCTGTGCATTTTCAACTAAACAAATGTTAGAAACTGTAACATAAAACTCTAAAAATTAAAAAAAATCATTCAAAGATTGAGAAACCTAAATTTCCGTGAGGGGGATTAAAAATCCCCAAGTTTTTTGATGAAAAGATTATTTTGTTTGGGTTAGTTTATTATATCTAATATTAAGTATTGACGGTGCACCTTGGTTATTTTAGATTATACATTTTTTGAAATCTGCGAAAGTTTTCTAATACGTTTCATATACAGGGTGGCCCAACGAAAAGGTCGCACTCCCATTTGTGACTCTCCTGGTATACTTTGGGAAGAACGCTCGGACACGTCAATTTTGATTTCTAGGGGAACGTCTTTTCATCTTCAGCCGCACAATACAGGGTGATCCAAAGATAAGATATTACGTGGCACTTTAGATTTTTAAATGGAAACACCCCCATTTTTTTCAATTTTTATATTGTCCATGAAGTTTTTAGTAACTTTTGTATAATAAAACTTATAACTATCTTTAATCGTTGTGAAGCTATTTGAGTTTATAATAAAGTTATATCTTATTTTTGGATCACCCTGTATTGTGCGGCTATGCGACTTCCCCCTAAAAATCAAAATTGACGTATCCGAGCATTTCGCGCAAAACCCTGTATAACACTATAACCGTTTTTGAGAAATTTCAGAATTTGTGTAAAAATCACAAATGCAGGCGCCTGTGAATTTTTCGTATATTTTTGTCTGTGTCGAAGATTTGTAACTGTCCCCTAAATTCCGTGGATATGGAAGTCCCACGTATTTTTAGACTCGGTATAAGTCGACTGGATATGATTTACCTCCATGAAAAAGTATTAAAATTAAAGTTTAAATGGGGATCTACTTTTTAGTAGAAGTCAAGAAGCTCCTATTCGATGACCACTTCGTTCGCCGGATCTTGATCTTTGCGATTTTTTTAAATGGGAAGCATTAAAAACAAAGGTATACGAGGTTTGATAGACAATTCGAATCAACTGTAATAACTTACAGGGTGGCGCATCGGAAACGAAACAGACGCATTTACTAGCAGCTCAGTTTTTTTTTTTTTGGAAAAACGCTCAGACCCGTCGATTTTGTTTTGGAGGGAGACACAAGTTTGGCAAAAAATCACGTTACTGACCCAGTTTCCCGAAATTTAGCTACAAGTTCTAGAACATATTTTCGATGCACGTTACTATTCTTATGTCGCTCATTAAATATTTCTGCTGTTCTATTAGCGCACTGATTATTTCCGAAAAATATTTCGATAATTTCTGACTCTTTCTGCTGTGGAATATACCATGGTTAATTTATGTAATAAAGCGTCACAAGTTATTTTAGCAACAAAGTTTGGTAAAATCAATCGCAAACTATGTACTAAATTCCTATTTAAAATAAGTACGAGATATTTCCTTATCTTTCTTCAAGAAATAAGTTTTTTGCCACAAAAAAAACACTCCAATAGCTATTTACAACAACAAAATGATAAACAAACCATGGGCGTAGTGAAGAAAAGCATTTACTTATTAATTAAATTCTTTTAGTCAAATTTCTTCTGAAAGTAGTACAAACTAATCTGATGTACCTATTAAAGTCTACTTTAAGCTTTAATCAATAAATCTTCAAAACTATTGAACTGGTGCTCATGTATTTTACATCATTATAAAGGGAATTGAAAGACCCCCTTTCCATTTAAGATTTTATGGTTGGTGTCACCCCCGCCCAGGGGGGGGGCCTTTTTCTCCAAAATGCAGCCTGTCAAAAATCAGCAAAAAATTTGTATTTTTTGTTTCTTGCCCGCTTAATTTTTTTGAGTACGACTACATTTTTGTTAAGAATAATATTTTCAGTTAACAGCACGACCGACAAGATTGCACCTGATCCTGGACGAAGTGTTTCCAACTAGTCGACGTAACGACCAAAAACCTAACATGAGGCCGATGATGGTTAGGGATATGACACAGATGGCCAACTTTGTGTACACGCTTTATCTAGGCAGAGTGAAACAGATGAAAGATTATTACGAGCAAATGGGGCATAAATGGGAGAAACCAGGCGAGGTGAAGGTCCAGAAGCATGAAGGGTTGATTTCGTCGCATCCAGGCGAAGATAGAGACACCGATAGTGAAGACGAAGGAGACAGTGGGAGACAATTGCCTGTTCCGATAGAAGAAGAGCCTATTGGTGAAGGTGAAGAGCAAAGGCAACAGGCTGAAATGCAACAGGATCAGACTGAAAGAGATGAAACTAGAATGGAAGCAACGAATGATAGTACCCGAATGGAAACTGAAGATATAGCTGAACGAGAACCAGAGACCAGCGAAGAGACTGAGATGCAATGTGAAGTTGATACTGGTGAAGCAGAAAACGATGAGTGATGAGATATACTACTCGAGTGTTATCAGTATTTTTAAGAATAAACATTTTTACCACTCTATTTGTATGAATATCTATGAACCCACTCATATAAAATATTGCAGCAACTGTTGCTGTAATCTTTGCTGCGAGTATTTGAAGATAATTGAGGTGTTAGGCGATAAGCACAAGCCTGATGAAGGTAGATGTTTCCACCGGTAAGTACTCGTATTATTATATTGATTCAACGTTGTCACTTTGGTAGATTGTGGCAGCGGAATGGGTCGAAAGTATGCACGGACTTTATTCCTGTCGTTGTAAAGGGTTGTCCAATAGGGACGCAGGAAAGCAAACGTCAATTTGACATATACGCCATCTTTGTTTTCTGTCACCGACATGTCATTTTGTTAGTTGAATGTTTACCATTGATCGCTATGGAGTCGTATTCGATTGAAGACCGCATTAAAGTTATTCAAGAGCACTACAAAATGGTGCAAAAATAAAAAACACGTTTCGCGCGCTTCGTGAACATTTCGGTCGCAACAACCGCCCAAACGAAACAACCATCGGTCGTCTGGTGCGTAAATTCGAGGCAACAGGTTCTGCGGCAAATCTGCCGGCCAAGGAGCGTTCGCACACCGGAAAATATTGCTGTTGTGAAGGAGAGTGTGAGAGACGATCCGAAACAATCAACAACGCGTCGATCCCAAGAATTGGGCATTTCGAGAACCAGTTTACTCCGCATTCTCCACAAGGATTTGAATGTACACGCCTACAAGATCCAATTGACGCAAGAGCTGCGTCGGGCCGACCATTTTTCGCGCCGAACGTTCTCAGATTGGCTCCTTGAACACCGCCAAATTGATGCCAATTTTTCATCAAAAATCATGTTCAGCGACGAAGCGCATTTCACTTTGAATGGGACGGTAAACCAGCAAAACTGCCGCATCTGGGCGAACGAAAATCCTCGTAAGTATCAAGAGCAGCCGATGCATCCTCAAAAAGTGACTGTGTGGTGTGCATTGTGGTCACAAGGCATCATCGGAACCTTACTTTTTCGAAAATGCGGCCGGGGACGCCGTTACCGTCAATTCTGAGCGATATCACGTGATGATAGAGGACTATTTTTTGCCGCAACTTGAAGGAATGGATATGGACGATGTTTATTTCCAACAAGACGGTGCAACATGCCACACAACCAACGTCAATATCCATCGATTACAGTCCTTCTTCGGTGATCGCGTGATTTCGCGCAGAGGAAATGTGCCATGGCCACCAAGATCGTGCGATTTGACTCCCTTGGACTTCTTTTTATGGGGATATTTGAAAAGCAAAGTCTACGTCAACAAACCAGCCACCCTCCAAGAACTCAAAAACAACATCATTGCCGAGATAAATGCCATAGAACCGACCATGTTGCAAAATGTCATTGAAAATTTCTACCATCGCGTGGACGTCTGTAAATCCAGTCGTGGTGAACATTTGAGCGATATTATTTTTCATACATAAATGGTATAAATGAACCTTCAAAATAAAGTACCCAACTTGATTTGAATATCAATCTTTCTTGTTTTAATATGCGTTTACTTTCCTGCGTCCGTTTTTGACAAGATATGCAGCGGAGCTTGCTCCAGTTTTCTCGCGTCTCTTCCAAATATCTTTGGCACCTTGCTAGAAAACTGGAAATCTGCACACGTCCAACTCGTCCCAAAAAAGGGATCTTATCGACCCTTACAACTACTGGCCTTTAGTGTGCTTTCTGTTATGAGTAAGGTGATGGAGAAGTGCATAAATCGCGAGCTTCTGGAGCGCCTCTAAAGAGACGACTTGATTAGTGACAGGCAGTATGGTTTCCGGCACCAATGATCCACAGGTGACCTCCTAGCCTACGTCACGCAAGTGTGGAGGAAACTCATTCAGTCTTATGGCGAAGATCATGTCGTTGCTCTTAATATCACGAAAGCATTCAATCAGATGTGGCATTCTAATAAATATTATTATTATGCAAACTTCCATCTTATGGCCTCGCAGAGAAGCTTTGCAGATAAGTGAATGACTTTGTATCTACTCGCAAGATATTCGTCGTAATTGACGTGTTCTTCTCTTCATTCCACAACGTCAACGCGGGTGTTCCCCAGAGATCGGTCTTGGCTCTGACACTGTTCCTCTTACATATCAACGACCTCCTTTCCTGTACGATCAATCCAATCCACATCTTTGATGATGACAGCAATCTACATGCAGGAATTCAGAACGATAAGCCGATCTCGGCCGGTGAGCTGGAAAAACAAAGACTGACCGAGACTTACTATCTGACGAGAGATCTGGAAGTTACCACTGCTTGTACAGTTTTATGCTTCCACAACACAGTTCTGTACCTTGACGAAGAAATGCGCTATTTTGGCGACAAACAATGTAATGTAAGCATAAGGCTTGGTTGATAATCTATTTGAATTTGTTGAGCGAGATGGGCTACTCCTGTTCTATCCGTCTAAACTTGCGAAATAAATTCGACCAGAATATATTCAATCGAGGCGAAAGGTAAAGTCTGGTGAAATTGACTAAACAAGCTTATTAAATAAACAACTCAAACGGAGATAGTCGATGCTCTCGAGTGGACTGCGAGGTCTGTAAATTGAGTGATGAGCCTGATATTTTAATTCAAATATAGCTACAATTCCTTCTGAAGCCACAAAAATTGGGGGTTTCAGACATATTTCACCCGTACATTTACCCTTAAAATATAAACATCCCTAATAGTCATCCATGCGAGATTAGTCATAGCAATGATCATGTGCGCTCGCAGGAATTTCTCTCAGCGGGAGGAAGAGAGTTATTTGCTTTTTTGTTGTAACTAACTTTTTTCTCAGAACTGATGACAATATTGCGTGGGAAGTCGGCTGAACTTACACCTTGTGAGAAAGATTACTTATTTTCACTTATATATAAAAATATTTTTATTGAAAACTGGTTTGACAATATTAATATAAGCCTAACAATAAACACAAAATTCATGAATTTACATCCTTTTTTTCTTCGTGACTTGTTGATATAATTTCTTGTATGTTTTTGTTGCTAGAGTTACTTGTATCATTCTTCACTTTGCTTTCTTGATTCTGATGTTCTGTGCTACTGTGACTAGAAGCATCTTCTTTTGAAGAAAGATTATATTTTGGAGTTTTGTGTTCTAAATCACTCTCACTTCCATCACTGCTACTCAGACTGTCTTCCAACTCTGCATCAAGCCTGCAAAATATTTAAATTATACCCTGAATAAATCTTATAACAAATTGTTATTCTTTATCATCTCTCATCAAAGTAACTTTTCTGAATAAATTGAAAAAATGAAAATTACCTACCATAACTTTGTCTTCTTCTTTTTACTCTTAATCACTGCCTTGGTATCTTCAGATTTCCTTTTTCCACTACAGGAAGCCTGAAGTCCTTGAGTGACTGCATCCTCCACTTCTTCAGGGAGTGCAGACCTCTCTTTGTCATACTCTTCATCCTGGAACTCATGTTTAGGTTTTTCACATAGTCTCTCTAGTTTTTTCTTTTTCCTTTCTTTGGCTTCCTTTTCTCGTTCTGCTTGTTGGTTGATCCAGTTTTTCAATCTGTCATATATTTGACCAAAAGTTTGATTACAATGATCACCAAATAACAAGTACTTTATATAAAATATACAAGTGTTAATAATGTCAAAAAAATCTTGCTATGTTTTTGCATAACCAGTGAGTGACATATAAATCCGAACACCCAGTTTAAATGGTTTTATTTTAATAAAAGTTGGTGAATGTATTTATTTTACTGTAAATAACAAGTGAAAAAATTTTCAGCCTTATCAGTTGGACATTCCGGTTTTTATACTGCTTTTTTTTAATTCACTAACGCTCTAAAAATCAATATTTCAGCCGCAGTAAAGAATCAACGTTGGCGGATTTTGGTTCTTGACATCCTTTACGATCGGTTACAGTGCCTAGAGTACGGAGACCTGTACGATTTCGTCAACTTAGTGAGTTTGATAGGGGCCGTATAGTGGGACTTCGGGAAACTGGACTTTCTTTTCTGGCAATTGCAGTTAGAGTGCAAAGAAGTGTAGACACTGTGGTTAGGTGTTGTCAGGCATGGCTTCGAGAAGGCCGTACGCAAAGAGCAAGGGGCACTGGACGCCGCCGTAGAACAACAGACCGTGAAGATCGCCGCCTAAGATTATTGGCCTTAAGGGACCATTTCTCCACTACCAGGTCCATTGTAAATGAATGGTTTGCAGAACACGGAAGACCTATTGGCATGCGAAGTGTTTACCGACGAATGAGAAGTTTTGGCTTGTTTTCATACCGGCCACACTGGGTCCTCACTTTAACTCGAGAACACCGACGTAATCGCCTTGAGTGGTGCAGACAACGGTCAATCTGAGATCAGGAATGGAACAGTATTGTCTTTAGTGACGAGTCTCGATTTTGTTTAGGCATGCACGATGGTCGTGCCAGGGTTAGAAGGCGACGTGGTGAAAGGAGGAATCCAAAGTTTTTTGTTGAAAGACATGTTCATCACACTGTTGGAGTTATGGTTTGGGGTGCTATAGCTTATGGTTCCAGGTCACCTTTAATCTTCATCAGAGGTAACATGAACGCGCAGCGTTATATCCACGAAGTTCTAGAACCCCATCTTTTACCCTATCTTGACACCCTGGCAGATCCAACTTTCCAACAAGATAATGCCCGACCACATGTTGCAAGAGTCACAATAGACTTCTTTCAACATAATGATGTCACATTGTTACCATGGCCACCAAGATCTCCCGACTTATCCCCAATTGAGCACGTGTGGGATATGATGGGTAGGAGATTGCTCAATTTGCAACGTCCTCCTCAGACTCTAGAAGCACTTCGAGAGGAGTTGGTGGTTGCCTGGAATGAGATACCACAGGAGGACATTGACCACCTGATCAGAAGCATGCCTAGGCGCGTTGGAGAATGCGTAGCACATCAGGGTGCATCCACACATTATTAAAGGTCAAAGGGCTTTAAAGCAATCATTTTGAAATTTTTATCATTTACTTATTATGCTTCATTAAGTACTTATACAAAATTTTATAAAAATAAAACCATTTAAACTGGGTGTTCGGATTTATATGTCACTTAGTATATATTTAGATGAATTTAAATCAATAAAACTGCTTTGTTTCGGAGTGGTATCAACTATTTAATAAGGGTGTTGTCTAGGTATATCCAAAATGTTTTGAATTAATTTTTGCATTAGTGTTTGGAGGCAACTCAGAATTGGAAAATTGTTATTTAAAAACAGACCATAAAATCAATGAAAAGGAAATGAATTAATAAACAATGTGAGCAATTGAAAAAATATTACAATGTTCTTAAATGCAACATCTTTCAACAAATATTTTTCAAACATTGCAGAAAACCTGATTAGTAAAATACAGAATTCTACAACCTCACCAAGCATCTTTTTAAACAAAATCAATGATTCATTATGTTTCAAATTAAAACAGTATCATACAACCAAGTTGCTATAAACCAAATTAAAAATCTCAAAAGATGTATATATATTTTCGACATCAAGATAAAAATAATTAAATCTACCAAAACTCTCATATAACTCATAACATTTTTCCAGATATTTCCAAGGTTGCAAAATTATTCCCCTTTTTGAAAGCGGTGCCCCTAATAATGTATCTTATTTCAGATGAATCTCCCTGCTACCAATTACCTACTCTTTGAGATGCTGCTAAAAGACCAAATAAATTATTTTTTTTGAATCAAATTATCTATATATTCTAATTATCAGTTTTAATAATTTATTGGTGTTACTACACAGATGTGTTAACACATGTCAAAAGAGTACATGTTGAAAAGATATGTCTGCCTTGAGGGGCATTTGGAAAACAAAATTCCTTTGTTTTTTGATTTAATGTCTACCAAAATCTGAAGAAAAATTTCGCACAAATCTAGCAAAAACATTCATAATTTTCACTTGGCCAATGAAGGTTGAAGTTGAGCTAAATCCAGATTCTGTGTTTCACAAGCTACTAACCTTTGTTCCTCATTAATGTCCCTCAAGCGCCTCCCACTAAGATCCCTGCACGCCTCTCTGTTGGTCGTCTTTTCGATTTGGGCCCCGATAGCCCTGAGCATTGACCCAAATCCTCCTTTCCCGCCAAATAGGCGAGGTACAATATGCACGATGCCATTGTTCACGAAACTGTCGTCTCTTACTAAGCTTCCGTTACAAATTAAATAGTATTCGTCTCCAATTAGATTCTGAAAAGGTCAAGACGTTTGTACTAAATAATTTAATAGAAAAGTTGTCTAACTTACCAATCGTACGTTGAGGTGTTGTTTCAACTTTATACCCGTGATTTCTTCTTTAACGACCAGTTGTTGTTTCTCTGGTATAAAAATATACATTTTCAATAACTAGTACAAAATATTAATAATGCAAAAATCTGCAAAATGTATAAAATAAATAATGTTGGCATAAAACATATGACAGGTGACAGTGCAGACTCAGCACGCTGACAGTGCTGACACATTGCCCAAGGGTGGGAGAACATCAAGCTAGCCATAGACGTTGAACAGACTTGCCCGACGTGATCACTAAAGCGGCGACTCTAAAAATAAAAATTGAACGAAGGCCCAGCATTAGTGTCCATTTATGTACGTGACTTGCGACAGTGTCATGTTCGACAAATAGTTGTCACCGTTGTGACTATCTGACTTCATTGCTGAACATTGATGGTTGTTCCTATCGCACAACGGGTTCGAATAGATTAGGAGCCAAGCCAATGTTTACATTGCATTGTTTGTCGTCAAAATTGCATAGTTTCGTGCATACTTTTGAGTCATTAGACGACCAAAGTGACAGCGTTGTATTAACATGTTAATACTAACCAGTGGAAACATCTACCTTCATTAGGTTTGTTGCGCTCTTTGCAAATTATATAATAAGTACCATGTCTTGAGTTCCTGTAACACCACAATTATCTACTAACACTCACACAACAATTATTTTTGATTGGTTAATCCGACGAAAAATAGCCTCTGTTGTGAAATCGATTTACAAAATCAACGGTTATGCATACACTGGATCGAAAAGGGAGAGAGCAGCAAAACACATCGTACGCTACTGCAGGCGTCCCTTTAAATTGAAAAAGTCGGAGCACGAGTATCCGAATGTCCCGCAGACGCCGTTTTCAAAAACTCACCGCGCTCGCAGTGACATGCAATTTGTTTTGCTGATCTCTTCCTTTACCCAAATATTGACCTATCAACAAATTTGCTGGTTGAAACTAGTATCATTTCTTTTCAAAACTTAAGCAATGTGAAAGGATCATAAAAATGGCAGGTTTTTCTTTAATATGGAATCGGAGGAATTGGATATACAGATTCGCAGCCATGGTTTGCACGTCGGATATCGTTTGTGGCCGGCTTTATCCGGTTATCTAAATTTTGTGTTTTGTGCGTTTTGTGAATAAAAAAAAGGAAAATTTAGTTGTAAGAAGCGAAAAATTGAAAGTCGAAAAAAGGTAATTATGTACAAATTTTTATGGCTTGCTAGATACAAATAATTTAAACCCATACTCTCCCACAATAGTTACTATATTCTTTATAAGCATAATCACTTTTTTTTTATTATGCTGCTTATTACATAATCAAAGGCAACAACCCGACTTCAAAAAAGAAAAACTATTTTAGAGACAAAATGGGCCACGGTTTCGGAGAATTATATAAACTAAGGGGAATAATCACCTACAGGATTTCCCCCTTTGAACTGAAAGCATTTGCTGGTGTTATCTCCCATGGATTCCCAAACACAATAAGGAGGATAGCTGAGAACGTATTGTATATTGTTCCACGTGAGTATCCAATCTATCAATCAAAATCTAGCTGCAATAAAAAGCAGTCCATGTACTACTAAGGCCCGTATCGTCAGTCGTCCCTACAATTGTAGGGCGCGTTTATGGCCTCCTTGATTGTCATACTTCTTTCTCTCCTTCAAAAATTTCTAGATTACACTTGTCCCGTGTCAGCGTCAGCGCTCTACTATTGTGAAGATATGTTTTCTTTTTAAATTGTGGGAAATTTCAGGCTGATAAAACATGATATAACTCAAAAGCAAGCACAATTTGATGCAAATAGATGTTTGTGACATAACCTCAAAATAGAGTTCTGACACGGAGAAGTAGAAAACTATGACAATCAAGGAGGCCATACAGGCGCCCTACAATTGTAGGGCTCGTTTGTGGCCTTCTTGATTGTCATACTCCTTTCTCTCCTTCAAAAATTTCTAGATTACACTTGTCCCGTGTCAGCGTCAGCGCTCTCCTATTGTGAAGATATGTTTTCAATAGATGTTTGTGACATAACCTCAAAATAGAGCTCTGACACGGAGAAGTAGAAAACTATGACAATCAAGGAGGCCATAAAGGCGCCCTACAATTGTAGGGACGACTGACGATACGGGCCTAAGGACCATATTGTCAGACACTCCTACAATAATTGTGGGATGCCTTTATGGCCTCATTGATTTCCATAGTTTTTCCTATCCTTCAGAAAGGCAGGGGTATTTCTAGATGTCTACTGTTTCATGTCAGCACTCTATTTTGAGGTTATATTTTCTTTTTGATTTCTAAATAGGAAATTTCAGGCTGGTAAAAAGTGATTTTTATCATGTTTTACCAGCCTGAAATTTCTTAAGATTCGAAAAGAAAACATAACCTGACAATAGGACAGCACTGACACAAAACAGTAGAAATCTTGGAATAACCCAGCCTTTCAGAAGGAGAGAAAATGCTATGAAAATCAAGGAGGCCATAAAGGTGTCCTACAACTTTAGAAACAACTGACAATATGGCCCTAAGGCCCGTATCGTCAGTCGACCCTACAATTGTAGGGCGCGTTTATGGCCTCCTTGATTGTCATACTCCTTTCTGTCCTTCAAAAATTTCTAGATTACACTTGTCCTCTGTCAGCGTCAGCACACTCCTATTGTGAAGATGTTTTCTTTTTAAATAGTAGGAAATTTCAGGCTGATAAAACATGATATATCTCAAAAGCAAGCACAGTTTGATGCAAATAGATGGTTGTGACATAACCTCAAAATAGAGCGCTGACACGGAGAAGTAGAAAACTATGACAATCAAGGAGGCCATAAAGGCGCCCTACAATTGTAGGGACGACTGACGCCTTAAAGACTCTACTCACAAAATATTCCAAATGTCACACAATTAGTCTGTGGAGATCTACCATTAGTATTTATTGTCCATCAGTGTCAGTGGATGTCTTATATATCATTAATTACCCACTAGTCTGTTCAATATCCTCATATCTGATAGGAAAAATATTCTGATTAGGATTTTTTGCATAATCTCATTCAAAATGGCCCTCTTTTAATGAATCTGGATGTTTTGCCAGTCCCAAATTGGCATACAATCTTTTTTGAACAATCTAAACAACAAAGGTGCTTTAGAACTCTTCTCTAATGTCTATAGTTTTTGGGATATAAGTGATACAATATTTGAAAAAGCGGAAAATGTGTTATTTTTGATCCTGGAAAATAAAGATTTGTATGTTGAGAATGCTTCTGAATATTCATCAAACATCTGTTAATAAAATCCCAAAGCATCTGAGGAGTTATTGTTATTGTAAACCATTGTTTTTTGTATGTGTTCAGCATATGCCCTACATGAGGGAAATGCTTCAGAATTTTGTCAATGGTTGAAGAATATTTAGGAACATTGAAAAAATAAAATTTTTACCATATTTTTTTTTTGCGGACAGTAGGTCCACTTATTTTCTTTAATATGTAGATATGAGTTTTTAATTATAGCTGCAGTGTAACTTGTCATACAGGGTAAATAAAAATGACATTTGAGTTACTTTGTGGTGTGACCCCAGTTGCCAATCAGACTGCAATGCTTTCAATTATTAAACACTACATTTTCTCTATTGTATTGTTTTTTGTTCATGTCAATATGTCACACCACAGAGTAACTCAAAGTTGGGGCTGTGTAACATCATTTCGATGTACTCAGTACTACAAGTCGAACCATCGCTATAACCAAGAAATCAGGTATGCAAATTTGAGCCGATGAGTGTTCCTACCACCTACAAAAAAAATCAATAAAACCTCAAATATAAATAACATTCTAAATTTGACCAAAAATTTTCTAGTTGCATTTATTTTGAACCTGAGTGCATTTTTAAACACAAAATAAGTCAATTGAACATGATTTACTGATTTGAATGAAATTTGTGATATGATATTCAGACACCTTGCATAGAGGAAAAGTTAAAGTTTCTCTTTGATTTTTCCAGCAATGGCTATTGGCTACCTAGTTTATGATCAGGTAGAAAAAGGACACCACCAACTCATGCTGAAGAACCCTGCTGATTATGAAAATGACAAGTAGCCTACTTATCTTTGGTGAAAATCTGAATACCACAGATCATAGTAAACTTAGTTCTTAAATGTACACACCACTTATACATTTTATTTAATACAATTTTTTGTTTCATTATGTTCTTTTATTTATTGCCCTTTTACATGACATCCACTGCATTTAAAATTCATTGAGAATGTTGATTCACCATCTACAGTAATATCCTCATATATCCATTTCACCAACCAAATCGTAGAGAGTAGTTCACTTCCATTCAGGTATATCTTTGCTTGATAATACATTTACGTAACCAGATTCAGCCTTCACCATTCCTGCAACAACGTTGATGAAAGTTTGAAGTATGGTTCGTGTCTGTAAATACTGTGATCATTTTCTTGAGGGATAATAGGGAATATGCGTTTATTTTTTTAATCTCTGTTGATTTTATTTACGTAAACGGATATTTGTATTTTTTCTTACTAAATATCTACAAATGCAATAATAATGACGTTGATTTGATGATGTTCGCTGCCACCAATTACTTTACAAACTTGGTTGATAGCCAACCCATTTTTTTTTAAAAACAGCCATTTTGGTGCAATTAATGATTCATTAGATATGAGATTTTTTCTATTGCCCATACCTGTCCATACGCACAGATTGACAGCCAACGCCTAGAGATTTAAAATTTCCGGAAAAATTGAAATTTGTTATAAACAAGATAAAAGCATTCTGGTTACTGATTCTTCCATTAATATAAATCAAACAGAAATAATTTGAATCAAAACCGCAAGCTACGGCTCTGCAGGATTAGTTCTCGGTAAATATCCGTCGATTTTCGGTGAATCCCCGACCACTACAGCTTTCGGTTAATTCCCGATCACGCACAGCGACACGGCATTTCGGTAAATCCCCGTATTCGCCTTATCATAAGCGCAGTAAATGAATAATACAAAGTGAAATTTTGCTGTAATAATTGAGTGTGTTTGTTCTGAAGATTGTTAATCTGTAGAGTACAAAAAATAAACGACGACTGCGTCTACTTGGCGTTGACGGATCCGTCGGAATTATGTGTCATTTGTCGATATGGAAACTAGATAACCTGCTGTTATTCTACTGCAACAAGTGACCACCCTGTAACACCTTACACGCGCCATATAGGTTGATAGACACCCTAAACCGCATCCGCTGAGAAATGTGGACATCTTCGGCAAATAATGCTGTGTATTGTTCGTCCCCGGGGGGTTCTATCATTTAAATACTGGATGGGTCGGTCCGTGGGATTATTCCTGCCCTGGGATGTCCCTTCGTGGGACTGGTCCGTCCTGGGCCAAAAAGTAAGTACCGGTTTCATTTTATTGTAGTTTTATTCGAACGGCGTTTTGCTAATACACTTTGATATTTTATTTTGTTTGTGCCTCCATTCCAGTTGCTCGACCGTAATAGATACTCGTGAAAAAGGCAGTAGCATGCTCCGGGGAAATATGTTAAACTAACCTTTAACTACACTTTGACGACAGTCTCAGCACTAGTGTATTTCTTGGCCTTCTCACTGTCAGCCGCTGACGTTTTCAGCACCTTCATTTCGGACAGTTGACCTGCCTTCTTGTCCAGGCCAGTGTGCTTCTTGTTGAGACTGTCCATGTACGATTGTTTCTCCTGTTGGGCCTGCGCCAGCGCGATTTCCTCGGCATTGGTCATCTGCGTTAGACGACTGTCCATAGCCATCCAGTCTGAGGTGACGACTTGATCCACGCGCCAGCGCTTCGTGATGTCAGGCTCCATCAGGTGACCTACCACGGCTTTAATGTTATCGCTCAGTTGATCCACTACCTTTTGGGAGGAGAAACTCGAATGAGTAGGGTAATTTTAAGGTAAAATGAAGGCCCGATGAATGAACGACTCAGTGCTTCCCATATGTTCACCTTTGTGGTGACTCTTCAATCTCTCGGAAGCACCAGGGAACAACCCTCTTGATCAACGACGACACCTTCGTCGTTGCTATTAATAGTTCGTCTACTTTCTTTCGCAATCACGACCAACCGCATGCAAAAAAACGGGGAAAATCGTAATGTATAACTATGAACATAACCTCTCTTCAGAAACGACAACACAAATAACCCATCTGATATAGCAAATATCACTGATTTTATACACATGCAGACCAGTCTCTCAGCCAGATCTGATCTTGCTACTCTGCTACTAAACCGCACATCTCAGAGAATATACTGCTCCGACTATCTCAGCATTCTGCAACCGTCAAAGCATGATGGGAAAGTTCTTGCAGCATGGTCATTGAGCGCGTCATGTCATTGAGTCCTTCCTCCATAGATGGACGTTCTAGGCAGCAAGTTGACATTTTGTCGTTTTTAGGCTTTTTCGTAGTATCCCTGCATGTGCTGTATACATATTAATACAACCCGTTGTAAAGGATGATGCGCGTGTACACAAAGAAATCCATATATCACTGACGTCTTAACGCGTACAAAACGTATGTTAGAAAGAGATAAAAGCACTCTTTCTAAGATACGTATTGCGCGCTTTCTCTGTATTCACATGTGTACATTACCTTGGATCTAAACTTCCACCGCCTGTTGATCTGCTGCTCATGCAATCGCTTTACGTTAGTATCGTCGAAAGGCATCGCCTTGTTCACCATGATGTAAAGAATAACTCCTAGTGACCAAATATCGGCTATCTTCGGATGGTAAGGCATGCCTCTCAATACTTCGGGAGCAGCGTATGACAGCGAACCGCAGTATGTGGTGCTTGTTAGTTTCCGACCTTGACCGTCTGTTACGAATCTGATATAATAATAATATAACACCATACATTCATAGTTAGATTTATAGACCTTCCTTGAGCTTGGAGGCTTCTTGGGAAACAACGGTTCTCTCCTTGGAAATGACTCCTTCTTCAAAAACGTTCAAGAGTGGATTTAAATTAAATTTAAGTAAAAAAACATCTAGTAGTTCAAATTTATCTTGAGTATCAAATATGTAACATGCAGTAGTTCAAATGTAACACGTAGTAGTTCAAATACATTTAGCAGTTGAAATGTAACGTGTAGTAAGTAGTTCAAATGTCACGTTTTAGGTCAAATATAGCGTGTATTGTCTTAAATTATAGCTGCTTTAACAGAATTATATAAGTAACAACATCGAACAATGAAAAGTATTAGAGACAAACCAAGTGTTTAGATGACTACTGAAAAGGGCTAACCGAAACAGAAAAATTCAAATGTAACATGCAGTAGTTCAAATAGATCGTACGGTAGGTCAAATGTATCACGGAGTAGCTCAAATGGACCATGCTGTAGTTCAAATACATTCAGCAGTTCAATGTAACGTGTAGTAGTTCAAGGTCAAACGTAACGTGAATTGTCTTAAATTATAGCTGATTTGTTAGCAGAATTGTATATCTAACAACACTGAAAAATGAAAAGTATTGGAGACAAACGTTAGAGACTAATACGTTAAAATGTAATGGATACTCGTGAAATAGTGTGTATAGTCCTAACCTGGAGAAACCAAAATCTGCCAACTTCAAGTTGTAATTGTTAGTAATCAGAGCGTTTTCGCATTTCAAATCCCTATGGGCGATCTCCATGTCATGTAGATATTGTATAGCCAAAGCAAGCTGTCTCATCCATACTCTACTTTGCGCTTCAGATATTGGACCTTTCTTCAAAATGAACTCCAACAGGTCTCCGTTTTCGGCGTGTCGCATGAAAATGAAGTACTTCGTCTTTCGCTGAAATATACTATGAATGTGGATGATGTGCGGATGGTTGATTCTGACTAGAATGTCGAGTTCTCTTGGTAGGAATTTCTTCACGAAGTCTTTCGGAGCCTTGCTTACATCGACGACCTTACAGAAGCAAAATGGAAATCTTAAATAACGTATACATATAACGCATATTTTTATCGAATGGAAATTACGATAAGTACTGGTATTTATGCCTCTCGCAAAATTTTGAAAAATGAATCTAGGGAATAAGTAATAATAAATGCTTTGTGATGATGATTGAAGTTCACCTGATGACCAATGAAGATTTAATAAACTAAATAATAATATAAAGTCTACCTAAGATTTGAGGATGGTTAAATTATTAAAGGAATATCTCTTGGTCAGTGAAAATTATTAGAGATGCAAAATAATTTATATAATAATTGTAGCAATCATTCTAAATGAATCTTAAACAAAGATCACATCAATCGTAACGTTTTGAATCAAAAACTCCGAGAAACAGCATCTCAATTTTAACGATTTCTTTTTGTTTGATTTCCTGTACACTCTCATTCTATTATGTGATGCGTTTATGCATCAAGTTTTTTAGGAAAATTTCCATTTCAAATGTTCATATTTCTCTTTTGATCTTTGTTGTGGTACCAACCTTGCATGCTAACATTTTCGTACTCTTATCGTCACCATCTTTGATGGTAAATTCTGCCAGAAATACTTGAGCATACGACCCTTCACCTAATTTATTCATGAGCCTATATCCCCTGGTTGATAAAGTCAATTCCTCTGATGGTCTCAGCAAGAGATCTTGGGTTTGAATCATGATTCAGAAACATTTTTTCACGGAAATTTTGCCAATGAACTATTGTTCATTTTATTGTGCGACTCGACTTTAGTATACTTTGAGTTGACATGTCTTGTCAAGATACTAGGTCACTAGGTAAAAGTATTACAACATGACTACTTGGGTATCCGCTAAACTTCTTTCAAAATATTTAGCATCTAACAAACTCGAATTAAATTTCACGCTCTTTCCATTTGCGGGGTCAAAAATGGGGAATCTCATCGAAAAAATCGACTTGACCTTCAATTGACCTTGAAGGTCATGGTCAATTCCAAGGTCAGTATTGGATATCATGGGAACAATCATGAAAATAATGTTTGTGTAGTTTTTCTATGCGACTACTTGTTTTCAAGTTTTATCACTTTAACTGGGTTTGACCTTGCATATGACTTTAAGAAAAGTCAAGGTCTTATTTGAATGTTCAATATTTCGCTCTATTCATTTACGGGGTCAAAACTGGGTGGTTCCTTTGAAAAAATCAACTTGACCTTTAATGACCTATAAGGTCATGGTGAAGGTCAAATACAAGGTCACCATTGGAAATCCTAGGAAAAATCATGAAAATAATGTTGGACTAGTTTTTTCCATACAACTACTGGTTTTCAAGTTATAGCACCGTACCTGGGTTTGTCCTTTATCATGACTTCCTAAGGTCAAAATGAAAAAATGTCAAGAACGAATTTGAATCTCACATTTTTTGCTCATTTCATTAACGGGATCAAAAATAGGGGGTTCCATTGAAAAAATCGACTTGACCTCCAAATGACCTTGAAGGTCAAGGACAAATCCAAGGTCTTTATTGGATATTCTAGGAACAATCATGAAATAATGTAGTTTCTCTATACTACTACTGGTTTTCAAGTTTAATCACCGTACCTGGGTTTGACCTTTATCATGACTTCCTAAGGTCAAAATGAAAAAATGTCAAAAACGAATTTGAATGTCACATTTTTCGCTCATTTCATTAACGGGATCAAAAATAGGGGGTTCCATTGAAAGAATAGACTTGACCTCCAAATGACCTTGAAGATCAAGGACAAATCCAAGGTCATTATTGGATATTCTAGGAACAATCATGAAATAATGTAGTTTATCTATACTACTACTGGTTTTCAAGTTATATCACCGTACCTGGGTTTGACCTTTATCATGACTTCCTAAGGTCAAAATGAAAAAATGTCAAGAACGAATTTGAATGTCACATTTTTCGCTCATTTCATTAACGGGATCAAAAATAGGGGGTTCCATTGAAAGAATAGACTTGACCTCCAAATGACCTTGAAGATCAAGGACAAATCCAAGGTCATTATTGGATATTCTAGGAACAATCATGAAATAATGTAGTTTCTCTATACTACTACTGGTTTTCAAGTTATATCATCGTACCTGGGTTTGACCTTTATCATGACTTCCTAAGGTCAAAATGAAAAAATGTCAAGAACGAATTTGAATGTCACATTTTTCGCTCATTTCATTAACGGGATCAAAAATAGGGGGTTCCATTGAAAAAATCGACTTGACCGCCAAATGACCTTGAAGGTCAAGGACAAATCCAAGGTCATTATTGGATATTCTAGGAACAATCATGAAATAATGTAGTTTCTCTATACTACTACGGGTTTTCAAGTCTAATCACCGTACCTGGGTTTGACCTTTATCATGACTTCCTAAGGTCAAAGTGAAAAAATGTCAAGAACGAATTTGAATGTCACATTTTTCGCTCATTTTATTAACGGGTTTAAAAATAGGGGGTTCCATTGAAAAAATAGACTTGACCTCCAAATGACCTTGATGGTCAAGGACAAATTCAAGGTCATTATTGGATATTCTAGGAACAATCATGAAATAATGTAGTTTCTCTATACTACTACTGGTTTTCAAGTTTAATCACCGTACCTGGGTTTGACCTTTATCATGACTTCCTAAGGTCAAAGTGAAAAAATGTCAAGAACGAATTTGAATCTCACATTTTTCGCTCATTTCATTAACGGGATCCAAAATAGGGGGTTCCATTGAAAAAATCGACTTGACCTCCAAATGACCTTGAAGATCAAGGACAAATCCAAGGTCATTATTGGATATTCTAGGAACAATTATGAAATAATGTAGTTTTTCTATACTACTACTGGTTTTCAAGTTTAATCACCGTACCTGGGTTTGACCTTTATCATGACTTCCTAAGGTCAAAATGAAAAAATGTCAAGAACGAATTTGAATGTCACATTTTTTGCTCATTTCATTAACGGGATCAAAAATAGGGGGTTCCATTGAGAAAATAGATTTGACCTCCAAATGACCTTGAAGGTCAAAGACAAATCGAAGGTCATTATTGGATATTCTAGGAACAATCATGAAATAATGTAGTTTCTCCATACTACTACTGGTTTTCAAGTTTAATGACCGTACCTGGGTTTGACCTTTATCATGACTCCCTAAGGTCAAAATGAAAAAATGTCAAGAACGAATTTGAATGTCACATTTTTCGCTCATTTCATTAACAGGATCAAAAATAGGGGGTTCCATTGAAAAAATCGACTTGACCGCCAAATGATCTTGAAGGTCAAGGACAAATCCAAGGTCATTATTGGATATTCTAGGAACAATCATGAAATAATGTAGTTTCTCTATACTACTACTGGTTTCCAAGTTTAATCACCGTACCTGGGTTTGACCTTTATCATGACTTCCTAAGGTCAAAATGAAAAAATGTCAAGAACGAATTTGAATGTCACATTTTTTGTTCGTTTCATTAACGGGATCAAAAATAGGGGGTTCCATTGAAAAAATCGACTTGACCTCCAAATGATCTTGAAGGTCAAGGACAAATCCAAGGTCATTATTGGATATTCTAGGAACAATCATGAAATAATGTAGTTTCTCTATACTACTACTGGTTTTCAAGTTTAATCACCGCACCTAGGTTTGACCTTTATCATGACTTCCTAAGGTCAAAATGAAAAAATGTCAAGAACGAATTTGAATGTCACATTTTTTGTTCGTTTCATTAACGGGATCAAAAATAGAGGGTTCCATTGAAAAAATAGACTTGCCCTCCAAATGACCTTGAAGGTCAAGGACAAATCCAAAGTCATTATTGGATATTCTAGGAACAATCATGAAATAATGTAGTTTCTTTATACTACTACTGGTTTCAAGTTTAATCACCGCACCTGGGTTTGACCTTTATCATGACTCCCTAAGGTCAAAGTGAAAAAAATTTCAAGAACGAATTTTAATGTCACATTTTTCGCTCATTTCATTAAAGGGATCAAAAATAGGGGGTTCCATTGAAAAAATCGACTTGACCTCCAGATGACCTTGAAGGTCAAGGACAAATCCAAAGTCATTATTGTATATTGTAGGAACAATAATGAAATAATGTAGTTTCTCTATACTACTACTGCTTTTCAAGTTTAATCACCGTACCTGAGTTTGACCTTTATCATGACTTCCTAAGGTCAAAATAAAAAAATGACAAGAACGAATTTGAATGTCACATTTTTCGCTCATTTCATTAACGGGATCAAAAATAGGGGGTTCCGTTGAAAAAATAGACTTGACCTCCAAATGACCTTGAAGGTCAAGGACAAATCCAAGGTCATTATTGGATATTCTAGTAACAATCATGAAATAATGTACTTTCGCTATACTACTACTGGTATTCAAGTTTAATCACCGTACCTGGGTTTGACCTTTATCATGACTTCCTAAGGTCAAAGTGAAAAAATGTCAAGGACGAATTTGAATGTCACATTTTTCGCTCATTTCATTAACGGGATCAAAAATAGGGGGTTCCATTGAAAAAATAGACTTGGCCTTGTTCTTGAAGGTCATGGTCAAGGTAAAATTCAAGGTCACCATCGGATATACTAGAAACAATCATGTAAATGATGGGGTAGTTTCTCCATACGACTACTGGTTTTCAAGTTATATTACCGTACCTGGGTTTGACCTTGAGCATGACCTCCAAAGGTCAAAATTGAAGGAGTTAAGATCATATTTGGACGTAAAATGTTACACTTACGGGTCAAAATGGGGGCATCCATTGAAAAAATAGACTTGACCTTCACATGACATTGAAGGTCAAAGTAAAATCCAAGGTCACGATTGGTTATTCTAGGAACAATCAAGAAAATAATATTGGAGTAGTTTCTCCGTACGACGACTGGTTTTCAAGTTATATCACCTTACCTAGGTTTGAGCTTGACCATGAGGTAAGGTCAAAATTTAAAAATGACCAAGACCATATTTGAATGTAAAATTTTTCACCATTTTATAGCTGTGGAAAACTTATCACTTGCCCTGCTTAATTTTTTCTTACCATTAGTTCACAAATTATCGTGGGGTTCCTAAACGTCAGACATCCTGTATACGTTTTGTAGATTTTAGGTCAACCTGTCAAAATAGGCAATTTCACAATTCAAAAACTCTTCATAATGTATAATTATATTACATAATAAATACCTCACAAAACAACAAATAATACACTGAAATAGTCAGGGCAAACCTGTATACTTTTTGTTAATCCATTTTAGGTACTTTTTTCGATTATACTGCTATGTTACTTGTGCGTACAAAAAATATGGAATCACCCAAATGTTACTATCACTTGTGAACTGAGTTAAATCAATCGAAAAAATCTCTTTTTGGCACAATACAGAAATAAATACCATAAACGTTCACAACACACGGCACCAATACAATGTTAAAAGGGGTAAATGTTAAAATGCGTTATATAAAAAATAATCGATTATAAATAACAACTTCAACAAATACGTTACTAGTATATGTATAGGTACAAATTGGTAAAATATGTATATATTTGGTCATAACTTGTCCTAGAGTCTACATACATTAACAATTTTTTGTTACATTCAATACTGGTCAACTGAAATGCGTACATTCTTTCTTCTCAGTGATGTGATAATATGTTTCATGATAGAAGGATTTTTTTACTAAATACTACTTTAAAATCTGTTTTCTGTCTCGCGTTAAAGGCTATAAACTAGATACGAAAATTGCCCCCAAAGGTATATTGGGTGAAATCACCTTAAACAGCGAAAATCTGGTCTTTTCTATGTTTATCTTTATTAAGTTATCTAACTTATGGTATCAAAATGTCAAAGATATTTTCCGATTTATGACGATTTTCAGGTGAAAAAAAATCATGATTTTGTAGATCTAAAAAGAACGCAAGAAAGCACTGAAACACAGTGGATTTTTGATTTTTTGAAAATCTCATTATCGAACTTAAAATACGAAAAAAGACACCAAACATTATTTTCTTGAATGTGTATGTTCCACAAAATCTATGAATAATCACAGTTATGTAGGATATAACAATGCAACATCTGTAATTTTTTCAGAATTTTAAAAAACTTGTTTTCGAAAAAACACGTTTTTTCCTAGGGGCGTCATATCGATCTGAAAATTCGGCTAAGGTGATTTGGCCCAATATGCTTTAGTCTGGATTGATCCAGAATTGGATAGCTTTTAGCCTTTTAAAAACTTGCACAATGTCCGGATTAGATTGCGTGGTGTACTAATTGATCCATGATTTATACGTCAATAGTTATTTTTATACTAAAAGCAGATAAAATGATGGTACATTTAGAGTCGTCGATCACGATAAAATCTTTCAAAAAATATAACGGAATAATATTTCCAATTAACGATATTACATTTTTGTGTCATGAGTCACAGTATATGTTCAATATAAATGTTGCTACATTATTTGCATTACAACATTTGAGCGGCATAGATATTTAAAAAAATAGAAATAATAACGTCAGTATTAAATGATTTTTTCCCTCAAGTAAGAGGGTTTTGATGTGAGTAGTAATTTTTGAACAAAAGCTAAATAGGGATACTAGACCAAGCCATTAATTTTTAACAAATTTATAACAGGATATTTCGAAGATATATGATCAAATTTACGTAAGCCAAAGATGAAACATAAACATTAAAGTATAAACACTCAAACTACAAATACTCCGGTTGAACGATTTAATGGAAATTCGATTGAAACTAGTTTCCACTCAAAGGTTGTACTGCCACAATTTACATTTAAAGTGTTCAATCTTCACGTAAATATTATTTATATCTTATTATAGAGTAACATAGAGTAGACTAAAGTGTATACTTACCAACACATTTATATGATGATATTCAAATTCAATATCATTTCGAAAATTAATTCTATCTGCATTTCTATACAATACTTTGTAAAATGAAATAAATCAAAGTTGCAGTCAGTGTTTTAGAATATATGAGTTACGCTTAAATTCCACAGAAGAATCATAAGAAATCACAAAATTCTTTTCAATTTTATTTTAGAACAAAGGATCATTCAAAAGTCAAAATAATACTGATTTTAAAATACAAAAACGTAATATAAAAAATTATTTGTGACTGAAAAAATGTGGGAACCATATTTCTGAAACCACCCTCGTATATTGTTTACAAAATAAATCTAGGTTCCTAGGTTTAACTGTAGTAAAGTTAATATAGTTTTGATTAATAAAATATGGTTGTGTTATTTCAAAATCTTGATTCTACATCTTTGAATAATCCTTTGTGAATAGATATCAAGTTAAAAATTGATACTTTCAATCGTATATGTTTATCATGCATTTAAAAAGCCTTCAAAATGTTGCTATTGTCTATGTTTATTTCAGTACAAGTTTCATTATTTTCTACACATAGTATATAGGTAGGTATCGGGAGAAAATAGGTGCTTAACATTTCTAAGGCAAATTTTAGGGAAGACATTTCTCAACGTTTATATACGTATATGTATACGTATTTATCTAGGGTGGTAACAATAATGACAAATTGTTTATGCATTTTCATGGTCTATACATTACGAACCACCTCATACTATTCATGTTATGTTAAATACCTCAATAATACTCTACAGATATAAATACTTGAACGGTTGTGATAATTAACAATCTCCTTAGAAAATTCATTGTTACACAATGATTCAAGAATTACCGATGAGCACTAGCACGGATTCCATAACACCTTATTTACTTATATGATGAATGAAATGCACTTTACGAGTATATTTCGTTAATATATTCTTATGGCTGCTTGCGAAAGTTTTATACGATACCACTACAACGTTTTGAAGGTCAAGGGCATTTACAGAAATGTTAGTATCATCAGCAAAAATTTGGATTATGCAATTTTTGGTCATATAGGTATTGTTCGGAAAGTTCTTGCTGTTTTTATTTATATTTTAAACTAAAATTTATTTATATTATTTTAACTTTATATATCTTTTTAAACCGCGTTTTTCGCTCTATCTAGTTGTTGTATTCGTTTTGTTTTACTATAATTTGTTTTTTATATAGGATGGACAAGAGGTAAATTCGCAGGATTTTCTTATTCTTGTTCACATTTTCCTGATTTCTACGTTAACGGCATAAATAAACTAGTTTCTCGTTGGCAAAAGTGATTAATAAAGTTTAGTTAAAGCTGAGATATGCTTTTTTGAATTTGAATGTTAAAAACCGCAAGAACTTTCCGAACAAGATAAAAAGAAGTGGTCCCAGGATACCACCCTGGAGGATCCCAAAATGATACTCCATCTTTGATGAAATAAAATTATTTATCTCAGTTCCTTGCACTGTTATCAGATGTAATGTGATCTTAGATAAGTTTTTACCGAATCGGAACAGAAACTCAGTTTGAGATTGACCTTAACGTTTGCTTAGTGGTGGATTTGACAAAAGAGGTGCAACCGGCCATTATGAATATTGAATACTCATAACGGAATATTAATTAATCTTTTCTAAAATGGTACGATTACATGATACTTCACAGATATCGCTTGTGTCAAATGTAAAAAAGTGATAAATTAGCGTTTTGAGATTGAGTCCTGGTGAAAAGATTGGATGGTATAGAAAAAATGACGATCCAAAGATTAGTGCTGGCAAGACATGGATCTAGTCGTAGCTTATACAGGGTGTCCCAACATTTCGCGGACATAGAAGTACCACGTATTTTTTTACTCAAAATAAGTGGACGTGATTTACCATTATTTTCGGATATTTTAGAAACCGATAAGTAACCATAATTTTCTTTGAACCGCGTGTTGAGTTTGTCTAGATAACTGTACAAATATAGCTTTGCCGCATGAGCAAATGGATCGTCAATAAAAATACAATAGAACTTTTCTGCCTAACTAGGCGTGTAAAAGCTTGTCACTAACTTAAAAAATGATCGTCGTGAAATGCAGCTCAGACGTGCCTTTGCTGCACTGGCGAGTTTGACACGGAGGCGGGCAGCGAACGAGTGACTCCCTGCAAATGGTAACGGTGAATGTCAGCGAGACGAGGAGAGACACCCTCTTCCTCTACGCTTGCCGTCTTCTTCATCTAGATTGGTACAAAAATTACGCTGTAAAACTGCCTGCTAGTCGTTCTCTGCGTACGTAAGTAAACGGTGAAGCCCCATACTTATTTTTACCGGCAAGTACTCGTTTGAAACTTTCAAAATGGCGACTGGGTGCCCACAAGGCGTTATGTGATCTCCCGGTGACGATTTTTACTCTATACTCAGTAGTGATAACGATACGGTATATCACGAACCCCTCGTTCCATTTAAAAACACGTTCCAATATGGTACTCATCCGCATTCATGAAGTTTTCACTTTCACATTAAAATAGGTATATTCATGCATCAATTTCTTCAATCCGAAATTCTGCTAGCTAACTTGACCCGTTCAAAAAATAAGTAGGGAGTTACCTTTTTGAAAAGCACTGTACGTTATGTGTGCTGATAAGTATGATAACAGTTGCTCGGCACATAATATTTAAAAGTTAAACATTCAAAATATTACGTCTGATGGTGCTCTCAAAGCTTCATCGACGAAATTTAACGTGAGATATAAGATATTAGTTTGGGAGCAGCATATCTAAAAATCCTCCAAATTCTATGTTTAGACTAGAGATACCGAGGTATGAGTATGGGATATTTTAAAGGAGAACCCTTAAATATACGAGATATGTACTGCCGTTGAAGGTCTTTATATGCCAAACAACCCTTATTACATAATGGAGTTGATAAATGCATGCGTGTTAAGTGTAACTTCGACAAAATCATAACAAAGGCGTGATGTCAATTTATTAAAAATGAATAACACTATTATAAGATACTTGATAGGATAATCATATTAGTAAATTTTCCCTAAATAATTGTAAAGTCTGATTTTATTGCTGCAAGTTATTCAAGGGGGTATTTAAAACATGGACGCATAAAATGGGTATACCTAAAAATCTTATATGAAGAGTTTTTCTGTTCCTACCAACACTTTCGATTGAATCCCAAAAAAACACGTGTTCTCAATCTTTGTTGAAAATTGGTGTATCCATTTTATACGTCCATGTTTTGAATGCCCCCTGGACAACTTGCAGCCATAAAACCTGACTTTTCAATTATTTCGCAAACCAGGGGTGTTTTCGTCTAATATGATTAGACTATGGTTTTTAGTTCAAAATGCATGCTTTTGGCACAAATCAGGCCTCATGTCGTTTTGATCAAAATATGCACAATGATTGCCGAATAAAATGTATGGGATTATCCAAATTTCTGGTGATATGATATTTCTTTAAAGTACTTGAATTGTGTGATTTGTATTTTGACAGCATATGTTGGTGTAATGTTGTGTAGATTTTTTTGGCCTATTTCAAAGTTAATCATCATGAACCGCTTCACTATGCTGCATTTGATAAAGTATTATTAGTATGTTTAAGACTAGAAAAGAAAAAAAGTAAGCCACCTTGGACGAGACGTGATCAGTAGATTTGGCAACACAGCAAAGGGTTGCTCCTCGCCTGCTCATTTTTGGGTGATTTAGCGAAAATTCAATGTGAATAAGTGATTTAAAAAGTTTAAATGGTTTTTAACTTAAAGTGCATGGTAAGTGCCATAAATAAGTGTTTTGATGTGATAGTTTAGTGAATGTGAAACGGTTACTTGTTTTCAAAATTTTGAAAGTGCAATGAAAAATTGCGAAAAAGTGTTTGAATTGTTGAAAATTTGAAACAATTTTTAAAATACTGAGGATATGAAACAATTTTCCAAGTTTTTAAAATTTGAAAAACCTGAATGTTTTGAAGTTTTAAAAATATTCAAAATGCTCAAGAGTTCTGAAAATATTCATAATTTTGGAAATCCTGAAAATTTTTAAAATCATTGAAGTTTTCTATATTGGAGATTATAAAAACTTAAAAAAATTGAGAATATATTAGATACCAGAAGCTTTTTAATTTTAGATATTTTGATAATTCTGAAAATTTTGAAAACTGACAATTTAAAAGATATTGACAATTTTGAAAATCTTGAAATTTTTTTGAATTTAAAATTTCTGGAAATATTGGAAGCTTTGATGGTTTTGAAAATTTTCAAAGATTTTGAAAGTCTGAAACATTATATATATATATATTATAATTTAAAATCTGAAATATTCAAAATGCTGAAAATCGAAAAAAGATTTGAAGATATTGAAAATTTCACTTGAAAAATTTTGAAAAATCTTCAAATTGCATAAAGTTTCTCAATTTTAGAAATTTTGATAATTTTGAAAATTTTGAAAAATGAGAATTTGAAAAATCTTGAAAACTGAAAATTTCTTAAAAGTTTTGAAATTATTAAGAATTTTTTAAACCATAAATTTCTGAATTTACTGGAAATTTTGTAAGCTTTGATGGTTTTGAAAATTTTGTAAATTTGAAACATTTTCAAAATTTCTATACAGGGTGTCCCAGAAGTCGACGTCAAGCCGAAACCGGGTGATAGGCAAAGTTATAACAGCTATCAGAAAAATATTTATAGGTCTTTAAAAAAAATTTTGAAATTTCACACCCTACGGCAGTCTGTCAACTCCTGTTACTACAAATATTAACTTTTTTTGGATTTTAGTTTTACAATGTAATGATGAATAATGCATCTTCAAACTGCTGTCTCAACCTTACTGCCAACTTTTCTCGTTCAGGAAAAATTGCCACTTATTTCCCAACCAAGTATTCCAAAGTAAAACTTTGCTCAACTTTAACTGGCTGTACTGGAAAAAAAATGTACTACGAGAGTTTGGCAAGTAACCTTAAAAGTTGGCGCATTTAATAAGGATTCCAAAATGGTATAACACTTAGAAGATTACTCGTTAATTTATGCTCAATTTTTATTTGAAGAAAAACTGATGAAAATTTTTCAAAATTTCCTAATTAAACAGCGATTATGAAAACGCACAAGGACCCTTAAGGATAACTGTTTGCACGACAGTGGGCGTCAAATGCTGCTGATGATGATTTACCTTTACAGCAAATGCTCAAACTGTTTTCCTTCAGCCGCAATACACGCTCGACATCTTCTTAAAAAAGATAGGGTTATTAAACGAGCGAATCCACGGTTATTAACAAACTCAGCTGCTTCCAATAGTATTTGCCGTAGCTCAGCTACATTTTGAATCGGCTTGAAATACACTTTTTCTTTTACAGTTCCCCAGTAAAAAAAATCTAACGGATTCAAATCTGGTGACCGGGCAGGCCACGGTATTGTACCGGACCGCCCTATCCACCTGCCTGGAAAGTTTTGATCGAGATACTCTCTCACTGAGAGTGCATAGTGCGTTGGGCAGCCATCATGCTGAAACCACATGTCCCTGTAAATACTCAGTGGCACGTCCTCCAATAAATTTTCTAAATGATTTTGCAAAAAACCTAAATAAACCTCAGCAGTCAAAGTCTCTGGGAACTCAAACGGACCGATTATTTTACCATTTAAAATTCCTGTCCAATGGTTTATCTTGAAGCGTTATTGAGATTTATCTTCTCTCATCAAATGTGGGTTTGCTACGTGCCACTCGTGTAAGTTATGCAGGTTCATGTACCCATCTTTCCTAAATGTGGTCTCATTTGACCATAAAGTTTTTTCAAAGAACCGGGGATCTTCCCTGTGTCTTTCTAACATTGTGCGACAAAAAGCAACTCGGGGCTCATAATCCCGGGGCAGAAGAGCTTGAACACGCTGTACGTGGTATGGATGGAGCACGTTTTTTTGCAAGATTCTATGGGCTGTACTTTTGGGCACACCTGTTTTTAGTTCTATTGCACGCACTGAAGTACTCGGATCTTCTTCGACAGCTCCTAGCACCACGTCTTCGTAAGGAAGGAAAGATCTTCCCTCACCGTGTGATTGGTTTGGTAGTTGGCCCTCTGAGAACAGTAAGCGGTGCACATTTGTGAACACTCGATGATCTGGATGACGAGCTGCATTCGGGTACCTCTCACAGTAAAGTCTCGCTGCAGCACTAGCGTTGCATCTGCATTCCCCATAAATGAGGTGCATGTTAGCATATTCTTGTACGGTGTACACGGACATAGCGGCACTGCACAATCACACTATCAAAGATAGTCTAAGGAAAGCAAATGTTGTTTTGAAGAGCAATTAAACAGTCCAAATCCAAATCACAAGCGATCAACAGTCCAGTTCACGAATCCAAAATTAGTAACAGTACGAAATCAACAAGCACGAACATGTAAAGATGCGCAGTAAACGAAGGAGTACTGATCGGTATCAAAGTGTGCAATAGCAAGTAAGTGATGTGCTTCATCCATACCACATACAGCGTGTTCAACCTCTCCTGCCCCGGGATTATGAGCCCCGAGTTGCTTTTTATCGCACAATGTTAGAAAGACACAAGAAAGATCCATAGTTCTTTGAAAAAATTTTATGGTCGGATGAGACCACATTTAAGAAAGATGGGTACATGAACCTGCATAACTTACACGGGTGGCACGTAGCAAACCCACATTTGATGAGAGAAGATAAATCTCAATATCACTTCAAGATAAACGATTGGACAGGGATTTTAAATGGTAAAATAATCGGTCCATTTGAGTTCCCAGAGACTTTGACTGCTGAAGTTTATTTGGATTTTTTGAAAAATCACGTACAAAATTTATTGGTGGACGTGCCACTGAGTATTTATAGGGACAGGTGGTTTCAGCATGATGGCTGCCCAGCGCACTATGCACTCTCAGTGAGAGAGTATCTCGATCAAAACTTTCGAGGCAGATGGATAAGGCGATCTGGTACAATACCGTGGCCAGCCCTGATTTGAATCCTTTAGATTTTTTTACTGGGGAACTGTAAGAGAAAAAGTGTATTTCAAGCCGATTCAAAATGTAGCTGAGCTACGGCAAATACTATTGGAAGCAGCTGAATTTGTTAATAACCGTGGATTCGCTCGTTTAATAACCCGATCTTCTTTAAGAAGATGTCGAGCGTGTATTGCGGCTGAAGGAAAACAGTTTGAGCATTTGCTGTAAAGTTAAATCATCATCAGCAGCATTTTGACGCTCACTGTTGTGCAAACAGTTATCCTTAAGGGTCCTTGTGCGTTTTCATAATCGCTGTTTAATTAGGAAATTTTGAAAAATTTTCATCAGTTTTTTTTCAATTAAAAATTGTGCATAAGTTAACGAGTAATCTTCTAAGTGTTATACAATTTTGGAATCGTTATTAAATGCGCCAACTTTTAAGGTTACTTTCCAAACTCTCGTAGTACATTTTTTTCCAGTACATCCAGTTAAAGTTGAGCAAAGTTTTACTTTGGAATACTTGGTTGGGAAATAAGTGGCAATAATAAGAGCATTTTTCCTGAACGAGAAAAGTTGGCAGTAAGGTTGAGACACATACATTGTAAAAATAAAATCAAAAAAAAGTTAATATTTGTAGTAACAGGAGTTGACAGACTGCCGTAGGGTGTGAAATTTCTATACCTTTTTCAAATACCTATAATTTTCAAAACACATACATAAAATTTTTTTAAATATTTTTCTGATAGCTGTTATGATTTTGCCTATCACCCGGTTTCGGCTTGACGTCGACTTCTGGGACACCCTGTATACAATATTGGATTTAAAAAATTTTTAAAATGCTGAAAATGACACTGAAAAATTTTGAAATTTTGAATATATTGAAAATTTCAGATACATCAAAAATTTTGAAAACTTTTTAAATTCCATAAGTTTTTTAATTTAAGAAATTTTGAAAAATACTGATATTTTTGAAAATCCTCTATAAGTGCAAAGTGTTAATGAGCGACCGACGCGTACGGGCCCGGCGATGATGCGGTGTTGTCTTTTCCCTTCGTGGCACGTCAGTTCAAGGTCGCGTTGATTTGACAGGTTTTTAAACGAAACAAATATACATTTAAATGTATATTACACTCAGCTTTACTTAATCAATAACTGCTGTTCTGTAGCAAAAGGAATAACCATAGGAGCAGAGGTCATGATGATCAATATTTTGCATTAAATTTTCAATGCTTTACTGATGCTGCTTTTCGAGTGCTAGCTAAAAGCAATCTATCCTTCGTCTACATCTAATCGACTCTACACCTAGCTTGTAAATCTTTCACCTCTACCAATAATATGCCTACAAATCGATAGCAAGTATAATTTTTACCAACAAACCTATGAATTAAACTCCCAAAACACAAATCAACAATGAATTATCAAAATCTCTGGAATCTATCCAAGCAGGCATGAAAGAAAATTAGTAGGGATTAAGGTATATGAAAGAAATGTAATGGAATTTTGCTTCTAAATTATTTTTTATCATTTGCATTATATATATGTGAATATTTTCAATAAACGGGACAGATTGTATATAGAAGCAAAATTCTCAATAGTTGACACGTAAGTTAGGAATAGTTAGTAACTTACACCCACACAGCTGTTAACCGAACCAGTCATATCACCTGATTTATCTGGATTTAGAGGGCAAACCAAATCCCCATAGTCAGCTTCACCCTTTGATTTTTTTCGTTTCAGCGAAAACTGCGACTTTTTCGGAATCTGAAAATAGAGAAACATAATAACACAACAAAGGAAACAAGGAACTGTACTTGATATTGAAAAGAATCTTTGAATAAATCGACTTGTGAAATTTGAAAAAAAAATGATATAAAAATTTTGGAAAATACTTGAAAAATTCGGAAATTTGCAAATTCATTCGGAGATTTGGTAATTTTGGAAAAAATGAAAAATTTGAAAGAATTTTGGAAATTTCAAAATTTGAAAAAATTTGGAACAAAATTTAGATTTGTCAAATTATGTATTCATAATAACTGCAATTTTGTAAATAGCAACTAAAAAATAATTCTAACATTCAACACCAAGCCTTTTTTACTACTCGTATAACTGACTTTTTCTTAATTTTTATATTGATGGTTTTCCAAATTAATTAGTCATACCTGATTATTGGACTTTCTATGCAGTAACACAAACTCTTTTTTTTTTTAAATTTATTTCTTACTAAGAAAACTGATAATTCAATTTGTTATTAAAGGGTTTTTTAGCTTTTTAAACTATAATTTTGTTTGTTTGTTTACGATTTATTTAGCGCGATTGCTACAATTACATTCTTTTAAAAAACTACAACAATTACTTAGAAAAACAAATTTGCATCACTAAGAATTTTCACTGTCTACGAAATATTCATTTAATTTTCTTTTAAATATCTTTAAATTATAATAATAATAATAATAATAATGATATTTATTCACTCAATGTACAAAGATAACAAACAATATGAGTAAATAAATATAAAATCAAAACAGGCCCAATAGAAGGCATCGCCTGTACATGGACCAATAATTTAAGTTGAAACTGTAGAATGCAAATGACAAAAAAGGACAAACATTAGCTATAGTAGATTATGTATTTAGTAGATGTTCGTATTTATGAGTTTATGAATTTCAGTCCTAGATATAGAACTAAGAGGAACTATTGTGCCACGAATTTTGTACCTGGTATAATGATTATGTTTAATTTTTTGGTCGGTGTTTACAAATTTATGGTAGTGAGTGATACTGTGTAAGAAATAAAGCTGTCTTATATCATACATTCGAACATCTGCGTATAATTTTTCAGTGGGATAAAGTTTCGGTTTTTTAAATATCATTTTTAGAATACTTTTTTGAAAAACATCTAAATTATAGATATGTGAGGAACATGCAGCTCCCCATGCTAATATACCATATGTGAGATGAGGCTCAATCAGTGCATGGTATAATGTTCGAAGATATTTTTCTGTCAATATATTCCCAAGGTATTTAATTTTGTAGGATACAAATCTAACTTTCTTTAAAATATAATTGACATGGATGTCCCATCGTAAGTGAGGATCCCAGAGCATTCCAAGGTATTTTATGTTGGGCACTCTATTAATTTGCATTTTTTGATCATTAATATTGAAGGAGAAATTTGTGTAATTTGGCAGATGTCTAGCATAAGATCCAAATGGTAAAAAATGTGTTTTAGAGTAGTTAATGCTTAATTTTCTACTGTTAAACCACCGAATAATTTTGATAAAATCATTTTCAATTACATTTTTCAGATCAGACCAGTCAGTGCCTTCATATAATATTGCAGTATCATCTGCAAAACTAGTTATTTTGCCAACACAATTAATTTGGAAAATATCATTTAAATATATATTGAATAACAGCGGACCTAAGACAGTTCCTTGTGGGACACCACACTTAATATACATTTCTTTACTAAATGATCCTGATATCTGCACATATTGTGGGCGATTTGACAAATAACTTTCGATCAGTGAGTACGCGTTTCCTCTGAAACCAATTCTCTCCAATGCTTCTAATAATAATTTGTGATTAACTGTGTCGAAAGCTTTCTTTAAATCAACAAAAATGCAGATTGAAGAGATTCTGTTATCAATATTTTGATGTATTTGATTTACAATTTTAGTTATTGCGTCCGATGTAGCCTTCCCTTCTGTCCATATTGATTTTCACTTAAAATTTTGAATTTTGTGAGGTATCGAATCATTCTAGTAGATAAAACTTTTTCAAAAACCTTTGCTACACTGGATATTATTGATATTGGTCTATAGTTGTTAACATCTGTTTTTGTTCCTGATTTATGTATCGGTATTATATTACCTTTTTTTAAAATTGAGGGATATATGCCAGATTCAAAGCATTTGTTGATTAGGTAAGTGAGTGGTTCTGTTATGTCCTCGGCTATAATTTTCAAATGCTCCCTTTTAATACCATCGAACCCAGGACTTTTCCGATTTTTTAAGGACATAACAGTGGTGTATACTTCACATTGCTCGACTTTATCCAAAATAAATGAGTTCAAAGTTCTTTTTGGAGGCTAAGTATTTTGTACATTTGCTTGTATATTACTTGCTAAATTTTCGCCTATGTCAGTAAAGAATTGTACAAATTCATCGCATATCTGTTGAGTATTTTTCAATACTGTTCCCGATGTTGTATTTAACTCAGTGACACACTCTTTAAATTTTGTTTTCCCAGTAATCTCATCAATAGTTGTCCAAAGCCGCTTAGGATCATTTAAGTTATTATTCAATTTATTTAGGTAATGTTTTCGTTTGGTTTGCCATACAAGCTCTATAAATTTATTTTTATATTGGTTGTAGCAGTCGGTATTCTCTGTAGTTGGCGTTAGTTTCATTACATTATATAGTCTTTCTTTTTCTATTGCCGATGTTATTAATCCTTTGGTAATCCAGGCATTTCTGCTTCTCTCTTTGTGACTAATTATTACTTTATTGGTACTAATATCTATTAGTTTTTTTATTTTCTCTATGAACAGTCCCGTTGCTTTGTCTATATTATTTATAGAGTATAATTGTTCCCAGGATTCTTGTTTGACATTTGATATTAGTTTTGAATTGTCGACAAAAAATTTGTAATTTTCCTAGTTGTTATTAACGGTAGGGATGTTAGAATGTTTTTCATTTGAAGATATCAGTAAAATAAAAAAAATTACAAGTAGACTTAACATTATTCAGTTTAAATTCAAGTAATCCTTTCTGAAATATTGATTAGCTAGTTATATTACTATTGCAATTTTGTAAATGAAAATCTATATTTCCTCTTGTATAATGATTGTTTTTTTATTCAATTTTATGAATGTCCTAAATGTTGTGGCAAGAGATGATTTTTTTAAAATATAAAATTGAGAACCAAATATATGAAATTTTTTATATTCAACCACTGCAATTTATGTAACGTAGATTTTATTTTGGTGTATGTACTGATTTTTATTCAATATTATCGTCATAGCTTCATTTTGCAGAGCTTAATTTTGAGAAAACAGCTTCACTGGCAGTGAACAAGATAGTTGAACAATATAGTAAATGGGAATAATTGTATTATAAACTATTTTTTTGGAATATGTACTAAAACTTAGAGAAGCCCTATAAAAGTAATTTGTTTTCTAACGCAATTGTTGAAATAATGTATTATTAATATTTATCAAACATAACATTTAAATAGTCTTAACATCAATATTTAATTATTTTTTCCCAAAAACTCTGAAACATCAAATTAGTTAGTTAGCTTTTTTACATACCTTCATCTTGGACGCCGGAGTGAGGGGTACGTATCCCAACATCGATTCAGCTTCTCTCTTCTCTTGTATGATGTCCTTCCCAAGCAGTTCCTTGAAGTGCGTGTTGAGATGCCTTCGCAGCAAAGTTTTGCCCGGTGGTATACTGAGCAGCGCCGCGAGCAATTCAGCGTTGAATTTCGGTTCCAGGACCATCAGGCCTCCGTGGACACCGGCACCTCGAAGGTTCGGAGCATATTCGGCCAGGTCCACGGCTCGCAGCCATTCCATTACGCTGAGAGAAAAAGGGCCGTGTCAAAAAATAAAATCTTTGTAGAAATAAAAATGTTTTCCATGTAAGGAGCTTACTGCTGGATATATATATATATTTTGTGATTCAAGCATAAAAACGGAGTTATCTACCGAGCCCACACTAAAAACTCACCCTGTACGTCAAAGTAACGTTACAAGCATTCTACGAGGGTTGTCTCAAAAGTATGTTTTCCGCGCGTGATGCACCGATCCCAACAAGTAGCGCCTATTGGCCCAAACGCAAAATCGCTAAAAATGGACTTGGACTGTGTACTTCTACATTAAATCGCATTAAAGCGTGACGTGTTGCCCAATAGACTCTGAATAAAGGAGGATTCCTATTGAAACTTGCTTCAAGATGTTGCAATTTTTACTTGTACTTACCGATGAGTAGTCCATAGGGATATCTGTTTTGGAGTAGGTTGTGATGGATCATCAGGCAGCGATCTTCTTTGTAGACATGCCGGATCATAGTTATTTTCTCTCAACACCTGCAATGTCCAACAATTACCGACCGATTATGCTTTACTGTCTGCAGAAATGAGGGCCTTGAACTCGCACATTTATAATATGGTTTACGTATTGAAACGGCAGAATATCTTTAAATTTGTTAATTGTTTATAGCTTGAGTAATTTTTGCGCCAATTCAACTGACATAAATATAGTTACGCACCTGGATGCCCCTCTTGATGCTAGCTACATGCAGTAAGGACGTGACGTGTAATAACGCCAGATCGTCCATGGTCAATCGATGCAAGACACGTCCGTCGACTCGGTTAATGAGAAAGTTCTCTTTGTGCTGAGGAAGGCCCGTGTCGTCCAACCACCGTAACACCCATGCGGTGTCCAGTTTGCCCGCTTGCGCCAGGTACGGGTCGCTGGATCCTAATTACAAATTAAACGTTTAGACCAAGCTGATTAGAGAGATACACAAAAATAACACTGGACAACAAATTTTAGTTTTTTAATTGTATCTTGTGGGAAAAGTGCACTTCTTTGTTAATTTTGGGGCGCTGAATCCAAAAATGACAATGAAATAAAAAAAATTAGTTGCGGTTTAGAAAAAAACTTTTTATTTTTAAGGATATATTAAAAAAAGTAACATGGTTCATATACTTATAAGAATCACTATATGCGCTGACTTTTTGCTGTTCTTTTATGGATCGTTTCTGGAGCATCTCTACCAAGAGTACAACAGTAGTCTGCAAGCATGGAAGGATTCCACTTTCCCTGGTACCTTTTTTCCATTGTTGAAATATCCTGATGAAAACGTTCGCCGTGCTCATCACTTACGGCTCCGCAATTGTCCAGAAAAAAGTCCAGGTGTGAGTGTAGGAAATGTATCTTAAGAGACATATTACAGCCCATCTTTTGATACGATGACAGCATATTTTTGACAAGGGTTTTATAGTTGTCAGCTTTTCTATTTCCCAAGAAATTAGTGACCACCAGACGGAAATCATTCCAAGCAGTTTTTTCAATACCTGTTAAAGTGTCTTCAAACTGTATATCTTTCAAAATATTTCGAATCTGTGGCCCAACAAAAATACCGTCTTTAACCTTTGCCTCACTTAGCCTTGGAAATTTCTGACGCAGGTATTGAAAAGCTGACCCATCTCTATCTAATGCCTTGACAAAGTTTTTCATTAGGCCCAACTTGATATGCAGTGGTGGTAATAAAAATTTTTTCGAATCTACTAATGGCATATGCTGTACATTTCTTTGACCTGGCTCTAGGAATTGACGAACAGGCCAGTTTTGTCTGGTGTAATGAAGTGCCTTTGCCCGACTGTCCCATTCACACAAAAAACAGCAAAACTTTGTGTAGCCTAGCTGCAGCCCAAGTAAAAGTGCAACAACTTTCAAATCGCCACAAATATGCCATTGGTGCTCATCGTATTTTATGCATGTCAATAGGTACTTCATATTGTCATATGATTCTTTCATGTGAACTGCATACCCTACAGGAAGAGATGGTAAAATATTTCCAATATGCAATAACACTGCCTTTAAACTCAATGTTGAACTGTCTATAAACAATCTCCATTCTTCTGGGTTATAGTTTATATTTAAAGCCGCCAGTAAGCCGTTAATGTTACTGCAGAAAACCAAGTTATTCTCCATATTGAAAAATGGTTCTAAGTCTTTGTGGCGTTTACGAAAAACACATACCGAAACATCGTCTTCTAACAAGTTCCACTGCTGCAGTCTTGATCCAAGTAACTCTGCCTTACATTTTGGAAGTTCTAAATCTCTTACAAGATCATTTAATTCTGACTGTGTTATTTTGTGCGGTTGGTGGCATGACCTGCTCGGTATAAAATCAGGATCTATTGACGTTGATGGCATATCTTCTTCCTGACGAATCACTCGATCGCCATGATCTGATTCGTTTTCTGATTCGCAAGTGTAGGATTCTGGGGGTTTTGGAATAGGATTTTCGTCACTGTGAGGCACAGGTCTCATCGCAGATGGTATGTTTGGGTAGTTAATAACCGATTTTTTTTTCTTGGACATACCTGTGGCTTGTCCAACACAAGGTACCATGCAAAAGTAACAATCATTAATATGATTTGTAGGCTCCCTCCAAACCATTGGGACAGCAAAGCGCATAGACCGTTTTTTGCCATTTAACCAGCTCCTCAGACTTGAAGCACATGTATTACAGCAGATGTGGGGTGCCCACTGTTTGTCTTGATCACCTAGTTTACAACCGAAATAAAGCTGATATGCATTTGTTATTACTGGAGTAATAGACCGGCTCTGAGACGCAAAAGTCACATCACCACACACGTAACAAAACTGATCTGGATTGTTTACACACTTTCGAGACATCTTGCATGAACGCTGTCAGCCAACTGAGGAAAAAATGGCTAATATAAAACAATATAATGTTCACGTATGTATAACGTAACACGATCATGCCGATTACATCATCTTTCCTTGCCGAATATAAAAATGTAGCACGTGCATTCTTGTGAATTACAGTATATTAACACTGTCACAGCAGGAACACATATAATTACCGTATCTCTAAAACTTGAACTAATATTGAAAAAATAAGTTTCATTCCGGTTTTAGCACATTAAAAATATTAATATTTTGTTGATTTTATTTAGGATATTTTTTGGCTGTTGATCAGTGTAATAGTTAAACTAACGGTGTAGTGGGTGACTGATGTCCCGATGTTAACGACTTAGTCTGGAAAACGCTGGAACATTTCTCGACGCGTCGATAGGGGGATAAATATACGACCAGATGGCGGAAACAGTCACACAACGTGGAACGATGTGCTCGTTAGTGGTGTCTTAAATGTCTTAAATCATCAATACAAGCCTTCTTAGATGGACTAATCACTGGCCTAAAGAATCCGTTAGGTAAGTGTTTCTAACCAATTCGTCATTTGTCTTGTAAAAATGGCATCAAATAGAGTGAATCTATGAGCCCCTGCTGAAAACTTAGATATATCTGGTAGATTTGGAACCAACACCTGTTAGATAGAAAAAAATCCCACAATGTCCACAAGAAAGGCATAAATTCAACAATGGCTCATATCAAAAGACATTAGTTTCAATGAAAATATGGTCAAAGCAGAACTTATTAATCTAGTGAGCACAGATATAAATATAATCTTAATGTTATTGACGAAATGGCTAAAAACCAAAATAAGATCGTTTTAAGCCTACCCCCTTATCACTGCGAATTAAATCCCATTGAAATAATTTGGGCAAATATAAAAAACTATGTGGCTGCAAACAATAGAACATTCAAATTTTCTGACGTGAAAAAATTGTTTTTTGAAACTGTCAACAGAGTGACGGCAAACCATTGGAAAGAATGCATCCGTCACGTTCAAGAGACAATAGAAACAAAGATGTGGGATCTGGGCAATATGATCGATATTCAAATTAGATCTGTAATAATTAATATTAACCATTCGGACGATGATTCAGCGAATAACGAATTGTGCACTTACTTCTATCAAAACAATCATTTATTTTGTTAGATTATTCCAAGACCACTGAGGAAAATACGGACCTGTACAATCTCGCTTTTGGGCATGTTGTGTTTTGTCTCTACGTAAATGTTCTACGAATGGGGTATAGTAAACATTTTTGACAGCACATTTGTGAGGCACAAATGTGACCTTGACCACGACTAGGGTCAAGTCAAAATCTCCAAATAAAATGTTATTTGTAAGGCAACCCCTCGACTGTTATGCCAAAATTACAGATAGCAAGAAATTTTATATTTAAACGTGTACAATTTTGACATGACCTTGAAGACGTTTGTCAAGGTTAAGGTCAAGGCCACCTTTTGGTAACGCTCACAACTTTGATGATGATGATTTGATTTGATATTCATATTCGAAAAGGGGAGTTCAAAATGTTAGCTGCACCTTGGAGATCGTGGTCAATGTCATGACCAAGATCAAAATCAGTTTTCCCCCTAAAAACCCAACAACTTTTGTTTGGAACTTTTTTTCTACGACGCACAATATTAAGATGGGGATATTAGAATGGAACACTCTGTATAGTTGAACTAAACTACTATTCCTTACCATTTTCTTGCATATCTATCAAGGCCAACTGTAACTTCTTGCGATGTAGCGGGTTCTTTATGTTCAGTTCTTTCTCAATTTCCCCTATAGACGTCTCTTGCAGTTGTTGCCCGCTCTGCACCCATCGTTTAGCCTCCAATACGTAGCTATCCAGCCCAAGATCTTGCAGCCAATCACATATGTTCTCGGCATCCCATTCGGCGAACGGTTTGTCAGGCCTTGAACAACGTATACAATTTGTTTTGAGCATAACGAGAAACCCAAAAAATGAGAAAACGCACGATTTGAATAAATCAAATAAAAATACAGTGCGAAATTTTTTTAACTGAATTGGTCACTTATGGCCTGCTGGATCTCCGGATTTCAGACGTCTAATAACAGCTGATTATCTAGTAATATTTAAAAATCCCCCATGACATACAATTCTGCCTGTAACAACACAAGTGGAGTTTTGCGTCATCGTTAAACCATTTCTTGTAGACTAAGAAACCTCAAGCAATTTCACCGATTTTATCATACCTTGTAGCTGGCGTTGCATCGTTCCATCCGAGCCTCGCCGAAGCCGTGGCTCTAATTCCGCCCCTTTGGAACTCTCCCACCACTCCGGGAATATCTTCCAGGTTGCCAGATCCGGATCGTCTCATCTTACCGAAGATTTTCTTAATCCCTTTATTTTTATTGAACGATACGTTCGGTGATCCCGGCGTTTCGTTGGTCCCGTCATCTCTTTCCGTATCAGCTGCTGTTCAAAATAATTTTTCAATGTAAGCGTTGCTACGAGGGTTGTCTCAAAAATATGGTTCGCAACGATGTATCTTTGCCGCGACTATGGAGAAAAATAGCTTAAAGATCAATAAAAAATTCTGCGTGCCTGAAAGAAATGAAGGAACCTTATTTTTGAAATGACCCTCGTACAAACAATATTTCAATATGCATAAACATACAGTAAGCCATGAAATTACACCCTACACAAAATTAGGCAAAAATAGTATTATAGATGGTAAGCCAAGTTGTACAGTATTAAAATATGTAATGTAGGTTTTGATATTTCTATTCTATAAAAGGCTGATTAGTAGTGGGTAAGTTCTGTCAGTTAATGAAGCAGCATGTCACAGATATCGCGAACCAACAACACAAACATTCATATCACCTAAATTGGGCACAGAACATCCCCTACGCTTTTCCATTACTAGAGAACAAAGGCTCCTACCGAAAACGACCCCTTTCTTTCCTGCAAGCGCCGACGGATTCGCGTTGTTGTCCGTGACGTCATTTCCCCCGCCGCCGATCCCTCCTCCGTCTCCATTGGCCAGGAACTGCTGACGTGGCAGACTGCCGTACTTGATGTCTATCTGACGTTTGTAACTTGAAGATGACTGGAACGAAATGCTCATTTTAGAATATTCAAAGTTCGTTCAGATTATGGAGAATTTATTTGAAACATTCATTTTTTATATATTATATATATATATAGGTGAAAAATTAAAGCTTCCGCCTTTTGTTGGGTACTTCGACAAAATTTAAGCAAAGAGGACTCTTTATGCTTTTTTTAATTATCTCTAGCTTTCAATGGACTTTGCCATCATCATCAGGAGCTGCAATTACAATGATACCAGTAGCAACAAAAGTGTAAAATGAATTTAAATTGAGTCAACTTACAGTAGTATGTGAGGATGTTGCTAATTGTTGTTTACGTATAGGATGAGGGAAACGTCCAGTAACATAGCGAGAGCTGGATAGATGGTACAGTGGTCAAAATTATATAAAATATGACAAGAACAAGTTAAAAACAGATTAAAAATTATTTAAAAAATATTAGAGCATTACATCGTGAAGCCACTTGATGATTGTACAAAATGGTGGTCATGGAATAATGAGTGAGATGAACCCTTTGACAGAAGGTCGAAGGTTGTCAATGTCTGTGTTGAAAGATGGAACGAATTGTGGGCGTGTGCCAAACGTTGCCAAATCACTTCAGATCATGTGATTTTCAGAATGTTATGTAAGAAATTGTTAAACCGACCAGAGGCAGTTGAATAAACTATATTTTAATTAATGGGAATTTGAATTAACAATTATTAATAAATCGTGAGAAGAGAATTATTAAGTTTTGAATGGAATGAAATTTACTGGTGGAATCGGCGAAAACACAGATTCTATTTATGGTTGTGAAGAGTCGAAATTTGGGGAGATATGTAAGTTCTCCAATTTTTCGCAGTTTAGCAAATATGAGTAAATGACACTTCAGTTGTTTAACATCTGTCTTTTTGTTGATACAGTTGTTATTCATGAAAATGTGGGACATTTCCAGGAATAAACGTTTGGAAAGGTGTTTTTCTTTCACCTAACTGGTCTAGACGACAATGACCACGTCTCAAGTTATATATATATATATATATATATACCCAAATTAAAATTGTGAAGGGACAGATAATATAAACATTAAAGGCTACCTTTGGCTTCCGTATTAATACAAGGTTTATTTTATCAATATTCAAATTCTCTGAAAATAAAAACACGTGTAATCCCAACTGACGTCTGTCTGTCTTCTATGAGCAGCAGATGTCAGGCAGTGTTGAATGCTAAAGGCTATGCCACCAAATATTAACTAAACAGTGTTTTTTAAACCTTTTTGTGCATTTAATTTTGTAATAAAAATATGTTTCCATACTTTTGTCGTCTCATTTTCGGTCATAAAATAATATGAATGTATTTTAATGCTAGTAGTACCACAGAAAACACAAATTGATTGACTGTAATCAAACTATATGAGCCAAAAAATAGTTCTTAGTAATAAAGATTAAAAAAACTAGCACACTTTTTAAACATTATTAAGAACGTTTTAAAACTTTTGTTCGCTACTGTACCGGGAAAATAAAATTTTCCTGACGCCTGGAGTACAATGTGTACCAGAGGAAAGTGCGAAAAGTGTGTATCGATACATGTTAGAACAAGATAGGTTACTGTCAAACCCAAGAAGGAGGACTGGTCGAACATTTAATTTAATATTTTGTTTTCATTTTGATTATAATTATTTCAATTTCGATGCGACTTAGTGTTTTAATTTTAGAATTATATCTGATTTTCACCGACGGTGATGAAATCAACACATGCTGAGTTAAGCATCCCACAAACCGGCGCGAAATGATCGCAACGAAATTCAGAGCGAAATTCGCAATCTGTTTCGCCTGTTTATTCATACCAAAGCGTCTTATTCGCTCCGCGAACGTGAAGGTTTCGACAGGTTGCGTACATTTTATTTTTGCCTTTTGCAATGAGCTCGTCTTCAGAAGAAGAGGAGGCACTTCTATTTCTTGCTTTAGAAGGGAACAAAATGCACGGTAAGTTATGTTTATTTAACGCCATTTGATAGTTGGGTATGTATTAAGTTTAACGAAGTACATAAAACAAATATTTTCAATTTTGTTTAGGAAACGAAGGAAGTGGGTACATGATATTAACTTGGAATGAAATAAATTTGGGGAATACCATACCTTGATGCCACAACTTCGGCTGGATGAACAGCGCTTTTACGTATATTTTAGAATGACTCCAGAGTGTTTCGATGAAATATTGAACTTGGTGAAAGATGAAATACGAAAATCTGACACAAATTATCGTGAAGCTATTTCGCCAGAAGAACGACTTGCTTTTACACTCAGGTAAAAAAATTATATGTATTAAAATTAGTAGGCTTATCGAATACGAAAACTTCAGGGATCGTGAAATAAATATTTTATTGTAATAATTGGACTACATGTTGCCACTAGGATTAAATGTTGCTAAATAATTCGAGGCAGAATTTGCCTCCTCTGTTGGGTATATTATTGGAGTAAACCCAGTGCCGCTTGGGAAGGACGACATACTACTATCATACATACTTGCAGAATTCTGGGTAGACGCTGAAGACATTTCTTCAATATGTTCAAATTCTTCGTGCGCTATTAATTCGGGTATTTTTAGTTTTATTCGGGCTTGACGCTTTAAGGGAAGTGTTTTCACAGTCTGTGCATGTGCCAAGAAAAGTGAATCAATGGCCTCGTTCTCTTTTATAGGTTTTTTACCTTCAAAATAATTAATGAGCTGTTGTACAGACGAAGATGGTGGTTCATAGCGTTTTCTGCTCGTTTTATATTTTGGTGTAGTTGCAGTCTGCGGAAAGGTGTGCCCTGGAGTAGTCACTGCTGTAGTGTTCAATGAAGAAGGTGGTGCTGTCTGTGTTGCCGAGGCGTTCTGTGCATCTTCTGCATCTACATCAGCATTTTCATCTTCTCCATGGCCGCGGTCTTCCAAATTTTCGGTTTCTACATTTCCAGCCCTTCCCTGATATATATTTGAGTTAAATTCGACAGTCTCATAATGTATGAAGTCAATATCTTTCACATTAGACGACGTTTTGGCAAATGCCAAAAAAGGACGGAAAAATTCCATGTAGTCAGCCCACTGCCATTTTTTTATGTTGCCCATTGCTTGGCCGGTCTTTGGTTTGGTAGATTTTATATATTTTGCAAATGTGTCTCTGATATTCTTCCACCTTTTTTTTCTTCATCACCTAAAAACGATTTTTTTTATAGATTCCTTGCCACTGGTGACACCTTCTATACCATTGGGCATAGCTTTCGAGTTGGCTTTACAACAGTGAGTGCAATCGTAACCGAAGTCTGTGAAGCGATATGCAGACATATGGAGCATATATATTTACCAGAACCAACAGAGAATATATGGAAAAAATGTGCTGAAGAATTTGAAAATAGATGGGGATTTCCCAATTGCATTGGCAGCGTGGACGGTAAACATGTAACAATCAAGAGACCTAACAACAGTGGCTCCAATTACTGGTGCTATTTACATAAATATTCAATAGTACTTATGGCCATTGTTGGCCCGGATTATAAATTTATGTGTTGATATTGGTGGTTTCGGAAAAAATAGTGATGGGGGTATTTTCGAAACCTCAAACATGGGAAAACGATTTGAACAAAATTTAATGAGTGTCCCTGCACCTAGATTTCTCCCTGGGCAAAATGAAATCTGCTCGTACGTCTTAATTGGTGATGAAGCATTTGCTTTAACTATACCTTATGAGACCATTTCCTTATAAGCAGACTTTAACAGAGGTCAGAAAAGAGAAATACAATGTAAGACTTTGTCGAGCTAGAAGGGTCGTGGAAAATGCGTTTGGTATTTTGTCTCAAAAATGGCGAATATTTTACAGGCCATTAGAAACTAAAGTAGATACTACTATTCTAATTGTACGTACGGCATGTGTTTTACACATTTTTTTACGAAGTAAAAGTGGCGATGACAAATATTTTCAATTCTTAGATCCCCCAGAACCCGTGCTTGGAACTTTTACTGATATAGCAAATGATCCTCGGCGGGCAGCAAGGCTAGCATTTTCTACTCGTGACAAATTCGTAAATTATTTTAATTCTGATATGCCTATGCCCAATATATAGAATGTTCGTTTTCACATTTGTATAGACTGTAAATTATTTAACAAGTTAATAAAAAATATTAGGTACATACCATTTGTATTTAATTCTTTTCCTATTTCCATCCAAATCTTGTCTTTCTTTCTCACATTCCTGTATTCATCGTTCGACAAATCATACAAACAAGGATACTTTTTCACTATTTCTATCAATAATTCCGTTTTCGCCATTGCGAATTTTTGAAGAACGGCGTCAAAAACGCGGTCAAAGGCGAACTGAAATACGCCGCGATAAAAACGCTGGAACAATCGCATTCGCTTCGCACAAGTCTGAGCCTGTCCGTAAACCGCCGTAATCTGATCGCAAATTCATCGCCGCGAAATTTTCGCAGCCAAAGCGAATATTTCGCGCCGGTTTGTGGGATGCTTTATTGTTACATTTTGCGACAGCGAACATTAAAAAAATGTAACAAATTAATGCTAAATAAATCTTCAACAAACAAAAATAAATCTTTCTACTACTCCTTAATGTGAAGCATGTATCCTGAATTCAGGTCGTAATGTTGACTTACCTTACTAGATGAGAAGTCTTGTGATGAATGATCTGTGATTCTAGAATGACTGCTAGATCCGACTACTACAGGACTAGGTGATGAAGTCAACATGTTGACATGCTAAAAATGTTCATTTTTATTATTAGATTTGATTAATGTATTCTGTCTGAAGAATATCCAACCATATACGTCCAAAAAATGAAATATACTAGCGCGATCAATAAGACAGTAGCAGAACACGAAAATGAATTTAGAAATCTACTTTATAAAAAGTTAGAGTAGTTGGTTTTATAATTTCGATGAGTACTTAAAAATGATTTAACTGTCGAATACACTTGCATTTAGATTAATTGTATATGATATGTTTATATACGTCATCTACTTATATTAACATTTCAATTTGCATTGTTTGTCTTTTATTCAATTGTTCTAAAATTTTATTGTTTTTATTGCCCCTTTTTCCAACTTGTGCAATTATTGTGTATTTATACAGGGTGACTTTGAAGTTGAGTCATTAATTTTCAGATAATGATTGTAGAAGGAAGATAAACCAAAATACGTGTGTAAAAGTATTTCAGTGCGGACCTGTATTTGATCGTGAGGTCTTGGAGCACCGGCATGCAGTCCCCTGTGTGGTCTTAAGTCACCTGATTCACGAACCCGTTGTACTACGTTAACAAAGGCACGAGGGGTTGGTTGCACTCGATTGGGAAACCGATCCGCATAAACATGTGTCATGTTTTATTTCGTTTGAGCCACGCAACAGACATCACTATTCAAACGCGCTACCGACTGACACTGACTGTATACAACTGACTAAAATAATTGTAAAAACATCGTTCCAAATTCATTCGCTTTTTTGTTTCCGATGCGATGAACCAAACACGAGCACATAATATTATTATTGAGACAGGGCGGTACTCAAACTTCCAAAGGGCTATAACTTTGTTACTTTAATTTTACCAGAAAAATGGTAAAGGAAAAAACATTTCTTTTGATCAGATCTACTCACTGTTAAAATAAATGACTCAACTTCGAAGTCACCCTGTATTGTTTGTCTACTACTTGTTACTGTTTTTTGTTTTTAATTTTTCTGCTCGTGCAAAAATACTAAATGGCACCTACTACAAGTGCTGTAAATTTGAGCATACTTTTACAAGTTTTAGGTCTACTGATAAATAGAAAGTGATTAAAATTTTAACTCGAAATTTCGCTGAGATATCCCACCGTAATGTTAATAATGTGTTGATGCTTCTTTGTTCTGAAGCAATATTACGGAATCGATTGAAAATATTCCTTCCGAAACCTACCCAAAAAGTGATGGAAAAAGTAATCGAGAGGGCACACGTATGCGCGGCTTCTGGAGGCGGACATTTGTCTGATATTATTTTTCATACATAATTTCCAAGTTTAACCAAAAGATTGAGATGAAAAAAATGGACGTATTTTATTTCATCAAATCAGGTGTTACTGAAAAAAATAATTTAGAGAATGTGAGTTTTACTTTGTAGCTTTGCAGATTGTGGATTTTGGAAAGGTTTATTTTTTACCCAGTAATTAGAACAATAATACTACCTTTAGTCCTTAAAAGAGCTGTAGCTATGTAGATGTCTAAATGGAGAATAAAATAACGTTTTTAATTCGTCACGAGTTTGGGGAATGTGAATTTTGTAGTTAGACTGTACTTTCTGGCAATTACAAGGCAGGTTCTGAGCCTGTAAAGGGTGTTTGTTTGTTTGTTTCAGATTTATTTAGCATTAATGCACAATGTCCATAATATCCATATTACTCAGTATATAACAAAATATATTATGTCTTCAAGACTACATATTTTATTACAAAATTTCACTACTATGCACATTCTGGTTTTCCATGAGATATTTTTTCAATTTCCCTTTGAACATTTTCAAACTGACACATATTTTGATATCATTACTTAATTATTGCTATTGCAGTTTTGCAAATGAAAGTCTATACTTCCTCTAGTAGAATAATTGTGGCACTCATTGTTCAATACAATAAAATTTTCTAAGTGATTTGGTAGAAGCTGATTTTTTAACTTGAATATGAAAATGACAACCAAGTAGGATATGGAATTTTTGATATTTAACCATTGTAGTTCTTTCAGCATAAAATTTATTCTAGTATATTTATTTTTATTTAAGATGAGTCTCATAGCTTTATTTTGTAATATTTGTAATTTTGAAAATACATTTTCATTTGCAGTGAACAAAATAGTCAAAGTAATTTGTTTGATCTATTTTTATATTTCTTTTTCTCTTTGTAAACTAGAATTAAGAACCTCAATGAAAAAGTTACACTTAACAATGTGAATGGGGTGCACACACAGTATTTTGAATACAATTGTGCATCTAAAACTATTAGCAATAGTGGGTAATTTTAAGAATAAATAGCTGGATTTGAATATTATACAATAATAGTAAAGTCTATATATTTAATATGATGTAAAAAAACTGTATACATGTTGAATCTGCTGCTAATAAATAATAAATAAAAAAAATTAAAAATAAAATTTATTTTCTTGTATATTTTTGAAATAATTCATAGTACCCTTCACATTTTAATTTACTATCTACGTATATGCCCAAATATTTAAATGATTCGATTGACACAATTTGTTCATGATTAATTGTAAGATTTATCGTATTTTGATTTAAAGATTTTCCTATTAGGATATATTTTGTTTTGTTTGTGTTTAGTTTAAGTTTATTTACATTTAAGCAATTTATTACGTTTTTCATATCATTATTTAATAGCTCTATTGCAGTTTCAATGTCTTTATTTGATATATACAGGGTGGCGCATCGAAAACGAAACAGGCTTTTTAAATGACCCAACATAAAGAAATCCAAAGGTGATAAATCTGGCGATCTTGGGGGCCATTCAATGGCACCTCGTTCGTTATGAGATTTTCAATGTTGCGTTTTTTATTGGCGACTAACCCAGTTTCCCGAAATTTAACTACAAGTTCTAGAACATATTTTCGATGCACGTTACTTAATTAAATATTTCTGCTGTTCTATTCGCGCACTGATTATTTCCGAAAAATATTTCGATAATCTCAACTCTTTCTGCTGTGGAATATACCATGGTTAATTTATGTAATAAAGCGTTACAAGTTATTTTAGCAACAAATTTTGGTCAAATCAATCGCAAACTATGTACTAAATTCCTATTTAAAATAAGTACGAGATATTTCCTTATCTTTTTCAAGAAATAACTTTTTTGCCACAAAAATAACAATAGCTATTTTCAACAACGAAATGATAAACAAACCATGGGCGTAGTGAAGAAAAGCATTTACTTATTAAGTAAATTCTTTTAGTCAAATTTCAAAAAAAACTGAGCTGCCAGTAAATGCGTCTGTTTCGTTTTCGATGCGCCACCCTGTATATTTTTTTTACCTGGTTGCTTGCGTGATGAACAGGTGTAGAGGTGAGTTGAGGTTGGCTGTGCATTCGAGGCATCAGAGGTGGTTTCTTAACCTCCGAATTATTATTGTGCTGACTACTCCTCAATTCCAAATTTTCCCTCTCGAGTGCTGCCTGTTGCAGTTTCAGTTCACTCATTATCGACATCAGTTCTAATTTTTGAGTTTCTAGGGAAGACCTTGATAGCATTTCCTAAAACGAGAAAAAATGCTGACGTATCGCTAAATCGACCTAAAATTTGTTTCAACGCCACTTTAGTGATGAAAAGGTACCTTCTGTAATTTTTCTTCAGTCTCAGATAGGTGCAGTTTTCTTTCGATGAGCATCTTCTCCAAGTCAGATATTTTATCTGCCTGAGCTTCGATTTGCTCTGAGAGTACTTGAACTTGGAGTTGAAGGTTGTCTTTCTCACATTGCAATTTTCTGAGCTTTTCATCTTGGTCTCCTCCACTCTAGAAGCAGATAAACAAAAATGATGGAATTGTGTAAAAATTCAAATAGATGTTAACCAAAAATTACACTGGAAAATATGTTTGCAACAAACTTCAGCGCTACAAGTATGATAAAAACTCAAAATTCTTGCGCGCACCGAAAAATGTCAAATCTATATACGCATTTTATTGCTTACCCAATACTACCCGACATTCATGTTTCCATTTGCGCCTATGGAGAGAATATATTGCAAATATTGTAATATTCTTTTAATAAAAAAATGGGTCTTCTGCATGCTGAAATTGGTAGACAAAGCATTGATATAGGATTTCAGTTAGTCACAATTTTTTTCAGTAACAAAATATATCAAAAACGTTTTACAAGAAAATATCAATATTTTATACCATACCTTGATCGAGCCACATTTCGCGTACATTGGCATGGGATCAAATCATATTTAGGATTTGGATATTTCAAAAGAATTGATTTTAAAAACAATGCTTGACAAACCAAAATCAAACCACTATCACAAATTTATCAATAACGAAACGAAAAATTGAAAACAATCACCACACAAGGCACAAACTAAGAAGAACAGTAAGCTGTACCTAGACTAAATAAATCTACAGGGTAGTCCAATGAAAAGGTCACACCAGTATTTATAATTCATTGATATTCGTATTTGAATAATATGTACCATTTGCAACATTAATGCTCCATGTACAGGCAATTTCTCCTTTATTTACTAATTCTTTTGTTTTAGGAGTAAATAAATGGGTATTTCTCAAGAAATTTAGAAATTTCATTTTGCGTTTTTAAAAAAAAATAATGAAAATATATCTTTTTTTGCAGGAATATAAAGTTTTACCTTAGTGAGGTTCATTGAAAATGAAGGTCCTCCATATTTTTGTGTATAACATGTAGAAAAATGACTTAAAAAACTATGTAATGAGGGAATGACTGATAGGATGGGGGGATGATTTTTACAACAATTTGATGCTGAATTTCAATAAAAAACGTAAGTTAATTTATTAATAGATGCATTGAGATTTGTTTTATACTTTAAATGGCACATCATCGTATTTTCATCATTCGCTAAGAAATGAACAACATCACCCCTAACTTTCAGCATTTTGGAGCTAACTTTACGAGTATAATTCTTTTTGTACGTATCGTTTTTGGAAAAATATATAGCAATTTGTATCTTTTGTACTTATTGCAGCTTCAACATGTAATATTTTTTCTTTTCTCCATATTTACTTCCAAGATCTTCATAGATATTCTTGAGGTCCGTTGACAGTGCTTCTCCGAAAATGAGTCTTCTTCAGACAACGTCAGGAACTTGTATATTCTTTAAAAGCGAATACACTTTAGTTGCTGGAGAGTTTGGTCAGTATTTTTAGTTTTCAATCTCAAACACCTCTTCTTATATTTTTTGCTAAGCTTGACTGCGTTCCTTACTTTATTTTACAAACTTTTAATCTTCGCGTACAGAATAGTTCGCTACGTCTATTGAGAGCAGAAAAATTCTCTGCTCTGTGCTGTAAAGATGGTGCAGGACTTGGTGGGGGTGTGTCTTCAACTATTCTCTGTAAATTTGGTTGTAATGTAACTCGCTTTTCCCTATAAACTTTACTATTCTTTTTTATTGACTTTAAATAATTTAATCTTTCTTTTCCACGCAAAGCTTCTAAAGACTCAGCATTAATTTTCATTTGCTATCGCCTATTTCTGTCGTACTCCTTTTTTTATATACATATTTATTTTTTAGCAATGAAAGCTTGACTATACAATCCATACTTATTACCAAATATTTTAGTAATATTCAATTTATAAGAATATGAACAGATTTGATTGTATATGTACAGGGTGTTTCAGTTTATTGTTGCATAACTTTAAGATTCGATAGAACTTTTAAAATTAATGTATAAAGTCTATATAAACATGGGTCGAAAAATGCGTGGCTTCCGAAATACAGGGTGTTTAAATTTACTTTCTAAAATAGTTTTTTTTAAATATTTCGAACAATATTTGATGTACAACAGTGAAAAATGGTATACAAGGGTTTTTTGGTACGACAAAACGAACCATGGGGATAGTTTTACTGTAGCCGCTAGAGGGCGCTCTCTACTGTACCTGTAGTGTATTAAAATAACCGAAAATTCTTTCTTAGTGCAATTTTTTGCTTTTTGAATAAAAAAACTGATTCTTCGCACTTTTCAACATAAAAAAGCTCTCCTGTGAGTTTTCGTTATAGTTAGCCGTTTTTGAGATATTTCGATTTGTAAGGTTCGATGCATTTTTAATTATTTATGGGAAAATAATTTTTTTTTTTACATTTTCGATTTGGGCATTACAAGTAATTAAGATAATCGTTTAGATTGTGTGTTTTTAAACACAGCAATAATTCCTAACTCCAAATAAACACAAAAAACAGAATATTAATTTTATTATTATTTTAATTAAAAATCGAAATATCTCAAAAACGGCTAACTATAAAAAAAATTCGCAAGAGAGCTTTTTTATGTTGAAAAGTGCGAAGAAACAGTTTTTTTATTCAAAAAGCAAAAAATTGCACTAAGAAAAAATTTTCGGTCATTTTAATAGACTATAGGTACAGTAGAGAGCGCCCTCTAGCGGCTACAGTAAAACCCTTGTATACCAATTTTCACTGTTATACATCAAATATTGTTCGAATTATTTAAAAAAAACTATTTCAGAAAGTAAATTTAAAGCCACTTATTTTTCGACCCATGTTTATATAGACTTTATGCATTAATTTTAAAAGTTCTATCGAATCTTAAAGTTATGCAACAATAAACTGAAACACCCTGTATATTTTTTTATTAGTAATTTCAGACCCAGGACGAGATGGAATGACTTTTAAAGTAATAAATTAATTGCATTTTTTTGTGTCAATATATTATCTAAATTTTTGCTTTTAAAATATTAGTGAAAATACTAATTGATATAATAAAGATGTTAAATTGATGATAAATAAATGCAACTTAGCATCAATGGCTCAGGACATGAATTTCGAAATTTGCTGAGAAATACCCAAATATTATTATCATTATTATAAATATCTGTCATTATGGACACATGCGTACCTACATTTGCAAAGCATAGTACTTATACTGGTAAAGGTTTTAGTGGTTGAGTATTCCAGCTTCAACCATAAAAAAAATTAACCATTAATTTAAATCAGATTCTTCGTTATAAAATTCCAATAAGAGCACCACATACTAAATAAAATTTTCCCAGCCCGACGCAGCACTCTGCAAATTGAGCTGAAATTAAAAATCGATTATTGGAATACCTCATTAAATGCTAGCCAGGTCCATATTTTCCCCGTAACGAGTAGACCTAATTTAGGGTGCGAAGTTCGTTTATTGATGAGAAAACACTATAAATACACTCTGGGAAATGGTAGTCAAAATATAAGGGTACGTCTGATGCCATCTGGCAGGATGTTAGTAAATATTTCCTTTATAATACTTACCTAGATTCGAAAGATAAACAGGGTGTCCCAATTTTGGACGTATTCAAAATAAGTGCTTGGTTTGTCCCTTAGGGGGCGTTAAAGCTTTCCTTTTAAAACACATTTTACAAGATATTTTTGGACTTCAATGTCCACGGAATATTGGGACACCCTGTATATTATTATTTCATGATCATCCTTATTAAAACACAACAAAGGGTTTTATTATAACACGATCCAAATGTCCGCGTCGACCAAAATACCTTATGGTACGGGGGAGGTGTCCAACAGTTGAAGCCGCCGCCCCTGTGGGGTGGCATGTCGAAGCAATAGCAAGGAGGCGGTGGAACGTGAAACGGGCAGCACGGCGACATCTCGTGGTGCCTGTTGAAATGATTCGCGATGCCGTTTCCGTTGCTGAAGTCGCTGTAGATGTCCGGATGGCTGCCGGTGTAGTCCGAGTATCGGGAGGGTTGACGGTGGTGCTCCAGCGCCGGATTGCTACCGTACCTTCAATCGAAACGGGACTAGTAGTAGATCAACGGGAACAGGTGATCAAATAAAAAAAATAATTGAGTCAAGTATGAATTTCCTATATAATTTTGGACGAATGGTGTCCGCAAAGTTGGGGTTTTCCTTTTCAGATAGAACTACCCTTGAAATAACAAAGGTAATGTGTAGTGAAACGAGGGCGACCAAGTTTAAAAAATAAAAGAAAAAAGTACTCACTCTCCAGTTGACGAGAAGGGCTAAGTACGTCTCTGCCCGAAATCATACCGCTCCAACAGAAAATGAAATCAGCTGATGCGCTACCGAGCAGACGCCGGCGGTGGTGCACACCACGAACAGAGGTAACAAATATGACGGCGTTGCCGCGTTTTCAGTTTTTAGGTAAACGTACTTTATAGGTATTGTTCGAAGTTATCGCCGTTTGATTCAAAAACACAGGTGCGTGCACGACGTAGCCAAGCATCGGTGCAGGCTTTGAGAATGGAGTCCCCGAATGAAAGCACCAGCTTGTTCAATTCTGAGACGAAGTTCGTCAACCGTATGCACTTCAGTTTTGTACACTAAGCGTTTCATTTCTCCCCAAAGAAAAAAATCACATGGTGTTAAGTCTGGAGATCGCGGAGGCTACGCTACGGGTCCATTACGGGCGGTGCACCATCGTGCAGAAACCACATTGATTGTCTTACACTTAATGGCACATCTTCTAACAAGGAAGGCAAAATGTTGCGTAAAAAGTCTAGGTATTGCATCCCGTCCTATCGATTTGGGAGAATAAATGGTCCAATGAGCATACCGTTCACCATGCCAGCCCAAACATTCACCGAAAATGTTTGTTGAAAATGTGCCCGATGGACAGCGTGCGGATTTTCTACTGACCAAACATGAGTGTTGCGAAAGTTATTTACCCCGTTACGCGTGAACGTAGATTCGTCTGTCACCAATATGCACTTCAAAAAGTCCGGATTATTGTCATGTTGATGCAACAACCACTCACAAAACCGCACTCTTGCTCGAAAATCGTCAGGTTGAAGGGCTTGTACACGTTGGACGTGAAACGGATACAGCCCCTCTTCACGCAGCGTTTGCCACACTTTAGTTTTTGATACTTGCACTTCTCTAGCCACGTCTCTAGTGCTTGTTGAGGGATTCTCGTCTACGCGATTATCTCTACACGCGTGACCGTAACCGTCGGTTGAAGGTTGCATACTGACCTGACACACTGAGTCCGACCCACTTGTACCAGTCGGCGATATCGCGGGTCGCGGCTACAGGACGGTATTCAGATATTTTTGATGTTGCAGAGCCCTTTATCTCGGTTCCCTTAAGACATTGGTGTATATGGTACTAAGAAAAATTGCTTATGTTTTCAAGATCTACACGTCGTGTAAAGGAAAACCCCAACTTTGCGGACACCCTGTATATAAATATTAAGGAAAAACCATCTTCAGGGAAGCCCGTTTAAAATACCGTACCGCCCTTAGGGGACGTTTGTCGACCTATGTTTATATAAAATTTTCTTCCTATTTTGAGCTCTAGAAACCGCTGGTAGAATATTGCACACTTTTTTCGGGACACCCTGTACGTATACGAAGTTGAAAATAATTTCCAGCAATTTCCACCCGGGACTTGGACTTTGCTCGCCGTGAGCGACCATGTACATTCCAAGATTGCCTTAGAGAATTGCAGGCCATTTAGGAACATCCATTGAAACAACGTTTTGGCATGCGGTCCCGCGGACCGCGATTATTCTCGTTCCCAGCCTCCGCCGGCGGCATCGCCCCGAGTGCATATCGATCCCTTGCTGCGGCCCTTTGACCCCTTTATACATCCCGTATACATACTCTGAACGCGCTTCCTCTATTATATTATCCAAGCCAGCTACGCAAAAGCCTAGCGACCACGCGGCTCGAGTTTATTTTTAACTTATTTAGCGAGCTACGTTTAAATCCTCTCTTTCTCGCGGAATTTTTATTTGCTGCGAGCCATGCGGAAACGTTGCTGAAACCATCACATGAAAAGAAGATGAACCAAGAGCATTACGAGGGTTGTTTCAAGAATAAGGTTCGCACGTTTTTTCCTGGCACAAGGAATTTTTCGTTTGAAAAAACGAGATCACCATTGCAAACGTTCATCTTTGAGCTTTTTCATAAACGAAATGCATATTGACCATTTCTATGTTTGCAAATTGAACCGTTTTTCAATATTAGTAATTTTATAGCTTAAGCCTCTTGAGTAGTACTCACTGTTCAGTTGAATTGAAACTCCAAGTACGGCTCTGTCGTAAAATCCGTATTTACATCGTAGTCGTACGTCGTATAACTACGCTGACGCTGTAGATGTGATCAAGCGATAGGACAGGACCGGCTTCGGTTTGGTTCAGGTTTGACTGAGTTTGCGGAGCCCAATATCTCGGTTTTCTTAAGACATTGGTGTATATTCTACTAAGAAAATTCGCTTATTTTTTCAAGATCTACACGTCGCGTGAAGGAAAATCCCAACTTTGCGGACAGCCAGGTATCTCTTTTGAATTTCAGTCACCGTATACATACCTTTGCGGGTCCAACCTTTCGTGCCTCTTCTGGAAACAAAGCCAATCATGTTGGTTGTTTCCTTGACTATTACAACACCATCCTTGACACCGCGTAAAATCCTCCAGTCTTGGTGGAGGCGTCGTTGGCACATGGATCACATGGCTTCCGCTCCTGGATCTTTGATCTCGTTCCTGCCTATTTTGGTGATGCTGTCTCCTTCTATCCAGGCTTCCACCGGGTCTATCCAACGTGCCGGACCTCGATGGTTTATCCAAGTGAGCTCCAGGCCTCTCGAGACTACCTCCTGGTCTTTCCAGGATTCTAGGCGGTTTCTCGAGGCTTCCCGAGCTTCCAGACAGCTGGTAATTGCCTGGTGGTTTGTGAGGTCTGATCGGAGGTTTGCAAGCGTTTAGGGGAGGTTTCGCTGTGGGAGGTGGTTCTCCGGATTCTTCAATGGATGCCATGGAAGCCATAGAGGCGGATGATGGATTTTGGTCTTGTTTAGAGATCCAGCGGAAATCTCCGTTGCATCTGGTGGAACTGTCTGGAAAATCATTGTTTCATGACATACATCAAAGGACTAGTCAATAAGGATTTTTCCTATCAACCAAAACGTATCTAATAACATTAATTCAATACTAGAAGCTATTAAGATTATATGCAGAAAGTGCAACTTCAAATCTAGTTTACACTTTTTTTTCAGGTCGTCCGGTAGATAATTATACAGGGTCGCCCAATGAAAAGGTCGGTATTTGTGACTTTCCTGGTATATTTTGGAAAAAACGCTCTTACTTGTCAATTTTGATTTCTAGGGGGATGTCTTTTTATATGTAGCCGTACAATTGGCCTGTATTAGTATTACAAGCGCAGTGTGAACAACGCCATTGAGTGCAATGGAAGTTATATAGTTCTGTGTGAGCATTGTTGTTTTACGTATTCTGTGAGAGTACGCGATTTATCAAAATTGGCAGGCTGTCATAAGCACACGGAAACATAAAAAATTATTTACATGTGAAATGTGTATTTTCTGTCGTGCGAGCGATAATTCGATTTGTGAGTTTAATTTCACTTCGCGCCTAAAATAAAACAGAAGTTCTGTGATCATCGTGCAAAAATAAATTTTACGTTCATACGAATATAAAACACATGTGTTTTACGCTTGCAATAAATTGTTTACAAACGATATTCCAAAAAACTAAAAGGGTGATGCGTTATGCGAGCGAACGGAAATTGAATTAAAAATATTGCATTCGAATATTTCTGGGTGGTGAAAATTGTATGCAAGAGGTTGTCTATGTTTATACAGGGTAACTTAGAAATAATGTTACGCATACGTCATAAAATGAAATGATTCCCCAAAACGAATTGTACCTCAAAAAAAAGCTTATTAATTTATAGGCTAGATGACATGAGTGAGGCAGCTTCTGAAGAGGTGGCAGATAAAAATATAAATGAAAATTGATTTTCATCCCCAAAGCAATGATTCCCCAAAACGAATTGTACCTCAAAAAAATGATCTATTATAGAGACAATTTATAGGCTAGATGACATGATGTGAAAAAGCTTCTGAAGAGGTGGCAGATAAAAATATAAATGAAAATTGATTTTCACCTCCAAAGAAATGACTCCCCAAAACGAATTGTACCTCAAAAAAAATTATTTATTATAGAAAGTATTTATAGGCTAGGTGACACGATGCGAGAAAGCTTCTGAAGGGGTGGCAGATAAGAAATATAAATGAAAATTCGTTTTTACCCCCAAAGAAATGATTCTCAAAACAAGTTGTATCTAAAAAAATACTCTATTATAGAGACAATTTATAGGCTAGATGGCATTGTCAGAGAAAACTTCTGAAGGGGTGGCAGATAAAAATATAAATGATAATTAATTTTCACCCCCAAAGAAATGATTCCCCAAAACAAGTTGTACCTCAAAAAAAAATGATTTATTATAGAGACAATTTATAGGCTAGGTGACATGATGTGAGAAAGCTTCTGAAGGGATGGCAGATAAAAAATATAAATGAAAATTCGTTTTTACCCCCAAAGAAATGACTCCCCAAAATGAATTGTACCTCAAAAAAAAAGATTTATTATAGAGATAATTTATAGGCTAGGTGACACGATGTGAGAAAGCTTCTGAAAGGGTGGCAGATAAAAAACATAAATTAAAAATTTTCACTCCCAAAGAAATGATCCCCCAAAACGAATTGTACCTCAAAAAAATGCTCTATTATAGAGACAATTTATAGGCTACGTCAAATGATGTGAGAAAGCTTCTGAAGGGGTGGCAAATAAAAAAATATAAATGAAAATTCGTTTTCACCCCCAAAGAAAGGAATCCACAAAATAAGTTGTATCCCAAAAAATGCTCTATTATAGAGACAATTTATAGGCTAGTTGGCATTGTCAGAGAAAACTTCTGAAGGGGTGGCAGATAAAAAAAATAAATGAAAATTGATTTTCACTCCCAAAAAAATGATTACCCAAAATAATACTCCATTATAGAGACAACCAATGAGCTTCGTGATATGATGATCCAATACCCCGTGTTTCAGTAGGAGGGTATTTTAAGACCCATTATAGGAACTATCGGCTTTATTTTTTTTTGGGTACTTTCCAGAGATATTGCCACTGTTTTCTGTCTATTCTGTATATCTGTCTGTGTTCGAAAAACCGAAACCACAACTGCCTCCCGCCTTGCCTAGACACTATCCGGCGTCCAACTATCTTGTATAAGTTTTGCGGGTAAAGCCTTGACGCGGAGCGAGCAGGGTAGACTGAGAGGTAAGTTCTTGGTAATTTCCAGCGTCTCTCCAAGTTACTTAAAAGTTGCGCTTCTGTTGACGTCTGCCCTATTTTATGTCATTCTCAGAGTGCACAAAACAGACAAGGTGGAATACTGCTTAGAAACCTTAAGGGGAATAACTTTCGGCTACGTTTTTTAATTTAGCGTGTAGATCCCAGCACGTAGAAGAAAACGGCAATACTAAATAAAGGGCAAGAACAATATTGTAAAATAATTCAATTTTTCAACACTAGAAAATTAACCGTGAACTTTGGGAAAACGCATGTTTTCACATCTATTATCCAAATCTTTCTTTCAAAATAAAGAAAACAAATTAAAAAATTGACAAAGCAGACGACATCAAATATTTAGGAATTTTTTTAGATCAACATTTGAGGTGGACATTCTCATGCAGGTATCTCATTCCAGGCAACCACCAACTCCTCTCGAAGTGCTTCTAGAGTCTGAGGAGGACTTTGCAAATTGAGCAATCTCCTACCCATCATATACCACACGTGCTCAATTGGGGATAAGTCGGGAGATCTTGGTGGCCATGGTAACAATGTGACATCATTATGTTGAAAGAAGTCTATTGTGACTCTTGCAACATGTGGTCGGGCATTATCTTGTTGGAAAGTTGGATCTGCCAGGGTGTCAAGATAGGGTAAAAGATGGGGTTCTAGAACTTCGTGGATATAACGCTGCGCGTTCATGTTACCTCTGATGAAGATGAAAGGTGACCTGGAACCATAAGCCATAGCACCCCAAACCATAACTCCAACAGTGTGATGAACATGTCTTTCAACAAAAAACTGTAGGTTCCTCCCTTCACCACGTCGCCTTCTAACCCTGGCACGACCATCGTGCAAACCTAAACAAAATCGAGACTCGTCACTAAAGACAATACTGTTCCATTCCTGATCCCAGAGTGACCGTTGTCTGCACCACTCAAGGCGATTACGTCGGTGTTCTCGAGTTAAAGGGAGGACCCAGTGTGGCCGGTATGAAAACAAGCCAAAACTTCTCATTCGTCGGTAAACACTTCGCATGCCAATAGGTCTTCCGTGTTCTGCAAACCATTCATTTGCAATGGACCTGGTAGTGGAGAAACGGTCCCTTAAGGCCAATAATCTTAGGCGGCGATCTTCACGGTCTGTTGTTCTACGGCGGCGTCCAGTGCCCCTTGCTCTTTGCGTACGGCCTTCTCGAAGCCATGCCTGACAACACCTAACCACAGTGTCTACACTTCTTTGCACTCTAACTGAAATTGCCCGAAAAGAAAGTCCAGCTTCCCGAAGTCCCACTATACGGCCCCTATCAAACTCACTAAGTTGACGAAATCGTACAGGTCTCCGTACTCCCATTTAAACTGGGTGTTCGGATTTATATGTCACATAGTATATATTCAAAAAATGATTTATAAAACGAAACAAAATTATTTGATATCAAGCAAATTTATTTCTTACATACTATCAGCCATTAACACAAAGTGCGATAAAATTACACATTGCTATGATACTCGATATAGGTGCAAAAACTGTCCCTAAACCTCACAATGAAGCGATCCTTTCTCTATTTGGCTCTAAAATCATATGAACACGTACCCAAAGACTTAAAACAATTTCGGAATCCGCATTATTTCAAAAAGAAATTATTAAAATGGATACGCTCAATAGAAAGAGGGTTGATTCAAAAATTAGGCTCCCACATTTTTTTAAGGCACAAGGATTTTTTATTTGAAAAAACGTATTCGCCATTGGAAACGATGATCTTTAAGTTATTTTGATGATATAAATCAAAAGCATGAACAATTTGATGTAAAGGCACCCTACAATTATACCATACGATCCTTATTCATTTGCTATATTGTTATTGTTGTTATACTATGGAGTAGATAAATATCTTTACTACCATTACCTTTGAGCGGCGATTCCGAAGAAGACGAGCAAGAGCCAGCGGTGCTCGAGACGTCAGAACTTGATCCCCGATTGGACCAGCATCCTTCACCTCCTCCTAAGGCAGCTGCCTCTTCCTTTTTCACCGTTCCCCCACTACCGTTCGCAGCGGTTCGGCTCACCTCCTCTTCCTCCTCTTCCAGACTGGAGTCGTCATCCGCTCCTGATAATGGCACACATTACGTCAGATACACTCTACCGGACCTATATCAGATCGTTATCCGGTATGACAAATCGATACAATAACCGAAAATGCACTTAGCAGAGGCGTGCATGTCCGGAAGATAAATTGCCTGTGACTTCTTAATTACGTGTGACACTGTAAAATTGCTGCTTGTATAGCTAGCATCGCACTTCAATAAATAAGTCAAAAAGTTCATATGACCCATGGTCCAAAAGTCAATAGATTTTTTTTCTAAATGTTTTTATAGTTTACAACTTCTAGTGCTTTATATCGACCACAATCTTACTAATTTTTATAATCTAATCTAAAACGTTTTTAAATTGGGCAATTAACAAATAAATGGCATTAAGTTTTTCTAAGTTAAGCCAAAATTTGTAGTCAGTAAGTAAATTTCATTAAATTAAATATTTAAAACGCACATGACAACAGCGCGTCGTCATCACTCTTATCGAAGCGGCAATCGATCGCAAACGGTAACAGTGGTTAGTTATCGGGCATTGGGCGTGCTGTTTTGTTTTTGTTCGCGTACGTCGTCGTGTTGGTTTACAATGTTCTCGAATCAAGAGTCCGCACTCGGGAATTAGATCGCCGCTTAGGACTATCGCATACCATAGTCCATAGAATCCTACGGGAGAATTTGCTTGATCCCTACCATGTACAACGAGTGCAGGTCTTGTTACCAGAAGACTATCCTCGCAGAATAATATTCTGTCAGTGGTTTTTGCACAAAAACATTGACAATCCCGATTTTTTAAAAACATTCTAGCGACGGACGAATGTACTTTTACGCGAGACGGGATATTAAATTTCCATAATACTCACACTCCATAATCCTCATAATTCGTGAAGGTCATTTCCAACAACGTTTTAAAATAAATATTTGGGCGGGTATTCTTGACGATCAGGTAATTGGCCCTTTCGGGTTACCCCCAAAGTTGTCAAGAAAAGCTTTCTAGCCAATACCCCACCAGAACTTTTGGAACAGACCTTAGACGACCCATTACAACGGAGACAGAATTTGTAGTTTCTTCATGACGGGGCACCACCACACATTTTTAGAGGCGTCATTCAGTATTTGAATGAACATTATCCAAATCGCTGGATCGATCGAAATGCTCCTGATTCTCGAAAATGGCCAGCAAGATCTCCTGACCTCAATCCGATGGATTTCTGGTCTTGGGGAGAACTTAAAGGGATGGTTTATATGGCTGGTCCAATAACAACTGAAGCAAAACTTCGCGAAAAAAATTTTAATGCGGCTGAAATAATAAATGGACAACTTCGAGGACCTAGAGTAAGAAGAAACTGGGTTCGTCATAATGAAGCTTGTGTGGAAAGTGGAGGACGACATTTTGAACACCTTCTTTAAATACAAAAAAGTGCAGTGTGGGTTTTAAAAAGAAAAACAATGTACCTGTATGTATCAAAATTGTCTTCCCTATTTATAAGTGCATTTTTTTTATTCACACTTCGTTCCATCGTAATTTGCGTCTGGCATTGCGGCGTTGTCCGATTTTGTTTTACCTTAAAGTCGCTTTTCTCTAAAAAAAATGCCGTTATGACCCCCATGTTATATTAAACTTTTTGCTTCTTTTAATTCCTTCTATCACCCATTTAAATAATGACTCTCATAACGTTTACATCCTGTATAACTGCTTTTCAATTGAGTATAAAGAATCCAGTCTAAGCAACTTTAAGAAAAGCAATTGGATGGCTAGAATTTAAGTTTACGCGACTCTACAGGTAATTAACTGTTTCCTTTTTCTGAGAAGTGAAATATCTTAAGCATTTCTTTTTTGGTGATCAATATTACGAAAACTGTCATTTTAAATTTATGTACTTTTTTCTTTATAGTAGATTATCAATTGTGCGTATGTCTTTAGATCGGGTTGACAAACAGCGTAAACTGACTCTCCACCTTTTCTTCACTATTTTTTTTATTCCTATTTAGTCTATTATCTCGTAATGCTGTGACGAATAAGAGCGATTTACTATTATTATTATACGTTATAAGTTGGTGAATGTATTTATCTTACTGTAAATAACAAGTGAAAAAATGTTCAGCCTTATCAGTTGGACATTCCGGTTTTTATACTGCTTTTTTTTAATTCACTATCGCTCTAAAAATGAATATTTCAGCCGCAGTAAAGAATCAACGTTGGCGGATTTTGGTTCTTGACATCCTTTACGATCGGTTACGATGCCTAGAGTACGGAGACCTGTACGATTTCGTCAACTTGATAGGGGCCGTATAGTGGGACTTCGGGAAGCTGGACTTTCTTTTCGGGCAATTGCAGTTAGAGTGCAAAGAAGTGTAGACACTGTGGTTAGGTGTTGTCAGGCATGGCTTCGAGAAGGCCGTACGCAAAGAGCAAGGGGCACTGGACGCCGCCGTAGAACAACAGACCGTGAAGATCGCCGCCTAAGATTATTGGCCTTAAGGGACCGTTTCTCCACTACCAGGTCCATTGCAAATGAATGGTTTGCAGAACACGGAAGACCTATTGGCATGCGAAGTGTTTACCGACGAATGAGAAGTTTTGGCTTGTTTTCATACCGGCCACACTGGGTCCTCCCTTTAACTCGAGAACACCGACGTAGTCGCCTTGAGTGGTGCAGACAACGGTCACTCTGGGATCAGGAATGGAACAGTATTGTCTTTAGTGACGAGTCTCGATTTTGTTTAGGCATGCACGATGGTCGTGCCAGGGTTAGAAGGCGACGTGGTGAAAGGAGGAATCCACAGTTTTTTGTTGAAAGACATGTTCATCACACTGTTGGAGTTATGGTTTGGGGTGCTATAGCTTATGGTTCCAGGTCACCTTTAATCTTCATCAGAGGTAACATGAACGCGCAGCGTTATATCCACGAAGTTCTAGAACCCCATCTTTTACCCTATCTTGACACCCTGGCAGATCCACTTTCCAACAAGATAATGCCCGACCACATGTTGCAAGAGTCACAATAGACTTCTTTCAACATAATGATGTCACATTGTTACCATGGCCACCAAGATCTAACGACTTATCCCCAATTGAGCACGTCGAGAGGAGTTGGTGGTTGCCTGGAATGAGATACCACAGGAGGACATTGGCCACCTGATCAGAAGCATGCCTAGGCGCGTTGGAGAATGCGTAGCACATCAGGGTGCGTCCACACATTATTAAAGGCCAAAGGGCTTTAAAGCAGTGCAATCATTTTGAAATTTTTATCATTTACTTATTATGCTTCAATAAGTACTTATACAAAATTTTATTAAAATAAAACCATTTAAACTGGGTGTTCGGATTTATATGTCACTTAGTATATTTTAACAAGTCCTGAGCTTCTGTTAAAACAAGGGTTTTCCATTAAGGACTTAACAACTTTCTTTTTAAATAAAACGCAAACCATTTGAGATATCTCGAAAATTTTATTATTGAATTGAAGTATACTCAAAACATTTATGTATGGAATTCGACCTCGAATTTCGGTAGTAAATTTTAAATATTTGTAAGCGATGTTCGTTCGTGTACTTCTAGATGATAAAAATGCTTTCTTTACTGAATGTTTTGACATTGATAGTTCCGTAATTGATTTAAAGGTGCGTTCACAGTGAACGTTCAAAGTTGTCAAGTCCCTATTCGAAAACCCGATATAAACTCTATCTATCATAAAACGTGATATTTATTGAACGCATACCATTCATCAACTGTTTAATCTAGAATGCAAACATAATACTCGTAGTAAATTTGATATATGGTGGATGCTATAATTTAAATAATGTACAGGTACCCACCATATTTTTAAAACTCGTTAAAGGACATACAGGGAAAACCAGATTTGTTGCCTAGCAATGATGACGCAGAAGGTCGTGGAATCTGCTGCTTTGCCAATATGTCAGTTGAAAAATGGGAATAACAAAGTTTCTTAAAGCTCCTGAAAGCAGCCTTGGCATGTAGGGTTCACCTGCGCGGCAGCTTCGGCGTAAAAAAAATGAAACGCAAAAACCTTAATTTTGTAGAGAAAACAGGGCCACAATTCAACAGAAACAAGTTTTTGTCACTATTTCAGTTGAGCAAGTGGCAGAAGAAATTTTAATGAAATTCTATTTTACATATCAGCCAGCGCCAAAGTGCTTTGTGCTCAATATTTTGTTTATTGTCCCGGTAATGGCAAAATGAAGATTACGAATACAGTATGAAAAATCCGGAAAATAGAGGACATAACTTTCAAGAACCACAATTAATACGATTTTTGTGATCACTAATCTTTAGAAAATTTTTGTTACAGTTGCAAAATGCGTAATTACGCTATTTAAGTATTACTTCAATTATTTTCCTAGTATCAGTTCTTTTTGTCGATGTTGAGAACACTGTGAAACTTATAGCTATGTAAACAGATCTTGAGAATTATAGTTATGTTCAGCCGTTTTAGCTTTTTATTATTCAAAGGCGTTATTAAATCCTTGTAGTATTTTCACTTCTTTCTTCTAGTAAGAGTCTGCATATACAGGGTGTTTCTAATTTGGTCCTAACCATTGGGATCTTCGAAACTGTAAGGGATACGAAGTCGCTTAAATAGGGTAGTCAACAAAGTGACACTTAGAAGGTTTCGAAATCCAAAGTAACGGAAAAACTGAATTTTCCCAAAATTGTTCTGATTTTTTCCTGACTTTATTTATATTGGGATTTTAAAATAAATTGCATAGTAACAGTGCCACGTTTTCTCCTCTACAAGAAGGCATAATTAGAATTTCTATATGACGGTTCGTCTCTTGTCCTCCAGCATCAACTTTATTATTTCTTAAGGACCCTATATTGCATGTTTGCACAGATGAATAGTTTATAATTTTGATTAAAAAAAATGCATAATACGTCATAAATTGACGTTGTCAAACATTTATTACTTTAACAAAAACAGAATTTCTTAGGTAGGCCTTGAAATTATCAGATGTTTGTTTCTATCATCAGATTTATCATAAAATAACTCTATTTTTT